GAGGAAGCGGTGCAAGGCAGCGGGGAACGGGGCTTTCCCCTGTCTTGTGAGTGTAAAAGTTTGAGTCACAGATCCTTTTTTTTTGACTCACAGATCCTCGTCCAAACCAAACTGGACTGAGGCCCAAAAACTACATCCTTAAGCTGCCGTACAAATGACATTCAAAGCCTTGTTCTGGCCCACCGTGCAGCTCAGATGTTGAAATTAAGTGTTGAACAGTGCTTCCTTTTTTAAGAATTATGTATTGAAAGCAGCACACTTCATTAAACCGTCCGTCCTAAACTGGATGTTTTTGCTCCCCTACCTTCAGCACACTCAAGATTAACAACATCTTTTGTGATGGACGAGGAACTGACTGCTTTACTTGGCATCTTGTCATGAATGGAGATATTTTGAAGCCGCCCTGTATGAATTAGACAGTGTTCAGCGCTCTCTCTGTGGGGCAGTTCAGATCTACCTGATTCCAGAGTTGCTATTAGGCTCCTAATAAAGGCCAGATTGTGGGAAAACTGGTAGTTAATGTGACCCGGCTGTGGCTTGCTGACAGACGTTCCCACCAGCGGTGTAGGACAGAGGCTGCTCCATTTTCCTATCCACAGGAAAAAAATGCTATCAGCTCCCTCACTGCTGCAGACTCTTTACTTGCGTTATTTTCCCCTGAGAGATTTAATAGCTTTTTATCTGACTCTTGACATCAGCCGTGAGATTCAGTGACTCCATTTTCAATATGAGTCTATTCACTGCTCCTGTGGCAGAACTCTTCAGGCCTGAATACAAAAACCCAGTCATATGTCTCCATGCTGCTGAAAGTGACTGTGACAAATGGGAACTGTTGTATCACGGACATCATCTACAAGGTCTCAGGTTTTAAGATACCTCTACAATGGTATTCCCCCAACTAAAGATATTTATGGCCAACCAGTTGTTAGCTCAGTAGTCTATCATGCATGTTCATGACCTCTCATAGTCTCAGTTTGGAAATCTGTACTGACACTGGATCCAAAAAGGAACCACAGCAGTGCTAAAAAGATGGTTTACTTTGACCCTCAGCCCATTAGATGGTCCATCAAAACAGCACAACCTTTTACAAAAGGGAATAGTCTCGAACCTTTAGTCGGCACTGACCAAAATGTAGTTTATTCCATTCAAAGGGAAGTAGGATCACCAACAACAAGACTGTTTATTCATATACTGCGCTGACATAAATTAAGTTGAGTTTTTGTTATTTTTGGGATCTGAACTTTTTAAAGCCAATATTCAACCACAATTGAATTAGTGGCGTGAACGTGCCCTCCTCCCCAAAAGCTAGGGGGCGATATGGGTCTTTTCAGCAGCGCTGTTTCCGACCCCATACAACTGTCAACACCAACAGCAGGTCCGTGCCAGATGTCGGAAGTTGCTACAGCTGCTGTTGAGTATTTTCGAGCAAGAAGATGGAGCATCATACCTCGTTTTTGTCGTACATGATGTATGCGCTACTTTTTCTGCAGATAAGTTGCAGGCTACTCCTCTTCTCTGGTGTTTTTGTTCCGGAGTTACGGGGGCTTGGTGCACATGCATTGTCCAATCATACTCCGACTACGCTGGTTACACAGTAGAGAAAATTGAATTCCAGTTGCATAATCTGGGTGTCTTAATCGGAGTTCTCCGACTACAATCGGAGTTCTCAAAGTCTGATTATAGTCAGACTAAGATGTTTACATACACTTCAGTTGTCCAGTCTTAATCCGATTAAGGCAATAATTCGGTTTACTTGAGTGTCATGTAAACATACTGACTGATAAATATAGGGCTTATAGTGAGAGAGACACTAAACCAGGTTACTGCAGGGGTATGACAAACATCTGTTCAAACAGATTTAAGTTCGCCCATTACCAAAACCGCGTCCATAGTCCATTTCAGTTCTGTGCTGATTACTTATGTCCATACTCACTTTTACTTTGTTTGTCCGAGTCCAGTTCTCCTTATGACAAATATTTAGCGCCCTCATGTCACACATTTGAGAGTAGAGTAAATGCAACACAAGTAACGATCTAGATAGAAGGAAACATGAATTAGTGCCAAAAACTGCCACGAGTGCAGCTGGATATACAGTCATCATGTAGTGATTATAGTGAATAAGGCTCTGCACTTTTTTTCAAAGTAATGTGTAATCACTATCGACACATCAATCAAAGTGAATCACCAACCATGTAAAGTCACAATGACTCATATCATTATCATCACCATAATCATCATTTTGTGCACCAAGCGCAGTCGTTCCCACAGAACTCATGTCTTGCTCACAGCATGTTAGCATGTAATCGAAGATTTCTGAGTATTACAGAAGAATACATATTGATAAAATAAGGATGAAATGTGAGTAAAACCTTGATTTTTCAAAAACAGTTACAGAAAGACAAGAAACACACAGTCAGTCTGTACACAGAACATGTACACAGGTATATTTCTGTTAGATTTGAGTACCAGTAAACTCTGTCTTTCATGAGCATCATTGACACTTTTACTGTACTCATATACTGTTTGTGTCAGAGAGTAAAAATGAAGTGATGTTGCAGGATAATGATTATTTGACCTTTTCAGAATGGACCTTTTTTTTCATTTTTGGGACTTAATTGAAAGAATAGTTCCCTTTTTTGGTCATTTATTGCACAACTCCATGCACCTCAAACAATTATGGTCATATCCAAGTCGTGAAAATTTAGAATATGCTAACAAATGTGTCCATTCTGGATCACCAACTGAGTAAAATCTCAAAAAAACTTACAATTGTTGCATTTACTGCTGTTTGTATTGTACTTTGAAGCGTAGGAAAGTGAGTTACCTGTAATTTTTTACACCGCAGTATTTTCCATTACCTCAAAAACTCTAAGCCTCTAATTTGCAACCAGCCTTGCGCCTAAATTTTCAGACACAGCATGATTATAGTGGGAAATATCAATCTCTTTACCTCTCCGTTAATGGAACAAGTATGTCTGCCTCAGACCCACTGTGTGATAATGTCTTTTGGTTTGCTCAGTGCCAAGCCAGCAGGTGAAGACTTCACAGCCAGAGCATCCTGCCCCATTATCCAGAGATGACCAGCTTTACTTCTAACAACAGTTTTTAAGAATTTGGCTCATTTCTCAGAAATGGCGCGTAGAAGGCGTGTATGTGAGAAAGTCACCACATTTTTCATTCATTTTCCACTTTTATAAAGAAAATACAGTATGCTGCTTTGAAATCTAAGAAAATGGTAGAGACTAAAAAGCGCATAGAAAATTAAGACTGTGATTAAAATTTTAGATAACTGAGAAAAAAAGAGCTGTTGTGATTTTGTCCCCCTTTTTTTTACTGTCTGGAAAGCCTCAGCCTTTTAAAAGATGCATTCAGAGCATTTTACAGAGAACGACTATGCATGAAAGGTTCTCGCCCCAAGTAAAACCCCGAAATGCAAAGTACACAATACAGCATATACTGAACTAAGAGAGAGGCAGAAAGTCAGTGAACCTCATAAACATCACTCAGCGCACTGCCACAGTGCTGACACTCTTTAGTGGAGCTGAGGCACAAGCATCCCTCACAGCGGGACAATGTGCTCGAGGATAATCAGCTCAATAAAAGTACATCTGCCTTTCACGCTGCGCTATACTGGGACTGCACAGGGACACAATGTCCTGTTGTTTTTTTTATGTTTCGCCCCTCTTGACAAATAATTTCATGCTGCAGGATGAACATTAATCTATGCTGTTCATTGCTGGGTTTATTGAAGGGACATGCCAAGTAAATTTCAGACTTTTGGAAGAAGTTACTTTCCTGTTCCTGGGCAGCATGGCAAAGCAGTTTGATTTATAAAGAACATTTCACGAGTCAACTGAATATGCTTTGCACGAAAAAGCACAGAACAAAGAATAAAACAGATAAAACACAAGGGATGTTTTAAGAAGAGAAAGGACAAAGACGCCTCAGTGTGAGCTCAAAGTTTCTGTGTACCCTCAGACGTGATTTGTGGCTCTCATTACGAGATGGAGACAAGAGACTGAGGCTCCAGTCCTCTCCATCCAATATATGCCATCATTACATACTCGTAATATGATGAATGAAACATCTCCATTACAACTGAACAAATGTCATTGATGAAGGGAAAGCTCAACGAGAACAGCCACAAAATGCAGCAACGTTCTCCACAACTGTGAAAAAACAGTTTACCTGGTAAAAAGCATCCTGCTGAGGATCTCAAAGCTCTTTTTATTCTCACATCTACTGCCAATGCACCACTCTTAGACTTTAAAGCATCTATTTCATGTGTTTTTGATATTTTTTTCGTATTACTGAGTAGTTTTTTGACGTCAAATAAATGTCACTGCTGTAATCTTGAGTATTTAGTTGTGTTGAAGAGGTCAAAGTGCCCTGCAGTGTTACAACAGACTGTTCAGGATCATTACTTTTTATGGACCTCTTTTTCGTAGAGCCTGGTTTTAAAAAATTAAAGATTCAGACTCTGCTGTGAGACATACACTTCCTGTGAGTACATGTGTGTGTGTATATCTATGTGTAGTATACTGTGTTACTAAAAAACCCTCTTTAGTCTTGAATCTGTTGCTTCTTAAAGCTCCTATGAGGAGTTTTTTGATGTTCAGACTGAAAATCATGTTAGAGCCTTTTAATAATATGCAAAAGCAAACAAGACCATCAGCAGTAAGACTTTTTAGAGTGTAAAGCCGAAAACATACAGGATTCGTATTCAGCATGTTCCGTATTTGCTCCGTAAAGCAGCATCGGGTATCACATACAGGATGCGTATTTGGAGCATGGAAGCATCGTAGTGAAGCCCTGGTCAGCTGGGCTCAGTAGAGGAAATAACATGCTCACAACAGGTTTTTTTGCCTTTCTTTTCCTATTAATTTGGATATAATTCAGTGACTTTATGTGAAAAAGCAACATAATTTTACAGTTTTGGTTTTTGCAGGTTTACTCGTGTTAAATAAAGTGAACTATGTTCCTTTATGCTGTGCTGTTACCTTCAGACAGAGGTAGCAGTTAAAAGTCCTGTTGGGGTCCACATGGATCAGGGGTTGACCATCAGATTATTCTGTGATAAATCCATAACCAGGAAGTGTTTCTCATCTACACAAATTGATGCACAGTCGGGAGTCCGCATATGGTGTTTTATTTTGAAATACCGGATGACATGCACGGTTTTCGTGCTTGACTTCCTGTCTAGGGACTGACGCACATTGGAAGCGTAGAGCAGCAAAAATAGGCTTGGTGCGATGGAGCTTATACGCATCCTATATGCTTTACTGCATTGATTAGAATGGGAACCTATTTGCTGCGTGATACGTGACGCTGCTGCCACGCTCTAAATACGCATCCTGTATGTTTGAGCCTTAAGTGTTGATGCCTGAGTAGGTATCAGCAGAGGAAACAGCTCTTTTTTTCCTACATTTTGGACGTTAAAAACTCACAAAAAATGATACATTTATTGCAACAAAAAGCAAGGACTATTTTGTCCACTGGGGGCGCCATAGCTGACACAAATCAAAAGTTTCTCACAGGAGCTTTTAGGAAACAGCTGATTCAAATAGGCAGTATGTTTTTAAATGAGAAAATGCTGACCTGTTCTATGGCGAATAATTGCCTCAATTTAATTTGTGTAAAATGTATTTATTTTACATTTATTTTGAAACATTATTTCATTCAGATACATTTAGAGAGACGTTGTTTTGCGGAGAGTAATAACCATTAGTGTGTATTATTGCAAGTGCTGAGAGGAGGAAGAAAGTAGTGCCCAGAGACGCTGCAGACATGAGCATGAATGAATGTCTTTGAAATTACTGACTAACACATGAGTAAGAGTGAATAATAGGGAAAATATTATTTTTGAAAACCAAAGTGCCAGTTGATGTATGAAAGTTGCTCACTGATTTATTTGAGTGTATAAATGGTATGTGACGAGTCAGTCTGCAAAGGTGAAAAAAACGTGATCTCTGCACTCCCAGACTCATTTTTTCTCTCTCAGACTTAACTGCTTTGTGAGCTGTGGTCCTGTGTGTCAGCTAGAAAGTATAAACATGAGCACAGAGGCCCTCGAAGTCTTGAAAATAAGCTTAGTTATTTGATTATACAGCAGGAGACTGGATTATATAATTACACAACAGAAACAGAAAGAACTTTTCACTCTTTAAGTGTATATTTGCTCTCCGCAGAAATAATCCCAAAGATACCACATTAGAGGTTTTCCAGGTTTTCCAAGAGCCTTTTGGAACAATGGTTTTGGAGTTTCCTTATTTTAGCTATAAAAATATTTTAGTTCGAAGAAACTAATTTTATCCATGAAAACACCAAAAAGTACATTTGGCAAGCATCTGTTTGTATGATTTGCATTAAGCCCACTGCGGAAGCTAACAATATTGGCTTCCCCAATTTTGTAAATTATATGGGAGAAAGTACAAGGCCTTAAATCTAAAATGGGTTGTTGTTGGCGTAGGTGAACATGTTCTGGCAGAACAAATTGTAATAGTTTATTTTATGAATACAGTTTTTCTGGACGCAGTGCCTTGGGAGCGGAGACGAGCAAAGTAAGCTCATGTTGTGTGGGCAGCACAGAGCTGACCTCAGGATGGGATAAAAGTTCTGACTGTGCTCTAACATTAACCAGTCAAACCAGTGCTTGAAGCGTTTTACCATCAGTCCACATAAACAGCTTTATATTGATTGTGATGTTTATCAATATTTCTGAGTTATTACTCTCAAACAATCAGCAGATTCAGTAAAATTTTCACTGGTTTTAGTTTCCAAGACAACCACCTAAGAGCACTGCTTTTGAGGCGTCACTGATGATGTCTGTCTGTCAGTAATTATAACAGCAACAACTGGCTGGATTATAATGTGATTTTATTGAGTATTTTACCTCTCAGTGTGAATTATTGTTTCTTTTTTGACACCTCACCTGTGATTTGTGTCTAGTTCTCATTGTCAAATGTTAGCGTGTGTCCTGGTATGAGAAGTTTTATGTCTCTTAGCTATGTTAATGTTTGTATGCAGACAGGCAAAACTTCATATTCTCCTTTATAAAGATTACAACAGAATCAGTCTGCGCTCAAAGCAGTAAATAAAGCATTACTACTTTAAAACAAGCTTAATGTCAAGCTTAAGTGAAAATACAGGCCTTGTCTCCCAACCAAAGTTTGGAGCAGCTAACCAGGAGCCTGCAGAAGGTGCCAGAGGAAAGGCCCTCTTAAAGGAATATTCTGGCATAAAATTTATTTAGGATCAAACACATCATAAAACTGAGTGTTACTTTATCATTTCCTTTAAGTAATATTTACCATATTAATCATTTTGCACTGCAGACGCGGTAGATCTTCTGCCTTAGCGTCTCGGTCTGATTGCATTTCCATGAAGAAATGATCATAAATGTTCTTCCTTGAGCTGCGTCACCCCGCTGTAGTCCGTAATGGACTGGCCAATGGTCTTGCTACAAACAAGTGACTGCTGGAAGAGAGTAGGTGAGTTATGTTTAGTCTCTTTGCTAAAGAAATCAGGCAAAGTTAAAAAGATGTTTGATGGCTGGGACCCTATATGTACTGTTGATGAAGTTAGGTGCTGACTTTTGTTTTTGTGAAATTAAGTAAGTGGTATATTTTGTGCAGCCCAACATCTAACTGTGACCTTGGTGCTATGGTGTTTGTAAGAGTAAAAAACTTGTGCTGTTTACAACTGGTATAGCTGAAAACAACTAACAACAACTGACAACAGCTAACAACAGCTGACAATTGTAAACAGCAGCTAACAGTAGGCGTCCATCTTGGTTTTCTGACTTGTTTACTGGAAAACCGTCAACTTGGGTGTAACGTCATTCCCAGCTCCGACATCCGACTTCTGAGGTAACTGGAACGCAGCATTATTTCTTAAACTGTTTCATACAGTCGAGCTTCCTTCTACCACCACTGAATTTGACACTTGCAGGTCTTTCAAAAGAATGCTGGTTTTAGGCTGTTCCCCATGTCCTTCGCTTTTGAAACCCAAGGCTTTGCCTCAGTGAAGCCACAATAAGATCACGTCCTCCTTTTGACCCTGTTTGAAAATATTCCTCAAGTGGCAGAAGCAGAACAAATCTGTTCCTGTTTGTTCCTGTTCCTGGTGGACTAGTGCGAGCCTCATGTCAGTGGTCTCCCCAGGCCTTGAAGTTGCACCTGACCGCTCCTCCCATCTGCCTGACCCCATCTGTCTCCACCTTGTCCCCAGTTTGGAGCGGCCCACCCTCTGCCTGTCTCAGCTCTGCATGCAAAGAAGCCCCGGATCTTGCCTGGGAGGAAGTGGAATGTTTTTACTGGGAAGTTTGGGATTAGACAATCATTGCAGGATTTTCATTCCATCTCTTGGTAGCTGCACTGCAAAGGAAGCCCCCTTTTTTTTTCTTACATAAGTGAGCCATCGCCAATGTGGATTAATGAGCTTTATCCCATGCAGAGAAAACAAACTCGACTGCTGTCCAAATATTGCTGAACAGAGTGTCAGACAGCAAACTACAGCAGGGTCTTGTTAAGGACACTGTCTCTGTTACACTATGATTCACAGCCATGGGACAATTTTGAAGTGAGTTTTATCCCCTGACATTATTAATCTTATCTGTCAGATGATTTCTGTTGGGTCTAAAACCTGCAACAAATGACTGAAAACACATAAAGAAGAGAAAGACAATGGTTTAGATTACTTACTCGAGGAGAATGGGCAGAGATAGTTTCAGTTACAATTTCAAAAAAACAATCCAAATTTAGTTACCCATAATTTGAGGAATTGTAACTTTTCGGGCTTTTTCTGAAAGACTTTCCAGTCTTGACATTTTAGTTCTACTAATTTTGCCTTACTGGCTTCCGTCCCCATTTTTATGTGTTTTGGTCCAGCTTAGGTGACACCTAGGGTGTCCTATTAAGCTGGGTTCTTTCAATGGGGTAGTGATAAAAATTCCTTATGTGGTAATTCTCGCTTCTACTCTTGCAAGTGGAGAATTCTTGCCTTTGCTTCCACAATAAGGTCACTACTTACAATCCCACTGTTTTGGTATGAATAGGATATATCTAGTGATATATCACTATTCCAATCACACTTTTAACACGTGTTTTGGTTTACAGAATTTAAACTTTTCCAATTAGGCCTTTGTCCATGGCTTTATAGGACCCGCACGTCCTTTGTCCACGGCTTTATAGGACCCACGCGTCCTTTGATTTAAATTGTCTGTATATCTATCATCCCATCTATAATATTTCGCCTTTCATATTTATTACTCATTTCATATTTATTACTCATTTCAATAGCCCATGTTCTTTATATCACACTTTTATCTCTTAGGATGTTTAGCATATTTAGCCTGTATATATTGTATATACTTAGTATTTTTATTATTTTTATTCTGCATTGTACTTACTTCTTCTTATATTTAATTTTATTTTGTATTTTCTTTTTGCTGCTGTAACAAGAGAATTTCCCAGTTTGGGATCAATAAAGTATATCTATTTATCTATCTTTATAAAAAAATATATATTTATCTCCTCCAAGTTTAGCACTTCTTCCTCCTCTGTCTCTTCTCTGTTCACACTTTCTCTTCATTTCTGTCGAATAACACTTGCTGTCTCTCCCTCTTCTAGTCATGCTTGATACTTTTTTCTACAGCTCTTCACCTCGTGACCAAAAACTCTGCAATTCTCTGATGTTGTGGTTCATGACCTCGGTCAGGGTACTGTTCTTCACCTCTCTGCTCTTGTGATTCATAACCTTTGTCAAAACTTATACTTCCTCTATCTCCTTCTCTATTGAAATTCCTGCCTCTGCTGTTCTCTGCACTTTACTATGGTTACTTCTTTAAGTTCCAATAAGGTATAATATCAATCAGTTGGCTCAAATGTTTAACAGGGATGCCAGCTGAGGTCAGGAAACCTCTTCTTCTCCAGCAACACGTCTACATGTACAACTTACACTTCGTAGACTGTAACAGTTTAGTCGCAGTTTTGTCTTTTGATAGCTACATGCTTCTGCATAGGGAGGGATTCTTTGGCTGCTGTGACTCTGGAGGAGTCAAGGGCGTAACTGGCCTCTGATGAATCATTTTATCATTTGTGCAGAGAACAGAGACTGTACAGAAAATTTAACTTGATAAAAATTTGCATATTACTTCTATTACACTCTATAGCCACAAATAATGCCTAGAACAGCACCTAACTTCATCAAAGGTACATATAGGGTCCCAGCCACAGCACTAGCCACCAAACATCTTTTTAACTTTGCCTAATTTCTTCAGCAAAGAGACTAAACAGAACTCACCTACTCTCTTCCAGCAGACGCTTGTTTATAGTGAGACCTTGGACAAGTCCATCACCGACTGCAGCGGGGTGACGCAGCTCAAGGAAGAACATTTATGATCGTTTCTTCATGGAAATGCAATCAGACCGAGACGCTAAGGCAGAAGAACTACCACATCTGCAGTGTAAAATGACTAATATTGTGATTATCACTTCAAGGAAATGATAAAAACTGATCATAAATGTTCTTCCTTGAGCTGTGTCACCCCGCACCAGTCTTTAATGGACTGGCCTGATGTCTCGCTTCAAAGAAGCAGCTGCTGGAAGAGAGTAGGTGAGTTGTGTTTAGTCTCTCTGCTGAATTAGGCAAAGTTAAAAAGATGTTTGGTGGCTAGTGCTGTGGCTGGGACCCTATATGTACGGTTGATGAAGTTCTGAGCATTATTCGTGGCTATAGTGTGGTGTTTTGGTTGAGGTTTGTTAATGGCTCCTCAGGCTGCTGTGTATTGCTATCCTGCGGTCATTACTAAAGTTGGTATAACTAGAGAAGCAAGCAGTGAGCAACATTCATCTCTTAGAGGGGTGTCTAACTTGGTGTTACAGTGTGTTTAACCCAAATTAATTTTACGCCGGAATATCCCTTTAAATGTAAAAGTGTGAATTCCCCAGTGCAGATAATTTCTAAACTATCTTACATCTATGAATACCCACCAACACTCCTTATCATGAACATGCTTCTCTGTTTACTTTGTGTTATGGAATAAATCCGAGTATATGACAGGGAGAGATGGAAATCTCTTTTCCACGCAGGAGACCCCGGGGAACTTCCTGTATTTTCGTAACCCGGATGAGAAGCTGTTGATAACAGGAGTGTGTGGGTGCCAGCAGGGATGGTGACATTAGCGACAACTCAGAGGAAGAGGAAGTCAATCAGCAAAGCGAGAGGGAGGAAGACAATAGCTTTGTGGCATGAGAGGAAAGCCAAGCGTGGATAGTGGATGTAAACACACACAGACACACAGGTATCTCTCTTTGCAGGCTGGAGGGAATAAAGAACTGTGGGCACACATGTATGCATGCGTGCTTTATGAGCGTGTGTATGTGCATTTGCATTTCTGTGTGTAGGAGTGTGGGATCACGCAGTAGTCTGTTTCGCACCTGGCTGGACCAGTAGTGAGTCAGCAGTGGTAAGTGGTGAGCTGTATTAGTGCTGGACGATAATTCGATAACAATATATATCGATCGATAGACGTGTGGAGCGATAGAAAAAAAACGGGTCGATAAAAAGTTCGATAGAAAAACACAGTTTCCCTTTCTTTTTCATCATAGCCTATCATGTAGCTTTTACTACAGTCATTACTTCCTCCCAACCAATCACAAACGCAGACCCAGGTACGCTACGGCACCAAGCCCAGCCCCTATCAAACCACAACAGACAGCACGTGTATTAGAAATAATGTAACAGCAAGGAGAAGCGGAGGAAATTGTCCCGAAAAAAGGTTTCAGTAGCTCACCAACATGGCAATGTTTTGGTTTTTAGAAGTCTGACAAAAAGCAAACAGCGGTCGTTTGCAAAATTTGCAGAGAATTAGTAAAAACCAAGTCCGGTAACACAACCAACTTGTTTTACCATCTAAACCGGTCGCACCCGCAGGATTACGAGCTGTGTCGGCCGCGCCGCGGCTCCACGTCGTCGTCGGAGGAATCCTCTGGAACCGCTGTTGGCACCAGCACAAAGCAAGTGAAGCAGACCAAACTGGACTTCGTTTCTTGCCAAAATACGACAAAGCGTCCAAGCGGCATAAGGACATCACCCATGCAGTAACATGCTCCATAGCGAGGGACATACTGCCAATAACTACCGTTGAAAAGCCTGAAAAGCCTCGACCAGCTTCTAGCCACTCTCGACCCGCGATATGAAGTGCCCGGCCGCAAGTATTTCTCAAACACAGCGCTTCAGGCATGAAAATGGGTCAGGGGTTGAAAAGGTGAGAAGGGTGCGGAGGAAATACGCTCCGGTGTAGCTTCTTAAAGTGGAAGAAAATGAGCTCATATTTTACAAAGACGCGAGTATTTGGATCATGGCTACTAGCAGGGGGGGCATTCGGCAGGGGTGCATTCTACGACACAACACCGGCGTGGATAAGTCCTGCTTCTCGTGCTTAGTTTGTTTATTAAGTCAATCACATGATATTTAAAAAAAATAAATCTCCCGACCCCAGGAGAAATATTTCAGTGTTCAGACACCAGGCTGTGGGCAGTTTCCCACACAGTTAAAACTGGTAGTATGCTATTCCCACCTAAAGCTATTCTGTTTATTTATATATTTGTTTGTTTTGTTTATTTTCATCAAAAGACTATTTAAATATTTATTTATCAGATTTTCTGGTCACTTTAGTCTTTATGTTTGTCAGTATTTACTGACGTCACTCAGGCCACTTAAGTTGATTTTTTTTTTTTAAGTTCTTTTTTAAAAAAACTTTCAGTTGTGGTAAAAAAAAAAAAGGTGGTTGAATAAAGGTTTGAATTTGAATTCAGTGCTTGTGTGTTCTTTATTAAAAGTAGGTCATTAAGCAATAGCATAAAACATCCAGGGCTGCAATTAAAATATATGTTAAATAATTATAATAATTATATCGATAATTATCGATATCGATCAATATGATTTATTTTTTATCGATATGCTTTTTTTCTATATCGTCCAGGCCTAAGCTGTATTCCCTGTCACACAGCTAAAAGTTGTGTTAACCTTTAAGACAAAAGGCTGTGACGTGTGTGGGCTTCTGCTAATCCTGTGAGGGAAGCCAACTGAATGTCATGTATTCTTCTAGCAGCCATCAAAATCTGATTGAAAGTGTGTGGTCCACGTTTCTCAGGAAACAGCAAGTGGAACTCAACTGTGAGGGCATTTGGTCTTTGGTCCTCTGCTTGCTTTTTTTCCTCATATTTACCTTGACCTCAGCTCATATTGAGAGACCCCCAGCACACTGTACTTCCTAAATAGTCTGCCATTTTTATCTACTTTTGTTTGTCTTCAGAATTTAACTTGACAAGACTAATTCTACATTTACATCCAATACCACAGCTAAGTCTCCCGTGAATAATAGTTAGAATAACAATAATCATAACGGTTTTCAGTTTTCTTCTGGACATTTGCAGCAGCAGCAGGCTCGGCAAGTTGACTCTGACATCCTTCTCTCCAGGAATGTCCTCCAAGACCAAATATGTAAAAGCTCTGTGTCCACCCGCAGTCTTTTTATAGTCGTACATGCCTGGAAAATCTCCAAACCAGGGCGATGAAGAGTTCGATTTATCATAGGCCCAAACCACCTCAATTTTGTGCCTTTAATGTGACAGCATAGTGCACCACTCTGGGTTTTCTGAATTAGGGTTGTCTCAGTTTCAGAATTTTCTTTTCTTGTTATTAATTATGAAAACATCATAAATAAGATTATTTGAGAGAAAAATGCATAACTCAAACAAAATATCCTCTGTATCAGTGTGTGTCACTGTGTGCGTCTGCAGAGGGTGTGGCTCTCTCTCTGTATTGTCTAATCTTCTCACAAATGTGGTCATTTTATGAGCATCAGTCATTACATCAGTACGGCAGTGTTGAGCTCTGAAATCACAGAGTCTTTGTGCTGTCTGCAAAATACCTATATGCAGTATGTTTTATTTTAGATGCTTAAGGACTTAACAAAACTGCAATATTGGCCAACCTGTAAATTAGGAGATTTGATGGTAGTGGCTGCAGCAGTGAATCAGAAGCAAAGAAACACACGAGCTGCGTTTACATGGGCACAAATAATTGGAATATATGCCCGATAGGATATGCGTCATGTAAACGTGTCAATCAGAAGATTCTGATTCAATTCGGCTCAATTGGAAAGAAATTGTATTCTGATCAAGAGGGGTGATTTATGCCGATCGTTATTCCGAAACGTGTCCATGTAAACACTTATTCCTATTGTGACTCTCTTACCTTTGGCTTTAGCCTTTTGCTCATTTATTGAGGCCATTTCATAAAGTTCATATAAACAGTGGATTCAGATTATCTGATCACTCAGTGTTTTAATCGAATAAAGAAATTTTGCACATGTAAACATGGCTATTGACAAATGCAAGTTCAGTTACAACCAAACCAAATCCAGCACAGTCCTGCACTTTTGTGTGGAAGTGTAGTTCTTTAAGGCGTTAACCAATCAGAAAATACCTTTTTGTTTTTTCCGATATCAAAGTATCAAAATTTATTACAGCCTCACTCTGGATGTCTGGGTCCGAAACTTATTTTTATGCTAATCAAATTATTACTGATGCTGCACCAACATGTCTGTCAATCTTATAATTCAATGTACCTTCACTCATGAGTAGGGCCGCCAGTTACTTGAACTCTGTAGCTTGAGGCAGAAAGTCAGTCCCACTTAGTCATTCATTGTTTTTAGCAGACTTGCGGGTGCTGAATTTCATCCCATAAACTGTCAACTTGCACCAAGAGAATGGAATCACATCAGTCCCAAAAAGGCGAGACATAGTTGTGAGGTTCCCAAATCAAACACTCTCCTTCCCTGGATTCATCTCAAAACACCACTGTGAATCTCTGACAAGGTGGACAGGCTTGAAGGCTAAAACAGAGTCTGGCTTGTAGCAGTGGCTCTGAAACTAGACTTTTAAAAGAGGACATAACCAAGTTCTTCAAGTCTTGACAGCACCAAGTGGACGTGTGGATGAGTGAACTCCACATTGTCCTTTTAGCAACCCTGCAAGGGTAAAGAGGCGATCCTCTGTTTAAAGGCTATAAAAGAATTAAGATCACTCCCCCTGTTTTAGCACGAGAGGTAATCCTCCAAAATCCTTATCTGCATTGAAATGTAGTTCACTTTGGGAAGTATTTAAGTATTTGATCATTCTTGTTTCTGCTTAGTGTGAGGATGTTTTATGTTTTTTGAGGGCAACTCCAACTTTAGTTAGTCCAGGCTCGCATATTAAGTCATAGGTCAAACTTGAAGAAATAATAACCAGCACACAAAATAAGACATCTTGATCCAGATTTAGTCATTTTTGGGATCTGGATTTGAGTTCTGGCCTCACCAGAAGCCCCTAAATATTGGCTGTCACATCTGTGTGCCAAACTATCAGATGACAGATTCAGACCATTCAAACAGTCATACAAGCATCTAAATATGAGTACACAGAAATGCGTAAACTAATGTGTTAAGGATGAAGACAAACACCAACCCGGTCCATCACATTGGCTTCTTTGAGCTGCTTAACAAAGCAATTCTGTTATAAAGTAAAGTTGTCCATAAAAGCACAAAGTTAGCTCAAATTTATCTGTACTTTTAACATCTCTCCTAACTTCTTTTTAATTTCTCTGTTAATTATTTTCCTCGAGTCACCATGTATAGGAGATAAGCCCGACAGTGTAAAAAATCTGGATTTCCTCACAGATTTTGATTATGTGTTTAAATATCTATTGCCCCTCAGTTCACTGTCTGGCCAGCAGCCACTACAAAGCAGGAAGACGATGAAAGCATGAACCAGATCACTGGGGTTACAGTTTGTAGTGGCCACATTTCTTTGTCTCATTAACCTTGTCAGAGCGTATTTCACAGTGTATATTTGGAAGAGAGAGAAAAAGTTTTAAGAGTTCTGTTGCAGGGATGCATCTATTTAAAATAAGTCAAACATGGGGGAAACGGGGACAGGTCAACAGGCTGTCTGTGTTGGAGGTCAGTGCGAAACTAGTGTCCTCAGTTATCCAACCCTGCAAAGTTTCTGTACAGAGAAAGGAGATGTAAAAGCTGCTCATAAGTGTTCAAGACATAGCAGCACAGAAAAAATAGAGTTAATCAGCTGTTTGATAAGATTTGCTCCGAAACATTTCTAAGAGTATGCAAGATGATCTTTCAGCTCCAGAACTTCTTGAGTGAGTCACCTTATACATTTACAACTTTAACATTGATCCAATATGATGCAAAGCCGGAAGGATACGTAGCAGCACAATGTGGAGTGATTCAGAGTTGTGATCGCTGGGGCCAAAATGTCACAAGTTCTTTTCCTGGAAGAACAAAGGCTGCAGTGTGACTTGTGCTTTCCTGTGACGTCACCTGAGCTGGATGTTCAACGCTGGCAACAGCAGTAACTCCACACCTGAATAAGCAGCCTCTCACTCCCGCAGTGAACATGACAGCTGCTTTCTCTTTTTTTCTTTTTTCTCCTTCTTTTCATTTAGACGTATCGTTTCAGTCGAGTCAGCGGGGAGGAAGTGATAAAGTTGCTGTAAGATGACTACATCAAAAGCTTTCTAACCTGCTCCAACAGACTGCGTGAGTGATGCATAAAAGACGAGCCGGGGTTAGAGAAAATGATCTGAAGTAAGAGGTGGGTGACAGATGAGCTTGATGTCTTGTTCAGTAGTGAGTAATCAGCAAAAAAGTGAAGTCTGAAAACTCACAGTTGAGTGAATGATGGTCACCTCTGCTTTTTTCGAGGGGCTTCAATGGAAACCTTTGAAATGGTGGGATTCTGGTGGTAGTGGTTCACCAGCATTAGGAGAGCTATGAGGAACACTACAGGTACACTACAACAACTGTGGTCCCCATTCCTGAGAGCCCCTTAAAAGAAAAGCATCCCATTCTATAATAAACAAGGGGAGCAGCTGTCTCATTAGTTTCATTAAATGTTGGTTAATTCGTACAACCCACTGAGCAATAGACGGCTATTAGACATCTATTTTTTTTTTTTTTTAGACCTAATTTCAACCGTCTAGATTCTTTGGAATTTAGACGTTGCACTTTAACTCATTATTCTATAACTATTTATTTCAAAAAGCAACTATGAGTTGCATAACTGATCTCCAAGTACCAAAATAATTATGATAGCCATTGAGCGATATACAGTGTAGTATAGATATAGTCCAGATTTAGACTTGGTCTAAACCTGGTCTAAATTTAGATGTCTAAAAAACTTTCATTTTTAGACCTGTGGTAGCCTGATTTTAGACCCGTCGTCTGGGCTACATCTAGACGTCTATTAGACCTCTTTTAGACCAAAAAATGCTCAGTGGGAAGGTATAACAAAACAGTGATACTTAGTTTCTGGAGTTAAATACCCTCCCTCAAACAATTTACCTCCATTGTTTCTTAAATATGTCTTAAATCTCGTATCAGATTTAATGACAACCTTTGTGTGTGCACAGGTTTATTCTATCTCTAAGCAATCACAGAAATTTTGATTAGACAAGTAGTTATACTTAACCTAGCCTCTTTTTAAATCATTAATCTGACCAGATATTTACATTCAGCTAAGACAAAGAAGATTGCATCTCTATTCTTCTTCAAACAAATTAAAGAGCAACCAAAATAAAAGCATATGTATGAAATAATATTCAGTTAATACTGGTTTGTGCTCTTAAGGATAACTCTACTAATAAACAGGAGAAATTCTTATGTGGTGGGTGACCACACCCATGTAGTTTGGGACTGCCCTAAAATAAAGACTTTTTGGAAATGTGAGGAAGAGGAGATTTAGAAAATATTAGAAACAGACATCAACCCCAGACCCATTATTGTTCCTAGACACAAATTCAAAAGCTTAAACTTAAAGTTATTCTCTTTTTTTCATGTTTGTTGATGCTGTTATCTAAAAACAGTGGCCAAAAAAATGAAAAAGAAAGAAAGTTGACATTTTTTTAATTTAGTTTCTATTCAATTATATTAAAAAAAAGGTATTCTGGAAATTACAAGGCAAAGAATAAAAGTTATGACCAATTCATAAACTGTACAGATACTGGCCATATGTCAAAAAATTGCAAATTTTACTGAATCATAAACTCCAGAAGTAATCATAAGTGCAGCTCTTTTTTCTGATGATCTGAATCACCAAAATTAACCATAACTCCTACACAGACTTTTTTAATAACTGAAAGAATGGTGATGACAGATGGTAATGAGGATATAATGCTCCAAAGTAACTGAGGGTGTGTCCACACTGTCCATTAAGTGAATAATGAAAATGTGCCTGACCTGTGGGCGTGGAGACAAAGATGTTTTACAAAGATAGTGAAGTCCAGATGAGCAGGAGGCACTGAAACACCCAGAGTCACCTACTGAACTTCACATGCTGTCCATAGTTCCCAGCTACACCCATCATGTGCACGCCAAAGACAATCAGTCCTGAGCTGCTGCCATCGTGGCTGCTCATTCATGGGGTGAGAAAAGGTCCCCGCTTTGCTTGGCTTGAGGTAAGCGGCAGCATCATAAATTCAATTTTGAAATAACAGAATTCAGGATATCCTGTGGTTAACCACTGAGGCACAGATATCCGATTGTCTAACCAAAACTGAACCAACGCCTGTGCTCCTGTCTGCTCTGATAGATGAAATATAGATGTTTGAGGAGGTTTTATGAAAACATGATGACTCCAGATGCCCCTTGCCATGAGGAAATCACTCACTTGATTTGATGAGTTCATTCACTTACTGAACTGAACGACATGAGCAGTTGATTTTTTTACCACGTGGAAGACAAAATATTTCTACTTCACAAAAAATACTGACACCATTAGTTTTATAACTCATGTCAAAACATCGTAAGTACATTAGAAGTGATTCATAAGCAGGTATGTGCCTGTATTTGTAGGGTTGGTGGTGATATGAGGTGAAACTTAAGCCCCAACCACACAATGAAGACATCCTTAGAGATGGTCTGTGTTTACCGCCGGGTCGTCAGGGAGTCCCCCACAGTCAAGCAATAAGGAAGGGGATTATTTGCTTTGGCTGTGGAAAAGGCTCTAATCAGATCACTGTGACTTGTGAACGCACTATTTGTCGTCATTGCCACCCAACTCTCCGTCCCTGCGTTGTTTCTGTTCACCTTTCACCTCCTCTCTTCTTCCTGTCATGTTTTTGAAAGAGTTTGTCAGGGTGTGAAACATCCGAGTGAACCATTCACAACCCCGAATTCATCAAACAACAACAAAACCCACATCTGCTTGATGAGACAGGTTTCTATTGACCTTATATAACGCACAACTCACTTTTCTTTACATGTCATTGTTTCAAATGATGAACTATTTTAATAACATCAGTTGCATTATTCAGAGTAACATGGCAAAAGAAGTTTAAGATAACTTGGAGGACTGAATCTTTAATCTTGAATCTTTTTCAGTGTTTACTTTTTGACTTTTCCTCCTCCATTGTCTTTCCTTCTGTCCACCACAAGAGAAGAAAAGAGGGCGAGATGAGGTAAATCGCTAAGGTCAGGGAGGAATTGTCATGTCTAATTGCAACACTGTCTGACTTATCTGATCCTGCCAGGCTGCTATTGTAATGAAACACCAACGCAGACGAGCCAGGCAAGGTGAAGATTACACAGCATGAGCCATTCATGGCACAATCCTTTCCTTCATCGCTGTGGGTTTTCCACACTCTCAGGCCAGGAAGTGTTCGACATGGGGCATGTGAGGGCTGGATGTGGGCCGGGGGGACGGCAGAACTGCGGAGGTAACCGCTCTGATAAGTGATGTATCTCTGCTCTGCTTTGTGCATTGTGCTTCAACATGACAACCCCATTGTGAGGACACACTGTGGAGCAAAGACACACCAGAGGAGGATTATTTTGTAGGAGGGAAAGGTCAGGTTCCAGCCTGCCGATGCTTCGGTGTGTCAGGAGGATTTTGCAGGTGTGGATTTCACACCTTTTCAAATAACTATTATTAATGTCGACAGCTTGTCTTTCTTATTGTTACCTTTGGGAGACATACCCTGTGTAATCATCTTAAAGCACGGACTACAATGCCTTCCTTTTGGGTGCAGTATTAAACTCGATGAAGATATTTTAACAACTGGAAAAACTGCTTATTTCTACTTTACAATTTCCAGCAAATTAAACGGGTGATAGTGGAAAAATAACTTCTGCCGCATTTCCAAATCCTGGAAAACAAACCAGCTGTTTTAATTCAAAACTGCATTAAAATTAATCTCAAAATACCCCCCAAAAGTGAGCTGGTTAAGGAACAATTTTAGATCCTTTATATCCAAATGTCCTCAAGATTTGTTGGTTTGGAGCAGATGTCTGATGCATTTTTTGGGTTCCAGTCAGATTAAAGAAAGAAGTTAGTGGTTGAATTTAATGGAGAGTTACAGGAATGGTTTGAGTTTTGGTTTGGACCGACCGATGTGTATCACTTATGTCTATTACACTGAGGTTTGTCTACAGACACAACAAAGTTACATGGCTGCTGTTCACTTTCTGTCAAAACGATCCTTTTAATAGCATGTTAAATAGTAATCTTAAGAAATCAGCCGTTCACTGATTTATGCGCCCTAGTCGACACTTGGCTGTATTTCTTAAATTCACATCAGCTGTTGTGCTCCTTTTCTTTGCTAGTATCAGGCAGGAAAGCATCTCGAGTATGGTCCCTCACAGTCTTTAGGAAGATCATGATGCCGGAGCCCCCGGTGCCCCTCTCCTCTAAAGCTGTGGGTGCTCTGCTGATCATCTCCCCTTCAGAGGTCTGGTTCTTGTCGCGGAGTTGTCGCGCGCGGGCGGCAGGTACAGTGATGAAGCGGCTGACCACGTTGATGTGGTAGTTGCGTAAAGCCAGCAGTTTGGCGACACAGTGCTGAAAGGCCTGGTTGAGTGGCTCGTTGTCCTGCTGCTGCACGAAACTCTTCAGGGAAGGCTGCAGAGAGATGTCCTGGATCAGCTGCTTGTGAGCAGGTGGCATGTAGTTCCTCATGCGGGTCAGAAAGGCACCTGCATAAGGGCAGTATCATCACAATAGGACACACTCTTCACACCGTGTTACTTTTTTTTAATATGAAAAAGTAGAAAAAATAAAGTGGAAGTGGGAAAATCAGCCAACCTACCACTTTTTTCCTCATGTTTGATTCCCAGAAGTTCATCAAAGCAGTGCAGCAGACTGCTCTGTGCAGCACTCCCACCTGAATACTCCATTGGTTCTGTGTTTACACCTTCATAAACCAGCCCCTTTGGCATACTGGGGTTGTCTTTCCATCTATTCATATGAGCATGGATGAAAATCAGCACACATTTCAGAAATGGTTTGTAATCTGGAAATAAGAATTGAAATGTAAAATTAAAAACAAATGGGATTTCTTTACCCTGACAGGTAGATCCTCATGATGCCATAGAAGACCGAAGGCTCCACATATACTTAAGATAAATAAGGTTAATAAAAAGTCTTATTTAGGATTACTATCAGTGCTGTTAAGTGATCTTTGATTGATTACCATGCATCAGTTTGAGTGTGTCTGTCATGTCTTGTAAAGACTGGCTGATGGTCTCCAGAGCTCTGGCCACAGCTTCAGAGTCAGCACACCTGACTCCACTGATCACTACAGGAATATTCTGCAACAAAAGTCCATTTAGTAACGGCTTTGTACATAAATTCAAGAGTTAAATCTAAACTTTAAGGTAACTTTTATGTCAGGGAATAGTGAATTTGGATAAATGTATTCGCTCACCCTCAGTGCGGGGACTGCAGCGAGCTCCACCAGCATTGTAACCAAAAAGAAACCTTGCACACTGTCTCCACCAGGGAGGCTGAGGAGCAGCTCCAGGTTCCTGCATCATACAATCACGAAATTACCTTTTCTAATATCAGAGCATCATTGCACATTATGAGTAAAAAAATTAATAAAAAAGGACTTACTCCATATCAAAGGGACTGGCACAGGACACAAAAGATGAGCATGTAAAGAAAGTAAACACATTAAAACAAGACAATAGTTTAGGAGGCGGCATTCAGAAATCAAGAAATCAACCAGGCCTACCCCTCTGGATCTTTCTTTTTCCAGTTTGCCAAAGCTGCATCTGCATGGGTGAGAATTGGAGGGAGTCCAAGGCGCTGTGACACCTCCCAGAATGGGACAGCCAGGCTCTTTGGGAGAATCTTAAGGGAAGGTTGTTGCAGATGAAGCATCATTAACATAAGACTTACATTGTAGAGAAACTGACAGCTGTCAAGGAGATAAGGAAAGCAATAAACAGTATGAAGGAAAGAAGAACTTAAAGACACAAAGATACCTCAATTGTGTCACTCTCTCCCCCCTGCCACACATAGCCCATTGCCATCGTACTGAGAGCCAGGTGGGCGAGACGTAACTCTTTGTGTTTCTGCAGAAACTGGCTGCTCAGCAGGGGCATCTGCACAGACAGGGTATCAACACTGAACCATGACTCCATAAAAATATATGTACAACTGTCCACCTCTGTTTATTGTTCCCATGTACCTTGTTAATGAGGGTGCGTAACTCTTGAGAGTGCACCAGCTCTGGGACTCTGAGGGCAATATCCATCCATGGCTGGTAGTAAAGCGGCAGTTTTTCCTTTAAAGAGAGCGGGCATTAAAAGAAAGTGTCAGTCACCACAAACAATGTAAACTGGACAGATTTGAGGATCAAATGCTGCAACTCTTTCATTGAGAATCCAGAGGCCTACCGTCTAAATTTAAGTGGTATTTGTAAAGTGACCTTGAGCTTGTCACAAAGGTTTCAAAATGATGGGATTCTGCAAACAGGCTGCAGTGAGAATTTAGTTAATCGCTCAATGCATACAGGAAAAACGACACGTATCAACATCTCTTAATCAATCCTTTCAATCAATCATCTTAATCAATCCTTCCAGCCACAAGGTTCATGGTTTTATAACTGCTTCAGTCACAGAAACAATCGCTGTCTCTCAAAACCTAGTTTATTTTCATTTAACCTCTGTGTTAACTTCACGAGGCATATTTTCTCTTGATTTGACTTAACTCTCAGAAACGTAGGATTCCTGACAATCACATATTTCAGTGTGGCTTCCTACAAGGTAAAATATAAAAGCAGTTCAAAGAGAGGAATGAAAAACGATCCATTGGGGTTTTCCACCTACCAGAGGATCAGGGAGGATGAAGCCGAGTTCCTCAGAGACATGGTATGAGTCCAGAGAGAAAAGAGATTTGGAGCTTGTCTCAGCTGCAGCCATAGAGAAAGAAAGAGAAATCCACAGACAGCAACAATCACCAGACTATCTGAATGGTTCAAGAGACCCTGACCTGTCTGGACTCTGATCGTAGGTGCACAGAGTTCACTTTAAAACTGCTGTCAACAATAGACATTGCTTACACAACATTTAACTCGAGTTTGCTGTTGCACAATTTCAAGTAGAGTATGCTCTCTAAAAAAATGTTGGGTTAACCCAGCGTTGGTTTGCTCCAATAGTTACCCAGCCTGTTTTACAGTGTGGTTAATGACTAAGCTTTAATTTGTGAATCATTTAGTATGAAGACATATGCAGTCTCAATGATCACACTTCCTAAAAATTAAGGACATGATCCTCTCCACCTTATATCCAGTTATACCTGCTCTTGACCAGTTCCTGTCTAATGATGCTTCTGTGTAGATATATTTTTTTACTTTGCCATTCAGTAGAAGTATTAATCGAATGTACATGATGAAACTTTTATGGCAGATGAGATAAATTTAAGGCCTGAAGTTGACAACCAGCACCTTTTGTGTGACTGCTTTCTGTTTCAGGTATGTAAGAGTGTGTTTTCCACCTATAAACTGCATTTATAAAAACAGAATTACAACCATTCAAAGAACTTAATCAATTTTACATTGATTTTATACCCGGAAAATACAGTCCACTGCTTTGCATGTAAACAGAGCTGAAGACTATCCAGCTCTGTATAAAGTGCATTTGTGTCCAAAAACGTGAGAGAGGGTTATTACAGGTCACCACCACATCTTGTCCTATGCCTTTAACTATTAATATATTAACACCAGCTTTAGATTTTGGTTTTGATATACCCTCTTTTTATGTATTCAAAAATTTTAAGCTGTTTAATATTTTTGATTAATACTAAATTTAGCTCATGGAAGCATGTTTCACTTTTTCTACCTTCTTGAAATCACAGCTTTTGCAGATTTCTTTGTATTATAAGCCTATTACTTTTCATGATATTCGTAATGTGTTTCAAATGATTTGAGGACTGAAGTTTCCACTTTATAAAGCACTTTGTTCTACACTTGTTCCCTCTTAATATCGGCCCATACTGTGGCTCAGAAGTTAAACGTGAACTCATGAAATGTTGGCTGTCAGCCTCACCTGGTGGAGCAGACTGAACATTGCAGCTACAACTGAATAGTCCATAAATGTGGATAGAAGAGAGGGGTGAATCAGTTCCACTTAGTCCTCCTGAATTCACCAGAAGTACACTCAAATATGCGACCTGATATCATTTCAATAAGCTAACATCCTGCGTTGTCATACTTCTCCAGTATTTATGTGAGACAAAAACCTGAAAAAGGATAATAGCCGTAATGAATCAGCATAGAAAGTTGAAAAAATCCTTTAAAAGATGATTGTTTAAATGTGGAGTGTAATTCGATGTTCTTTTCATCAAGTCAAGAGGAACAAACACTGAGCTGCATTGTCTCACTATGGGCAGAGTTGAGTTGCTTGATCAAACTGCATTGGTAAAACACTCCACTCTACAGCCAAAAACCTTCACTCTGGTAAACCATGGCTGTCAGTACCTGTGAGTGGTGATTTACATTTTATTTGTAATAGACCAAACAAGTGATTGCATTACCTCAAAAACTAATCAGACTGCAAATAAAAGCCTTTCCTGCTTGGCTAGTGACTTTTAAGTATGCTCAAGGGTTATCTTATGCATACAACATAGAGTTAGATTGATTAAAAACATCTTTACAACATGAAAAGCAAAAGTATTATTACTGGAACTGATCAATAATGGAAGGTATGGTCAGGATTAGCCAGGTTATCTTAAATGTGGGGTTAAATCTAGCCAATCACTTTGAATGTGCGAGAAAATATATGGATTGTAGAGAAAGATTGTACAGCATTGGGACGCCAGAAAGTCTCGTTCCTCATATTCGGATATTTAAAGCTCCTAGTGAAGGACTCTCAGTTTATGTCCATGAAGAATCTCTGACTTTACACAGTCAAATATATATAGGCTAAGTCATTGTGAGTATTTTGTGCACAGACTTGTATAGGGCTGTTTCTTCAGCTGACTGGCTGACACCTACCCCCTGCTCTGATTTCAGTCATTCTAATTATCATGTAAAAATCATCAATCTTGTTGCTGATGGTCTTTTTGCTTTCGAATATAAGGCAAAGGCATCAATATGAATTCCAATTTATTTCACTGATGTAAAAAAAAAAACTCCTCATAGTGACTTTAACTCAAGTCATTAATAAATTAACATTTGTGTAGCTCATATTTAATCAAACTATTACGGAGGAATAAACCCTAGATAAGTCCTCAGAGATATTACACATGGAGAAATATAACTTCTTTGGACAGGCAGCGCTACAATCTGGGGTACAAATCAAGACAGAGAGGGGCTTTCAAAGATTGGATACTTCATAAGAAATGTAAGATTTTTAGACTCAACTTGAGATGAGAACTCCAGATATTGCAGCCCGGTGTAAGTTCAATCAATCAATCAAACTTTATTTTTAAAGCACTTTTCATACATGTAATGTAGCACAAAGTGCTGTCCATTCAAGCAGGATATAAAAAACAATGAAATAAAATAAATAAAAAATACAAGTACCAGACCCCACCCACCCTCCCAACCCCCATTCAACACATACACACAGATTCATATGCTAAAGGCCAAATGAGGAAACACTGGATCTAGGACTAAAATGATAAAACCATGATAAAAATATAATAAGGTGATCAAGTGTTAAAAGTTAATAAATAAAACAGTCTTGAAATCTAACAATAAAAGAAAGTAAATCAAAAAAAGAGGTAATAAAACGCTGAATAGTTACTCTAGGACTAAATTAGGGTAAAATCACATAATGCAGATTAAAACAAAATTCAACTAAAAGCCAGACTAAAAATCTAGGTCTTTAGTTTACTTTTAAGTTCACCATATTTATCCAGAATAAATCAAAAAATCAAACTTGGTGTTTATACATGTACAATTTTGAATAATAAATCAACTTTCATTCATTTTTCACATCCATTTATTGACTTCCTTTGTACATACAGAGTCAGTTAGTGATAAAATTAGATTTTTAGCTGTGACACACTGAAGGCACTCATCCAGAATTATGAAAAATGTATCAAAAGAGAGAAAGCAGAGTTATTTCAGTTCTGTGAAACAGCTGAGAGCTTATGTAAAAACTCTACAGCCATGATGACTCATGCATCCTTTTTGCATCATTGCTGCTGGATGATCCAAGCAAACACCCAGATTTGACTGTTTATTGTTGTCATGCATTAACCCAACATGTGAGCATATATAGGCTTTACACTAAACCTTCTTAAATTAGTCATTGGATTAGCAGACTGTGCACACCTTATCTAACCTAACCTGGATTAGATGTTTGATGCATTGACCACATTTACCACTCAAATATACTATAAACTGAGTAAAGTAGACTTCAATCTGAATTGTTCTGTTTAGGAAGCATGAGCAGGACTGTAGCCAGCAAGTCCAGGCTGGAATGAGATTTGTGCGACTTAAAAGTGGATCAGTGTTTTGTAATGAATGGGTTTTTTTCCTTGGAGCGCCTGCCTATTATTAGCTACGGAGGCCTTACAGTAAGTGGAGGTGGTTCCATGACGGTCGGAGCTGCAGCTCTGCAGCGCGCAGACAGACCTCAGATCAGCGACCGCGTTTTTGGCAATGCAATCGGAAAAATCGCACTGATCCAAGAAGGGGGGAGACGTTTCCTCAAAAACATCTGCGGTCTACGGCCGGCTTTTTCCACGCCTGGTTTACCTTGCCTTGAAGATGAAGTTAAATACGAGCTGCCGTCAGGTGCCAGCCGCATCCGATGGAGCCCTGCTTTCCGTCTCGATCATCGACCAACCCCATGCAGCACTTCCTTATGTTGCGGTAAGACTACGGTTATCACTCTGAAGGGATTGAATTGCATTTTATTTCCAATCCAGTGTTTTTGCTGTTAAACACAGCGGCACATAAACAGGCTCAGGAGTCAGTGACGGAGGGTTACATAACGTGTAATGCAGCAGAGCCTCATGACTAGTGTCTCGGTGGAGGAGGGACTGTTCGGTCCTTCTGGTAGGAAATTTACAATTTTATCATGATTGTTTCGGGTTATAACTCAGGATGCATGCTCGTTCTCCTGTTATTTATCATGAGGGATAGTCTTGCGGCGTTGTGTGGGTTTATTTATAACATTTGACCGTATTAACGCGATGAATGAAGTGGGGAGTTGCGCAGTGTAGACTGTAACAGGAAAGGACATGTGAATGAGTAATATTAGAGGCGTTGTAGCTCTATAGTGTCATACAGGCCCGGCTTAAGGTCAGACTGCCACATGCTTTTGTGTCTAAACCGAGGTGAGACCGAGCCTATAGGAATGCAGATCGTGCAGTCAATGAAAGGCTGATTTTATGAATGACAAGTGACCGTGGAAAAAAAGAGAAATCATAGTAACCCTTCATAGTAATCTCTGGGGCACTGTGCAAAAAAAGCATGCATCCAAAAAGCATGCATCTAATACTTCCCACTGAATGATGTTTTATCATCTAGAGCTTCAGAATCAATAGTGTGGTTGTAATTTAGGTCAAGCTGAGGTGATGCTGTAGAAAGAGGGGCGGTTATCCTCTCAGAGCAGGTCCATGCAGTTCAAGCAGGTACAGGGCGTCTGACCTCATTCACAAAGAAGTGGCTCCATCTGAGTGAATAAATATCAATGTTGTCTCCGATCGAAGATTGCTATAGCAGTAACTCTTGAAAGAAGATGCTGGGATGAAACTCAAATAGTTAGGTGGTGTTTCAGCTGGTACGATATGAATCATTGGCTTACTGACAGCACCGGCACAGCTCAGGACCTATTATTCTCATTTTCACGTAATACTGCTGACGTTTTCACAGTAGGTAAAATAACTGATGGCTATGGCACACAAGGACACAAGCTACAGTTCCCTTGGAAACCAGTCTGGATTCCTCATTCACTAACTCCCATTTTTAGTAGACAAAAATAGTCTTTTTAAATCTATTTTCTCCTATTTAACAAGAGTAGGCGTATTTGTGAATGTCACATCTCTAGCTTTCATTTTTGTGAATTATGTTTGTGATACTTGGGAATTTTAGAGTTGCAGATGTTTAAAGGGATTGCAGTATCAAGCAGCTTTTTAACGTTACTATTTCTGAAATAAATGATTGTTTTATAACTTAATGTCCCGTACAATCTAATCAAATTCTTAAAATTGTCCCATTATTAACTCGTCATATCCCTGTAACGGACCAAGCCCTTTTTTGCTTGCTTGTCCCTTTAAATTCCCCCTATCCCAGGAGCAGGATAGGGAACTTGTGAATGGGTACAAGGAAGTCACGAGACTCTCCATTGATAGCTCTGCAGGCAGAGCGAGCGGTGCAGATGAGGAGTAGTCTCAGCGTCTCACATCCATTGAGATCGCTCTTCCTTTACCGCCCGAGATAGAGATTTCAGGTGCTGATGCAGCATCTCTCTCTGCCTCCTTTTCTATCGGCAGGTCCCAGCTGACAGATTCTGATATGGACTATGAGAGGCCAAACGTTGAAACTATCAAGTGTGTGGTGGTGGGAGACAATGCCGTTGGAAAGACCCGCCTTATCTGTGCTCGGGCCTGCAATGCCACACTGACTCAGTACCAGTTACTCGCTACTCATGTGCCCACAGTCTGGGCGATTGACCAGTATAGAGTGTGCCAGGAGGTGAGTATGCAAGCTTGCTGCTTTTTAGATTACCAGTTTTAAAAATGTAAGATATTTTTGACATGATTGAAATGTTTGAAGTGTGACTCACATGCAAATCTAGCTGCATAAGTAATAGTGTAGTATAAGTAATAGTTCTTATCTTATCTTATTAGGTGTTAGAGCGATCCAGGGATGTAGTGGATGATGTCAGTGTGTCCCTTCGCCTCTGGGATACTTTTGGAGACCATCATAAAGACAGACGTTTCGCATATGGCAGGTGGGACATTGTACGTTTCAGAATTAGTGAACCATCAGCTGCTCTTGTGCCCCCTGAGTTCAGAGAGTTTTCTTTTTTTCCCCCTTCAGGTCTGATGTGGTGGTTCTGTGCTTCTCAATAGCCAACCCTAACTCTCTCTACCATGTGAAGACCATGTGGTACCCCGAGATCAAGCACTTCTGCCCCCGTGCACCTGTCATCTTGGTGGGCTGTCAGCTGGACCTGCGCTATGCAGACCTGGAGGCAGTGAACAGGGCACGAAGACCTTTAGCGAGGTAGATGGACTCAAATTTCAATGCAAAGAGGTTTGATTTCCTGTGATGTTTTATTTTCTCGTACCAGGATCACCTTTGATATATTTCCTTGTTTTTTAGGCCAATTAAATCCAACGAGATTCTTCCTCCAGAACGAGGCCGAGAGGTGGCCAAAGAGTTGGGAGTGCCATATTATGAAACCAGTGTTGTGGCTCAGTTTGGAGTCAAGGACGTCTTTGATAATGCTATCAGGGCTGCGCTCATCTCACGCCGCCACCTGCAGTTTTGGAAATCTCACCTTAGAAATGTTCAGCGGCCTCTCCTTCAGGCGCCCTTCCTGCCACCGAAACCTCCTCCGCCCATAATCACTGTGCCTCCTCCCCCGACCACCACAGAGGAGCATCCAGTCGGTCTTCTGGAGGACCCACACTGTGCTGACGTCATCTTGGTCTTGCAGGAGCGGCAGAAAATATTTGCACACAAGATATACTTGGCGACATCCTCCTCAAAGTTTTATGACCTCTTTAGTATGGAAACACAAAACGAGGAGACTGAAAGGCCCCCTCGGGGTCCTCTCTCCGGCCGAGAGCTGCTGATGCGTGCTGCTAGCTTCGATGTTTGTGAAAGCAGTGACGATGGAGACAGGGCTAACCTTAGGGCTTGCACTAGTGACGGAACTTTGAAAGACTCTGAGGGGGGCCGACGGGGCAGACTGCTCTCCTCATGGAGCCGGGCTTTCGTCAGCATCCAGGAGGAGCTGGTGGATGACCCCGTTACATACAGCCCCAGGCCTATGACTGTAGTGCACATGGACCAGTCCATGCAGCTGGGCCCTTTCAGAGCAGTGCTGCGCTACCTGTACACAGGTCAGTTGGACGAGAACGAGAAGGAGCTAATGCACATTGCACACATTGCTGAGCTGCTGGAGGTCTTTGACCTTCGGATGATGGTGGCAAACATACTCAACAATGAAGCCTTCATGAACCAAGAAATCACCAAAGCCTTCCATGTTCGGCGCACAAACAGAGTGAAAGAGTGCTTGGCCAAAGGCACCTTTTCTGGTGAGAGGAAATCTTTTATCTATGTTTGTTCATGTGTGGGTGGATACAAGCGTAAGCGAGGAGTTGTACGAGTCCTACCTGTCTGTGTTGCAGATGTGATATTCAAGCTAGATGACGGGACCATCATGGCCCACAAGCCTTTACTCATCTCTAGCTGTGACTGGATGGCAGCTATGTTCGGTGGGCCTTTTGTGGAGAGCTGCACCAAGGAGGTAGGCTTAACAAACTTTTCTTCAACTATATGCCAGAGTGCGAAAATACACCATTAGCACTAAAGTACAGAACAAAGTCAGCAATGTGTAAAACATTTATTCCCCTTTGTTCATAATTTCCACTGGCATTCTTATCGCCTGTTGATTTATAAAGCAGTAACAATTAAACTTTAATTACTTTATAATCACAAAAAGCACGCCAGAGCAGCAAAGATCAATATATAAACTGACCTAGAACAATGAACCGTGTGGTCAGTGTGCGAGGCATAATTTAATTAGAGGATTGCAAAGCTGTTGTAATGCAATTACTTGTGCCTTTGTGATCTTAACGGGATGAACCTCTTTTAGGTCAGTATATTGCTTTTCTACCTTAACAAAAAAAAAAGGTATTTGAAAGTATAACAAACAATAGCGGCTCATTCCTGTAAGGCAATTTTAGATGCACTGCAACTTTATCGGCTTTAAAATGCACAGTTACCTTTTTTTGTTTCCATTGTTGCCGAAGCAAAAACAAAACAATCTGTTATTTTTTTCTTTTATTAGTTTTCATTTCAACGTAACAACCCATATAGAGGTGGATTTCTGGCTTGTCTGCTCTAAAGGAAAGCCTTTAATTAAAATGTTGAATGTGTCACATGTTCCTGTTTCTAAGGTGCTGTTTCCAAACACAACTCGCAGCTGTATGAGGGCTGTGCTAGAATATCTCTATACAGGCCGGTTTTGTTCTCGGCCTGACCTGGACGCGATGGAACTTATTGTTCTGGCCAATCGTCTTTGCCTCCCTCACCTGGTTGCACTTACAGGTATTATATGTGGTGTTTGTATTACCATTTAAGGATTGTATTACGCAGAGTCCTTGTGAGCGTTTATGAGTCGGTGTCTGGAATGACTTTCTTTTCTGTCTCTTTCAGAGCTCTACACAGTAACAGTGTTGACCGAAGCAGCAATGATGGGGGCCGACATTGATGGAGATGTGTTGGTGTACTTGGATATGGCCCAGGTATTGTGCCAGTCATCACTAAAGAGAGGTGGCATGAAAGGCTCTTACATAACGCTCGGGCAAATTGGATTTTTATTAATGAGGACATTTGTAAGGGAAAACTGCTCTGGAGGCTGAGATCATTTCATAACAGTTTATCTGCTGTTTTGACGATGAAATGAAAAATCCTTGAGGTCAGGGTCAGCTCTTGATGTGAAGTCAATGTCGGATTATGATCTGCTTCAGGTTCGATTCTTTTTTTTTTACTTCACCGTAGATCATTAGGACTGGATCACCAACTGCTACTATTGATTTTTTCTGACAACTTGATTATTTGCCTGATACTTTCCAACTTTCCTTTCTGCATCACTAAAACACCAAAAAAATGTAGTAATGAGTAAAAATGTGAGGATTCTTGCCTTACAGAAAGAAGAGTTTTATTGAGAAGCCATGTGTCCAAGTCAGAAATACTTTATTTTCAGGGGAGAAATTCAGGCATTGCAGCTCTTACACAGCGTAGAAATGATGAGAAACAGCTAATGAAGTAGAACTGACATAGAACTAATTCCAATATGGCAATCAGAACCTTAGGATAGCAAAATTAGCTACTAATAATTTTTTTCGTACGTGAATCAATAACAACCTCTGAGTCTTCTTAGTGGTGCTCCAGCTCAAATATTGAAGTGTTTTAATTTAACCATTTATTGCATTTTATATCATATTTGATACATACTTTTATATACTTCTGTCAAATTAATATGATCAACAAATTACAAAAAAAAAAAAAACCTGAATACAGTCAGATAAATGATAAAAAATGTCCTCTTGTAGTTTATCAGTTTACAAAAACATCTAATGTATCAAACAAGACAAATAAATATATTTGTTAAATTTTAAGGACATTTTGATTTAAGGACATTTTGATTTTTTTGGTTTTAAGTAGTAAGTGAAATAAACATTTCAGCTCCAAAAAGATTAGAATTTTCTGGTCATAATTTGTGGTGCCAGGCGTTAAAGAGCTAAAGTAACAAAAATACCTAAAAACAACAACTCTATCTTGCAAATAGAATAGCTCAGAAAAGCAAAAATGTTGAGTAATGATTTTGTATGTCAACAGTTCCACGGTGCTCAACAGCTCACTGGCTGGTGCCTTCACCACATCTGCACCAACTACAACAGCGTCTGCCGAAAGTTTCCTCGAGACATGAAGTCCAAGTCTACAGGTAACACTCACATAAACCTGCAGAGACCCTTAGAGCACACTTACACAGGGCAATATGCACTGTGCCCAAGCACCTTTTACCCCAAAACTTTAGTTTGTTTAACTATTGTTAGTGGTCTGTACAGTATTAAAGCTCAGGACACTTTCTTGGTACAGTTACTTATACATGGGCACCTGTATGGGTAGGCATGAGGGATGTGATGGATAATAATGCAGCCACTCCTATTTCCACCTTGCATAATCAGTATCAATCATAAAACTATGTTTGTCTGAATACAAGACGTTTTTTTCTCTTTAAAATGTATGAGACAAAAATGGGTCAGTTCTTCTGTTCGAGGTCTACACTGTTTCATGCCAGCATGCAGTCACGGTTTGTGCAATGTGGCACCTGATTATTTTACTGTAACCAAACCAAACACCACACCTCATATTAACGTGATGATAGAGAGAAAACACCTGCACCTGAATGCTTTCAGCCTGTCAAGTTGGTTCAACAAAAGCAGTAGGAGCACATATCTCCAACAGAAAAGTTGGGAGGAAACATAGCCAGACTTGAACTAATGTCATAGAAAGATGGTAAAAAGGGGACTTCTTCACTTGGAGAAGAAGAATCAATGTCCAGTTGGAGCTTAAAATACACAAGTACATCTACTCTGATTAATCAGCAACTCCCACATGCTGATCTGTAATAATTCTGGAGAAATTACCACAAATAAAATGATTATACAGCTCCAGTGAAAACACTGTTTAATGGTTCATTCTTCCCCTCTCTCCCTCTTTCTCCCCCTTTATTTATTAGTGCTGTAGTTTGACATTGACACCCTGTTTCCCAGTATCATTTGAACATTCTGATTTAACTTGTTGAATCATTGCATCATGGAGAGAAACCATACATGTTCTTCTATGAGGTGAAGACATAAGTAAAAGATATAATCGGTATAGTGCTTTGACCCAGTTGGGTCTGGAACAGTATGTGAATTTAGGACAGCGAGGGACAGGGGAGGGGGAGCAGTTGTGCTTCGGCTCAGTATGGAAGTGAATGTGCCTTAAAATGCAGACTATTTATTAATCCATATATGTAATGCTCCATGATGACCACCTGGACGTTAAAGCCTTGTTTGCAAAGACTCTAGTTGGGCTGTTTAGTAATGAAGGTAAATTTGGATAGCTCAAAGGAAAACTGTAACAAGAAATTATACATTAAAAGATTCTTAAAAGTAACAATACTGCATCTCAAATCCTTTAACGGTTTTGTTTATGTGCAGAGAATCAAGAATACTTTGAGAAACATCGCTGGCCCCCTGTGTGGTACCTAAAAGAGGATGACCACTACCAAAGAGCACGCAAAGAGCGCGACAAAGAGGACTACCTGTATCAGAGACGGCAATGCAAACGCAAGTGGCTCTTCTGGAATCTCCCTTCCTCTCCTAACTCGAACTCTCCTTCCTCCGGCTCATCCGCTGTCATCTGACCGAGCGGTAAGGCCGGGTCCACTCATGTACATCAGGGTGGATGAGAGCTGTTAAAAAACATATATATAAAAACAAGCACTGCTGGATGGTACGCCCCAATTATTCAGGCACACAGTTTCTTCCCCTGTTTGTTTGCCTCTGCTGTCGAACGGCACTCCTCCAGGTTCACAAGGTCACCTCAATCTGGCAGTTTAAGTAATGTGTTTGTTCCGTAGATTTTTAGCTCGATGTAAATGAGACTCAAAACCTCAGTGATGTGAACCTCACTGGAAAAAATGGCACAGTGCAACTGGCGCAAGTAACAATTTATGGCGACTGTCATATGTTCCACCGTTTGAGTTTAAAAGATTATAATTCTGCTGGCACAGAACTCTCCACCTATCATCATAACCACCATCAACTAACCTGAACTGATAACCAAGTGCTGCTTCTAAGCTGCAACAACCAGCAACTCAACAGAACTTCTCAGTCTCAGAGTTAAAACACTTTGTCCTTAAGTGTTTGTACAATCTACCAAATTATGTGTACAGTACGATCTCATCAACTGGATGTAACAGTAGAACAGCCTCAGATAATGTAGTATTTCACACTAACCATGCTTTGAACGTGTATGCATCAATGAAAATACGGGCAAGTTCATTCTGCTTTTGAATGTTTGTGTTATGACTTACACGGCTCAAAGCTGAGTCGGTCTACACACTCAGCATTTACGTATTGTGATCGTGTTATTTGTGGCGTCTCGTCACAAAAGGGCTTTAGTTTACATGAATGAATACAGTGTCCTGGGACACAAGAGATCCTGCAGGAAGAGAAATATCTGTAATTTCTTTAAAGCGCCAGCAAAAAACAGAGCCAGATCGTCCTTGTTATGTGTTGCTTGATGAGACTTGTAAGCACACAGTTTACCCAGCAGTTTTATTTATAATGCTCCATCAGCTCAGTCACTGTCAATATTGAAATAAGAGACATGTTGCATCTCAGAGCAAATTTCATATATTCACGCAGCAGCCTTTCCCTCTCAGGTTGGGAAGTTAAAATACGGTCTTACTGCAGGGTTCCTGAAGGTTTATTGTCTAAATGTTTAACAACCAACAAGTCATTATTAATGAACAGCTTTCAGATTAATCAGCAGTCGAAAGGATAATCAATCAAAAGCTCTGCAGGGCATACAATTACAAGGTAAAGCTAACATCCGCTGTCCTTCTGTGATTAACCGTTGTTAGCTTAATGCCACTCCCTTGCTTATATGAACACAAACAAAGGAGTGGCATAAAGCTAACATTAACTATCCTCCTAAAATAACAACTCGGTCAAATAAAGTTATATTACTGTAAGTTCGGATGTGGATAAAAGCAAATATCACCTGACCTGCTAAAGATAACGAATGTGAGCATTCAGCCACTTCAGCTCATTTCAACATTTACTGGCGAGTGGCTAATGGCTAAAAGGATAGCATTTAGCTCATACCACCACAGGCTAGATGATGGCTTATGGTATCATTGAAATAAATCAAGTTCTTATCTTTGATCTCAATTCTAAGCTTACTATATTGTTAGCCAGAAAATGTCTGATTGCAAACAAAAGTTGTTTGATGATAGCTGTATGATATATCAGATATGTTGTTTAAATTAAGGCCTCATGTCCCTCTAGATGTTAATCATCCAATATCTTATCCATTCTCTTGCTGATCGCCCTGAAAGATCGCAGTATCCAATATGGAACAACAGTTTCCCATCCTGTTGGTTGTGTCAGAGAGAAAATGTCTGCCGTGTGATTCTGTGAATAGAAAACTTTCTAGAGCTTCACACCCACACATGTATCACCGTCACTCTGACAGCGTGTGATTCGGTGGTGATTTGGTCTTGAAAGATTGATCTGAGCTGATGACAAAATGCGTGCTGACAGTTTACAATTGGCCATAAAAAAATACTTGTACAAACAGGAGGCTTCCTCATGCCTGGGTGAGGTCGTCCATACTCTTCAATACTTCTGGACTCTTCTCCACAGAGACAAACACATAAACCTCTGGTAGCAGCATCCTGGTGGACTGCACTGTAGACAATGTGGTATTGTGAAACACTGCGGCAAATGTAAACAAAAGCAACCGAAGAGTAGACATGAAGATGTTTAGTATGCTTCAAGAAATGTGAGGAGGTAAGATGAACTCATTTTCATGGTTTGTTTTGCACACTTCATGGTATATTTAAGATTGTCATCTACTGTTGTACTTGATTGTAGAGTGGACACACAAGCACGGTGCTTGGTGAAAATGGGTAGTATTGTATATTGTACAAAACATCAGATGTATTGCAAGTAACTTGCACCACTCTGTTGTGCAGTTACGTTTTATTGTGCACTGCAGGCAGTGAGCAGAATCATACAGTATTACTGAGTAATACATACACTGATTATAGACTTGACTTATCTGACTTGTATTTAGTTACTGTGCAGCTACAAACAGTTGTTGAAAATAGTCATTGTGCTGACCTCCAGTTACATCAATTATATACTGTAGTATCCACGCACATTACAGGCAACCCAAACAAACAGTTGACTTACAGTAGAATAGGATTACAGTGCAACGTAAAGTAGACACTCGCTTATATTAATGGCATTATAAACACTTATGGTACCTCCTTTAAACACACCATTGTTTTACTTCAAATAAGTAAATTGTAATTGCAGACCTTGCTTTTGCAGCGTATGTTAAAGACACCCTGCATACGATTGGTTATACAGTCCCATTATCTTGTGGATTCAAAGAGCTGTGTCTCTTTGAAGGGCTCTCACAGTGGAAGGTAAAGTGAAGTGCAGGTGCCGGTGCTCTAAGCAGTAGCATTCACACATTTTCAATTAACATTATTTTTGGCTTTTGCTAAGTAAACATAAACAATGCCATTTTCAATATCTTTATCGATTAAAATATTTTGCACGTATGGTTGGACATCAGGCCTGGCTTTAAGCCCCCAAAAGAGCTAAACTCATCCAGTTTAACCCTAATTTCAAATGTCAAAGCAGTTTAATGTAACAGCAGGAGGGTCTTTATTGTTCTTCTTTGCCTTGGCAATGTTATTGATACATTTCATAGACATGCATTTCATTCCTCAGTGCATTGCATCTCTCAGTGAATCTTCTGCTGACGTTTTGCATCAACACCTCATGCCTTAATGTACAGTGTAGTGTAAGGTATTGAATGTAAAGTTGTGTTACTGTGGTTACTAGTTTGTTTGCTATATGTTAAGTTACCATGGTGCTCTCTAGACTGTGTTTGTATTTGTTAATGTACATAATCCATCACTTGGATGTAAAGCAATTGATGTACGGTTTTGGGGAACCCACGGAGTGTGTGTTAGTTAAAGATAAAGACTGCGCTGGGCTTATGCCGTGATAAAGCCACATAACTTAGCAAAGACTCAGACCATCAAGGCCATACTAGACTAACTAAACAACAAACCATCAATTTGTAACATGAACCATGAAATGAATGCAGGGATTTAAAATTGTTCCATTATTTCAGAGTTGCTTTCTTCTACTGCAGTCCAGTTTTGGAATCTGCGTTTAAAAAGTGCTGAGACTGTGTGACTATTGACATCAAGATTTTAACAACAACAACAAAAAAAAAATGTAAATAAAAGTTATGTGATGACTTGCAATTGAAACTTGGCATAGCAGCTGATACAAGCTATTGCATAGTTTAACACAAAAACTGTTTTTGTACTATGCATACTGACGTGTCTGACTTTGAAACTACAAACTTGCACTGCTTTGTAGCACCAGGTTCTACTCAAATTGCATCAGACGGAACAACAACATTATTAGACATGTAGACAACATCAGGTAAAAATCAAAAATCAGATCATAAATTACTAAGAGGTTGTCACTGGGGCCCTTTTCCATGTGTTTGGGTGCTAATATCACCGCTGCAGAAAAGCACAAACCAAAGGGAGCTTTAGCAGCACCAGGAATATATATGCTGCACAATCACTACTGCATAGTTTAAGAGGCCTTGTTTAAAAATGGTTGAAAATTAAACTAAAAAAATAAAACAGTAAATAAAAAGAAAAAAAACTTGAATGTTTTTTTCAGTGTTTAAAGCCCAGGTGACATTTTCCTTAGTCATCAGGTATTTTTGTTCTCAAAAGCTGTTTTTATTGTTTGGGAGCTGTAAATTTGAACTTCCGTAGCATGTGTTCTTGAAGATGTGTAAATAATATTTACTAAATAAAAAGGCGCAACATGTGCCCTGTGGGTGTTGGCGTCAGTCTTTATTTAAAAGCCCTGCTGTCATGTGTCACATGAGACTTTTGCAGCCTCACACAGTGGTTTACTGCGCACAGACCTGATCCTGGAGGACTAACCTGCAGGGACACACGAGAGGACAACCACCGACCAAGAGATGGTAATTTTAACACCAATAATCACTGTGGTAATAGATGGGCACTGTCAGTATGCAGGAATCTTTATGTAGCTGTGTTACCTGACAGGACGGTCACACGAGCAGTTTAGCGTCCATGTCGACTCTTCAACTGAGACACACAACATTAATAGACACAAGCTAAATCAAGCCACGGCTAAATTTGAGCTAATGAGCTTTTAATTCTATTCTTAACTAAAATTAGCAGCAGCACCGACATTTCTACACGCCATTTTGTACGCCTAGTAATACTTTTGTCGAGAAAATGTCAAATATTTATCTTAAATGTGGCAGCATGTTGCTGTTATGAGAGGCATTAGTATCAGATCTAGTGCCCTATTGGAATAAATGCGCGAAACACAGATTAATGTCATGCAATAATGAGACAGGCTGCAAATCTAAAGAGGAAACTTATTATGTAAAGATTTGGGCAACTTCCAATCACAGACGGTGTGTCAGACTGGTCCAACAGGTGTGGGTGGAGCCTGTGTCAACATATGCTGTGATTGGCCAGACTGTACACCAGGTGATATTGGTTTTATTCAAGAAAACTTACACAGAGTGACATTTATTATTCCAAATGTTAAGGTTTGGGTTCTTGTTGTTTTGAGAATATAATATAAGCGATTCAATATCATGTGGCTTTGATTTTTGTTTAGATTAAACATTTAGATCTTTTGTTTGGGAGCTTGAACTTTCATTTAAACCCAATTCAATGGTGAAAAATCCATGTTTTGAACATTTTGTCAATAATGACTGCAATTATTACTTCCTGGTTCATATTAAGAATCACTTTACTGGAAGGATAGGGGAGAGTGGGGTAAGTTGAGCCACCCCCTGTTGCTTGGAAATGGTAAAAGAAATTGATCATGTGACCAAATATTTAGGAGATGGACATTAATTCATGGAGTCTGTGAAGGTTGGATGCACTTGAAAGTGAGTTAAGTCTGTCATAAGTTTTATTAGAATTGTGTTCAGATAAAAAAAATCTGTTTTATACATCAATTGTGATATCTATGAGCTACATCATGAAGTCAAAAACCTAGCATAAAAGTCCACCATTTTAGCTTAGAGGAATAATAAAGTCATAATAGTAGTTCTGGGGTAAGTTAAGCCAGTGGCTCAACTGAGAAAGTAAAGAAGTCTGATGAGAGGATCAGAGTTTCAGTTCAGATTGTTAAAATGTTTTACTTTTTCTTTTCAAAAATACAGCTGTGAATGTTCTGAATAATTTAAAGGCATTCTCATGTTGATCATAGGAGACCACCTTTTTTTGGCATGCTATATTATCAAAACAGTTATGTTTACACTCATTCTGTTGGTTTGCAGGGATGACCACATCTTGAAATATATGCAGATACACACGTTAGAGACAAAACTATGATCGCCTTGATGTAGTGATCCAAAATATGTAAAATGGCTCATCTTACCCCACTCTCTCCATCTCCCCAACAGCAATGATATTGAAAATAAAAACCAACCCTAACTGCGATGAAACTCTCATTCTGTAGAAACGTTGAGGTAAAACTGCAACAAGGCTCCTCTAACCTTGACTGTCATAAACATAACTAAATGTGTTTCATAGAGGCCTAATGTTTGGCAAACTCTATTTAAACCTAACAAATATATTTAAAAAAATCAATCTCCAAATAATACTGATCCGCCTGTTGAAAATCATATTTCCTGCTCTAACTGAGTGCTGCGATTCTGCAGGCTGTGCTGGCACCGTTCCTGGTGTTATGTGCTTGTGTTTTGGGGTTACATCATGTGGAAGCAACACCAGACATCCTGGACCCTCTGGATTCTTCTTTCTGTCAGTAAGTAGCCCATAATGCCTCACAGCTCTACTGTGATCATAGTAAAAATGAAGATGGTGAAGACAGAGAAGTCTTAACAGAAGCCTCATCTGCTCACTCAGAGTTGTGCTCGAGCTCTTTTCGCTCAAGGCGGTATCAGAGCCTTTTTAAATAAGTTGACTTTGTTTATTTTAGGAGCTTATTCACTTGCACCGTAAGACAGAGTATACTTCAAATTCATGTCAGCTGAGCTCCCTCCTTTACATTCTCTCAAAACAGTGGTGACCTCCAGGTGATCTATCCACAGCTGGAAGTTGACAAATGCCTCATAGTTGGAAAGAGTCTCAGAGAGAAGCTCACTGTCGATTGGGGGGCCCCAGAAATTCACTTCCCTGGAGCACAAAAGGTATGGTGTGTATGTGTGTGTGTGTCTGTGTCTCAGTACGTCTGCTTCTTGATGTTATTGTGTGAATTGTTTTCATGATTAATTGTTATATCTAGTTTAACATCTTAATTAAATCATAAAACCCAAGGACCCCTCATTTAGCATCATTAATGGCATAAACAAAATATAAGACCTTTGAAATAAGAAGCTGAAACTGGAAAATATTATTCGTTTTTGCCTTAAAAATTCCTAAATCTGAAAAAATATAGTAAGTTGCACAGAAAGTGTCGATTAATGTTCCTTTGATTGGAGAATAGAATAACACTTACAATACGCAGCCATCACAAAAGTACATGAACTATCTCCAAACCTGCTCTTATCAAACAAAAGCTTTTTTTTTTTTCTTAGATTTTGAATTAAACCAGTTTTAGGTCTCCTGAAATTTTTCAATATTTACCTCTATGTTAAGTGCTTCATTGTGCAGGTGCTTCTTTTCAACACTAGAGTGCAGTAATAGATAAGACAAGCTGCATCTTAACTTCAGCAAAGCAAGTGTCCTTGTCTCAGTCATTAGCTGAGATACCAAAAGGTTTTTCAAATTAAAAAACTGTAACTTGGAGTCCAATTTCATCACTGCTTTAAATTGATAACTATTGTTTAGATATTAGCTGCTTTAGCACCGTCCGCTTCTTTTATGCTGTTGACTAAAACTCCTGATGTAATTACCTTTACCACCAGAGGGTGGTGCTAGCACATTGCACTGGTTAGCCCTTCAACAACCACTTCTGCTCCACTGAGGTAATGTTCGAACCAACCTACACTTTACACCATTTAAAAGGTCAGATACCATAAGTCATAAAGTGGACCCTGTCATTCTTTATTTAGTCACTGACTTTGACGAGTAAAACATCCAACCCCTCTAACAGACAGACAAAACGAAATATTCCACCTCAGTTTGGAGTCGTCATAGTGATTTAACAAAGGACAAAAAGCTGTGTGTGCATAAGAGGATCAGTTTATGAACCCCCAATATTTAGTGGTGACATATTAAGAAAATAAAGACTTATCTTCATAAACTTTAGACTTAACTTGGTAGTTTGTGTGTCTCAAAGGAAAGGTTGCAAGCATTGCAGTAAAACTACAGTTTGATGAGTTTTCTGTTATAGCATTAAATAGATTTCAACAATGCTAATTTTTAATCTTTTGAATTAAAGGTTTTAAAATGCAACACTTATGAGAACAAGAGTCGACAGTATATAATGTTTTTCTAACATGAAGTGTAGTATATACCTCTTTGACTTCCTTTTGTCATGTCAGATATAAGACTAAAACTAAATCAATTAGATATTCTAGTTTGTGTTCATTAATTTATCCATGTAGTTTAATTGTTTTATTCCTAAGCGACAAATTGAGAGCCACAGTTCCCCAACTATGGATCCCCCCCCCACCCGCTGGCGATGACAATGAAATCACATCAGGTGCACAACAAATCCTATATCTGTAAATTGAAAACTTAAATTGAAAGCCACCTCGATGTAGGAGCTAGTTTATGAATTACAGAGCTAAGCAGTCTAGCTTGAACATGATCTATTGCCCTTCCCTTTACCAAACTCCATTTGATCTATGGCCGTATTATCTATAATGCTGTCTTACATGATTCTCTTTTATTGCCAGAATCGGTGTCAGACAGCAAAACAGATTACATGTTGGATTAAATCAATACAAACTTTATTTACTGGGCTTTGAAATGTAATTCTCCATTCTTCCTGACACATTAGTAAACGCGTGCTATTGAAGGATCAGACTATGGTTCTGTGGTTGCTCTGCTGGTCCTCCACGCTTTCTGTCACTGTGCCATGCTGCCAGTGCTGCTGCTATTCTCTGCCACTCAGCCCGTGTACCCAGTAGTAGGAATACAGAATAGTGGCCGCTCATGCTCAAATCCACCCACTGTAACACCCACTTCATTACTGGGACGGGATTCGTGCCTGCTGAGTAATTGTAATGGAGCGCAATGGGCAGCAGGCCCATAAACCCGCCTCTAAATAGGTGCTCATAAGCGAAAACAAAAGCAAAGGGCCACATAAACTGCAGATTTCTGTGTTCAAACTTCAGAGCAGCGATTCAACACTTGAACTTTTGGTTAGTGAAGCCTGGCATGTGTGTGTGGATGGAGCATTTTTAGAAATCCTAATTACATTCAGAAGTATGTAGAGTTAGAAGGAAGTGGGATATTTATCTGCTAATAGTCGGAGCAAAGGAGTAATAAAGCTTGCAATTAATTCATCTGATTGTGTTCTATCATCAGATCAAGATTTAAAGTAAGGTGTTATATATTTTGCTTTATAAGACCAACAGATGCCTTGTGTCCGGATAAGGTTTTGAAAAACTACACCTTGATTTTATAGCAATCAAAACCAAAATAAACCCATTACTGCATTTAAATGTAAATTTCATTTTCAGCTTAAATGCATTAGAAAGATAGGACCAGAATTAAATCCAAAAAAGTCATTTTGTTTCTAAACACCAATAAGAGGGAGAGAAAAAAACAGAAGGTCACTGGGACTTGTTGAGATAGCACCTTTAGCTTTTCTTGACTGTTTTTTTTTACTTAAATTTTGTACCAAAGTAACTTCATGATGAACGTCTTGTGAAAAATAATACAAAAACTTTCTTTTAACGCTGTTGTATTTTCTCAGTCCAAGTAGAACAACCTGTAATCTAAACTAAAACATTATTAAGTGTTAAGTGTTTGTGGAAATTAGTTGAAACTATATTTTTCATGTACTGTAAATCATGTAAACAAATCCTGACAAAGCAATATCATCCTGGTCTTGATCATTGTAAAACCTCTGTGGGCAAAACTTAGGAAAAGTAGCTGTCACCTTTTGTAAATGACAAACTCAGCTGGAACAACATGAGAGATAAAGATGCAAGGCTGTCATGTCATCGTTCCTGGTTTTCCAAACTCTGCTCTTGTATTTGATCTGCAGGAAGACGTTTCTGTGTAAAGGGTCTTTGAAAACTCTTACAGGGTTGAGGAACCAAAGCTGTAATTGGGATCAACATGTTCCAGATTCACCAGATAAATATCCCAGTTTTGTCACTGTAAAAATCACATCATTTGGGTGTACGTTGGGTTCAATCATCTGTCATATCAATAGACAGTTGCTCTGTGAACGTTACAAAATTTAGCTGTTTTTTTGTACTTCAGCTCCATTGTACATTTGACTAAAGCATCGATACGGGTCTTTTTGATTGGTTACGAAGACGGATATGAGTATAGGCTGCTGAAAGTAATGAGTAAATAGTCGAGACTGTATTCTGTTGGTGATTCTGTTAAACATTAATAATCCTTTGAGAATCATTTTCACTGAAAGGGGGAACATCAAGAGTTTTCACTTTGATAATCAACGAACTTGGCTTTAAGGACATAAAAACCTCAGATAAAGATTTGCCTGAAGAAAAAATGAGTCACTATTAAAAAGAAAATTATGACTCCTAAAATAACCAAAGACCTTTGAACTAGAGAGGATCAAAAAGCTCTATATTTATCTGTCTATGCTGCAGCTCATTCAGGTGAGCTCTTGGCAGAAATGAAAAATATATAAGTGAGTTTCTACCTTCTTAAACCATCACTGTGTTTCATTTAGCATTTCACTGAATTAGCTTGTGAAGTATTTTTACCCACAGTAAATAGTCCTCTGATAATTTAGATACTGTACCTTTGCTTCGATGCCTAAATATCAGTTTAATAATGAAACACACTGAATTAAAAGAAAGATAAACTTATTGATGAAATATCTGTGACTCTTAGCTGTCATATGCATCCTTAAAGGCACCCTCATATTTGATTTCTAAGCTAAAAGCACTAGCATTAATGCAGGCTACATGTTTAAGATAATCTCTATTTTGGTTGGAGCCTGCTGTATTTTCCTCGCTGTTCTCGGTGTAAACAACACAGGCCACAGGAGCTATCTTTACCTCATAGTTGTTCCAAAAGTGGAGACAGTTTTGGAGTTGTTGTTTTTCTTTTTTTCTCTTTTTTTTTTCAGTAAGGACCGTAGCCACAGGGCACATTCTTAGACATGGGGGATTTCAAAGCCTTGTTTTTGGGTAGACATTTCTTGCATCTGGTGGATGGAATGAGGGTTTAAACCATTACTGCGATTAGAGCTGCCTCACTATGATCTCTTGAGCTTGCTTACTGCTGCTAATAGCTGTTTCCTCTCTTTTTCCCTCTATCTTTCTCTCTTTCGCTTTCTCTCTCTCTGTGAATGATTTTTATGCTTTGCTAAAACATGTGGGGGCGTTGAGAGAGGATTTAAATGCAACGATCCCCCTCCTCTTTTTTTTGGTGAATCTCAGCGTTCTTTTCTGCAAGCCTCTGATGACGACAGGGCAGCTTTAAGCCTGGCAGTGCCCACGGCAGGCTGCCGTCTCAGCGCTGCCCACTCTCCTCTGTGTTGGCATGCCGAAGAAAGCGAGGGTGGGGTTCCTCTTTAGCAGACCCTGTCATTCCTAGGAAAGCCTACATGTCCACCCATGCAGGATTCCTGATAGGTCTTCATGTTGGGGATGGGAGAGTGCAGAGATAGGGATTTTATTTTCAGTAGGCGACGGTCTTCAGTCAACGAGGAATCGAGGATGTATATTTAGATAAAGGGACGAGGCACTTCCTTGAGCCCCCGTGTGACAGCGGGGGTCAACAAGTGAAACATGTTCTGTAATATCCATCTAATTGCATATTCAGAGTCATCAGGTGGGTGTTTTGGCTCTGCTGGATTAAACCAGGGTGTTTGGCTGTGATTCAGGGAGTTTATTTCCTTAGCTAATGTTCCCCTTTGTCATTATAACACCCTGTTAAGCTGACCCGTGTCCCGCTCCATTCAGTCATTGCCCATTACTACAACAACATGTATGATTCATGCAGGTTTCTGAAAAGGGAAGAATTACAACCTGCTGCTAGTAAGAGCACTAGATTGATTATGCATATTCAGAGGAATGAAGAGAGGCAATAAAGCGCCTAAGCCACTTTTCCATACAGAGGAAGAATGATCGGCACCTTGTGCTGAGTGTCTGAGGCATGGCAGGCCACTACAGGAGCAAGAGCAGCGTGCTTCGAGGTGTCAGTGCTGACCTTGGCCATCTGCATGAAGGGGAAAGATTCTCACTCACAGCTGAGTTTATTCCAGACATAGTTATACCTTAAACTGATTTTTTTATGTTTTCTGTTTTCACTTACTTGATCACAGTCTGTCTATTTTCATGTTTGGTGACAGTGTCGAACCCTGATGTTGAAACAGCAGAATCCTTGCACCAGATGTTTGGCCTCAGACATGTGTAAAATACTTTTACCCCCCGAAAAATAAAAATGCATTGAGTTATCAAAAGATATGAGCAGATTAGGGAAGCTTTGGGATCCTTTTTAAGATCTTAAAGTTATAAATGAGCTCTAGGGAAAGGTGGCTGTCTTTAATATAGAAACTTGAATTATAAAGAGGTCATTTTAACCTTTTTACCAAACGAAACTACCCATGAAATAAAAACGCAAACATCTCTCGCTGAAATAAAATGTGCATATATTGATTCCCGCTCATAAGATTTGTGTGGCAGTCATAAAATTCATCAATTAGATCCCAAACTGCGAACGCTTCCCTCCAAAGGCAAAGCAGAGTCTTAGAGAAGCAGCAGGTCTTTAATAAAGAATACTACCTGAACCTGAGCCGCCTCATTATTATTCAGTTTTCACGCTGAAACTCCTTCTTGTCGGTTCATATACATTGACGGCAAGATCTGTTCAAACAGAGATTCATAATCTGCATGGGAAGTGCATCTGCTGGATGTGGATACTTAGACAAACATACAAGATTAAATTTCTATTTATAAGAGCCACAGAAACCTAACATTTACCAGGGAATCAGTGTAAGATCTGGAGTTGACTGTCGCACTTTGGCTCAGTGAGAAACTTGTAGGTTTTATAAATGCAATCCGTCCAGCGGGTAAATGTCTGTGCTTTATGATCCAAAATATGTCATCTTGACAAATTGTTGAACTGCTCAGTACAGTTTTGGTTTTATAGTCATTCTTTGTCTTGTTTAATTTCACAGTTTTAAAGTAAAGGTTCTCCTTTCTTTGTGTGAAAGTTAGAAACAAATATCAAAATGCAAACTTTTTCTTGGTTTCTTAGTTGTAGGCTACTTATTGGACAGGATTACCGTGATGCTTATGTTTGAAACCGACTTTTTTTCTCTCTTTGACAGCCTCTTTTCTCTAAGAACTCAGTAATCACAAAGTTAAAAGTGATCACGTGAAGTTTACTTAAGACACAGATGCTTGGCTTAGTGGCATATTGCCCGAAATGTTTTGTGTTTCTCATTTGTGGTCCGGCACAGGGTTTAGTTCCAGTTGTGTCCCAATCCTCTGATTCACCTTCTTTAGGAACAGCTTCAGGGCTGCTCACAATGCTTAACTCTCCATAATGCCATCCCCTTCATCTCCCCAGTGGTCTTATTGTCTTAACTCTGGATGGAGAGACAGAGCGTTAAGAAAAGAAAAAAAACAGGTTAATACACGTTTGGCACAGTGAAAGTAAAGTATCTTTGCAAAGATGCACTCTATTCAAGTTTGTCTTTTAAGAATGTTTTTCATCAGATGATTCCTGCTTCTTCAAACTTGTTTTGTTACCTCGTCTGGCTGTTTTCGCTGGTTTTCTAAGACATATCATCAGTGATTCATTTCGCTTTTGACATAAAAAAAAAAGCAGATGCTAATGTTAGCAGCAATCAGGTGCATTGATGCTTTGATTGATCTAGGAACAGCGGATGATAAAACTGCCTTCCTTGTCATATTCCTGATCCTGTAGTTTGGAAGCAGAGAAAATGTTATGCAAATGATTTGTTAATCCCTTTACATTATTTGTTCCATTTCTCCCATTCGTTTTCACACTCAATTTCCACACAGCGAGCTGACAGGCGGACACCCTCAGATTTCTAATTCTTATGACAGGAAAAAAAAAATAGTCAGCCATCCATTTAGTATTTAGAAGATAGTTGTTTCAATTAATGAATTCGACTTGAATAGTTCAGCAGAGATATGAACAAAAGATCCAGAAAGAACTTCACTTTAGAGACCTTCAACTTCACCTCTTCTTCTTCCTCTTCTTCTACTTCTTTGTCTAAGAGTCTTGAGTCTAAGCCGATACAGCAGTGGCACATGTGACCAGTGTTTTTTTTTTCGTAGTTTTGTTGTCCCCAAAGGTTGGTGTTAAAAATAATAAGAAAGAGGTGGGATGGTCTTAGATTCAAGAAGCTTAAAATGCAAAATCTCAAATAAGCCCAATTTTCCCTAGCCAATCCCGTTTCATTTTGGTGGGTTTGTGTTGATCGTCTCAACTGACTCACATCCCGCCCCTCCCCAAATAAAAACACTACAGATTTACGTGGCTTTTCAAAAAATGTATCTAGACATTTATCCAGCTTAATCTTCTTAGCATATTAAGGTGATTTGCTTTACCCTGAAGTGGCTGAAGCTGCAAGCTCACCGCCCCTCATGGCACTAAGACCTGAAAGGCATTGTGGACATCTTTCCGCTCTTGAATAAGAGAGAGGTGGGCAGAAGTCAACCTGCTTCTCAGCTGTGTCTGTCCCCGCTGTGTGTCCATTTGATTTGATTTTTTGTTTAGTTATTAGTCCAACTGTTGCACTCAGTCAGTGTTCTTAGGCACACGGCTGTGCCAGCACTGCCCACACTGTGGTGTGGAGGTTTGGAGCTCTCAGCTTTTGAGCTGAACTGAAAGAGCTCTCTCACAGAGTAGGTGTTGGCAGGAGGCTTTGTTTCTTTCTGTGAATGTCATGAGAGGTATGGATAATGAGAAAAAATGAAGCCCAGTGATGGCACGGTTTATCTAAGTGCCAACTTTATGCCTGACTTCAGATCTGGGCATTTTCAGATAGGCGATGTGCTTAACCTTTTCTTGAGACGCGACACAAATCTGAGAATCGGTAGTGACGGATACAATGTGCTCTTCCTTAAACACCACTTCACAGGCCGGGCAGCTAAAAGGTCTCAGTCAAACTCAAGTACTGCGAACGTCCTTATTTGTCACGGCGCTCTATAGATGTGCTCCAGGGCGTCGCTTTTGCCAGAGTGCGTCGGGGAAACTGTTGGTTCAAATTTGGAGACGTTCATTGTAGCTGAAGGCTGAGTCCATTTGTCGTCTTTGTGGTATTTAGCTTAATGTCCGTCAAAGTTAGTTTAGACATGATGGGGTCAAAGTAGATAACAGCTGAGCTACAGACAAGATTTGTTTGAATTGGACACGAGTTAAGAGAGTTGCCTGGAAAATAAAGATATTTTACGATGATTTGTGGAGGGAGGATAGAGTATTATGATATCATATGAAAGAACAATTACTTAAATTAGATTTTTATTTGGAGTATACTTTAAGTCAAAGGGACTGAGTACTTTGATCCCTAAATTGGGTTGGAAGTCATTGAAAGTCATTGAGGCAGTGTCAGTTGTCCAAGTCATAGGATGGCCTATACCTTTAAATAACTGGAAAAAGCCTTCTGTGTAGTAAACATTGGGCTTATAGATGAATCTGTAAATATATATTTCCAACTTAAACAAAACCTTTCATGCTTTAAGCTCGAACATGCGTACTCTTATCCTCCACTTCATGTTAGACCACCTTACTCCCAGCTTGTTACACATAATCTAATTATCAGCATTTGGTTGAAACTTCCAAATTCGTAAAAGTTAAAGGTGACAGGATGTTCTGTTACAGTATCTGCCTCATAAAGCTAATACAGCGTTCAGATTCAGTGAAGGACTAACTCAGTTCAACCAAAAACTTTGAAACGTCTGTTCAATTTGGAGATTATTCCAGTTTATCTTTGATCTGCAATTTTCTCGGTTTGGTTTGGATTGTTTTGGGTTTTTTTTCTCGCCACCTAGCTCTTTGTAGCAGGTTTTCTCACTTTTTCACAATCATTGGCTCGACCGTGGTGGAAATACTTTTTTGCACTGTGAGAGGAGGCATCTTTATTTGTCCACTGTGGTCCAATCAATGGCTATAAAAAGCTGCTAATTGAAAGGAATCCAGAGAAAGCAAAGGAGGTGGTAGTAATTTATGTATTTGATCGGTAAAACATTGTGAAAACAGGATTGTAGGTTGAGTATGTATGCTGTGAATAGTTCACATTATGAAGCTGGATCATTAGTATCCTTGGTTGTTTTGGCTTGAGGTTTACTTCCAGGAATAACTGGGAGTAAAATTATCTTGTGAAATTTATGTCATTAAAAAGAATCCATCATTCAACAGGTCATGTCAGATCTTGTTTGTTGCAGCTGTGTTTTTCTCATTTTCATCCTTAATAATGTTTCTTCCAGGACTGTGTTGAACATTAAATGTGAGGGTAATAGTGCCATATCTCTAAATAAAAACATGCTTTTTCTTTTTTTTCCAAAAAGGTGAATATACAGTACAGTTTGGACACACCTTCTCATTCAATGTCTTTTCTTTAATTTTAATATGACTATTTACATTGTAGATTATCACTGAAGGCATCAAAACTATGAATGAACACGTGGAATTTTGTACTTATGAAAAAAGTGTGAAATAACTGAAAACATGTTTTATATTCCAGTTTCTTAAAAATAGCCACCTTAGTCACGAAGTAACCCTGACAAGGCACACCTGTGAAGTAAAAACCATTTCAGGTGACTACCTCATGAAGCTCATTGAGAGAACAGCAAAAGTTTGCAGCGCTATCAAAAAAACAAAGGGTGGCTACTTCAAGGAATCTGAAATATAATACATGTTTTCAGTTATTTCACACTTTTTCCTTAAGCACATGATTCCACATGTGTTCATTCATAGTTTTGATGCCTTCACTGAGAATCTACAATTTAGATAGTAATGAGAATAAAGAAAATGCATTGAATGAGAAGGTGTGTCCAAACTTTTGGCCTGTACTGTATATATATCATGTTCTTGAAAACAAAATGCTTTACAATGATAACAAAAATATTCTTAATGCATGGGTGAAAGTCTTAGATGACCAAATGTGCATCAGTCTACCACTTCAGTATTATTTATTGGTAATCCCAAAGATTATCCAGCAATTTACAAACATACAACCTTATTCTAATTCCACTGCAAAGTCCATTCTTGATTTATATTTTTCACGCTGTATAAATCTGACAACTCTCTCTTGTACTTCCTCTTATGTTTACATTTATCATTGACATCTATGTGCTGTACCGTAATGATTTAGATGTGATATTTTTCTGTAATCATGTCCTCTCATTGTGTAAAAGCAAATGTAGTGTTTTGCTCTGTCCTGTCCTTTATTTAGACTGGCAGGCACTTGACCTCTTGCGCTCGGGCTGAATGCCTGACAGGTGTAAAAATCTAACTGTGGCTGTCCATTCAAATGTTGTTGAACGCAGCGCTGCTCCACACAGACGAGCACTTCAAACAAACTATGAGTGGCTGCTTCTCCTCATATCACAGAGAAGAGGAGAAATTGATTGGAACTGGGAGGCTTAGGACTGGATTTTCCTCAACCATCATATTTTTTCTTTAACAACTGCAGCTTAAATTTAGATTTTTCCTGGCTTTGTTTTTTATTTCTTTGTCCAAATCCTATCGAGTGGTGCTTCAGGTTTTTCCTTGAGTAAAAAGTTGATATTGTTGTGGGGAGGGAGAAAGGACTTTTTTCATGTGTGCAGGAATGTAGATTTCTTTCCCCCGTGAAATCCTAATTGTGCCTTGGAGGGCTGGTAGGGTATCTCTGCTCAGCTCAGCTCAACAGGATTTGTGTCTGTGTATGTTAGAGTATGTCTCTTAGCTTGAATGCGGATATAACCCTTTCATTGCACAAGCTGCTGATTTTTCATTTTTGCCTATAGGCTGATCCTGTGCATCCGCTGCTTTTTTTTTTTTTTTTTTTTTTTTTTTTTTTGTGGAAGACATTGAAAGTTTTTGTTTTAAAAAGCTTCCGTATTTAAATTCTCCCCTGAAATATTTGATTTTGGTTGAGTGTTATCGCCGATGAAACATGCTCTCCTTTCTGTGGATCAGCCATATTTGAAAATTAAACCCCTGAGAGCTTGTCAATAGTGAAAGGTCAGATTGAGAATATATCCCAGGTCAAAACTACGTCTGTCCCATGTGCTTTTTGAATTATTGCTGTGCATTTATCTATGCAAATCCAGGATAAGATCCTATCTGCCTGCAGCGACATATCCCCCTGGATTTGGTCTATATGAGTTAGGCAGGTTATGGTTGACTGTCAAAAAGGAATTTCAACAACATATGTGTGAAGATTATTGCTGTAGTCATTAATTGTTGCTTGAAAGGGGATTAGGATTAGCAGTCTTATAGAACACTTTAACACCTGTCCTTCCTCACATCTAACAATGTGACTTCAGTTTTTCTTATTTCAGTATCAGTTCAAGTTGGCAAAATAAAAAAGGCTGATTTATTCAAATGAATCATCAGTGCTGGAAATGATTCAATATGTGCCACATTCAGATGGGTGATATATTATTCCCTTGGGGAGAGGCAAAGATGGAGCTGCGGAGCTGTTTTATTTGTGCCGTCTTTATCAGTGTGTCAGGCAGAGAGGCTGAGCTTGTTCTCTATGAATGGACGAGCCCTTGAACCATAAACCTGTACCTCCTCTGATAACAGTTTTTGCATTGTGATATAAGTGCCATTCTCTGTGATGTCCTCTCTGACAGCGCTAAATATATCGACGTACACAAAATGATCTGTCAGGCGAATTATTTTATTCCAGCCAGTTCTCCAAACTAAGGATTTTCAGCGCGGCGTGCACAGTGTGTGATTTTGAAGACATATTGTGGATTTTGTCTGAAGCAGAGCACTGCATTGTGATTGCATATCACCAAGCTTTGCAATTCATGCGCTTGACGTTTTGCCTGTAGGTGAACATTTTACTGTACTGTTATGTCTGTGCTATGTATCATTTAATGCTATTTCTGCTGCTGAGACCTCAGACTGCTCTGACGTCTGAATTTGCCACATCTTCTAAGGTGATAAGAGTGCTCCCTGAATTACTCAGAGCCCGTGTGATGACATGGCCCTGATTGTCAGACGGGTGGGCTGGTGACACTGGAACACAGACGGTGCTTGTCTGTTTGAAATATTCTGTTTCAAGCTTCCAAGCCCTGGGCAGTCCTCTCTCCCAGTCTCCCAACACCCAGCGTCGCCCACTGAAACAAGACTCTTCCATACTGGAAAATCTGGCCCCGTCAACTGGCAGTCTTGTCTAGGTTCAGCCCACACGCCAAGCACCCCCCACCACCACTTCCACCCCTTAATAGGCACTAGAGTTTGCCACCCCATGTAGATGCCTTTTGGTCGCCATCCATGGATGGCGTCAATAGCATCTTCCTACACAACAGTGACTGAACGGAGGGCACAAGAAAATGTGGGAATAATTTACACTTTCTCACTGTACTACCATCAGAAACCATAATTAATCATGATAGAAAAAATGTGGAAGCCATCTTGGCTGGTGAAACACACAGTGCCTGTGAACAGGCCTGACACCTTTAACAGCTCTGATGGCCAAATAGGAATGGGTGTCAGAGTGCTTACAACTAAAGCTCCCTTCATGGCAGCATGAATCCCACCGCTTTCAGATTGTGTTTGTGCAGGATGCTTCTCCATGAAGTGTTATAAGCCTTTAATTTATTTCATTTGAACAAAGTGCAATAATAGACCGTCTTGAGTCATAAAAATGTGGCAAAAAAGATGTAACAATAGCAGTTATTCTCCTGTTGAAATAAATAACACTGATAATTTTGCTCAAGCTTTCATTTTCTTCCTGTTTTCAAATACAGAAAAAAAAAAAGAGAATTTGGTTTATTCCTCAAGAACAGCTGCCAAATATCTGCCCAAATTAAAAAACGATGACCCAGATGAAGCTCATTTTTAGAACACGTGTTAAATATGACCTTTAGGTGTTTGCAGCTTTCAAATCTCATGTCATGCACTGTGTGAACTCGCTGTTTTTAGTCGCACATGCAGTGCAACATCCAAAACATCCTCTAATCCCAAAAGGTCCCAAAAGATCTTTATTATCTCTCTCTCTTTCTCCAAATTCCCCAGAGTACTTTTAGAATCAAAATAGTTGATTTAGATTCCCAAATCCCGGTGAAGTAATTAGAATGTGCTCACCATTAACTTTTATAGGCTGCACTTGGTGGTAAAATAGCAGATCTATGTTTTTCAGTGTGTGACATGCTTGACAGACTAATTATGGATATGAGTCCAGTGCTGTAATTTGCCCTGTTTGACTGTGTTTTGCTCTCAGCAGCCAAAGTACATGACAAAAATATTTCCCTCTTGCCTCATTTAGCACGGGGCTGGATCAGAGGCTCACATCCTAGCGCCTGGCTGCATGTTACTTCGGAGTACCTGTTAATGGTAGTTACTGTGTTTGAGCATGTGCATTTGCAGAAATGCTTCCATGGCAGTGAGTAGGTGTATGTGTGTAAAGCCACAACTAGAAAGTGTTGAAAGCCTCAGCTAGCAAGATCGCATCCAGGGTGACTAATAAGCTTAACATGAGCACGGCTGTGTTGCAAGCATGGTGCGCTGAAAGAAGTCTTCGACGTTGAGAGAAATGCAGAAATGGTTCCCTAGGCTGCTGCTAATTCCCTCACCCCCCTCAAGCTTCAATCAGACTGTGAACCATCTTACTGTTAGCTATGGCTCCATAGCATTTCCAGCCAGCACCGCTGAAGTACAAGGCTTCATAAACAGAGTTCAGGAGTGACTGCATTCAAACATTTTATCTGTATATCAGGGGGCTTGTTTGTTTGTTTGTTTGTTCGTGGATTCATCAAAAAACGGAGAGATGTTACAGGTATTAGCTTGTGACACACAAAGAGAAAATATTCGTTTTAAATATGCAGTATTTTCAGGCCATGAACGATAATTCCTGGCCTCGTCTCACCTTCTGTCATGTGTTAATTTGATTAAATGTTGCATTGTAATACGCGCTTTTATGTTCAAACAAAAAAATTGCTAATGTGATTATGTAATTATGTAAACTTGTGCTTCGTATTTCGCTTTGATTCCTCTTGAACCTCTGCCTCCTCACACTGTACCTTACTCCTCTGTGGGGATCAAGGATCCATGTTGTCCTTAGGCCTTGAATATGCGTTTGTATCCACATGTGACTTGCCTTTGACCATGTGGCTCCTCCAAGTGTGGATTTATAAGCCACTTCACACTCCACTCTTGTGTGGGAGGAAGGCTGAGTTAAAAATAGGCAGGTTTGGAGGTAGTGAGCAGCCCGCACTGTGTGAGGTGCTTAAGAACATACTGAGGAGTATTGGCATCCTGTTTGCATATCATTTATATGTGTCAATAATATTTATCTGGATGTTAATCCAGTCGCTGTTGCTGTCGTTGGCTGTGGTGAAATCCCCCAAATCATCCTGTACAATAATTCCAGATCCATTTTTTGCAAGCCCTTTTTGCACCCAAGTGGCAAGATGTATTGACATCAAGCCAGCTATGAAACACTGAACTTAAAACTGGTAGGCCTCTATATGACCTATAAAAGCAAACAAGACCACCCATCAGCAAGAGGACATATTGAATATAGACCACTTTTGTTACCTGTCAAAACCATCTGGTCAGTGTCCGACTGTGTGACTCACACATTTTTTTTTATCTTTAATTATATTATTTCTTTTTCTATTCCAGCCTCAGACCTATAAAAGGTTGCAGGATAAGAGTGTTGTCGGAAAAATGCTACTTGCAGCTGAAGGGTCAGCAAAGAGATAAAATATACCACATTGACTACAGAGGGCGCCAAAATTGATTGAATTCCTCGCTGAGGCACTGAAACGCATATTTATGTCGTTTTAGAACATACAAGAGCAAAAAAGGTCATCAGGGATGGGATGAATGAGTTTTATGCTCCAATTCTCAATGTCTGAAACTCAGAATATTCACAGTTCTGATACATTTGGCAATAAAAAGTCAGCAGGATAAGATTTTTGTCAGATAACATGACTGAAGCATGCAGATAACAAGACAAGCAGAGACTGCTTTGTCCACAGGGGGCACCAGTGTATACACTAAATGAAAGTTTCTCATGGGATCTGTAGACCCCATCAACATGGAAATTAATTCAGGAGTAAATGCAAAAGTTTTTTTGTCATATTGGTGTTTCATCCACATGGAAACAGTGTTTCTGGTGACTGTAAACAATACTTTTTTGAAAACAGGTCCCAGAGTGCGTAAATCCATATACGACTACCGTTTTGTTTCTGTGTGGATGCCCATTCGGATCTTTCTTGAAACAATGACGTCAGTCAGGGTAACTTGCTTAAGACACCTGCATGATTCCTCCCAAAACACTGTTATATGCGTGCTCTGAACTCTTCCTCTGTCTTTTTGTGCATTTCAGGGGCAGCAATACATTGCTGCTTACTGGCTTGGCATATGCACCATATCATTTTTAGTGGTTTAATGTTTATTCAGATTTTTCCTAAATCAATTCCGTCTTTGCGGAAATGTTTTTCAGCAGCAGTATGTTGTTTTCGTTTCTATGTGGACAAGGTCTTACACAAGGCTGCCTGTGATTAACGTTAAGATTTTTACATTTTGTAAATTAAAAAAAAAAAAAGAAAACACAAATGTTAGAGGAGTCAAAGATTTACTTCCATGAGGCCAAAGACCTAAGTCATTGCCTTTTCAGGTGCTAGAAGGGGTGAAAGTAGGATAAGGTTCTTGCAGGTTCTGTACCTGTAGGCTTTGTACAAGAGGAGCACATCCAAATTTAACGAAGAGCCCACTATGATGCCACAGTATCATAATCTACTGCATCTCTCTTTCTCTTGAACATAAAATCAATGTTTCTCTGCAGTTTGTTTTATTTCTGCATTAAGTTCGAAGCAGCTGTCTCTTTAAAAGTTCCGCGGGAGGCGGTCCCCAGCGCCTAGGCAACCAGCGTCCTATCAAAAGTTCGCACTGAGCGCGCGCACTGTTTCTTTGCGGAAGTAAATATGACTCACTCGTAAGCAGCATGGACCTTGTGGATTATTACGATTACAATGCAGAGTGCAGGCCGACGGCAACACGGTAAGCAAATGTAGCCTAGTACATACATTGCAGGGGTGAAAGTTTGCGTACCGGCTGTAAACTGCTGTTTATGTCTTCTTCCGGTACGGCATACCGCTGCGTACCGGCTCACTTTCACCCCGTGGTGCTAGTAAATGTTTTAACAAATGGATTTAAACGGTGTATAATTTCAAACGGTAATACCTTAAAAATACAAATCCGAAGGTTAACCCATTTAAACCGGGACAGTATTTCCGCATTGCGCGTGTCTACTCTTCAAGTCGCGAGCGCGGATACGCCATTTTGTGACATTCTGTAGATTTTTAATCAGTCCTGAAGTCGCGGTGAATTAAATCATCATACCTGTCTACCTCTGATAGGCTAATAAAGCGCTCGGACTCATGCTCGGATCTTGCTACATGCTTCGTGAGGAAAGTAAGCAACGACAGGCAGAGAGCAGCTTCAGAGGAGAAACATCCAGCAGTGTGAACAACCTCTTCATACTGAAGTCTTTGGTTCACACTGTCGGCGTTTTCTGTGAGTGTTAGCACAGAGTTGAACACACTGTCAGCTGCTTTTGTACTGGCACTATACTAGGGCAGCTGTATACCCTTTCAACACTTTATTTGTTATATTTACATTTGTATTGAATGGACACTTTATCATGACTGCCACTTGTTTTATAGAAAACAAAAAGTTTGTTATTCTCCAGTGCAGAGCCTTTACTTTTATTTATACAGCTGCTTTATTTCATTTAAGTTTGTTTGTACAAGGTTTTCAAAAATGTAATGAAGGTTTGGACAAATTGAAGAAAGTTATCTTGAAAGCCACGCATGTAAGCTCTCAAATACTTTTTGAATTTTGTTTCTATCTGCTACAGAGGCAGAGATATCAGCTGTTTTGTAAACCTCAACACTTCAGAAAACCTGAGGATCAGGGGGCCTTTATCAAAACGGCCCTCAGGATTTCAGAAGTGTGTTTCAGGGTTCAGGTCTGAATGGGTTAAACATAACATAACCATAAGCTGTGTTCTCATACAATCAGTTCTACGTGCATACAAACATTTCTTGCCTTTCTAACCAAAACCCGACTGTGACTTGACCTCATCTCACCCAAAAGTCAAAGCTTTTAAAATGTCAAAGTTCTTGTCTCAAATGTTTTTTTTAGGAGTTCTCTTATTGATATCTCAGAGTAATAACACAAACTTATTAGATTTAACACCAACAGCAGAGTTTCTGATCTGCCTGTATGGCTGCCTTTGAAGCCTGCTTGATAATACTATTTGCAGTCAGACACAATGAGGTTTCAAATCTCCTGCAGATCACAGGTGGAGGTCCGGCTGTTATTAATGTCAATGAGGACCTCCTCACCTGTGGGGTCAATGACCTCTAGGTGAATGCCACAGCCCCCTTCTTCCTCCATTTAATCTTTGGGTCTATGGCCCCCCACACTCTAGTCAGGATTCAATTACTGCTGCCTGGTTGACCTTTGACCCCTCTACCAGGATGAACCTCCTTTTTCCAACCCTGCCAGTGTTACCTCTGATAACCTTCTCCATCACTTGCTGTTTTGCCCTCTCTCTGCTAACCCCCCGTCTTCAATGAGTCTGTTTATATCACTTTTGTTCACATTCATATTTTATCTATACATTCACTTCATACTACACCGTTCAGTTCAGTTTAATCGATTTTGTAATAACTTTTAGCCGAAAAAACAATGAAATTGTTGCCTAAATTTCATCATGATGTGAAAAATTAACCAGTGCGGTCGTGCTTTGCTGTTCCTGTTTTTTCTGTATTTGTAGATCGATCTTTCAACCTTGCTCTAAGCTGCAGTCGATGGTTGTTAAGCCATCACCGTCTCTTAATCACAACACAGATACCTGTTAATTACCAAATGAGTTCAAGTGTTTTTGCTACTTAAACAGGGCTTTGAGATCGATGTGTTGCTTTGCCCCAGGTTGAGCGGCGAGCACTGTTGACCATTTAATGAATCATTGTGGGCTCTGTGCGCAGAAGGAGATGAAGAACCAGGGGGATAAAGCAATGGGTGTATTAATAGGCAGCTGTGCGGATGACACTGTTTGGTATTGGGTCAGGGATAAAGCATGAACTTGTAAACTCACAGAGGGGCCTCTCCTCCCTCCCTGCCTCTCGCTAACTCTCTCCCGTCCTTCGTGGTGTCATCAGATAGCAGAGCAGGGCTCGATAGCCCAGGCAGCTCTACGAGAGCAGCGATTAGACATCTCTCTGATTCTCATCCCCAGCAGAGTTCACACAAAGGTAAGCCAGTAGTTTTCATCCTCAGAGACGCCGCTCTCCCTCGGCCTTTGTTCTTCAAAATCTCTTGATTTGCAAATACTGGAGCCATATTGTTCTGTTGGAATTGACTTCCAATTAGAGTTTAATGACATCTCTCAGAAACAGAGCAAAATAAAAAAGTGAAATAAAGAAGTTTCTATGACAGGAGTTCATGTTTCCTGTAGGGGACACCCTCCTCAGTCTCTAGAGCCCCTCCCCATTTTCTTTACATTGCTGTCCAGTAGCTGCGACAGAGACCCCAGTCGTCAGCAGGGTTTATTCCAGCCGTGTGGTGTCTGAGGTGTGATCCCTGCAGGCCGTTTTGCTATGATCACAGCAGGGAGTGGGAGGTTAATCCCAAGAGAACGCAAACTCAATCCCCCCCACCTCCAGTCTGCTCCTAGGAGCCTCACATCTCCTCCTGTATAATGACCTAATGTTGCTTTGTGGACTGCGACCAGCACCTATCCAGGTTTCACTCCTGCTGTGGGCCTCCGTGTCGATATAAAAGTGCTTTTAATACTACCATAACAAAGATAACAGAGTGTGCAGATAATGTGTAAAAATTTGAAGCTGTTTGCCCCCCAAAATGTTGTTAGAATATTGTCATTGATAGGAGATTTGATTTATTCCTAGCTATAATCCAAAAATGTTACCAGTGCTTTAATGCTACTGTACACTAACAGCATAACCATGTGCCTTTTCATTATCCACTCCTGAGAGTTAGCCCCGTTCAAACATGTTTTATATACATTTAGTTTGTTGGAGCCCTGATAAATCATTTCTGATGGCTGAATATGCATCTGTTTTTCCCTGGAGTCTTTCACACATATCTGTGTGTAATTAATGTGGATTTTGACAGATGGAGAAAAAAAATGTCCGTGTAAGAGAGAAGGGTACATGCCACAATGTGTGAAGTGCAGGCACGGGGAGAGCCTCTTGTGTTATTTGCTGCCCGTGCCAGCTGGACCAGCCAAGTTCTTACAGGTAGAAATTCAGGCAGTAAATGTGTGCAGAATTCAGTGCCCATTATAAATAGGCCATGTTTTTGTTGATACAGTTGGATCTGAATGTGAAATGTTCTTATGTTGTTCTAAATATGGCGTTTGGAGAACTAAGCCAGTCCTTTTACAGTGTATTTCCATCCATGATAACGTACGTGAAATATCCTATAAAGTGCTATTCCTTTCAGTGATAATTGTGACTGCAGGTCATTTTTAATTTCAATGCTTAAATTACCTTTTAACTGTTCGTGTGTGCATGTGTGCTTGTGTGTGTGTGTGCTGATATTTCTGAATACATCAGGGTCTGACTAAAATATTAGTGTAACTACATTATCACTGTGTCTTTGCCTGGTAGCAAACATGTACAAATGAGGATTACAACTCTTCAGAAGGCAACAGGTCATGGTTGGTAAGCTGCCCGGGGGGGTCACTGATATAGAGTCACTTTTGACAGGCTGTGGAGGAGGCTCCATTGTTGCTGGTGTGTCTGGATGTTACCTGCAGGCACTATCGCTGAGACTACAGTATTATCCTATTATTAGGCTTAGTTGTTTACGCTTATTACTGCTTGTCAGGTAGGCAGAGAATCCTTCTGGAAATGAGCATCTGCAGAAAAAATACATGACTACTTCTTTATCTCATTCAAGTACATCGGCTTACGATTATTTTTTAGAGCCCTTTAAGAAGAGTGTCTCGATAGGACACAACAAACAGAAATTTAAGGTTCATGTTTACACACAAGCGTTTGATTCTTTGAAATGTTTGGCAGTCAGTTTAAGGGTGTAAGGAAACGCTGCATCTGTTTTCTTGATATTGAAGCAAATATCATTATGTTGAAAATGCATATACAGTAAAAGAGGACATCGTGGATCGAAACAGCCCTGATTAATGTCTCTGTTTGTAGAGGAAGTGAACAAAATAAAAAAATCCCATCATATGGTCTGGCAGATTTTGGGCACACGACCAGGGATGACAAATGTGCTCTCGCAATAATTCAATCTGCTCTCATAATTCTCTAACTTTTAGGGACAGACAGAATGAAGATTTTCCGGCAGTTAAGCCGCCAAGTCAACGTCCAATAACTGTGATCAAGTGTTAGTTAAGAGGCTTTTTCTCTCACTTTATCTATTGACAGATTGAGGGGTACAAAGATACTGTGTAAGTGGCAGGAAGTTACTGTGAATATGTTAACGAGAGGATTCGGTTTTGGATCCAAAATCTTGTCATTTTATTGATGTCACAGTAATGATATTAAGTTTGAGGATAACAGAGAGGAGACAGCTTACAGTACAACTTATTAAGCGTGTTTTCTGAATGCATTTTCATGTGTATTGTCGCTTTTTTATGAGAGTTTCATTTCATGCTCTTAAGAACAATATTGTCTCATGTAATCTTTTCCTTCCAAGCAACATTTTTGGCCTTGACAGCTGAAGTAAGACTGTTAAGATTACGTGTCAAGCAAACAAAAGGCAAACCCAACCTTCTGGTATGAGCTGTTTTTTGTCAGCTTTGTGCACCCACTTGACAAATCAAGTGACAGCTTTGGAAAACAGACCACAAATATTTTGAAAAGAATAAAATTCACACTTTGCTGCATTTTTTTTTTTTGGGTACAATAAGTCAGAGCTTTGAAAGTAAAGGGAGGCATGTTTTGAAGTATTTAAACAAAGTGTTGTTAACTGCAGACTTGGCTGTCAAGCCTTGGGCTATGTGATGCACAAACAGCACATGGCTGTGTTTAGAAAGCAAAAGGGATCAGGTGCCGCTGTTGCCGGAGCTGCCTCTGGGCCAATCACTGTGTGTGGCACTGTAGTGAAACACATTGTCTGCATCAGAAGTAATATGTGGATCTCTCTCTGTTTGCAGGGGAAAAAGTATGTTATGGTGATGGCTGATCCTGACGCTCCAAGACGTGTCAAACAGACGACTGGTTACTGGAGGCACTGGCTGGTTGTGGACATTCAGGTATAGTAACAACCTCTGCTCTCCTTTAAAAGAACATCCCAGATTTTTGCACCATGGACAGCAATTTTTATTGGATTAGGAACTCATGTGGTATGAATCTCAGAAGTTGTTAGGATTTTTTTTTTCTTGAAAATTGTGCATTTTCATAATCTCGAGGTCTCACTTGGCATGTCTCGTGTTTACATCTGCACTGGAGCCGATCGCAAGGCTGAAAAATTATGAATGGTTTTTAAGCCTAACTTGGTGAAAAAAGGATGCCAAGTTCAAAAAATGTTAATTTCTCATATCATGTATCTTGTGCAATAAATGCCTGTGACAAAAGTGTGGGAGTAAGTCTTTCTAAATGGCTGTGAAAGTTTGCAAGGCCCTGTCAGCAGCAATTTCCCTCTGCTGCAGAGCGCCCGGGACGTGTCAATGCAGGCGTGTGAGACTGAGATTGAGGAGAGCAGCATGCGAGGCGCACACTTTCTCCCATAGAGCTCCAGTCCCTCAGCTCCCCCTCCAGTGGAGAGATCTTGGCAGAGTGTCCTCCCTTCATCTGTTCCCCCAGGCAGAGCAGCTCCCCCAATGATCCACACTTCTCCATATTTTACACCCCCGAAATGGGCACGGCTCCGATCCCCTTATTTCTCTTCATATTTCACTCCTTTTTATCCGTTCGTTTGTGTGTTTTCACAGTCTTGCATTCTAACGCCAAATGCGTGTTGAGTTGTTGATTGCCTCAAATATTTGGAGGTTTGCAGACATTTTTTAATCCCGCGGGAACCGAGAGATCAACCCAGTAGATTAAGACGAGTGGTCTTAAAAACAAGCACACAAAGCAATGTATCGCTGCTCCGGTTTTATTCTATAAGGCAACGTTGTACTCTGAGTAAATGCACACTGATTCAAAGATCCAAATGTGATGTATCTGGGATACATATCTTACTAAACCTTTCAATGGGTCTAAATTGTGTGAGCACATCTGTGCTGCGCTTTTGAGATGATTTATGCAACCGCATTCCTGTTTCTGTGCATATTTACCTCATATCACTCTCATACATCAATAATACATAAAAAAGTGCCATGACCACTTATAAAATTGCATTAGGCATCACCTTTGCTTCTTATTTTTAAGCCCATAAAGTCTGTCTGGCCGTGTGAACAGCCTGAATAAATAAATGTCTTTCAAGTGCTCAGACACGCCACAGTCTCTCCAGCAATTCAATTTCCTGTCACTTGTGTGGGCGTTGACCTGCGTTGTCCATGTAGGGATTGGCCAATGTGACGCAATGTTTTTTTTTGATTGTGACTGGTGGTTGGTCAGAAGGGTTAATGAGCCTTTTGAGTGATGCCAACCCCTGGTGGGAGGTGTTTAATTGACCAGGGTGGCTAGGTGACTTCACACAACCTCAGTTTTTGTTTTTTCAAGAGTCCATCTGAGCATGTTGCATTTTGTTTCATTGCATTTGTGATTTTGACATGTTCGCTCAAATTAAGGGACAAAAAAAGGCCAAATTAGTCAACAAATACAACAGAGGAATGTTTTATTTGTTCTTTGTGATTTTACTAAGTTTGTTTGTTAGTACAGTATGATAACATGTTTTTCTTTTCACTGTATTTCCAGCAGTATATTAATAATAGATTGTTTCGTAAAGCTAAAGTCAGAGGTCTTGCTTTCATATGTCAAACGGATCAGTATTTTGATCCTCACTTGTCAAACAGTGTGAGCTACAGCCGCCATATTGTCTTTATATATATTCATTAGTCCAAGGTCATGCAGCCTTGCCCCAGTTTGTAGATGCCTCCATAATTAGAGGGTATTTTTCACCCATATCCATGACGGTAGATTCAGCTGTGAGTGAAGTCAGGTCAGGCTGGACCGAGCAACGCAACACCACAGATTTACCCAGATTCCTTAACTAAGGTCTCATTAGAGAAACGAAGGTAACGCAACAAGGACACACTGGACTTAAAGCCTTATTGTTCACCTTGCTTTATGATGCTAGCTCTTAATCTAGTAAACAATATGCTGAGGATCTCTTCTCTATACACATTCCTAACGTTAGCTCAAAGTATGTGAGCAGGTGAAATGGTCTTGTTTTTTTTTTTGGTGGCCGTTCCATTTATTTTCACGAGGATTGTCTTCAATTTTTCCCGGGATGAGTGTGTTTATTGAGCCATCTGTTATTGAGGTTGTAACCAGTAGCTGTAGTTAAGTTGTGCGGTCATGTCCCGTCAAACAGATCTACACTACAAAGGCAGCGAGATGTTGATGGAAAATATGATGCTTTAAAGCCACCGTGAGTAATTTTTAGCTGGTAGTGAAACAAACTCAAATCTAACTTTTTGCCTTATTAACCCTTTAAAAGTAAACCAGACCATCAGTGACAAGATTTAATGTTTCTTTGTGGTTCTTTTTAATATTTGTAACCACGGAAAGAGTGTAGGTGTCGTTTAGGACATTTCACAGCATGCAGTAGGAAGAGCCTTCTTTTACATTTTGCACAGCTAAGTTTTCCAGTGAGTGACACATTTGAAAGTAAAATGAAGCAAGTGTCAGAACCCACTTATTACATATTTGTGTAATATTTCATGTTAAATGTTTGTACTTGGAGAGCAAAGTCTACCAGAGCCAGTTTTCTTATCTATGTACACATGGACAATAAAGCTGATGCTGATTCTGATATCATAAACTTAAATACCATACTGTTGTTGGATCAATATTAGGAGATAACACAGCTGCAGGGGGGTAAAAGTAACGTTTTCTTTAACCATGCCTAGCTTTGGCTGTTCCTGCTAGCAGGCTCTAAGCAAGCCTTTTCTTGGTATGATTTGTTTTCTTTGTGTTTTTAATTCTTAATTAATTCTGGGGAATAAAAAGATGTGTGTTTAAAAATGAGGTTGAAAGGTCAGCCTCTTGCTTAACTACCTCTGAGGCCAAAAGTAAGAATATTCAAGCACTGCAGCAGTATTTTTTTTGCTGATTTTATATTGTCCATTTTCATCGTTAGTTTCTTTTTTTGCGCATTAGTCTACTCAACATGAGAGTGACTATGCATCTGTCTAGTTTATGAGTAATGAATCTGCCCAACTTGACATTTAAAAGACAATCCTGTCGTAACGTTGATGTCAGGTGTGAAATCTTTTGACCAACTGTCTCCGCCATTAATACCATCTTCACTTTTGACTGCCAGGAGCAGTTACTCCAGCAGTTCAGTGCAAACCGTGTGGCTGAGTCTCTCGTCTTGTCTCACCAGCTGTCCACTTTCTTTCAGAGCTCACATTATTAGATTGTGTTTGTGCATTTTCAGCTCTGAGGCCATTCTTAAATGACCCAGCCAGCTAGAGAAACTGTAATTTAGTCTCTTCTGCAGCACACTCAGTGTTTCACATCAATTATGGACAATTACCAAAATAACCATCAACAGATTGTTGTCTAGCTCTGGAAGTGGAATTCCAGATTGTGAGCCTCTCCCTCCCGCTCTCTGCTCTCTCTGAGTCTAAATCAATGCAGATGTTCCGGTATGGTCTCGCAGCGATAATTACTGTAACAAGCAAATCATTAGTATGTGAATAGAGGCAGCTTATACAAATACACCACCGGGTGTTACTTTCACTTGTTAATACTTATTCTCTCATTATACTTTTGGCGGTTTGTGAGTCAACATGATGCAATGTGAACTTGCGAAAGGTTTAAAGCTCTTTTCCTGCTCTGAGAAAAGCCAAGGTGTTCATTATCACTGTGAAATCCCATTTAAAGAGCGATGTGTAGCCTAAGGTTTTTATGGATTTTTTTTCTTACTTTTTATAATGTCTGAAGTTTGTCTGCTGAGGGTTTCGTCTCCTTGAAAGATGTTTGCTGTCTGAAATAACTTTTCCATACCGGGGCCGTGCAGAACTGTTAACATAAAGATAATTATCAGATTTTTGGTGCCTCCAGTTATTTGTTTGTAAAATAACGCTATAAAATTAAGAGTAAAATCAATTGTGCAAATATTTAGATGCGTGCATTCGTCCACTAGAGGCAACGACATGAAAGCTTTTAACTTGATGTGGTATGAATAGATGAGAAATGTTTTTTAAATTCTCAAAAATCGACATGATCTTCAGACAGGTTAGAGCAAAACATGAGATTCAGATGCGTTCAGATATCCAGTAGTTCCCCATTTCCAGCTTTATTTAAACAACGTCTTTGGACTTGAAGCCATCATCTTATTTGCGACTTCCTCTCACCAGCAAACTGAAGGTCAGCTGGACGGTTCAGCACACAGAGCTCTGTGCTCATTATTACTATTATGGTGCATGAGGGATATGCATGCTTTAACATCCATCTCTGTTGTAGCAGCTCCCACAGGGGGGACAGAGCCTGTGTTCTGCTGCTGGTCAGAAAAATACAAACAGTGAAGTATTGTGACTGTATCAGACCAGCTGGCTTTGTGTTTGTGAATCTTGCGGCCTGCAGAGATCGTCTGCTCCACACCTCAAGATGTCCTTTAACGGCGAGCTAATAGGCGTGTAACTCCTTACTGCATAACTGCACAATATTGGTGTTACTTTGTCTCTTTGTTGTTATAAACCAACAGGCCAAGACTCAGAAAAGATCTCTTTCACCGCAAAAAAGTGTGGAGAAATATTATAAAAAGTAATGTAAAGACTTTATCTGTTTTTTAGGTTTTTAGGAAAAGCAAAAGATAATTTCTTAGAAGAATAAATGTATAAGATAATAGTTACTCAGATGATTCCTACGAGTTTTATAAATGTTGACATGCGTAAACACACGGAGCAAAAGTAAATGCCTCTCTTTCTTAACTTTTCTGAAAACAGTCTAAGTCACATTCATAGGTAATATCAGGGGCTGAAACTACATTTTCAACTAATACAATAGCCTTACAGTTTGTTTTAGCGAAAATACTTCATCAATATTGCAAATAAACATATATAATTGCATTGTTCTTTATCCTGTAATTATCCTACTGTGGCATGTTATGATTCAAGCCTTTATTTTTGACAGACAGCTGCCCCCATATGGAAGCCAAAAACAATTTCCCAGAGGCCAGGCAAACCATAGCTAGCTTCATTGTGAGAACAAAGAACCATTGGTATTATTCATAATTAAACTCTTATTGTGTACTCCGCTGAATATTTCCATTCTTCTGCCTCTCCTGCTCACTCTCGTTTCCCCTCTCGGTACTTTGCACCTCGTGCTGGGAACATCTGTCTGGCGTCAGAGAGGAGCCTGGTTGTGCAGATTGGAGCAGGTAGAGGAGCACATTGTAGCCCAGCTAATGATGAGAGTGTCTGCCCTCTCTCTTGGAGGAGACGCAAGCTGCTGCTTCACGCTCGCTCACTCCACTCATACGCCCAGGGAAACAGATTTCCAAACATATGCAGTATGTTTTTAATCCAGTTGAGCACTTCATTTCCCAGCAAACACAAATAACCTTACGGGACATCCATATCTTATGACAAGGGGGTGGGCGCAAAGGAATTGAACAATTTTCCTTTTTAATGTGATTTTTTTTTTCCCTCCAAAGTTGCTAAACATGCTCATAACCCAGGTTAACAGTTTGCTTGTTTATGGTTTCACAAACTTTTGCATAGCAGTGCCTCCTGGCTCCGAGTCATACGAAGCAACTTCATCCAATCTTGACTCCACTTAGTGCACCTGTTGTCATCCTTTGTTTAAACTTTAACTGACAGCATAAACACATGCTCATTGTGAGGAATGACATAAAAAATTTGAACAGATTGTTGTCAATAATATATCTTTATGTGCAGAGTAAACTCAGCGCCTGTTCACGGTGAGTGATTAAGAGTTTTGCCAGAACTTATAGACACACTTTTTGTCTCAAGAAATCATTTAGAAGCCAGAAAACAACTTGTATTCTGTATTATAATACAATAACTCTATTCATTACAGACCTATGTGTATATATATCCCAGCTTAAATTAGATTTACCCTGATATAGTTTACATGCAGGTCATTCATCTTTTTTTCAAAAGTATCCGAAAACTCCCTCGGTACAAGTCAACAATAGCCCTTAACATGGAGGCCCAGCTGGAGGTGCTTAACATTTAGAGCAGCGCTCATCCTGCTGTCAGCTACAGCCAGACAAATGTCAGAGGTGCTCCTACATGGAGTTCAGCTGGTGGAAGTCATTTTCTCCTAAAACCTCATCAGAGTTTGCTAAACAGCCTTTCAGTCAGATTCGGGGGCTCGTGTTTCTTTTTAGCTGTTTTATCTCCTGTAGAGTGCGTGGATTAGAGTGGGACCAGGTCATACTCTTACATTAGTTTATGAATGTGTTTGCTGTGTGTATACATGAGTTATGTGCATATATGTGCGACAGTATGTGGAGCTTCAGCCCCCATGTATGCCTCGACTTAGGTTATGAGTATTCGCCAGTGCATCAAATCTGGTGCTAAATCAGTTAGCCCTCAACAGTCAACGGGTTTCAGGTACATAACAGTAACAAACATCAACAGTGTGGTGAAAGCAGAGCTTAATGTTAGCCAAGGCTAGCAAATATTAACAACCAGCGTTTATCCACCAGTTTTATTTTATCGTTTTCTGTGCCAAGAAATCAGAATCAGTGCAAGGAGGAGGAACACTGTAAGAAAATCTCCAAAAACGTATATTTGCGTGACCTGCTGTTAATGTGGACTCTCCCCAATAGCTCCCCTTCATCTGGATCCCCCTGTTTTAGCATACAAAAAGCCTGTAATAACACTATTGATCTTATCTTACATGCAGCTTATTAACAAACAGGTTCTTCTTCAGTGTGGGCTGTTGCTCTCACTGTTCTCCGCCACCTAAAGGGAGAATTACATAAGAATCCTCCGCTCAATTGTCAGCTCCATCCCCCGTCCACATACAACAAACACACACTTAAACACACACGCACACACTCGCGCACACACACAACACTGTAGCTGATAACCTACAGAGCTTCTTGCCATCTCTATAACAACTGACCTCCCTGCTGTGGTTGCTGTGGTGAGATGATCGAGGAGGTTTTAACGCATGAAGAACGTGAGCTGCCATGGTTTCCTGTCAGAAGCTGTGATTACTATTCGGACTGTGAGGGAATAATCATCCATAAATTATTGTTTTCACACATTGTCTTATTCTTATTGATTTAGCCACATAAACTCTGGCTTGGGAGGAGGAGAAATTCGTACTGCATCTCTTTATAAATTCATATGATTTCAGGAAGAGGGCCTGCTGCGTGTCAGTCAGTGCACTACATTAATTTCTACCCTGCACACTGTCCTGGATATATCATGATTACTCTCCAAGAAAACAAGGACAACCTGGAAAGCCCTTTTTGATCCAGTCTGTCACACTATAGCCTAGTAAGGAAAAAAAGAACAGATTGGACCTTCTCCATGCAAATGCAGTTTTAAAAACCAGTAGCTCTGCACGCATAAAGGCGCTTCTTTTAATATGTGCCCCCTTTCTTCACACCCACGACCATTGTGTATAAAATCCTGTTTTTCCTGAAAAGATTTCTAGTCGCAGCCGCAGACAATGTTCCCCCACACAAGCTGTCGTCTTTGTCATACACCCCCCCCCCCCCCCCTTCCCTCCACTTCAGTCAGTAAAGCAGGATCTCTGGCAGTCAGCCCTGCGTGCAAATTTGTGCGTTTCAGGGTACAGGTGGGGGGCTCGCTGATGTCTGCCTACCTGTTCCCCTGTAAACTGGTCAATTTTGACTGACACGGACATGGGGGGAAAAGCAGCCTGTTAGCCAGAAGGGGGAGAGAAAATGGGCGGGTAAATGAACAAATGTCAGGGTTAGTGGGGGGCTGCTGGGGTCGCGGCTGTGGAAAATGCTTCCTCTCAGGGGTGTCTCTTGATAGGGTACGGTGAAGGGGAGTGAGGCATGCTGATAAAAACAACTCACTAACAATTATGCTCACCTAAAATAGCCCTTACTTAAGTATATAGTATGCTTGCCAGTTAATTGTACACAAAAACAAAGACTTCACAAAAGACCTCCAGCAGCCAATGTATTTTCTTGTATTTTGGCATGATAATTAAGTGTGACAGCTATGTATGCACAGTTGGCACATATTAATGGCCTGTCTAATTCTATGTACTGATTATGATTGTTTGTATTTTCAAAGTTGTACCACAGTATAAAATTAGAAAACCACTTTAGAGTGTAGGAAACTACGAAATACTGTATAAGGAAACAGTTACAGGGTTAATGTGAGTGAAGTTAGATTGAGCACTGACTGTGCCAGAACAGTGCAACTGGAATCTACTGTAATTTTATAAATAGACTTAAGAGTGTGTCGATCAGTGTTAGAAAGCTTGCTTAAGGTTTTTTAAATCGCCTGTCATTGAAATTTTAAGTATGCTGTGTGTTACGACTGTTAAATGATAATTGCACCTATTTTGTGAGCATTTTTTAAGTATTTGACGATGAGAAAATGCACATGAGCTGAGTCCATTTAATGCAGATTAAAGCCCATTTCAGTTTCTGAAACGAGCATCTGACTGAATTGGGGTTTAATGACAGCGTTCCTAATATTCTAAGAAGATAATTATTTTCATAATGGAAAGCGAAAAGCCACCATCAATACAATGCATTCAGCTTGAGCCAATATTTCATTCGTCCATCCTTGAATAATTTGTGTACCATTGCTACATTTCCTCTGAATTGTTCTCTGGATTTGTTCAAGTTGTGCTTATTGATATGCTGTAGGACTAACAACCATAGAATCTACCAAGACCTCTGATCTGTACTATTGACCATTATCATAGCCAAGAGGTCTGTTACAATGTGGTATTTTTATGCTACAGTTTGTGAGAAACCTGTTTACATTCCAGGGTGCTGTATAGTTCACTTCTCTGCGCTGCTCAGTCGGATTCCAAAGCACTGTATAGATTTCTTTCAGCTGATGAAATTAAAAAGACAGCAGTGTGTGTGCGGTGTGCCTTCCAGCTACGCGATTTGCCTGTGAGTTCACGATACGGGTTGAGAGGGGAGTTCCTTTGGGGGGGATTAAATAGCTCCCTCTCTTCCTTCCCTCCTCCCCTGCCCTCCATACTTGCAGAACACAAACAGCTTGCAGGGCTGTACAGTACTTGTACAGCATGTTTGCCACAGTGCAGCTCACAGGTAACAATAAGCCAAGGTCAAAGGTTAAGAGGGATTGTGGAGCTCAGATTCTTGTGTGTTCCTCTGGCAAACATTGTGCATGCAGGCACAGGAAACAGAGCCCATGGTATTGCTGGGAGAAAGAAAAAGTGAGAAACAGAGCAGGCAAGTTGGCTCGGAAGAGATGGGGTATGAAAAGACCAATACCAGGGCCAGTTTCACAGAGAAATTTTGGACTGGTCTATAAGGTTAGGATAGTCAAAACTCTATTTTCTTATACAAGTTTTATATCAGTTTGACAAATACCCAAAAAGAAAAAAGACGGATAATAAGATTTCAAATCTTTCCTTCCACAACACCAACTGCTAAGGCTGTCCACTTGAGAAAAAAGACAGAATTCATGGTGAAGGGAAAAACCGACCTATTTATGCGACCTTTTAACTGGGGTCAAAAGTAATAGAGTAGCGTTTGATTTTGACTATTTTATGGGATGGGGAGGGATGTCAACAGAAACGGAAGTCTTTCAAGCACTACGATTACCATCTCTAGGAACAAAGTGTGTGTACGTACTACGGCCGCACAATGCTCTCTAAAAGTAAGACAAAGATTGACAAGAGATACCGTATGGACTCCAAAGAAAAGGGACACTATCATTGTTAGGAGATACCAGCAGTTGCCAGAGGATGATAAGACTCCGAAGACTGCAACCCTTTCCCTTACAGGGCCACACACCTATCTGCAACCCCTCCCCCTTGGAAGAAGAATCTCTTTGGCTCGAAGCACTTGTGGACTCTGGAGCTGTGGGTAACTTTGAGATTAATCCTTTGCCAGAAAACTGTCTGTTCCTATAACCAAGTGTTTCATGGAGCTGATAGTTTAGGCTGCAGATAGAAAATCAGTTGGTTAAGCTGTGGTCCAGTTCCAAACTGTCCCCAAGCTGTGAGCCACGCAAGACTTTCAACAAGATGACAGTATCCTTTGAATTCGTGAGTACCTCCTGATCCCTGGCGTTCTCTTGTACTTGTTTCTTCAATATACTCAGTCCCCTCATCTTCTCTTCTCTTCTTGGAGGTTTTAGTATCTGTTGTGCTTAGCCTCGAGTAAAAAGGTCTCCATCGTCACAACCAGGTCCATTCCAAGGATCAGTATCGGCTCTTAATGTTACCCCAGATTACCATCACCTGGTTGAGGTCCTTACCAATCAGAGACTTAAGCTGTATTCACACATTCACAAAACCTCCTGGATTTTTGGCATTGGCCGTATGGATTGATGCAAAGTGCAGAGTTTTTCACCCTGACTTGACCTGGGCTGGAGAATTCATTGCAAGCAAGGCGACAGGGACGACAACATTTTAAACCATGCAACTGGTGTGAATGCAGAAGAGCAACATGATTAGAAATTTCCAATAACAGAGGTACAGATCACTTTCAAGATGAGTACTTCAAAGATGCTGCAAGTAGCACTGATAGAAATGACTCAGAAAAGTCGATACCCATCAAGTTCCATGAAGGATCTCAAGTATGGTTCTTCTAAATGACCTGCTAGTGCTAGATATTTTACTTTGGTGGAAAGAAAAGCTAGGGATACTATCATTGCATCAATTATCTTTGTTTCTCCTATATTTCAGACATTCAAAGATGCCACAATTTACAACATTGATCAACTCTAGCTTCATTATTATCAGACAAAAAGGAGAAGAAGAAAAAGACTAACAAACCGAGTGGCCTTGATAAATATCTGTTCATGCCTTTGGGGCTGGTAAACACTTCAGCTGCTGCATCAAGAATTTGTCAATTATATTCCAAGGCACATACATTACAGATAAAGGATTAGTATTTGTTGACCTGGTTTACACCTTAGTCTATTTGAGGAATCTTCAGCAGCAAATACTGCACTTGTCCTTGTGATGTTGTTGTAGAGCTCAATCAATCATCGTCTTTCTGTGAAGTTGAAGAGGTCTCTATCATGTTCTCTCAGCATTCATATTAGTAAAGAGCAGTTAAGGAGTAGCTTTATATGTTGTATTTTACTTTTTTTTTTAAGCAACCTCTGTTTCTTACCACTCCTTGAAAAGCTATCTGAGCACTTGGGATGTTGTCTTTCAGCACAAACTTTTGCTAGTTGGTACCAGAATATTAAATATTTTATTATTGAAGGTGAGAATGGGAGTTGTGTATTATGAGCTGCTCAGCCGCCTACTACCTGCCCGGGTCGGAACTGCGGTTCGTGGCTGCTGCCATAATGCTACAAGGGGTTCAGGTACAGTGTGTAAAAATGGGAATATTTACTGGTGTATGTTACCAACTGGGATGCCCAACTGTGGTACCGGTTTATGTGGGGGTGGCATTAAGTACAGAGTCCACACACCTATACATAGCATTCATTGCAGCTGTTGTAGCTAGGGACATAGGTTTAGCTACTGGTATTTTAACGTGATAAGTGCCATATCTGCAGGGCTGATATCACCATTTTCTTTCCAAATGAAAAATGTATTTGACAACATATCGAATCTAAATCAGGAACTAGCTAATGTTTAAAATGAATTCTGCTTTAATATGAAGAATAACGTTATGTAATAATTATGTTGATATTTTTCTTTCTTTATAATTGTCACTGGGCAGACATCCAAAGTCCCTCGTGCCAATATTTCTCTGAGAAAAAATATTTTCCATCTCCTTTTTTTTAATAAAACACTCACTCAAGCTCAGCAATTGTTTTTCTAATTTTGGTATGATTATTAATAATGTAATATAGATATCATATTGGTTATTGGCTACTGCTCTGTCATCATCAGAATCAATATCAGTATCGGCTGTTAATAAATTGATATCGGTCAACCACTAGTTGTAACATTTGTCCATACAGTTTATTTAAACATGGTTGTAGTTGTATATTTTGAGTAGTTAGTATCCATATCATAACAAACTAAAACTTAAACTAATACTGAAAGAAAGAAATACATGACGTCAAACCAAAAACAGCTTTAAAAACATATTAATAACTAAAATAAAACTGGGAAACATGCTGTCTTTGAGCTATACAGAGAAAAACAACAGTCCTGTCAGTTATACTAGGAACTATATTGTAATGTGAACTGAAATGTAAATACATTTTTTAAATGAATATCATTTTTTTTCCCATCTGATTTTACTTGTTTGTTCATTTAAATGAAGTAAAAGTAGGGAAAGAGGCCTATATTGGTTCATGATGATTCCGGTGATATTACTATGGCTCCACTACAGGAAATGTTCGGAATACAGAAGCCTCAAGTGTTTGGATGGGTTTGTGAGAGTGGGGTCCATTTTCAAGAGTTTGTCTGGAGCCCAACAGACTTTTAGGCTGTTATTCTGTCAGAGTATATCCTAGCTACCTGCTGCTTTTCCTTTTTATATGGATGATCACAGAAACCTTTTTGTACCTGCATACAGTGTACAAGTAAAGGTACATGTGTAATAAGAGTTAAGTAGTTTGTGTCTACAGGATGAAGCACTCCAGTTAATTTATTATCTGATCTATTAAAGAGACATTAATACAAGTGTGTTCACGTGTACTTAATAAAGCAATGTATATTGACTGTGGGGCTGGAAGGATTTTAAATACCTGTATATACTCGGCAGAAGAGAAGAAATCGAGCTGCTGATGCCTTAAAATTATATACAATTATTTCAGCCTTCTTTTCTTTAATCTATTTCCTTTTATTTGAAAACAGAGTTTACCCACTTTAAACCCTAAACAGTTTCCTGTCACTTTATATTCACAAAATCTACTGCAGTTTGAGGAAAAGGATGAACCTGGATGTCTGTCTGAACTCTGTTGGTTAGATTTAAGCCATAGTAAAATCTTGTCTTGATAAAACCAGATCCCTTCCTCCGTCAGGCTCTTTGAACGAGAAGGAGATTATCCATTTAATCTCTTAATCATGCACACTGTATACATAGTTGGTGCTGTGCCTAAAACCTCTGTCCTGAACACATGTATTAAAGCCACCTTTTGCAACGAATTCCTCTAACCCCCAGACTAATCAGGTTCGAGCTGACACTATTACACACATTTCTCTTCAGCTGTCAGTTTATTGTACCCTTGGTGCCCTGTTAAAATGAAAGCCAGACCAATGGTGCATAAAATGGAATGTGGAAATATGTAGATTTTGAAATACACCTTTTAAAACCCCTCGTTCTCGCAAATGTATTCATAATAAAGGCAGATGTTTCATAACATCAGGTTACTGTACATTTTGCACAGTATATGTTCCCCAAAAGTAGGAATTAATAATGAAGATGCTTTTTGGCCTGAAATTGCTATTAAAACAATTATGTACTTAGTTTCTTCCAACAAATGCATTCCACATTATTGTTTTGCCTCATAGCAAAGCACCCAAAAGACTAAAACCTTTCATTTCAGCAAAGGCCGCTATTGGTCACCGTCAATAAAAGCATAAAAGCATTTATTTCCCACGTTTGTCAAATTAACAGCATACTCCATCTCCCATAGGACTTGTAAGGTTCATTAACCTTTCTGTGAAGTGGGACAGGTTTCCAGCAGTTACCATAACCTCTGTCTCGCTCCTGCCTCAATTATAATAGAAGAATTAAACATCCAGTGATTCAAAACAGAAATGCTGCCTCTTAAATCCCTTTGTACCAGCTCTCAGTTGTTAATGACTAAAGACACTGAATGAACTGTGGAGTTATCAACAGATAAAACTGTGGACAGAGGCTGATCAAATAGCTACTTTTAACAGCAGGGATTACTGACAATACATGTGCCGGTTTTGTTTGATAGCCAGATTTCAGTGTTTTACAGTTACTGTTCTGCTTTAAATCTGTAGGTTGCTTTTGTTCTCCTGGAAACAAACAGTGTCAAGACTACATGTAAATTTTATTCGGTTAAAACTTGAGGGTTATTTAAGTGTATTAAAGTATTTCACAGGGTACATCAAAATGTTCCCATTTCCTGCAGCCCCTCCAAAGTCAAAAGATTAGACTGACCTTGAACTAATTAAGTGGTCAATTACACGCCTGTTGATCTTTTTTAATTTCTTTTAATTAGATTAATTGTGTGGGCAAAGAGTTCGTTTTCTTGTCCACCTACTCCTCCTTCATCACACACCTCTATTCTTACTTTTTTTGCCTCCTCCACCTCCATGCAAAGACCTTCTACGTTTATGTTGGACTAAACTATTGGCTGTGTTAAAACATTAATCTGTCTTTTCCCGTCCCACACACCTACATCAAAACCCAGTACATACATTTCTACCTACATTTATATCTGTACTGGTTTACTTTCTTGGTGTATTTATGGTCTCTCTTCCTGAAACCGCTGTAACCACAGAGCAGCGAGGCCTGTTGCTTGTGTGTTTGTGCCTACTGATGCTACTCGTAGGCAAGCTCCGGCTGGGATTTTCCAGTGCCACCCCCGTCAGTGGGAAGCCCTATATGGGGACATGTCAGCGCCTTGTTTGCTTGTTGTGCTGATGAAGCTGGGGGTGGGGCGAGTGGGCAGCCTTGTTCAGGTTCCAGGATTCCCTTAAAAAAAAAAATGAGTCAGCCAGCCCCCACTCAAACCGACTGTTACCTTGGGAACTCAAGCTTGGGTTTCCCTCAACAGTAGTTAAGTACAGACTCATCAGCACCCATACTTGCTTACACACACAAAGAGAACTGTAGGGGCTTGGAAGAGGCACCCAGATTAAATGAAATTATCTTATTAAAATGCTCTCACTTTGGCCTTTACTCTGCCCTGTTAGGCCCAATCTGCTCTATGTGAATGAGATGACCAACCCAGCACGGCTCACCTTGTTAAATTGTAGTGTATGCAAATTAGACTAACTAGATGAGTCTAATAATGAGTTTGGGTGGCTAGTTTCCTAAACCAGTGGTTTGAGTAATAATTTTCTCCCCTATTAATGAGCCAGACCAGTGTAGTGTAGGTTTAGTACATCAGACTGTGTCTGTATTGTCAGTGATGGTTGAAGTTCACTTAATAACTGGACTGTTTATGTATCCAACACAGTTCATTACCAAAGCCAAATGAGTTCCTTCACTGAAGCCATTAGTCTAGCAGGCTATCGGTTAGTGGGTTAATTTGTTGATGCACTGAAGCAGATCAAGGGTGACTCCCCCACTCACATTCACCCTGTCCTGCTGAAGCCAATCCACCCCGCTCAGCTGATCACCATTAGGTTGCTTTAACAACTCGTCATCCCAAACTCAAGCCCATTTAACTCAAACATGATCCTCAACTACACAGCTTTACCAGATTAAAAAAGACATTAAATTCATATTTTTTGAATAATTTTGTAAATATATAAAATCTGGGATTAAACCACAAGGGAAGTTAGATTACGGTGTGTACTTGGGTATGAATAAATGAATTGGGAAAAAATGAATGGGGGAAAAAAAACATACCTTTCACATACTATAACTGCCTAGCAATACCATAGGATGTAACATACCAGCTGCTCAACTGAGAACCAAAGGTTGCCTGCAACTAAATAAAGGCTGGCATTTATCCCAGTTTATGCATCACTTGGTTGTGCCAAAGTTTGTTTTGTGCCATCCTTATCCATCTGAGAAGTGTAGTATGACCTGCAAAGGCCACACCGCAGCTTTTGAAGAACACTGGAGAACATTCAGTGCAGAAATCAGGTGTTGCTGAAGTTCACAGCAATGTTGAAAAGGTGAAGCCATCTGTCGGCTTAGCTCTGATGCCATTTTTCAGTTTGTGGTTCACTCTGCACAGTTATTTTGCTACAGTTATATGGACACATACAGAGGTTTGGTGTCTCTTTCCTCAGTTAATTCTAAGGAGAAGAACTATGAATTATTGTCATTAGTAATAGAACCCATTCAGCTCAAAGTAACCAAAGTAAGTATGGCACACATGCAGATTATAAGAGACTTTATAGACCATTGCAGTAAAGAACTGGTATTTACCACCAGTTGTGGTGTTATCAGTTATCTGAGCCTGACTAACTCAGTGGTGATGACGTCCCACTTAGCTTATTCCCCCAAAGACAAAGTCACCAGGCTTATCCTACATTCATGACCCAATACCAGTCCACTGGACCGAACAGCTTCACCAGTCTATCAAACTTAAGTTATGTACCTACACTTATCCCTGGGGTAATGCACATGGTCAACTTCTCTCTGTCAACAGGCTTTTTTTGTACTGCATTCAAGGACGTGCATGTCAGCCCCACTGCTAAAAACCATCCTCAACCCACCCTTTGTTGAAAACAACTGAGCAGTTTCACCTCTGCCTTTCCTGTCAGAAGTACTTGAGCTTACAGTCTTTAACCAGGTCTCTGAGTTCCTGCACAACAAAGACAACGTCTTTGACCCAAATCAGTCCGGCTTGAAGCAGCGCTGCTCTACTGTTAACTGCACTTCTGTTGGTAATGCAGATGCAGGAACATTTTCAGTACCATCTCAGTTCTGTTGCTGCCTCCTCGCCACTCTTTCTGAGCTTGGTATCTCAGGATTTGTCTTTCATTGGTTCATGTCCGACCTAGCAGGGAGGTCTTTGGAATATCATAGAGTAGAGGTGCGAACCATTTGCCTTATTAACAGGAGTGCCTCAGAGTTCAATGTTTGGTCCCTTCTCCTTTTACTCTCATGGCAGGGATGAGATTTGCTTGTCCCATCAAAAGTTGATCTTCTTGTCACCTCAGCCAGTTCTTCTATGTAACCACAGATTAATACCAAGGTTGGGTCAACTATACTCATGCCCAGTAAGCCCACCCAGAGTCTGAGTATCAAGATTGATGACTAGCGAACATTTTAAGGGATTGCTTTTGTTGTTTTTGTTGTTGTTTGTTGTTTGAAGCAGGTTTTTTTGGTCAATAATGAAAGTTACTTCTTTTTAATTTAATACTATCATTATTTTTCTCAGAAAGAGCTGGGCAGCAGACTTGATGACACTTTGGATGACAGCTGTGAGACATAGAGAAACAAGTTCTTCCAAATTGCTGCTATTGGTAACTGGCATTATTGAATTCCCACTGAGCATTTTTTGGTCTAAAAGAGGTCTAATAGACATCTAAATGTAGCCTAGATAACTGGTCTAAAATCAGGCTACCATGGGTCTGAATTTAGACCAAGTCTAATCTGGGCTATATCTATACTACATTGTATATTGCTCAACGGCGATCATAATTATTTTGGTTAAGTACTTGGAGATCAGTTATGCAACTCACAGTTGCGTTTTGGGATAAACAGCGATCGAATAACGGGTCAAAGTGCAACGTCTAGATTCCTTCTAAAAATATACAAGATCTAGACGGTTGAAATTAGGTCTAAAAAAAAAAACTAGACATCTCATAGCCGTCTATTGCTCAGTGGGTTACTATACACCAAACAAATTTTAGTAGGCTTACAGTATCAGACAACATGACGTGTTAGTCTAAACTTTGCCCCTGCGCCACAACCGCCCCAAGATGGCTTTTCTGAGGTCTCGGCCAAACACTGACCAGTGACTCTGGAGGACTGGATGCATCTGCAGGGTGAGACAGCCTGACAAGTGGTTTATGCCCTTTGTGTGGAGTGGCAAAATGGTCAAAGGAACAACTGAGTGATTGCCCAGTGGTTGGCATCTTCAGATTCAAGGCACTGCAACACCTTACTCAACTGTCTTGTCTTTTCTTAGGATCACCTTCAACCTTCTGCAGTTATGGCTGGAGTTGTTGTTAAGGGCTGAGTGTATTTTGTCATTAAACTGTTGAATATCATGCCAAGTACACTCAAAAAGTCAAATGACCCCACTGCTCTCCTTTCACTCATTAAAATGGAAAACCTCGGCCCTACTTATTTCAAATCCAGACACGGCAGATTGCAGTGAAATCCTGCGTCCTTTTGATAACTTAGTCCCGTGTTTGAGCAGTTATGCGTTTCCTCATTCCACTTGGGAGGGGAAAAAAACAGTCTTTAACCTGTAAACGATGAGATCCTTAGGAGACACAGACTTTTAATTCACAATAACCCTGCAAATGAATGGGCTGATTACTGAGGCGAAGATGAGGAGGCAGTCATAAGCACTTGGCTTGAGTGGAATAGGCGAAGGGGGGGGAGGGGTGGCTGTGGCGGTACAAGTCCAGCCTCAGAAATAGAGCTGTGAACACCATCTGTCATGCTCTCTCTCCCCGTCTGTTAGCCTGACTGCAAGTAAAAGGGAGAATGATGCTCTCAGAACTGCATTAGAAGGACGTGGGTGCTGATTGTCGTAGGTGTGGGTTTACAGGGTGTGCAGCAGAGGGGGAGGGAAGCAGTGGATATACAAGGAGGTGCATGAGTAACCGACAAAGGGAAGCACTCACCCACACAGAGAAAGGAAAGGGTTCTTGGGCAAGTGGGTATTCCTGGTGAAACCGCACCCCTGCACCCACCCACCACCTCCTCACCGACTCCTACCTATTGGCTCTTTCCGAGGATTCCTAGCGGAAGTTATGTAGACACATTATACAAACACACCGCTCGTGTTCTACTTTAAGGCCTGGAGGAGTTTACAAATCACGCATTGTATTGTTAAGCAAGATGATACCTGTAGCACCAACTTTGGGCATCCATTTTTAGACCAATAGGAAGTACATCCAAGTAATGATCTTCCTAAAAAGTTCAGGGAGGGTAAAACTGCTCTGAACTCTGAACCAATTCTGATTCTTTGTTCTGATTATGATAAATCAGTTGGTCTGTATCAGCTTTTATGTGGAACAGAGAGCCAGAGTTTTTTGCTCTGAATATTGGTGGTTGAAGTGTCAGGCTATTACATGACCCACAGAAAAAGCTCTGCTGCAGTGCTTTTTCCAGATTTTTAGAATTATTCATCGCTCATATCGTGTAGGTTGTTCGGGATCCTTTTTGCTTTTGACTGAGTCAGAGAGTGAAATAGAGTCAGTAAAACACGAAGGCAAGCTGGGCCACGATGAACAACAGAAAAAGGCAGGATGGAGTGTACTGAACATCACAGCTGGACTGTTTAGAAAGAGGTTACAAGCTCCTACAGAGCAAATAAAGTAACCTTCAGCGACAACAATCCATCTGCATTTTTACATACATAGTAAATCTTCTCTTCTGAGTGTCTGTTTTTATTGTTACGCAGTTCATTCCAACAACTACTTTTAGGTCAAGACATCTTGTAGAGACTCTGTAAGAGGGCAGGTTTCCTGTCGCAATACTCAGACCCTTCATCTGAAAGTTTGTGTCCCTACTCACTACACCCCCTGCTGCCACAAACGCACCAGTTTACGTCTGGACCCTCTCTGTCAGTGTTGTCACAGTTCAAAACAACATTAAACTCATCAATCAGACCCCTAGATAAAAAACAAGTTTGCTTTTTTTTTAAAATTCAAACAAATTGCAAACAAAAATAAAGTTATGAATCTGCAGGATTTATTGATAATATTGTTCAGATGTACTTTTTTGTCCATAAAAAGTCCTGGCCTTTGCTGATTTCTCTCCTGTTCCTGCCTGTTTGTCTCCACATCTAAGTCTTTATATTAAAATTAGTACGCACTTCCTGAAAGACTGACATGCTTTCGAGTACGATGATCCTCTCTGCGCGGTATGTTAAGTAACAAACAGCCATTTTGACACTTTCAGTTTTTATCTCGGTCAGTTCCTGCGTCTCCCACACTGTTCACTGTGTGATTCACTATCACAGCTACAGGAATGGGCATTCCCCTTGTATGAGAGGATGCACAGTCACATTTTGTTTCATTAAATAACTCTGGAATTACTCTCCTTCTCTAAAATTATTATACCATTGGCGTTTTTTCTCCAGGTGCAGTCTGATGATCTGTATGATGAGTTACATCTTGATGATTGTCAGAGTGTAAGATTCAGTGGGAGGATTAGAGATTAGTGGTTAATGCTGGTTTATTAATTATTCAGATCAATACCCAGCAAAATTCTGTCAGTGTACACAATTGAGCTTCTTGCCGCTGTTTTGTTGAAACACGTGTCCACTGTGATAGAAATGATGGTTTTATTCAGAGGGAATCCATACACCAAACCATTTGACATCTGCCCACAATATTATGACGTTTTAAGTAGACAAACATGGACATACAGGTGAGATGAGTCAACATTCAAATCCGCAAACAGCTTAACAAGACCGCCTGACCTATTTGCATGTGTTCCTCTTATTAGTCACTGTAGCTTTGTGTTAAAATACGTAACATTTGCACCAGTTTGGTTGAAATTTAGGTTCTCTATTCTTTGTATCTTAGTAAACAGCAGAGTTATTTGTCTGGATAATCAAATGAATACAGTTGTCAGTGTAAAAAGATGTGATGTGTTTATTCTTTTATTGGAGATCACTGCAGCTTCAGAGGTTTAGAAACTCAACATTTTTTGTTTGACTTCTTAAAATTCTGAGTTCTATCCTGTTTGAAAACATCATTGATCCAAGATTAACTTCATCCATGCACTATGTGGCTTTTGATTCCCCTTAATAAAGCTTTTATGGATTTATTACATCAAAAACTTCCTTCAGTGAAAGCAGCATTTAGACTCCTCAGCTGGAGTTCAACCGGCTTTAATAAGAGACCAGTGTAAGAGTTTGTTCATCAGTGCATTGGTAGAGCTCAAATACATGACTGGACCTTGTAATCAAATAATAAAACTTTATTTTTTATGACATTCACATTCCCAGGCTTCAAAAAGACAGAGTTTAAGAGAAATCATTCGACAGGCTCAAACAACACTGATTGAATTCAGTAAAATAACTTGACAAGTAACAAAGAAAATATCTAGAGTTTTATTTCAATTTATTTTTTATTTTTTAACATTAATACAAAGTTTCCAAGCATATCTTTACTTAAAAAATCCCTGTAAGTATGAAATGATTCATTGAAACCATGCTTTAAACTGCACCTTTCCTTGGAAACAATTAACACAGTGAGCAGCTGTCAGTCATTTAGCGGTCAGAACTTTTTGTGCTCCCCCACAGTGGAGTCCCTGAGGGAGGACGCCCACCATGTGAGAATATCTTGAAGATTAGTGTGAGGGGGTCCATCTCTCCCCAATGAACACTAGAACAAGAGTCTGACCTCAGCACTGCCCCCCATGTCACAACATATATTCATGTAAACCTTTGTATAAGTCACAGTAACCAAGCCATCACCCCCCGATTACTTTTTAGACTAGACTCTAGACTTAGATGTTTACATTCTATCGTTTGTGAGTTCTGCACATTATTGACTTGGGTTTCATTATTTGGCTGAATTCCAATATCACATTCATTTGCTGTTGTTTTCACTCTATGTATTGTAATGAAATTAAAAGGGCAGGGGGTGCCGCGAAGAGTGAGCGAGAGATGAGCATAAAGATGTGGGAAAATGCTGCATGCTCAAATGTTGACTACCTGTTGCTATGGCAATGGGTTTGGATCCTGCAGGCTGCAGGACTCTTGCTATTTCTAAATAAAGATTTTTTTTTTCTCACTGATCAGCGGATGAAGATCCTCACAGTTGAAACTAATCTTCTGAATTTTTACCAGTCTGTGTAAACACTGGTGCTCTGCTCTCTCATACTTACGGCTAAAGCTCCTAAACAGCAGTTACAGGATTAAAGAGGGGATGATACACAATAGAGGACATATGCTCTGATACTGCTGCAACAGTTTCTTACTGAAGGAATCAAATATAAATAATTAATATTTGTAAATGAATCATTACAAAGTGTATATCAGTCATTCTGGCATACACACTATGTGCTTATGACTATAGAGTTGTAGATTTTCATTTGGCACTACTTACCATGACAGCATTTCATCAGCTGCCAGAAATTTAAAAAAAAAAACCTGCAATTGATCAATCAAATTTTTAATGTCTTTTACCATGTAGTATTTTCCCGTGCTTGTGAAGAATAAACCCTGGATTTATTTATCAAAATTTAAGGATCAAATACTCCTTGAAACATGGTAATAAATCCACCCCCCTCGTTTGGAAAGATCAAAATATCTTTGTGCAAATGTGATTTCATTATTCCATATATGTCCTGCTAATAAACTCTACAAAATACAATTGTACAGCATGGTCTGAGTCTACATCCCTCAAGTAAAACAGCTCACTGTTGTTTACTACCATAAACTGCACTTTGTTTGTTTTCTATCTGCAAGCATACTGAGGTGTCTGCTTAAGGATCATAAGAGACGCGGAAAGAGCCTCTTGTTCTGCCCGTCTTTTGTCCTCACATGCTGTCTAGTAACACAGTACCTTGGTCCCCCTGTGGGGGGAGCCTGTGTGTGCAGAAAAGAGGACAGAAATAGGTGGTGAGACCTGATATTTGATGCCCGTGATGGGGACTTCCATGCTTACCTCAAGTGGGTTTTGGGCCGTTTCTCAGACAACATATTTAGTCCTTTTCCTCCCACTCGAGGATGCAGCAGAAGCAGCCAAGTCTATTAAACAAACATCCCTGTGTGCTTTCTGGGGCTCAGGCAGTTTAACCTGACAAATATACAGTAGAAAAATTCTCTGGAAAAAGATTCACGCTTCACATCAAGTGACATGATAGCAGTCTCCAGGCAACAGGGAGTTAATATACAATTAATAATATAGAAAAATAACCATCTGTAAGTCCTGGACTAAGTGTTTTATTTTGCTTTCAAACTGCATTTTGTTTGAATTTTCTCCTGATAGTATCACAGTTGTTTTTTTTATGAGTAGTATAACATTATGAACACTTACACCAGTTGTTGTGGGTGTTCATGCTGTACTTACACAACATTAAAAAGCTTCCTAAAAGTAGAATTCAGAGCTGTTGTTTTGGGTTGCATTAGGTTGCGCAGGTGTACATGATGTTTTAGCTGGTTAGTAAATTTTTATGAATATTTTTTACATTTTTCTCTAGCTGTCATGAACAATTTGTAAAGGACATGCCAGAAATGACATGTTTCTGTCTTTTTTACCAACTGAACTCCTTATTATGACAGTATATATCTAATTTGATATGAATTTGGCAGATTGGGTTATAGAGAACGACCTAGAATTGAATGCAGTCGTATGTTAAAAGAGAGTATCCCAAGGACTGACAACAGAGCTGTGTTAGCATTAAATATCTTTACTCTTTCTTGACATATTGTAAATATTACTTTGAACTAAACCTTTGTAGCTTTCCAAAATCCTTAATGTGACTTACTCTGTATCTGAATCAACAGGGAGGTGCACTCAAGGATGGGCGGTTAGTTGGGAGGACCCTCACTGGTAAGTACTTTCCTCAATCAAGCATTCAATTTGTGATCTCCTCTTGATTTATTCTTATGAAATAATTCTATATTATACAATAAAAATAGGTTATTCATTAAGGTGGGTAGAAATTCACCTTATTATTATAAAAATTGAAATCAACTTATCTCTGTGTTTGTTCATGCGCAACACTAAAACTGCACTCAACTCTTTTAAGAGCCAATCTGCTTTTATTCTGAAGCAGCTAGTGTAACTGTTGTGACAAGCGTGGACACAGAGAGATGGAAAGATTAGTGTTTATCATCTTACAGTGTTATTCAACTGAAAAAAAAACATTCATGGTTATTATTAATATGGTTCAAGAATGCTGCAAGTCCAAGGTTAACAGACACAAAGTGATCACTGGTTTATTGTAGAGTAGATATCCACGTGCATGAAGAGGATGGATTTTCTAATCTTGGCTTTCTTGACTTTGATTTTTGTTGATTTATTCTTGCAGACTACCATCCTCCATCTCCACCGTCTAAAACTGGTTTTCACCGCTACCAGTTCATGTTGTTCGAGCAGCCTCCAGGCGCCCAGGTGTCGCTCACCGAGAAGGAGAACGCATCCCGTGGTAATGACCCATCTCAAACCTTCAGTTCACAGCTGACTAATACACATATCATCCATCACACACTAATAGGACAACAGTTGGATGTTTAACCAGTGAACACAAAGCTCGAACACTTCCTCTAGATCACCCACATAATAATCTTTAACAGTTTTTTTTTTTTGTTCTTTTTAAATCAGGTACTTTTTAATATTTCTATTTCTTGACTCTTCACAGGAAGTTGTGTCATCTCTTGACACTCGAATGATTAAGGTATTGCCTCATGTGCTTGAGTGGGCTTAATCCTTTATTTAGAGTGACATATTTCCATATTAGGTTTTAACAAATGTCTCCCTGATTTTGCTGAAGCCGCTATTATTAGTGGTTTGATTTATTACATAAGAAGTCAAGAAGACACTCGAGCCCCTTCTTTAAGCTCAGCTTTTAGTTTGTGGGTGTGTTTCCTGAAGACGTTTGGAGTGTCTCATAATTATGGCCATTATGAATAATTAGCCTAAGCATTTGGAGTTGCTTTTGGAGGAGATCGTTTTCTTCAAGTGTTTAAGTTAACAAGGGAAATGTTAATGAGGTTAGTGAGTAAGTCTGCTGCATTGTGAATGTCTGCAGGGTCAAGATGCACGGCTCCCACGCACACCTGCACGTGTCTGGTTGACCACATCTTGTTAACCTCCACCAGACCTGAGATCTGTGTCAGCCGTGTCAGCATACATGAACTCTGTACATTCGCTCATAACCTTGTTTGCTGCTAGTATCCGCGGATGGATCTCTTAGTTTGTCTCTCAGAGGACAGTCATGTTTGTCTTGTGGAGTTTTGTTTTTTTTTCTTTAGGCTCTCAGACTTTTCCTCCCCCTGATCAAAAGTCTCTTGAAGGTGGGAAACTTCACCTCAGTATACAGCACAGCACCTCACAGGAGGCGTGCCTGTCTGTCTGCTCTACTCGGGTCGCAGCTGGTGATTTGCGGGGAGACTGGGGCGGTTCGAGACTTCAAGCTCCGCAGCCCTGAATGTGCAGAGCTGCCAGTCTTTGCTGTTTGAAGTCTTGACAGCTATGTCAGCAAACAATCCAGGCAAATTAGACTGAAATCTGTTTGATGTCGAAGCCCCTGGAAAATGAAATGTCAAAAGAGATGTACTTCGGAGTATTTTACATACTCAAAAAACTTACTTTGGAGGAGATAAGTTTTCATCACATTGTTAAAGAATCGAGTGTGTCAGAACTGGTTAAGCAAAGAAGACTGATACCGTGAATAACAGAGTGCTGTTTAAAATATTTTAATATGTTTTTGTGGCAAATGATAAACTGGAGCATTCTCATTTTCTGTTCTGATACAGTAGTTGCCCCCACATTATGGAGCGATTGAACTGAGTTGATCCACCCATCCTTAATCCGCTGGATGAGTTTAACTCCCGCTGCTGTACTTCCTCTCTCCTGCACACTGCTCTCTCTATTCAAAGGAAATTGAATTAAGATATTCACTCGCAGATAATCAAATGTTTCATTTGAAGGGTCGACTCTCGAAAGGATAGCTGCCTTTGTAAAGAAGGTAATGGAAATAAACCTTGTGACTTATTGAAAAGGACAGTCTGGTTATAGGTTATGAATATGGGGGATACTTTATTTGATGGTAAATGTTGTTTTAGAAAGAATCAGCCATGTACCTGCTGTAATACTACCTGCTGCATTTTTGGTGGGATGAGCACGGTATTCCCGCTCAGACAAGAGGAACAGAGGGAATCCCATGTCTCCCCACCTCCTCCGTTAAGTATGTTCACTTATTAGCGTCTGTCCTCCCTCCATGTGGTTTGACACTGAGAGCATTTTTCATAGTCCATGACATTAATTGATGTGATTTGCAAAGGGGAGAGCATTTAGTCGTGGGTGGGAGACTCCTAATGATCGTTTTCCACTTCCAGTCGCTCAGTCATTGACTCAATTTTATCGCAAATTTGTTGTCTTTTTTCTTTCATCTCTGACCATCACTTGAGTAGTGAAGTGGGTGAACAATGAGAGGTGGAGCTGAGCGGAGCTGCTGTGTGAGATTCTGCTGAGCCTCCTGTGTTAAGGTTATGAATGTAGGTCAGTGAACTCATGCAGACAGCTGGTTTGTTACACAAGAAACTACAGGGGGGCTTCACTCTTGGCACCGGGCACAGGGGTGTGATCGAAGGGGAATCCCTTTTTGCTCTGGCTCAGGAAGGCTGTCCCTCACTGAACGCTGCCCCCTGTGCCAGGGTGGGGGGCAGGCGGGGGCAATACAGGCCCTCGTGATACTTGTTAGCCACTTGGCAAGCCCTCAATATGTCCTGCTACTGTTTAGTGCCTGCGAGTCAGTTTGTCAAGGGAAACAGCGTTACAAAGCCAGGGAAGGAAATGATGAGGCCTTCAGAGAGGCTAACCAGAGTTGATGCAACCTATTTACACAAGTCCTCACTCACTTACACACATACAGCGTATAAATCCAGTCCTTTGACCCTTTACTGGGACCTTCATAAAGACAGATCTGTATGAAAAGTATCGGCTAAAAACAAGTATTAAAAATAGAAAACAAATCCTTTTTTTTTACATTTCTCTGTTGTAAATAACAAGCTAGAGGATGTATGTGACTCTCATGTTCTGTGAATGAACGGATCACAGTGGAGTTAGCTGCTGGATGCTGCACGTTGCTCATCTTGCCTCCAAGAGCCCCTACTGCCAGCTCAGCACACTCCACAGTAATTGAAGCCATTTGCAATGTTGCAGTGTGGTAATGGGCAGATCCATGTCTACCACCCACCCACAGCCTCTACCATTAATCAGAGCTGCGTGGAGTCAAGAGAGCCAGGATTTGGTTGCTACAGCAGGCCTGAGCTTCAGCCAGGAGTCGGCTGCCTTAAAGGAACACTTTGACGTGTTAAATTTTGGCTGGTTCGGGTTTTTTTTTTTAGTTGTTGTTGTTCTTATCTCAAAAACTGCTTGTGAGATATGAGGTTAAAAGTTTGTAAGATTTTCCCAAACTTTCCTCATTTAATGCTGGTTTCAGAGTGATAATGCTGCTGAAAAAACAAAAAAAAAACAAAAACGGTATACCCACCATCGATCCACAAGAGAATAACCAGTTTATTATCTGTGATACTTAAAGCAAAAATGCCTGATATCCCCGGTTCCAGATTTTCAGATCCTTTTTTTTTTCGCACTGTTGGATGGATAAAAAAAGAATTTTGTGAAAGTGCCTTGAATTGTAGTCAATTGTGATTGTGTACTGGTATTTTCGCCATTTTCTCAAAATGTAATGAAATAATGGTTCATTTACCGTCATAAAAATTAACACTGATTCGTTTGCAAAAGAAAAAAAAAAGAAAAAAAAATGTTAATTGCAACAATGATAGTTTATCATTTATCACGAAAAATGGAAGTTGCAGGTGAACTAGCTAAAAAAAAAAAGGCCTGTATTATGTCTGGTGAGGTGAAAAATGCAAACTGGTTATAACTCAACATGTGATTAATCTCTGAGGAGAATTCTGGAGTCTTCAGGGAAGTGACAGCATCTGCTGATAATGTATGCTGCTATGTTGACAGCAATCTCAGAGCAAAAACACGCAGCCAAATGCTGTGACACCTTTCCTTTACTCAGCCCCCCACACCCATACCCATAGCAGTTATCCTCTCCGCAGACGCATCTGAGAGCATTACTTTCCTTCAGGCCAGAGGCAATGACCTTTGCCCTCTAACGTCCACAAAGCACTAGCCCTACATGATAATAGGATTGGATAATGATTCTGGATGTGTAGTGATAAAGCTCACAGAAGCTCTTCTACCTCATCCGTCTCCTCTCACTCTCCTGTGATGAACAGGATCACTTGGTTTGGAGTATTTTTGAGAGACTATAAGAGGTTTAACAGGGACACCGCCCACACCACTAAATGTAGCAGCTCTGTGTCACCTCACAGCAGTCCCGATCTTCCTGCCATACCCAGACGGAGCAGCAAGGTGGAAACAAAAGGGGAGTCAGGAAGACTTTAACATCGCCCTCAGGTCCCACACTATCTGTCCTTTCCATGAGCAGACAGATGGGAGAGGTGGAAACACGTCTCTGCACTACAAACACACACCAGCCTATTTTAAGGTCACTTTCAAGTCAAGACATTTGCAGGGTGGCAGCCAGCGTGATAGCACCAGATATTGTGAATTAGTCTCATTTTGGATTGCGCCCAATGATTGCACAGCTTTAGACAGGATTATGTGTGTAAAGCCTTACAAGCAGCGCCTGGTTTTGACTCTCTGAGGATCGTTACAATAAAATGATCTCCAGTGTGACAGCCTCTGTTAGAGGAAATGTTGCTCTACACTGTGAGGTAGGTTCACTCGATAAAAAAGGCAAAGTGGAAGTTTTACTATCGCTGCATGACTGCTTTAAGAGCAGAATCTGTCATGAACTATATCCTGATATTCAGTGTAAAGTTTGTCACCCAGCTGCCTCACCCCTCAGCTTTTGAGGGAGTTTAAGGATCTGCAGAGGCGGTGAATTATCTCCCACTGGAGCACAGACCAGAGGGGCTGCCGGGGCCGTGCCCTACAATACGGACAGGTCACCTGATTCCATTGCCCTCACTTGATTATCAGAGCCCTTTCTGCAGACAGCATTCAGGTACTCATCTGCTCACCTCCCCGTTATTATTCATCATTCTCCCCAGCTGAGCTCAAAGCCTGATCTCATGGTACAGACGGACACAAGGCTGCTAGGCTTAGAAGCTAAATGTGTAGGGGGGACGAGGAGGCCAGCGAAATCCCCACATTAGTTGAGGTACAATTTGTTAATTTCAAAACAGATACAACCATATTATTTAAAAAAAAAAAAAAGCCGAAACTTGCAATGAAAGTTTGTCGAAAATGGAAAAAAAATCTGTCTGATTTAGCGCTGCGCTGATATGCATGGTGGTTACAAAGTGCATTTCTTCTCCCAGATCTTTCCCTGGATGCTGGAGGAAACAAAATGTTGCTCCTTGATGGCAAAAACAGCCACAGAGAAGGCCTGTAAAGCAGCCGTATCCAGAGGTGAAAGCAGTAATGTTTCTATCCAGGCAGAATTAGACCAGAGCCCTAACTGAAAGACCATTCCCTCTTTGGATCTGGAGCATTTCAATAGTTGGCTTTCTTTTCAAAAGATTTACTTTCTTTCTCTTGAGCATCTGTTAATGTAATTCCTGCACATACGGAAATACCAGAATGTCAGCGATTCCCTGGATTACGCGGCACGGCATTGTCTTCTGTACACCCAAACATACACCCATTCCCTCTAGTATCTGTTGGAGTTTGCAAGTTTAAAGCACACAGGGTTTTGTTGCCTTGGAAAGATAATTGTGAATTTGTCTTTTTTTTTCCTTAAGGGAGGAGAAGCTGCAGGGAATCAGTGGTTGTCAAAATCTAAGAAGTGATATTGTCATACCAGCCGGATGGCCGTCTGGTGTTTGTTTAAAAAGGGGAGGGAAGAAAAAAAAGAAACAGTCCAGGCGATTGAATCATATCTTCTTGCCAATACGTCCTTGCGTTCCCACCTCCATCATTACAGCAACATGTTTTATTTTCAGCAGTGCTGTTCTCAGTGACTCACATCCCAGAGCCATGTGCTGCTCAGTTAGGCCTCAGATCCCTTAAACACGGCCCGAGCGGTCAGGAGAAATTATGCTCCTGCTATACACCAGAGATTATGCTTAGATAGTGCTGAATTTATGTGGCATATTGTAAGAAGAAAATATGTTGTCTTGTAAACTTCTGGGGTTTAACTGCTTTAAGTTATTTGATCTGCATTTTATCATAATATCAGACTATAAAAACAGGTATTGGGGAACTTTTAATCTCCAAATACAAAATAATACTAACATTTCTTTGTGTTTGTGTCATTCTCTCTACACAGGTAAATGGGATCTCTCTGCTTTCACCAAGAAGTTCGGTCTTGAAGCGAAAGTGGCCACCCTGCAGTTCCTCACCAAAAACTACAAGGACTGACAGATCCTTAACATCTGAAATATAGCGTTAAAGAAATGTCTGTCAGCACAATTCAATAAAATGATTTTATTCTTTACCTGAAATAACAGCACCTTCAAAGCATGCAACAGGCCAGCTGTCTTTGTTCTTATCTTATCACTCAGTTAGACAGAGAGTTCCTCTTTGTGTTGCGCCAGCTGCTGTTTTTTGATGTTGCTCTGTATCTGTATCTCGCGGTCTGGAGCGAAGGATTCAGGAGATAGATTTTGACCTCACTGGGGATTTCTTATTAGTTTCCGAACACTGTCGGCAAGAGGAGGAAGACGGCCTGATATCACAACTGTGTGGAAAAAAAGTTGACTCTAATTCAGGGACGGAAACACGTCAGGGCCAAAAAAGGAAGTGGGAGGTGAAACCGAGACCGCAACACAGCCGGATGCCGCAGTGGAACTTGAACCAAAATACTCTGCAGAGTGACAGGGCAGAGGGGGAGGGGCTGCGAGGTCTGTGTTGTATTGGGTGAAGGGAACTTGCTGTTTGTGTCATTGTTTATCATATTTCCATTGACCACTTTTACTTCAGATGGAAACACTGAGCTAATTCAGGTTCTCGATCGACTCTTTTAAAGTCAAATCAGCTCTTAAACGTTTAAGCGTCCTTGACTGTAACTTTGGGACTATGAACCAGTTTTGAACTGTGGACGGTTGCATAAGAGGCCCACCTGGCAGGTCTGCAGAGGATGCTGTGGATAAACTTTTCAACCCTTTCACGAGGAGCTACTTTTCTGACTTCACTGGTCTTTGTAGAGGGTGGGTCAGAGTACCCCCCAGGAGGAGTATTGGTTTCTAACCAGCAACTCTCCTCGGGGAGGGGTTTGTATCAATACCCTAGATGTCTGAAAAAGGCTGGATTTACATCAGCCACTTTGATGTCCTGATGATCAATCTTTAGTTGGTGGTTTCATTGACCCTAATTTGGTGTCTCATCAGTGGGCTCGGCAGGAGTAGGTAATGGAGGTTTTTGTTCCTTTGGTGGTTAAGCCAGCCTTGGTAAACCCCTATGTGCCCCTTCCATGAACTCTGAAAGATCATTGATCAGATTGTCCTGCATCTTCTTTGTTTGCCTCACCGACTTAGCAGTCTAAGCAGCCGCGTCCGCAAACAAAACAACCAAACAATGCACACAAGCACACAGTGAGACAGACAGTCCACTGCTTTTTGAGCAGATATGAAGTATCCGCCGGTTTGAATATCACTCTTGACCTTGATTTACCCGTCTTATATGACTTATGAAATCACATTTTGAACAATTGGCAAGGGGAGTATAATTCCACACTCATTGTGAGGCATGCCAAGTGGGAGAGCATTCTTCCAAAAACCACCTACTTGAATCCATCAGTACACCATTGAAATGCCAAGATTTGTACTTCCAAATACACTGTGCATTTTTTCTCCTTTATATCGTGGAGATATCCTGCCAAAACAGCTGGGTTTTGCCACTCAGCTTCCTTCAATGTGTTTATTTTTACTCCAAATGTCAGGAGAGTTGAAATATTCTGATTAAGAAAAACTGACAGCTGTAGTTCACCAGTGCGCGCTATATTGCCTCGTCTGTAAAAAAAAATAGAAAGAAGGAAAAAAAACTTCTCACATCCCCTGATGATTCGAGAAAAGCATTTAATATTTTCTTAATTTATTCAAGTTTACATTAATTAAAGGAATTTGTATAATCAATTCAATAGCCTGACAGGCACTAAGTGATCTAATATGCATCTCGACTCGAGTCGCCATTTGTCTTTTCTATCTGCTGCTGAAGAGGAGATGGGTTTCACTAGAGATTCTCTGCTTTTCACTTGTTGTGTTCAGTGGTGAAATAGATTCAAGTGGTACAACTGTTTGATCCGTGTCAGCAGTATAGTCTGCAGAGCATTTTGCTACTCCTTTTCTATACATTTGACCCCAACATATACTGTAGATGCTGTCTTGTAAAATCCTGCTAGAGAGCACCAGTTTAAATAAATCTACCTGGATGTTTGAGTCCAACCTCTGATTAAAAAAAATCCACATAAATATCCTTCCATTAGGCTCCATTAGAAGTTTGCTTACATTCACAGGCAGGAACACAAAATTGTCAAATGTACCTTTTAAAAGGTGAAGTTTTCTGCCCTGGCCTTGTGTTTTAAATGCATGTTTTTATCTCTTCCTCACTTTGAAAGAAGAAACTGAGAATATGCCAATGGAGAGCAATAGTTATGATGCCCAATTCAAACCTCTGCAAGTTACTTGATGAGGTAATACCATAAAAGCATCTGCATATTTGATTATCTCTACTTTATAAACTACACCAGCATAGCCATTGCAGTTATACTTTCACTTTTGCTTTGACTTCATGTGAATTATTCATCACTGTATAAGCACCAAAATTGTAATAATTTGATATATTAGGTCATTTAGAGGCACTGATAGCCTAGCAGACTTGGCATGGGCAGGTGGCCCGGGTTCAATACTACCCTATAGCCCCTTTCCTGCGTCTCATTCCCTGCACTCTCCCCTGTTTCCTGCTTAGTCCCCTGTCCTCCACCTGTCATTAAAGGCCAAAATTAACCTCAATTTTAAAAGAAATGATCCATAGGGGGGCGGCACAGTGGTGTAGTGGTTAGCACTGTCGCCTCACAGCAAGAAGGTCCTGGGTTTGAATCCGGGTCAGGGCGTTTCTGTGTGGAGTTTGCATGTTCTTCCTGTGTCTGCGTGGGTTTACTCCAGGTACTCCAGTTTCCTCCCACATCCCAAAAACATGCAGAAGTGGGGTTAGGTTAATTGGCCACTTTCAAATTGCCTGTAGGTGTGAATGTTAGCGTGGATGGTTGTTTGTCTCTATATGTCGGCCCTGCAATGAACTGGTGACTTGTCCATGGTGTCTCCTACCTTCAACCGAAGATGCTGGGATAGGCTCCCGTGACCCCGGGAACGGGAATAAGCAGTAGAAAATAGTTGGATGGATGAAGGTCCATAGGGAGTTATACTTATTGGAATTTTTTTTATCGGCCAACTTTGAAAGTCCCTATCATGGGCAGTTGCGAGAATAGAGATATAAATGTTCATCATGGCAAAGGAGGCCTTTAAATTTAGAGTAATGTTAAATAAAGGAAGTTACAGTCTGTATAATTTCCACTTCTTTCAATAGTAGAGGACAAATTTAGCAATCCCATGAAGCTTGGAAAAACAAACCTAATTTGACTGTACATCTCGAGTGCCTGGTGTGTTTTCCGCTGTGCTTTATAACAAGGCTGCGCTTCCATGGAATCCCCATATGCAAAACAGCCAGGACACCGCAACCCGTCAACAAGCACTGCAGGCCTTCCCCATGTGACCAAGCTCACAGTCGAGGAAATAGGCCTGCAACAGGTAAATGTTCCAGCTGAGCGAGCCAGCTTTCCAACCACAGAGCCACAAAAAATACCTTCCCTGAGGAGGGACACCACTGTACAGTAAGTCCTCCTCCTGGCCTGAGGAGTTTCTCTCACTAGTTTGCATCTTTGGACACGACAGTTTGGGCACCCTTTTTCCACAGATCTCCCCGGTCTTTGTAACAGGAACAAAACACAACCTGATGTGATGACGTTGCATCTTTATCAATCCAAAGCTCCTGTGGGGAGTTTTAGCTGGTTATGAAACTATGTTGTAGTGGTTTTATAACTCAGGAAGTGACAACATCAACCATTAACAAGAACTGTGACAATTTGTATTAAGTTATTTTTAATTGGCAGGAGTAGGTGTTAGACCAAGTGTTTAATTGTGTCTGATAAAGTCATTTTAACAGGTTAGTGGAAAAGATTCCCCATGAGTAAAACACTTGACTTTTAAAGATCTGGATGAGTTTTATTTATTTATTTATTTTTGCCACTTATTATACGCAATATGGGCCACTTATGAGGTCAAAGGTCATGGCATTGTTCGATATTAAATCATATTGTCAGGCTTTCTTTTACTGCCAAACATATCTGAGCTCATTTTATCATATAATACAGTACAATTAATTAGGGGTACATCCATAACTGGACAAATTCACTGAAGCTTGCTGTGTTAGTTTGTTTTCCATGTTTTCCATTGAGACTGTTTTGAAGCTAAACACTAGAAAATTAATAAATAAAAATCACTCACACTGTGCTTAGGAATGATCTGATAATGGGTGCATGGGCGTAAAGGATGCGGGGGATACATACCCTGCACTTCCAGTACCTGCCCCTTCTGTTCCCAACACTTTTCTGGCCTGTAATTCCGAGTTGGATAACGTTAAATTCATTTTTACAAGCACTGCATGTATGTACATGCTTGTAAATGCTGGAGGCCCTCTCAGGCTTGGATGATTTCTACACACCTCTAGCACTATAGACGACGCTCTAGTAGCTGCATCCTGGAGAAAGGCACTGAGGATAGTGTGGTGCAGCAAATTGAAATGGGTCTGCAGAGGCCATAGTATTATGACATTTCAAAGGTTTTGAGAAAGGTTAAGATTAAATCATTTGACATTTTTTCTTCACATTTCATAAAATAGTCACTTTTATGCTTTTTCTTAGTCATCAGGAGTTTTTGGTTGTTTGGTGCAAATGAATAGGAGATGATCTTTCAATAAAGACTCCAGCTGCATCGGTTATGATTGTCCGCCTCAGGCCCTGAGCTCCTTCTTCTCTTGGGTTCCTCTGGACTGTTACTGCAGACATGAACATCAGCCTCACTGACATTAATAACATAAAACTAGAGTAAACTACTATTAGGCCTGCTGACTGTAATCACATTAAATTAATTTTACATTGTCCATAATTACTCATATCCTAACCCTGTAAACCATTACATGAGCTGTTGTTGTTGCTGCTGTTGTTTTAATGTTGCTGCTGTCCCCTGTCACCCAAGGTTTCTGCCTGTTAAAGGGAAGTTTTTCTTTGCCACTGCTACTCATGTTAGATGAGATGGGCCAAAACCCATCTTAGGTTGGGTCTTGATAATTCATCAAACAATAAGCGTGGTCTAGACCTGCTCTTTTTCTTTGGAAAGGGATGACGACTGTTGTGAATTGGTGCTATATACATAAAATTTGATTGATTTGATTGAATAAGTAATTTGATAAATATCATCTTGCTCCTGAGCGATCTGTCCCCCCTCACTTCTGAATTGAAGGCTACGCCCCTGGATGGGTGCATGCAGTTATGTTCGAACATTAGGCCGAAACTTTGAACATCCTGTTTTTGACAAGCTCTTTGACCTGGACCACTGTGCAAAGAGTGTGAGTCAGTAGTCAGACAACAAAGTGATGAAGTCAGAATCAGGATCATTTGTGTCTCTTTTGGTGGTTGTAGCTACATGAGACTCTGAGAGGACTGTGTGTGTGCCCAACGGTACGTCTGCCTCACAGAAAACACATACAGACACACTCGCAGAATGCACTGAGGACTTGCCTGTGGTAATGAGACATACAAGATCACTGGCTGCTCTGTTTGTGTAAGCCCCCTAAACACAGAGCATGATTCAGACTAATTCTCCCACACACTCTGTTTACACTTCTGGTTCATTGAGGTACTATTAATTTCTCAGGTCTGAATATTCAGGCACTGACATTTCATTCAATATTTCCTGAGATGTTTTTTTGCAAAAGGCCCCTGTGTTTTCTGTTGTCGAAGCTACAGCTGAAAATAGGTAAAGTACACACCAATAACGGAGCAAATATTCACTGAACTATTATGTGAAAGTGATAGACTACACGTGAATAATCCCACGCAGTGTGTGTGATTGTTTTCGTGTACTACAACAAATCATAAGGGGATATTTCTGAAAGTTTATGAGGCAACCAGAGGTGCTATTTTTTTCACAAGTTGGCAAATTGGTGAAAAAGTGATCCATGACGCGCCGTCCACTGTCATCTCTCTAAGCGTCTGTGGCTTCCGATCACTTTTCCACTACTACTTCACCCGGAACTCACATGTCCAAATACAGAGGCGAGGGGGCGGGGCCGGACACTGCCTTATTTGGAGCTTCCACTTAAGCGGTCACTTGGGCTCCAAGTCAAAGCAAGCCTTTTAGATTCACAAAGCGCTCGCAATATTTACAAGCGATTAACTCCGTCAATTACAGTCTTTGTGAGAGCTGCCGCATGGGGAAGAGGGGATTCAATCACAGAAAGTGTATTCACGCTCACAGAAGCAGTTAAAACTCACAAAAGTCACTTTTTTTTAAAACAAAGAAGTAGTTTGGAAGTAAAGCCATCACGGGACACCCCTCAGAAACCCCATGAATGATCAACAAATGGTCTACTTTAGTCTGTTTATACACAAACACTCTTCCCCTATTTGTGTCATAAAAGACACTTTTGCACAAAAAGCGTCTTGTGTGTCTAATAGTGAAAAAAAACAGACAACAATAAAGATACACGCCTCTATGTTTCCACCTCCATGAATAGAAAGAGGAGCACTGGTTCATCCCGAAGAAGGACTCGGATGGAGGTGACATGTAGATTTAGTAAACTTTATCTATCCGTCGGAGCCTTTTGCCTCCACTGTAGTTTCCACCGCCTGACTGACGCGCGGAGAACCTTGTGCTGGGCGCTCTGTCCATATATGGTCATCTACGTCACGCAAATGTTCCATCCCCCTATTTAATACAGGCAACTGGAGTCCCCTATCCAGCTCCAATAGAGCAAGTAGAGCCGCTCTTGTGCAACCAACACCACCACCTCCTCCTCCATTGATTCACAGACTTCAAATTCCCCCACAAGCAGCCCATCAGCTTCCACTGTGATCACATTAATAACAACAATAGCCCGTGATCACACAGGAGGAGAGAACCAGCGCTGCTCGTCCTCCGCGGGATACTTGGATAGCTACAGCAACAGGATCCATCCCTTGCTCCTCTCTCCTTTTTTTTCCACGCCTGATCCACACCTGTGTTCACCTACTTTGAGAACACCCGTTTTCTTTTTTGCTCTTTGGATACCTGCGCGTTGTCCTTTTTATAAATGTCGGACTGAATCTAACTGCTATGACAGGGAAACTAGCGGAGAAGCTCCCTCTTACCATGAGCAGTTTAATAAACACGATCCCTGACAGTCTCTACCCAGAAGAGGACATCCCGACGTCTATGAATATTTTCACCAGTACGGAATCTATTAACCACTACTCACAGATGAACACAGGTAAGATCTGACTTTACTTTTTCTACTGTGGGGGAAAGTGTGTGTTTTCATTAAAGTCCTTGAAAGTACGGGGTGCGTGAAGGCAACAGTTGTCTTGGGGCATGGAGCACCTGTTTGCGCTCTGGCTGTTGCGCACAAAGCCAGGTTCCCGTGCTGTGTACTTTTTCGGAGTCAGGTGTACGACCACCATGTATGGATCAGATCTACTTTTGAAATGATCATGTTTTGGTCAGATATGTGATTAATATCTTCGATGGGTATTTATAAGACTTGTCCGTTCACCCGACGAGACAGATTTCTTAGCGCTGCTGTAGAAAAAAGACAATTGACCTCCTGTCAAAACTTTACAAAATAAACTATCCATTGATTTTTTAATATTTATATAAAAACGCTTTATTTTTAGCTGCTTCATATCTTTAATCCTGATCCGTGTTTGAGGAAATGTGAACGGCTGAGGGAAAAAAGGGCAATTTTACGCACTAAAAACGCGCTCGGCTCTGACTGAAACCGAAATCTGTAGGTTCTGAGAAAATGTGTGTATTTAAAGTGGTCAAACCACAAACTCCAGAGATTAATTCTTCTTTATCCACCCGCAAAGATGGGCCAACTACTTTAGACAATGACTTTCATTCACAACTCTTAACATGTCACAGATTGGATTTCAGTAGGCGTGTGCGGCTGCTTTTCCCTTTATACACATTTAGACGCCAGGCCCCTGAAACATCCTATATACCGAGGCCGTTATATGGATTGATTTGCACACATTTCTGGCAAATCCAGGCGCCTGCATAAAGATGACTTTTGTTGTTTCGGCTCAGTCTTGGCATTAAATCAATCACTAATTGTCCGGGCTCACCTTCTGAGGTGATGGGTCAATGATGCGCGAGATATTCTAAATCTTTAGTTTCCCGAGGTGGTGAAGGACGTGAACGTGTGGTGCTTTCCTCATATTAACATTCCCCTCGAAGGAATTTTAGTGTTTTTTTACCCAAAATGAAACAATTGAAATTTAACTCGAAATACATCCCATTTTTAACCGCAGACACGTGCGTAAAATAATTTTCCCTGCGCTTTATTTTTTCCCTGAATTAAAAATAAGTCCCTCACAAAGATGGCATGTGTAACATTTTTTTTCTACAAAGACGGCAATAAAATGTGTTTGGTGTGACCTCCTTTGGGAGACATTTAAATTAACCAAAGCAAGTTTTAAAGAAAAAACGATTTTGCAGAGTGCAGTTGTGTGTTGCAGTTTTAAATATGTCTGATAATGATGAAATTTAAATTATCAACATAGAAATGTAGACAAATGTAACCATGGCATGTGTGCTATTTTTAGTTCAAATCACAAAAATATATATATTTTTAGCTCCAGGTGTACAAGGTGTGTGTTTGGCTTCTCTGTGCTGACCTGTAAAAAAAAAAGTGTTGACTCCATTTCATGCCCTTCACTTCTTTTAAGCTCAAATTAACTCAAAAGACTTAAACATTGGAGTAAAAGAACATTGAAGGTTTCTCTTCTCAATGTCATACATGTTTTTTAAAAAATAAAAAAATCACGCCACAGGTCTCACGGTTCCAGTGTACGTCATGTGTTGAGAGGTACTGTGCATTATATGTAATTTGCTTTTGTTTGTTTCATTACCATTTGCCTTCAGCCAAATTCCAGCAGGCTGTAATTACTGGGAGTGAGTATATAAGCACCCCTGTGTATGATTTGCTACAAATGAAAAGAGACGTCTGTTTAAAGTTCTGTTTAAGGAGGAATTCTTTTCAAATGTCTCAACCATATCTCAGAGCATGATCAGCGCATAAATGTATACCCATTAAGCGTTTGATAGTTTTTATGGCATCTTTGGAATAAGTTAATACGTGAGTGTGTGTGTGTGTGCGAGTGTGAGGGAGTGTGTATTCAGTGTGAAGTGTAACATTCTGTACAATTAAAATATCAAGGAAATTTGTGCAAACAGCGTTAAGCTCACTAATGCAGCTATTGGAGAGGAAACATATGAAATTTTACCCCATTATGTGCAGATGTTCTTTGCAGCAAATGTGTTTTGAATCCTTGAGCGTGATAGATGTGGCGTCTGCCTTATAATCCTCCTCGCTGTAAAGAAATCAGATCTTGCCATTCAGTTTGGCTGTCCTCCTGAGGGACACAATGACTGGATCAAAGGGGGTGTTTAGGTCTTGATTTATGAGGGCTTGTGGGATCTGAGAGAGAGAGAGACACCACTGTCTCACATGCAGCAGTCACTCACTTAACTTACAGGTCTGACAGCGCTCACATTTCTTCATGAACTCCACTGGACTTCTTTTATTTTTTAAGCTTTTGTTGTCAAACTATTGCAGAGGCATGCAGGGAAACTGAATTTTGGACAAACCAAGGACTGTCACTTCAAGTTCAAACAGCTTGACAAAGTGAATTTTCTTGACTTTTTGTGCAACATTTTCTCTTTTTAGATGATTCTCCTTCTTAGGTATTGCATTTGGATTTTTTTGTTTACAATGAATTTTTGGTGACATCTGTTTATCTTTGCTTCTGTCTAGATAATATCATGGATCTGGGCATGGGGAGTGAGAAGACATCAGCAGAGATTCAGTATGGGTCCAGCTTCCAGTCCAACCGCAGCGGGCAGACTGTCACCTATCTGGGGAAGTTTGCCTTTGACACTCCTCCGTCAGGTGGCATCGGCGGCTCCGGCTGGTGTTCTGACAACAACATCATCAGTCTTGTCAGTGCGGGGATCCTGGGTGTTTCTCCATCACCAGGCACGGTAACTACGCAAACATCATCCTCCGCAGCCAGCATGGGTGGACAGACGTCAGACATGGAGCAGGTATACGGTCCCCCGCTGCCTGCATACTCCACCTGCAGCGACCTTTACCAGGACCAAGTCTCCTTCCACCACAGCCCGGCCACCAGCACGGCGCTCGCCTACCCCGGCAATGACTATCACTCCACATCCAAAGCCCCCATGGATGGCAGCCTTTTCTCCATGATCCCTGATTACAACCTTTTCCACCATCAGGGGGAGGTCGGTGTGATGGAACACAAGCCTTTCCAGACAATGGACCCCATTCGAGTTAACCCTCCACCCATCACACCCCTGGAGACTATCAGGGCGTTCAAAGACAAGCAGCAGATTCACCCAGGTTTCATCGGCGGGCAGCAGCACCCTCCTCAGCACCACCCACCGCCACAGACTCTTACCCTTAAACCTATTAGACCAAGGAAGTACCCAAACCGTCCCAGCAAAACCCCTGTCCATGAACGTCCGCACGCCTGTCCTGCAGAGAACTGTGACAGACGCTTCTCACGGTCAGACGAGCTCACACGTCACCTCCGCATCCACACAGGTCATAAACCCTTCCAGTGCAGAATATGCATGCGCTCCTTCAGCCGGAGTGACCACCTGACCACACACATCCGCACACACACGGGAGAGAAACCCTTCTCCTGTGAGTTCTGTGGACGGAAATTTGCCAGAAGTGACGAGAGAAAGAGACACGCAAAGGTTCACCTGAAACAGAAGGACAAGAAGCCGGCTGACAAGAACAGTGGGGCTGCTGGGAGCCACAGCTCGCCACCCAGTTCCTGTGGGGGTCCAACAGTGGGGACATCATGACCATCACTAGATGTACATGGACTGGACTCTCACCATGCCCCACAGAGAGACAAAGGAAGACAGGACCACATCCACTATGAGACAAATAGGTGACTCTTTTCCTCTCTTTTGCATCGCCTGCTCTTTTCAGTTCCTTCTGTTTTGAGATGGATGCCTTCAGTTTAAGAACGAGGGGGAAGTAACTCACAGCCTCAGCTACTGTAACACAGTGCCAACACAGAGAAGGCACCATGGCACATTCCGTCCAAAAGGCCACTGTGTATCTGTAGGTTTTGGTGTGGATACACTCATGTAAATTTTATTAAAAAATTTTAAATTGGAAGGAAGCCAGAATCCATCAAAGGGAAAATCAGACAAGAACAGAAAAAATTACAACGGAGCTTAGTTATGGGGTGAGTTGTCTGAGAGGTATGCATTAATTTTATTAGGCTGTTTAAAAGTGCAATTGGTTATTTTTGTGTACTGTCATGGATACCTTATTAGTGGCACTTAACTGTCTTTTTGTTGTTGTTTTTTTGTTGAGGTGTTGTGTTTTTATTTTATATTTGAATGTTCTTTTTCTAAAGAATGTGCCAAATGTACCGTGGTAATACAGCCAACCTTGTTCTTATTATTGTGCCTGACATTTGCCAAACATAGCAGTGATTTCAGCTTAGCACACATGTTGAGTTCAAGCACGCATCAGATCTCGGATCTTATATTTTTCTGCACAATTTGGTTAAACCTATACAATGACTGAATGGGTTACACAAAGCACACCGGTGTCTCGTCCTGTAACCTGTACTGATAAGACAAACATGCCTGCAGCAACCAATGCCTTTGCCAATACTTATTTATTTGTAGTCACTGAAAGACACTGTGTATTTTTGTTGCCTTTTTACGGTGGTTTTATGTGATGTTACCAGATATAATTTCTGTTGCTTTTTCTGAAAGCTCACCAATACTTTTCATGTTGTATTTTCTTGAGTTCTGCAATTATATGCAATATATTCATGACACATTCCACCAACCTGTAAATCAAATTAACTAAAAGCACAGTTAGACTGACTGAACTGCTTCAATTTATGACACTGGGTAACAAACCAGCAGAATATGAAAGAAAAGATAAACAAGGAGTCTGAGTGTAAAAAGACTAAACTACTTGGTTCAAGCCACCAAAAAAAAAAAAAAGAAAAAAAAAAAGAGCAGCATATTGTAAGAGGGAAAAATGAAAAAGTCCAAATCCATGTTTACATCCTTTTTTAACAGAGTAAGACTGAAACTGAGTTGTAAACTAAGAAGTTGTTGTTTTTGTACAGTATACAAACATGTATGCAGGTAGCTCCAGTAGAAGTTTCACTTTTGTACTCGACTGTCAAATGCACCATAACTCAGTATTAAAATGTGCATATATGTGCATGCTTTCATGCACACTATGTAAATACAAATGTCTGCATAAACAAGAACTTTCAATTGACTGAATGCTTGTGCGGAATGTGTCCTAAGGCTTTTAGTAATGTAGTTATAAAACAGAATATTATGTTGTCACAGGTCATTGCAAAAATATTTGGAGCACTACAATAGTGCCTAACAGGGTGTATTATCTTTCGTAATACAAAAAAAGAAAAAAAATGGCATTTGCACCATGTGTATGCTATAAAGTGGTAAAGGAAGCACTAATATGTTCTCCGAATGAAAAACAAGATCTTTAACATATTCTGTTCCTCCATTAGAGTCACAATCAAGATATTTTCAATGAATATAAATTGTACAGAAAACATTGATTAACCTGGGACAGACAGGGGGCTAGATGGTTGAACCCTTGTATGAATTTTTGGAACAAAGTACACGCAATGCCAGTACTTTTCACACATGGTTCCTTAGCGGTCTCTGTCCTGACTGAAGGAAAAAGCTCTACCTTTCTGGGAAGCAGATACTACAACAATTGTAACTAATACTCAGTGATAACGCATGAGAAAAAAAACTAACTGCTGCCCACTTATTGCTTATTTTTAGATAGTATTTTATTATGGCGTCACAATGTAAAGCTGACCTGACCTACAAAATAAATCCATATACATTTGTGGATAGTACTAAGGTATTTTCATTGATCATACTTGATTTATTACACTATTGGTAAGAAATGAATGAAAATTACATATTTTCCAAACTGCTGAATAACTAAATTGTTGGTTCCTCAAACTCATGAGGTTTTTTTCTTCCGTCAAGCCAAAAATATGGGCCATATGTTGAAAATATTGGTGATGCTTCAAGAAAAAAACAAACAAACAAAAAAAATTTTTTTTTCCTTTCGTGTTAACGCAATATTTGGGGTGTAGATACCCTCTCCACTCACTGAGAAAATTTGTGATCTTGTGCTTCATTTTTATAGCTTAAATAGAAGATAGACTCCCAATTGCAACAGCAACATTCTCCCACCAACTATTTTGACAATATTTCTGGTTAATAGTTGTGCTCTCTGATTATCAAAGAGTGTAGGCTGTATGCCAGAATTCATTTCAACATTGTTTCTAACTAAAAAAAAAACCCAGCTTTGCACTGGTCAGTAGACACAGCAGCAATCAGGCTTTAAGAGAGTATCCACAGACAACTGCAAAGGCCAAAAGACATGCTGTGGAAAGCAGTGCCACTGAGAACAGTGCATACAGAAATGAGCTTCCAAGGCCATGCTTTTCCTCTCCTGTTACACCAGTTTCACTGCTCAGCTTCCTGGCAAGTGTCCACTTATTTTCCAATTAATGTGGCCTCAGAGAGGCTTTTCACAGCTCATCTACATGTAAATGAAAGACCTCCTTGCACTTTTTCACATAGTTTCAAAGTTCACTCCCCTCAACACCCTACTGCAAATCAATACTTAGTTTAAAAACTGCATTATTTCATTGTAAGGATGGTCATCTACTGATGTAACATTTCTGAGCTTTTCACTATCAAATGTATCTAAGATAATACATTTTTACACAAAACGATAATCTCAGTCTCTTACTATGTTACACAGCTTCCCAATGAAATTGAAAATTGTATTGAATTTGCCAGATTAGATAATGCAGTAAATAATAACCTCTAATGTAAACATCATGTAGCACATAGCCTCATGGAGTCAGCACTTAATATATAGTAAATGAGGTAATAGGTAATACATTTTTATCTGTAATGTTTACTAAGAATAATTTGATGTTAGTCCTTATATTTTCTGAATAGTTCTTAATTTATTCGACCAAATATTATGCTTTTTTTTTGTGCTCTCATTTTAACATTTTGCCGGTGAGATTGGATGTTTGTAACTATGGTAAATAGAATGTGGCCTCCTCTTAGAGAAAACTGTGTTTATGTTGCTATGTGTTAAAGAACGATGCAGAGTCAGGCGGGAACTACACCAAACTATTTCCACATCTAAATCAAGCCATGTAATTACAACTTTGCAAACCCAGCATTTCATTAGTCGCATCATCTTAGTGTGTTTGTCACTTTTGATGACACTTTTGTAACTGACAGATTGATTTTGTAAAATTTATATGATCTCTTCTCCTCAATATACTCTGGTGATTGAACAAGAATACAGGATGCACCATGTTCTTCTGCACAATAATCCTTGTGTGTAATGTGTGAATGTTAAAGATATGTGTCAATGTTAAACAAGCTCAGAAACAGCCCCCTCTTGATTGTGCTTCTCCAAGGATAATTTATGTACTTTTTTTTTCCTTCTACGTTTTATTGTCCATAAGTGGGCGGCTGAACACTCTGAAATTGGAATTTGCCTCATCCTTGTTCTGTGCTCCATGTTGGAACAGAGCCAACATCAGCAGCCATCTTTGTGCCAAACTGGGTTGCAGGGTTGACTAATCAAAAACAATATATGATGAGATCTCCACAAAGCAACAAATTATAAATGTGACCTCAGTCCACTTGCAGCTGAAGGCAGCCTTGTGCTAATGTATGTGTTTAACTGTTCGATTTAGTGTCCGGTAAGTTAGCCTTGGGTAAGGCAAAAGGCTTGGCCTCTTTCATTACAATTAACAAATAAAACTTCTTTTTTTTTTTTTTTTTTAAAGAAAACACCTCACATTCAAAGAGATTACAATGTGTAGATATAATAGGCTACTCCTGTCATGATAAGGACTACAGGGTGGCTTCAGGGATTTTGTGGTCTTCAGCAGTGACACTATAGTGTTCAGATGGAGTCAATACTCACTGTTTTCTGTTGTGTTGTGTTTCCTTTTCATTGCAGTATATCCTCATGTTTGCATGTGCACGGAAATGTTCCAAAGTGCTGCCCTCAGACGCTGTGGGTGGTGCTCATTTCTTTATTATGCATGAAAATAAAAGTCACAATGGTTGAAATGGGATAAACCTGACAACAATTCAAGAAAGACAATTGATTTTTTATCTTTGAGAAAACAAGGGGTCTTGTTTAAAAATGTTGTGGATGTCTTTACTATTTCATGTTTCTATTACCTTATAATAAGGTCCTTTTATGATGAGCTGAATATTAAAATGAATTTTACTATATCCTTGTGATGGGGAGACGTGTTCTCCCGTTTACTTGGCACTTCAGTTTGTTGTAATGCAATGTTTTGTTATTTCTATGTAAGTACTTGAATAAAGAAAAATATCACTTGCCTTGGGTTTACTTGGTCCCTGCGTGCACGCGCTCAATCCACTCGCGTATAACCACACACACACGTTCGAGCTTGACACTTAACTGTAAATAACTGAAAAATATATAAAAGCAATTAGAAACACAATATATTTAAACATCTGTTATGGCATAAAAAAGCTAAAAACGTTTGGTAGTTTCAGTCGCTTTGCTTGTTTATGTGAATAAAAGAAAAAAAAACACCTCAGAGGAAGCTCGAGCGACTTGGCTCCGGACTTCCTGTTTCAGACTCCGCTGTAAACTGCTAAGAGAGGGATGAAGTCCCCGAAACATAATAAAACTACTCAATGAACCCGGAATAAAACACTCCTTCAAGATGAGCTGGTATGTATTTTATCGCCATTGATTTTCGGTGGTTATATTAGTAGTATAACTTAAAAAGAAGACACAAACACTTCGCCAGAACGGATAGCTTGTCGGTTGGGCTACGGCTATTTCCTGGTATCGCTACCTTAATAGTAAACAAGACAGACGTAAGCTCTATCTTGTTAAACGCCCCATTAACTAATAAAAGGAACTCTGCCAGAGACATTTTTTCAGATTATATTTGGTGTTATCGGTTATTTTTCCCTAGTCAAAGCCTTGGCAGCACGTTAAACTGTGGCTGAGTTAGATTACGGGACAAAGTCGTGTAGTTAGCTAACAAGTGCTAACAGTATCTGAGAGAGAGGCTTATCTGACAGGAGAAATAACTTTAAAGAAAATCACTAAAAAGCTTGACACAGTCAAACGCCACTATCTGGAGTCAATATGATAGCTACTTCGTGAACCAGCGATGTTTTAAAGGCTTGACATGGAAACTTCGGGTGATAACCGATCACAGTTAAAGGGATCTGATCCTCTGCTGCGATTGCAACCAGATTTCAGTGTCGCCATACATATGCTGTTATTAACATGCTGCTTTTTAAGTTCTGTAAACAGATATGAATTCATTTAAGTCAGTTTTATCATGAGAATGAATGTCTTTATGTTGTTTTCTTGATACCTTGACTTACATAGGATGATGGGTTATACTAAGAAGCAGGATTTGCCAAGGGAACATCACTGCAACTTTGGGTTTTCCTTACTAAGACGGTGGTTTACGTCTTACCTGGTTAGCTCAACTCTGTAACTTAAACTGAACATATAACCTGCTCTGGGGAAGGTCATATGTTCAGGTTATGTGTTCAGTAATAAAAGGTGTGAGATGATGTGACAGTGACAGCCTCAACTTACACATTTATCACATTTTTCTGCATTCTCATGGAAAATACTGCAGTAATACTAACTCATTAACGTTTTCTTAATAGCATAGCTTGCCTGAGTATGATGTGAAAATATGCTGACAGTAGACTTCATGTCTGTGGTTAGCCTTATGTTGGTTGTGTCACCCCATTCTTGTGAACATGTTCACTGTAACTCTGCGTTGACTTATCATATTATGCTGTGTTCCTGTTACCTTGGAAGTCAGATGTCGCAGCTGAAAATGACATCACGCTCGAGTTCCCAGCGTTTCAGTTACCAAGTCGGAAAAAAGCTAAGTCGAAGGCCTGAAACAAGATGGCTACATCTACGAAAGTTATTTTAGCACTTGCCTTATATTCAGACAAGGCAGGCGTTAAAATAACTTTTTGTAGATGTAGCCATCTTGTTTCTACCTCTGATTTTGCTTTTTTCTGACTTGGTAACTGAAACGCTGGGAACTCGGGTATGACGTCATTTTCAGCTCAGACTTCGAACTTCCGAGGTAACTCGAACACACCATTAATAACCAACTTTGTGGGGCTGCACAGCGTCATCTCCTTTGTCAGGGTTGGTTAAGCCAGACAACTAAAAGATATCTGGAGTATGTTGAACTCACTGCCCAGTATACCCTAAGCTCCCATCCTCAAAAGCATTTTTTTTAGTTGAAATCACAGAGTTAGCCTGAGGCGTATTTGCTGTTAAATGGATGGTTGACATTATATACAGCAGGTGTTATCAGTACCCTCTAATCAGAAAAGGTAGATACGACAACACACTGGTATCCCGACAGCTGTTATGCTAAGCTATGCACAAAGCTAGGCGTTTCATCAAGTTGATCTCGACATCTTTGGAAACAAAATTTTAGATGTGATCTAGTTGTGTAGCCAAACCAAGTTTGTTATGCATTGGGCTTTTCCTCAACATTTGCCAAGTCTTGAGTATTGCAGACAAGGTTAATACAGCTAGTAGACCTTTTGGTTACATTTGATTGAATGTGTTGGCATCATAAGTCAGTATTGATTGAACTATTGTTAAGAATGAAAATAGAATTTAACCACAGATTCATTAATTCTTGCTTGTCATTTTTGGCCAAATGTCAAACATTTATAGCATCTAAGATGTAAAAGTTTGGTGCCATTCATCTCAGAAGGTGGTCAAGAAGTCTTTCGGGGGATACTTTACAGGAAGAAGTGAATTCTGAAGTAGAGCTGCATTATGTTAGAAAAAACTAATATCTTTGATGTTGATTTATGTTTAAAGTGAAGTTTAATCTGTATCACAGGCCTCTTGATGGTTCCTCATAACCCAACAAAAGCTCACCATCCTCTCCAGCATGTGTTTTTCACCACACAATGATGTACATGTCATAAACTGCAAGTGTAGAAACTGAAAGTCAACATTTTATGGTCCCGTCAGTGCCTATAATGATAATGGGAACTGGGGCGAACGGGATCAGAATCTTTCTGGTTTGGTCAGGTGTTTAGCGGGGTGTCTGTGATGGCACCAGCTTGGCATGTTTGTTCACATCTAACAGTCATGTGACACAAAAGGGTCAGTTCAAGTGAGGGGCACCCTTCAAGTGATATTATACGGACGTTTACGGTAGATTAATCCTGGACAATAAGCAAGTGGTGACAGCATGACGTGTTTCAGGTCACATGACTAACTTTGTTGTTGTGACATTCGAACTATATCATTCAGTCCTTTTTTTTCTCCTCTTGTGATAGAGTTTACTCTGAATAATTCATCCAGATTTCTCAATAAAAAATGACAGTTTTATTAACCATTAGAGCACCTGTCAGTATGAGCTCTTCTCAGCAGTAACATTCATTATGAACAAGACTTTAATATAGTTTCATGCAGAGATGAAAAAAAAACTCTTCAAATGATGTCTGACTTAGAAGATTTTGAGTTTGCAACGCTTTGCAGTGCAATCTTTTTTAATTCACAAACGATTATGGAATTATGTGTTCAATGAACGGAGAGAGGTGGTGCGAACAGTTGGTCTTATGACATAGTCTGCATGGATGATCCACACAGATATTAGCTGAATCTGCAAGTCTCGTAATGGGAGATCTTCCATCCAGCTGGTGACGTCCTTGAGAAAGTAAACAACAGCAAACAAGGCTGTGCTAATATTTTCAGCCAAATTACTACAAGAAAAAGAGGAATTGTGTACAGTGGACTGGAGTGTGTTTTGCTCATATTTGATGGTTGAATCCTTCCTAAGACAGTTTATTTAGATCTCTTCATATAAAATATCAATATGTTATCAATATGCTCATAAGAGAGCAATCAATCAATGCCATCTTTGTTCTACTGTTGACTCTATCATGACTTCTTGTATTGACTCTGAAGAAACAACTTTGACCCAACTTTGTAGTATTATGTACTTTGTTAATGTTGTTCAGGTTGGTAATTTCTAGAAGCGAGAAATGTCCCGACTGTCTTTTTCGGATCTGATTTTTCATTATTTAGTATCTGCCTGAACAGATACTTGTGCCTTTTGTCTCAATATTATGCTTGTAGTTTTTTTTTCCCCAGTTTTGTTTGCAAAAATATTTGAGATGTCTTCAGCTTTTCCCGTTTGACCAAGTACAGGTAGCTTGGTCGTAAACTCACAGATGATTCATTTTACTTGCTCTACTGTTTGAGACTCACCAAACTGGTGTCCATGCAACACTACAGGCCTAAACTCAAGGCAACACTTCTGTGAATGCAACTCCCATGGGGTCATTTGAGATTCACAATGGTGGTGCTTGGCTGCTAGACTAAGACTGTTAATATATACAGATATACACATACACAGAGATGGGCTGGTTGTTCAAAGCGATGAATTCAACCACCTTTTATCGAACAGTTTTGGCCTTTTTCGCTCTCTCCGGGATATTTACCCTTCCTTTTTTAACTCTGGAGTTTGAAGCTACTTTGGAGTAGGAGCCTTTTTCTGTGTTGCTATTGTGAGCATTTCTTCATTGCGTATTTATGTAGATATTGTGTTACACTGGCTCTGCAAACAACTGTTTTCACCTTCTAGTTTAAAAAATGTCCACACTGCTGGCATTTTAGCCATGGGGTTGCTAATGCTAACGTAGCACACTGTCCAATGTTTGACTTTCATTCCTGGACAGTCACCATAGGCTGTAGTAGAAAGGTTGTTGCCGCTGTAATGTGGCTCGCTCTGCATGAATATTCCTTTAATAAAGTTTAGGCCATGGTTGTAGTCCCGTATCAATGTCCTGTTTTTTAGCACATGTGGGCAAATCCAGAATACTCAGTTACTCAAGGTTACTAGTGTGTTTGTGTTCTGTGCAAATTGAACTCTGACAGCTGATGTAAATGAATGGGGTGGAAGGATTGGAGTAAATGCCTACAAAAAGGAGGAATGCCCTGCACAGCACAGATCTTAACGTTGATGCTGGTGGTGTCAGGAAATAAGTTCCTAAAAAGGAAAGAGTTCCACCGAACACAACATGGTCAGAATGTAAACTTATTGGTTAAAAGAACAACGTGTTTCGCCTCACAGGCTTCATCAGGCTTCCAAGCCTTTTCTTTTTGAAGTAAATGCCTTTTAAAAGTGCACAGATCATCCTGACCAAATGGTTGGGATTGGGATCAAGACATCCCACCTTTAAGCTAATATTTCTCTCATTTTTTTTCATACTTGTTTTTAGCATGTTCAGCAAGATGTGAAAACTGCCTAAAGTCCTTGTCCATAAGTCTGCGTATTTTATATTTCCCATGAAAAAGTGATGGTGTTTTCTTTGAAGGCCTGTCCTTGATATAAGTCTTTTTATGTTGCATAAATTTTCTGAAAAGAAAAGACTGCTTGGACTGTAATGGGGTTTATCATCCATCCTGTAGAGGTCTTAGATGAAGGCTATGTCTTGTAATCGTGTGATTTTTAAACAATCACAACAAATAAATGTGATTTGTTCTGTCTGAACCATGTTTCTAACACCATGAATCACTATCAGTGCGGCTCTTAATAAGCATGAGAAGCTTTGTCATACTAGTTCAAGAGAATACATGAGGAGACTAAAATGTGTCATAACAAACTCTTTCATTTCCTCTGTGACGTTTGTATACATAAGCCTTCTTTAGAATAGGTTACACATTCTTAGTGTCACTTTAGGGATGTCTGTTATCAAGTATAACATGACGTCTTTCAGTTCAGTTGGACTGTCAATAGCTGGCGAGCAATGCCTCTGCCAGTATGCACCGCCAAACACAAGGTCAAGAGTGGGGTGCTCCACCAGTAAAAAGAGTCCTTTATAAGCTCTGCTGACTGATGCATTCCATTAGGGCCTGCACACTTGCTTCTATGACGTGAGAGGTTTGACTTTGGGTCATCATCAGAACAATTCCACTTCCCAACATCTTCAACCAGCCTTCTGTGCTCCATGGAATATCCAAGGTCAAATGATGCACTGTCCCTCTGATGGCAAACGCATTTGCAGTTTTCGTGAAAAGCCATTGGTTCTTCCAGTTGGTGCATAATCTGTCCCGGATAGAGAGGACTGTTACATCTTTGTTCTTGCCTGTGTGCTCACTTGACTGCGTTGACGTGTAGCCCATTCGAGTAAAGATCAGATAGCTGAGTTAATGCAAGTTGACCAGATTTCTCACAATGACAGCAAATGTAAAACAGCAGTTTTTTTGTTGAGTGTTGGAAGCTATCGAGTTTGAGTGACTGTCAAGAAACCATTCATGCTTCTCTTGAGTTGTACTATGTATTTGTTTGACTAGATGTTCATAGGTCAAATTTTTGTTGTCAACAACAGCAACAGGTCTACAACCGATAGACTGTAAGTAACATTATAGAACTATCTCCTAAAGTCCATGATCCAAGTCATCATTGGGATGTCTTTGTACTCAACAGCTAAATACAGCAAAATCCTGAGTCTGGCATAAATGCATTAAAAACGACATTTTCTAAAATATTATCCATTCAATCCCAAATTGGACATACCACCCTTGCCTTCCATTACTAAGCTTGGAGCTGTTTTCAGAAAATGTTCTGACTTGAACTGGTTTAACTCACAAGTTTTCTGTCTTCAGTTGTCTCAATTATAGCTGGGCCTCTGCCATGTCGGACACTAGCTCTGGGTTCACAGGACCAGACATACCAATGTTTCTAAATGTGACAGCCCCTACAGAAATAATGCTCTGTGAAAAAACCTTCGAAATGATTCTCACAGTGACTACCAGCCTCTCTCTTTCTCATTCTCTCCCTCTGGTTGCCTGCTACATTTTCCCTCTCCCTCCCTGAAGCACACTTCACTCTGTCTGCCAGTTCTCATGAGCAGTTGAGGAGAGTGACCATTTTCCTTTGGCTCCTTGCAGAACTGGATATACTCTACATATATAAAATTAAGGAACTCCCCTCAGTTTTCCTCCGAAGAAATATATCCCTTGGTACATTAAAGGGAAAATCTACCTTAATACAGTTACATTTGTACTGCCACTCTTGATGCAGTCAAGAAATACAGTTTCTGCCAATATGTAGAAAAAGAGAGCATTGAAAGCAAATATTTGAATATATTTAATGAAGCACTGGTGAGTATGTGGAACACATTTAACTCGAGTGTTTTCCTAAAGATGTCAAGATTTTCTCCCAGACACACCCACCAAATATAAAAAATCTGCTGCCAAACTTTGTGCCGTGTTTTAGAAACCAACTATCCAAACAGAAAAAAAAGACAATAATACAAAACGGCAAAATCATTTGGTGATGGATCAACCAGTTATGTTCACAATTAAAAGAAATCAAAGTTGTTAGGATAAGAGGAACTTTATTTATCCCCAAAGGGACATTCAATGGTGTAGTTTTCACATTTTTTTAACACAATCACAGGGCTGATTATTTTTATTAACAACCTTATGTCACCTTTGTTCTCTTACAATGAGCAATGGTCCTGAAAGCATTGTTTTAAACAAGGGGTAAACCGGTTATCAGTCTTGACTAAATTTTGGGGCCAATATTTGGCATCTGGTTGAGTCTGTATTGGTATATTATTTACAGATACATTTACATATGTATTCTCTCTGAAAACCCAACATCTATTGACCTCTATTTTACGCTCTTGGTTGCGGAGTGGACACACACCATGTTTTCACTTTTTTCTGAACTTTTCCTAAAGTCTCATTTAGATCAAAACATCAAATAAAAATAGACAAGATATATAAATATGATATATAAACAAGCACATCACATAGACACTCCACTGAATGTATAATTCACAAATATAATTAATAAAAAGACCTTTGATTTTACTCAAGACAAGAGGATAAAAGTCAATGAACGCTGTTATTTGTTTTACAGTTCAGTTCAGTTCAGTCGCAGTTGCCCAGTATCTAAAGCATGGTCTCTATTTGATGTATAGATAAAGGTCTTAACCATGCAAACTGGAAGAAATAACACAAGCAGCTAGTGTTTAATGGGTACAAGTTATAAAAGCATGGTGCTTGGTTTGTGTCTGATGAGGCTTAATAAATTCTGAAGTGTTTTCCAGATCTCAGCAAAAATAGAATATATAAGATTTGGTCTGGCTTACACAAGAATGGTTTTCATTCTTTTAGATAGAGGAAAACTGGGCCTAAGCTCCAGCCTAGGTTAAAAACTGTCAAAGTATTTTTCTGTTGTACTTCAGGTTAGGGATGCTGTATAATTTCAGCAAGGTACGTACAATGCACGTTGATGTGACGTGATACTGAGCTGATCAGGTAATCGGAGAAAGGTGAGTCACGTAAAACGGCTGTGAGTAATTTCTGTAGTTATTTTCCGTGTTGGCTCACCCAGATGATGACACAGTGGGTGAAACTACTATCTGGGGCCAAAAGCAACACAAATTCCTTACGTAGTGAGAATTCAGGTCAGATTAGTGTGAATTAAGGATTACTTCAAACTGTTGGCCTGTTTAGATTAGGTCAGTGCTACTCGCTTCTGAAACAATGCCAAACCTGATCTGAACAAAGTCTGCAAATCAAAGGAAATCTTGATACCTGAGCCAGTAGTGAAAACTGTTTTTTTATTATTCTTTGTCGGATTAATCCTGCTGTTATTTGACCATGTTGAATTTTGTGATTGAGCTGTCATCAAAGGGATTTTCCCCACACATCAGTAGCATTCCCTGGTTGCACAACGAGGCCCTGCATCACACCCTCCCTTTTCCATCTCATTAGTCTACACACCTTTCTTTTGACGCAGCTGCTGCCTCACCCTGCCTGTCAGCAGCAACTGTCCATCATATACCTTAGATTTCAGGCTATTAGTGGCACATCAATGACAACCTACAGCCAAGCAGATTGGGAAGGCTGTGTTTTCTGCCTTATGGTTTCCAAAAAGCACTCTGAAGCTCTGCAGAAAGTTATTGGGGCAAAGGAAGGTTTTGAAATGGGGATAAAAGATTGTGTTTTAACTAAGGGGGAACAGGTTTTTCTATTTGTTCCCCAAATAATACAGTCACAGTGTCAGTATTTGTCACAAGTGAAGAAAAGTTTGTATTTTTCAGTCTGAAAATGAGGTGCAACTAAACCCTACAGAGTGTTTGAGATTGATTTGCAGCACCGGTCTCAAGTTTTCCTCTGAAACAAAGTCATTGTCATGGTCCTATGCTTTGAGCCTCAATAGATTTCAGTAATAAGAGGTTTCTATTCAGTGTAGCTAGCCCTCCTTCTGTGTTTGATTGCCAGCTGGGGTCATTCGGTGAAGCCACATCGAGGAGGGGAGACAACCACTTCTGTTTAGTGATATCCGTCTGCAATGGGAGCCAGATGTGTTAAGTGATGACATGGAGTTAATGCACTTGGCTTTGACTGCACACACCATAGAGGCTGGAATTAACAACTTTAGATTGTCCATGTCAGGGTTCGGAAAGAGGTGCCCGTTCACCTGAACACCTGACCTCCAGTCGCCCATCAGGCACCCATTGACATTCCTAATGGCTGTAACCAGTGGTTGCACCCTTTACAGATAGACATTTTCCAGTTGCTCGTGTTTCTCACCTGTTATTTCTTTTTGTGTGATTTCAGGATTCCCTTCAAAATCGGACAGCCAAAGAAGCAGATTGTCTCTAAAACAGTGAGTATGGATCAAAAGTTGAACTAATGAACTGATCAGTCAAAAACCCCATATGCCTTACGCTGGTATTTGTTGAAAAAGCTTTTTGTGAAGTTTTTTGCCTTTAAAATGGTACACGGCATTGATAGTAATTAAATATTGTGACCAGAGAGAATTATTTGATGCCAATTTGTCTGAGCCATGTAAGATGGCAGAGGTGGTTACCTTGAAGTGACAATGAGTAGGCGTTCTCTTTGCAGGAGAAAACCACTTCCAGCATAATAGTTGTGTGGCCCGGCAGTCACTGTCAGACTGGGTTTCCAACTTCCTGTACCAGCCTAGGCAAAAACCAGGGAGTGGGTTAGAGGCCTCTCAGTTACATTGTCCACTAGCGACAAAGTGTCAGCTGCCTTCCTCGTTGTTTTTGCCACTGTGTTTAAATCTAGGAGCCCACAGAACCACAAGACAGGAACCAAGACTGCCTCTGTAACCCAGCATGTTTTGAAGACATGGTCGGACAAGCTGTCTTAGCCCTAGCTGACCCTTGAAACTTGATATAAAGAAGTATTTAATCTGCTTTTCAACTGCTGGAACCTGGTGGAAGGGCAGTTAGTTGTGGTTTTAAGTCCCTGTAAAAAGTCCCCTTTCCTGAGAAAGTATTTGGCTTAAGAAATATTGAGATAAAGTTACAAAAGTAAACTTTTAAACCATAATAGAATATACCTTGACTCTACAAAATTTAGTACTGGTTTGCAAGTATACAATGCAACTCAAACCATTTTGGTCTGTGTCAAATTTACTAATTTAATTTAGTTTAACCTCCTCTGATGATGTGACAATGAACATAGAAAGGGATTGTTTTCCCCAAGTTGTTCCAGACCCATTCTCTTATGTAGTTCCTCTGATAACTCTGTGATCATATGAAAAATCAGTTTACTGCTTAGAAAAGTAATATTTTAAATTCTTTTATGTAATTATATTGTTTTATTTAAAAATAAAATGTTTTCTTTCATAGGTTGAGAGAGACTTCGAGCGAGAATATGACAAGCTCCAAAAGTAAGTTTGTTTTTTAATCAATCAAACGTGTATGAGCAGACAGTAGAGAGATTTGACTCTAGATTTTTCCAAACAGATTTAAAACTGACATTGAGTATATTGTGTGTGAGGTCCATACATCTATGTGTGTAAAACTGTGGTCTTTTCGGACCCTTATATTACTTGGACAGTTTCTGTATGTACCACATTGGACATTTAAAATATATTCAGGCATTTTCATATATTAAACTGTTGATCCATAATTAGATTGTGTTCTTCAGCTTTTGCGAGACTGTACTTGTTTTCTTCTTTATTATTTTATGTTAACAAAGCACTCTTTAAAAACTCACACTTAACATGCTCCTCATTGTGTATACAGTTTCTGGTCTCACACAATTTGATCGTCCCTGCTGTGTTTGGTCCTTTTTTTTCTCAACACTGAACTGTGAAAAGACCCACATATGAGCTTTGTTGAAGTATGAAATATGAAATCATGAAAGACAGTTTACTTTTCCATAAAATAATCCTGTAAAGCTCTAATTCAGCCGGAACAGTATTAGAGAATACATACTTACATCATATGCTTTTAAATTAAGGGGAAAATAAAACGTCATTTAACTTGAAAGCTTGAGAGTAAGTTCTTATTTACCTTGTCTGTTCACATTAATTTATTTTTCTGAAGTTAGGGAGAGGGGCCTTAAAGAACATAAACACCCAGGACCTCAGAGCTCAGTACATCCGGGCCTTCTCTTACTGGGAGGCTGAGGTTCTAGAAAACTCCCTGAGGGCCCCGCAGAATGAGTGGGAGCACCATTTTCCTCTCAGGTTTTGTTGAGTAGGAGGGCCCATTATCAGGAAGGTGTGGTGCCAATAGACCTTATAGATGAGTCAGAGAAGCAGGCATGTACAGACATTCAGGTTCTCCACCCTAGAGATCCATATCAACACATCGTGGAGCCTCTGTGACCTAAATATACTTGGTATGCTCTGCTATTTGTTCTGTTTGTTCTTTCTTTCCGCTTGACAAAAGGTATTTTAGTTGTATTTTGACTTCTGATTTTGTGGGAAAATTGTGTTTATTCTATAAAACATACAGCAGCCACGACAGACCATCATGACAAAACCTCTAATTAGCCTCCTATTTTGTGTGTGAAGCATAATGTGGTTACATATATGGAATAGTCCAAAAAAGCATAAAAACATCAACATTAGCCCTAAAGGGTCCAAATGATCATGACCCAAATTTAATGAGCTGTAAATTGTGCAGTTCCATGTTAAACCTGTCAGGGTTGTCTAGGTGAAGAATTAATGTCATCTGTAAAGGTCCTTTCACACTGGGACCATTTTTGTCGTGCGATTATTTCGGACATCAATAATTTTTTTTGAACCCGTATCCTGTCATTACAAGCGTTTACATCAGCAACGTTTTCCCGTCCGGCGATTGGATCACTGTCAATTGTTCTAAAGTTTTGCATACTGTGTGCATACTGTGACCTTCCCTGGGATGCGTCTTTTTCCCCCTGGGAAGTCGCAAAATCGCATCGGGCTTGGTGTGTATAGTCAGGCGCGTCAAAATTCACCTCAGAATATTTCATAATCCGTGTTCTATATTTGCGTCGGCCCCGGTGTGTAAGGACCTTAAGAGTCACGCAAAAACATGTGGGCAACATTCAAGAGTGCAGCGCTCTATTTTGAGGGCATGCCTCAGATTTAATAACACAAGTTTAAGATTATGCCTTATTCATGTTTGAGATTCTAATTCTTTCCCAGGAATGCCGGCACATTGGATTAGCTTGCACTAAGATTTAGGGCCAACACAAGTGGTTACATATGTGACCGTCTAATTTCCTGAATATCTTGAGGATACATCAATTGTTCATTTTGTCTCTAAAAACTGTCAAACATGTCTAGTTCAATTTCTGAAAGCCCAATGGGGCGACTCAAAAGTTCTTCTTTTTAAAATCAAAACCCAATGCTTTTCATGTCAAACTAGCAAAAATAAGCAAATCCGTACATTTGGAAAGCAGCAAAAGTGAATGTTTTTAGTTTTTCCTTGAGAAGTCACACAAACAATTCACTCATAAAATATCTCTTCTAGTCGCATGCACGAACTTCTGCTCTGCTCACAGATTTCTTGTGCATAATTACATGTTTTGATACTCCAGTTTCATTTTGTTTTGCAATTGGCAGGTGTAAAATTATTTATTGGCCTTTGCTATTTATAAACCACATAATCAAACGTGAAATTCATTTATCATAAGCTTGTTATGATTAGCAGCTTGAATGCTAATTGGCTTAATGACCATCAGTCATTACCATCAATTTTGGGGGCATCCAAACAGTTTGTCAAAATCAACATGATGAAATGGCTTAATGGCACTCAAAGCACACGTGCCAGATTGAAATTCAAGAGTTAACACTACTCTTGCCATTTTTAGTGTTGTAAAACTGAAAAACACTAGTCAGTTAATAAACAGATAAGTTTTAGCCCTGATTTACATGGTGCTCCAGTGTCTGACCTGGTTCTTGTGTAAATGTTTCCCCCCCAAAAGACTGAATGGTGGAACTTGGACGACTGCCTGTTTCTCCTCCGGTGTCACACAAAGGGTTTGTGTGTGGATGTCATCTGGAATGCAGTCATGTTTGTCCAGTTTTTAATAAGAGATTGTGGTTAGGTGGTTGTGGCCGCACAGGCTCATCACTAGGGCACTGGAGCAAGGAGCAGCAGCTGTTCCACTAGGCCGCTCCATTAGCACCTTTTGGAAAGAGACTCCAGGCTCACCTGGCATCCGTCCAGAACAACCCTCTCGCTGTCAGTGCTGACAGAGAAAGATGCAACAGTATTGTGCAACACATTTTAAAGTAGGAGGTGCTATCTGGAGCATGAGTTTCACATGCACAAACAAACACTACAAGAACACATCTTGAGTGTACAGGCATTGGTCTCAGAGCATGTTAGTTTGTTTACATGGTGAGATGCTTTCACCCACTATCCCGCAAAACCCAGTCTTCATGATTGGCAGGGTTTTAACTGTTAAACTGTTATTTTCCTCATCTCATATTTGTCTCCTTTCATTACTCTAAAGTGTTAACTATGTCAGCCAATATACAAGACTGTTTTAGTTTTAGTTTGTTCACCATGATGCCCTCATTGACTCTGCTGGTACTCAGAATCACATGAAAAAAACAAAGGCTAGTTATGTGTAATGAATTCTAAAATGCCTTGACTCTTTTTACTCACAAAGGCAGTAACGATAAAACTGACCACATATCAGTATTTGCAGATTTCTTCCAACAATAGCAGAAGCTGTTTGCTAGTTGTAGATACGGCACAGTACTGAGTTCTAACATAATATCTGCATAGAGCTATTGTCCCTCAGTTTTCCTCTACTTATCAGATTCTGACTTAATCCTGTCTAAAGTATTGCTAATGGTACTGTCTATAATGTGAGTACCACATGCTGCAATTAAAAATGTCTGTATTCTAAATATCTGGAATGAGCTTGATTTCATTAATTTAGAGGACGGCTGATACGAGACCCAGTTACATCTCGTTGGTGAGAAAATACAAGAAGTTAGTGTGGAGATTGTTCTGACAGAATAGTGTTTTTTCTTGTGGTGTGAACAATAAGGGATGGAGTTACATCATTTATTGCAAATGACATTTTTGGAACAACCTCCATCTGGTCTGTGGCGATTGAGTGCGAAATCCTAAAAAACGTCAAGGCGAACAAAAGCATGTAGAAAGAAGTTTTGATGGGAAATAATTAAAGATTTTTTTAGTTACCTTTAGACCCTACTTCGCCTAGAGTTTGCCAGCTCTTTTTTTTTTTTGAAAACATTAAATGATCACAATCCATACTCAAAGCTGTCAAACCACAATCACTGTCTGACACTGGCTAATATCACACAATGTTTTCCTTCGGTTTAGACTTTTAGTTTTTTCACAACAAGAGTTGTGATGCAGGTGATTTGAAATTAATTATTAAGATGTTATATTTGCTTTAGGAATTAGAGGAAATGTTAAAATGATATAGTAAAAACAAATTAAGATTGACATTTTTCACTGCCCTGTTACTTGGGCATAACTGTGGATTAACTGATTGTGTGATAAAGACAAAACAAATTAAAGAAAGATGATGATAATAATGAGGCATGTTGTCAAAAGCCCTTTTTCTTTTGAACACTCAAACAATAAAGAAAATGATCCAATTTGTGTGTTTGGAGCCACCTCACTGTTACTGTCATCCACAAATCCATTTGTGAATCTTGAGACCAGTGGCTTTAGTGCCCTATGGGTTTACACCGCTTTGTTTTCCTCATGAACACAATATCTCAAAGCGAACATGGAAATAAAACCCCATCACAGTCCTTTTGTCATCAAACCCAGAGACACGATATGACAGCAGTCTCGGGGGAGATTCTAAACCCCTCGTTTGCTTTAATTGATATAATGAATGGCATGTGTTTTCAGCCTCCATAGTTTAGTAATTGCCGTTTTTAACACCCATCAATGGAATATGTGCAGTGGAATGATGGAAGACACTAATGCGTCTGAGCGCAAATGTAGTTGACAGTATCAGGAAGGATTTTCTGTATTATTAATTAGCTAACGGATGTTATAGTAACATTTTATGTGGAATCAATGAAATGTGTAATTCCCTCTTGAACCAGGTGCAAAAGGAAATGTACTTATTTCCTTTTGAGTATTTCTATTTCTACATAATACATCTAAAACTGAACTGAATTGATCTCAAGTTTCAAATGTATAAAAAGTAGATGCCCTGTTTTTCCTTTTGGTCAATTTTGTTGCTCTGTTTCTGACTAAAACCATTGTTTTCTTTGCTTTCCAGCTCTTGTTTCCCCCGTTGATTTCAGTTTTACTGCTTTCCTCTTGAACTGAAGCAGAGAATGGCTGATAATATTCTTCTTGTCTTACAGGCTGGAGGATCAGACAAAAAAGCTTCACAAGGACATGAAGAAAAGCACCGAGGCTGATTTAGGTGTGTTCTTCCACCAAACTGTGCGTTAGTGCCGGGTGTGCCATTGATCTCCACTTGTTCACCAACATACTTGATGTCGCTTGGCAGGTTTTTCAAGGCTAGAAAAGGCATTTGGTTGTCTCGGTTTGTTTGGTGGTGTTTCATTTCCCTGAACGGCTTGGAAATTGAGACAAAAGATTGCCAGTGTTCCCCTTAATCATGTATAAGCTTTCCTAGGCTATCGCAATACATTTGATATGGATTTATGAGTGTATATCTTTGTACGATGTTCGGTCAGGGCTCAATTTGTTGTTCATGTCTGGCTTCATTTATTTATTCATGCATTTGTCGGCCACAGAAACCATGTTTACTCTACTTTTTATTTGCTTATTTGCTGGTTTTGGAGTTGTGTATTTGGGAAGCAGCGGTAGACATGGCCTGTGGTAAGTAGTCAGTTGTGGGGGTGGAGGAGAAGGGACGGATGGAGGAGTGAGAGGCTTCTTCATTTCCTCTCCTTTGTGCTCTGGAATATGGATGTGTGCATCATCAAAGTGTCATAGCTGTCAGGCCCTCATTATCGTTAATGGATTCCATCTGTTGCACAGGTCCCGTCTCCGGCAACTGCTACCAAACAAAGAACTGGACCTACTCTGCATGTCAGCACTGCATTTAATACACTGCTTTCTATATCAGCCACCATTTATCAAGTCAAGGGTGCTGATATGGGGAGCTCTATTGAACTCACAGCCAATTAGCTGGTGAAGGACGATAATATCTTTTAAGAGCTGCTGTGGTTCACCGTTTCAATTAGACTAAGTAACAGAAGGCAGAAAAAGCAGCAGGGATAACTGCGCTTTTCATACCAAGAAATCGTTCTTCTTATTTCATCCCCAGAATATGAGGGGCTTTCGCTCCACTTGTTTGCACACTGCTAATACTGATAATTAAATAACTACCCTTGTGTCACCCCGTGATTCTCGTGACCCTGTAATCACCGCGTCTCGCAGTCAAATCAGACAATGTCAAATCAGGCAATTTGTTACTTGTCAAAAGGAGCGGGGCACAGAAACACCACTTGGTAATAATTGATTGGTTGAAAATTGGTCTCGAGAGAATCCCAAGGGAGTGTGAAAACACTGTTCCAGATCTCCATGAAGCCCATTTTCACCACAGCCTCTCCTGTCAGCTAGTGTCTCCTCAGTGAAGCTCATTTATTTTGACTGTGAAGCCATAATCTGATATGTGCTATGTGTCTAAACAAAGTGGCATGAGCACAGATTAACAGTAATTGGTGCTGTCAGTGTAGAAACATCACTGAGATTCTTGATGCTTTAGTGAATATTCAACACGGCAGATTAACACACTCACACCCCCCCCCCTCTAGATTTTTTACAATGGGGGCAGAACTGTGCCAGTTTGTGTACTTTCTTCTTACTTTTGAAGACTCCATGAAACCATTTATAATTAAAAACTTAAATCCTTAGTGTAGTAAACGAACTTTTCATGTATAGTTCAAGAAAATTTAAACAATCGGGTATTAAATTTGATTGAATTGGGATCTTCAGCATTCATTTAAACATAAATTTATCTACATTATGTCTATCCCTTAAATATAACTGAACTGCATGCTAACAGTCTACTTTCTCTGTGTGTGTGTCTGTTAGCCATGTCCAAAGCAGCAGTGAAGATCTCTGCAGACCTGCTTAGTAACCCACTATGTGAGCAGGACCAGGCCTTCCTGGAATCCATGACTGCTTTAGACACCGCCATGAGGAGGATGGATGCCTTCAACCAGGAAAAGGTCAGACCCAGTCCAACACTCTTTCTCTTGTAAAGTTTGAAGTGTTTTATCTTCGTCTTTTTCAGTTTTTCTTCACTCCTTTCTGGCACATGTCATTGTCAGACTATGAAAGGGTAAACTTCTCTCCTTGGATGTCAAATTAGGAATCTACACAGTTTTTTGTTGGGGTTTTTGTTCATATCGGTCATTATTGTGCAGCCTGTCCAGCCTATGTTGTGTTCGAGTTACCTCAGAAGTCAGGTGTTCAGTTTGAATGTTTGTTTGCTTGTTAGTATTAGCACTTGCCTTATATTCGGACAAGGCAAGTGCTAAAATAACTTTCGTAGATGACACCATCTTGTTTCCGCCTCCGATTTTGCTTTTTCCGACTTGACTGCTGTCATTCCGAATGTAGCATTAAAACTGTCGGTACAGTTCAGTCTGTTCAGTTTGTATGTTTGTTTGCTTGTTAGTTTAATTAATTAGTGGTGGTTTCCCCTATTGGATATAGTGTTTAAGGGTTCCAAGTGATTATTTCCTTATTCATGGAGAAAAGCTAACATTGTGGTTGAGCCTGTTGTCTCTCAATCAGAAGGTCAGGGGTTTAGTCCCAGGTCCTGCTGTCCACATATCAAGACACTTGGCGCCAACTTACAGTGTTTTAGCAGCTGGTGGGCATTTACATAGCAGTGTATGCCATCAGTGTGTGAATGTGGTGTGAATTGGTGGATGTGGCGTGTAATGTAAAAGTGCTTTAAGTGGTCAGAAGACAAGAGAAAGCACTCCTAAAACACAGTCCATTCCATTTACAATTATCTAACACAGATACGTTTGTGGAACCTCCCACACTTTACATTTTCTTGAAATCTCTTTTAAAAGTTAGAAAGTCACAGAAGACAAACTGTGTCATTCATGATTGAGTCACACCGGCTTCATGTTGCAAATTTCTTCCTTAACTTTCATTTTCTCATACCTCTCTTGTTTGTGATTTAGAATACATACTTCTTGTTCTGGAGTGCATTACTTTTTGTCTTTTATGCTTTTTCACTCTTGTATGTTTTGTCCTCAGGGGAAACTGTAGATAGGCAGACATTTTTCCAGGACTGTAAGCACCATAGCATGCTCGTTCTCTCACAGCTGTACTTTGTGAAGATCTCCTCTTTGGCTGTCGGGCCTCTCCAGATTATTCGCTGGGTGCACTTCAGGTTTTTTGATTAGAATCATCGCCAAAGGTAGTTATAATGTGAATCATAGTGGCACCGCATGTGTGCATCCTCAAGGCACTTCACTGTGAAGAGTAGACTTTTAAGAGGAAAAAATACACGAGAACACAGGAGATCACACTAAGGCATATACCGATTGACTTTTTTCCATCTGTGTTTTCTTGACTCATTGCCCTGCTGTTAGGTGTTCTGGGCTTTTCACATTTGTTGCCTTAAAAATATTCCCCTTCTTTTCACATTTAGATGTGTAACGGAGTGATTTCATAACCTTTTCACAACAGTGATCAAACAGACGTGGAAAAAACGAAAGCAGTTCCGTTTAAAAGTGCATCTTTTTTTTTTTTATTCCACGGTCAAAATGTAGTGTGGTACCCTGGGAAAAGCACAACATCTGGATCAGTACAGATTGAATTGAGTGGATATGATCAACTTCACTAAACTTCTATTGAAAATCAGACCAGTAGTCACAGACTAGTGTGTGTGTTTTGTGACGAGTGGGCTCATTCTGCAACTACAACTCTGACACAAATATTTCCAAGTCTTCTCATCATCACAAACTCAACCCAGCAATTTTGTTTCTACTTGATTTAAACAGATCTAAGAATTAAAAGTCACTTTGTTGAATGAAAAACATGTCAACATCGAAGGGGAACTTTGAGCCGCTTTTATAAAGCAGATCTTTTTTTTTTTGTTGTTGCTTTTTTTTTTTTCTCTTTGTTTTTAACCAGCCTTTCAGACTGGCTTCTCACAGCTCATCAAATTTTACAGGAGCAATTTTGAGTGACTAGACAAAGTAGAATGTGGGTTGGACAGAGTGTGTGGGTTTGTGACCCGGGGTGTGTATGTTCCAGGACTTGGCTTGGTTGAGTGCCCAGGAGAGCACTCCTGCCAGTTCGACTGTTTTCAGTATATTGTAACTTCTACATTCTCCAGATTCTATAGAATATCAATCTGCTTTTAGTATCTATTTTAACTGTGTTTGAATCCCCTCACTCTTAATCATTTCATCTCTTAATTAGTTTGAATGTAATTTTGTATTCCTCCCTGTTAAAACACTCTCCAGGTGGAAAAGCTTTTCTTCGTAGTGCATCGTTTTGATTCCAGATTCTCCATGCTGACGAGTTTTCTAGTTTGGCTCAGTGACTGGGATGTATTTGACAGTGATTCAGCTCGGCAGCAACACTTTTTCACTTGAGGAGGACAACAGTCACCAACTGTATTGACGTGGTTGTATGTTTTTTTTTAGCCACTCTTTGATCCGGAGTAGATTTTGACAGCTGGGTCACACCTGATTTTCTCAGTACTTCTTTCAGTCTTCCTAAATAAAAATCCTCACCATAACACAATGTTCAGTTCCAGGTTTGGGCAGGGCTGTGTGGCTCCTTTTGTAGAGTGGCTGAAAGTGAGCTGAAGGCAGAATAGTGATTGCGAGCACTTTTTGGTCAGTCTGCTATGTGGAGTATCACCTCAGGTTTGCTAGGTGTTTAAAATCCAGCACGGCTCACTCGAAACACTACTCCAGCTTCTCCCTTCAAGCTGACTGTTGATTCTGACGGCACCAACAGCAAACCCTATTGCTCCAGCAAAACAGACACAAAAGCATCCACCCTTTGCTCTTCTCTCAGTGTTGAGACGAGATGTTCCGCCGCAGGGCCCGCGAGTGAGAGAGCCAGCAGATAAAACGTGCAGCGATAATGAAGGCAGCAGTGGCCCAGGTCTGTGTGTTTATTTCTGGGGCTGAGGAGGGCGCACAGCCCCGCCGGCACACTGCTGCCGAAGCTGAGCCCCAGTGTAGATGGCGGCAGCGCAGTAGAGGATGCTCCGTTTGGAGGGATATTGATTTCCTCTGCGATCTGTGTGTATTTTTGGGAGGCCTGTGTGCCAGGTTGGCCTCTGCCCCGTGACTCACTGATGGAGACTACTGCTTGAGCGTCGGCCTCAGGCTCTGCGGGGCCTCCAAGGAATAGCTCTGCCCCCCCCTCTCTGTGGGAAGGGGCAGAGGGTAGAGGGCACCAGCATGCTTAAGCAAATCTGCCGCTGTTGTTCTCCCTCCTCGCTGCATGCTCTCACCTTAGAAGCAGCGGCGCAGCTCAAGTCGGGAAGGGGGGGATGGTGTGAATATGTAAAACAAAGAAAATGTGAATTCCCATGTACTTATTTGTTATTGGTTCTCTGTTTTCCCTCAAACCACAATCAACCATTTTGTACTTGGAAATGTGCCGGTGTGAAGCAGTGAGTGTTGCTGTATGTTCTCATAGATGGTCAGGGCATTTTTTACAAAGCACAGCTGCGATCTCGCTTCCTTGTTGTTGTGTGATTGACTGTCCTTCCAATAGTGAGTGAACATATGATTAGTGGAGCTGCTTGCTGTTCTCATGCAGCTGTCACTTCACATCTTAGCGCTTTAAATTTCTCCTCCACCACCGTACTTAGCATTTAGTCCTCACTCCACTCGTTTGCATGGTTAACTTAGCATTCTGTCATGCTGGAAGATCTGCTGGTAACAGTCATTTTGAATCTGCAATGTAAATGATGCTGCAAACTTTATTAATTGTGCACCAACTTCTGTCGATGAGACTTTGTGCCGGGGCTGGAGGCCTCGAGATGAGATGTTCGTTTACTTCCATTTAACTCCCCTTCCCCTCCTTCCCCTCCCTCCCCTCCCCTCCCTCCCCTGTCGATTCTGGCAACCAGAAGGAGAATGTAGAAAAATATAAACTGTTATTGTTAAAATGTTTGTTTGCAAAGAACTTTCATCTTGTACGGCAGCCCACCCTCCACAGGATTTGAAATCAGTGGGGCTTTGCTTTCATGTCCGTCCCCTGACAGTTCCATCCTTTTGTATCGCAAGCTCGATGAATATTCAGGGTTTTCTCCTCGGGGCTTGTGTACTATTAAAGAGTCAACGTCATGAAAGTTTCTTTGCAGGCACCCCCCCCCCCCCCCCCCTTATTTTCTTGAGTGCTCTGTATGAAATATACACAATTGTAGGTGTTTGTTCAGTGGCACTACTTAGCAGCTAATGAGCGTGAGACATACAAGCTATTTTGTTCTGACTCCAGTTTTGATGTAACTCATGTTGACAATGAATAACAATTTGTAATGTCACATCTCTTGTTAAAGTTGTGTGTGCTGCTGATATTTACAGCTGTTGTTTTTTTTATATGACAGGTCAACCAGATCCAGAAGACAGTTATCGACCCTCTGAAAAAGTAAGTATCCATCCGAGTTCTTGTGGCTTATTTTGTTGCGACCGTGTCAAAGGTTGGCTACCAATCTATCAATACTGGATCAGGGTCCAACAGTTTTTGCTGACAAGTTTAAGATTCGAGCGGAGTAATGGAGCGGGGAAGTTTTCCATGTAGGGACAGTAAAGTACAGTCAAACTAGTTCAGCACAGTCTTCATGGATCATTGTTCCCGATGTGGTAAATCCATACAATACTCAGGGCAGTGCCCCATAATATTTTTATGATCTGACCCTGTTCTGCTCCTGCTCTGCGCCCCGGTGGTGCTGTACCACAGGAAGTCTTGCAGTGAAGTAACACAGATTGTAAAAATGAATCGAGTGGTGCTGCTGTGGTGTTACTGTGTCTGGAAGAAAGTTTATTTGGTTTTCATTCCTAATACTCGCCCCCGTTTGAGCAGCCAGTGAGCGCTATTCCATTCCTTAAGTCTTACGTTTACCATACACACACACACACACACACAGAGTACACCACATGCTCATGCAAAGCAGAGGTACTGAAGGGAGTGGTTGGACTATCCCACCCGTCTTCCGGAGAGCTTGTTAAGGTTTAGCTTCCTCTTCTTGGCTCCTCCCAGGAGGTTCACCATATGCTGTTTAAAAGAGCATGTGCACGTGTTTCTGTCGCAAGTTTATGTCGAACCCCAGAAGCCTGTTGGTTCATTTTTCAAAATAACCAATGTGAAGAGATTCCTTCATAAAACATGAATAGGCTGGGTCAGTGTGTACGTGTGTAAATGTGTGTGTGTAAATGTGTGTGTGTGTGTGTGTGAACCCTGCCTTCTTCATGAGCTCTGGTGGCGGAGCAATGACAGGATGGAATGGTTCTAATTTCCTCTTCCTGGTGGGCGGCAGGCGGACGTGTGGGCAGGCTCATAATATGGCAGAGGGCCCAGCTTCCTGGGCCCAGAGCCGTGGATTGGTTGAAAAGGAGAACTGTCTCAGGACAGTGCATACTCTGGACACAAACTTACACACAGGCCGACAGTAACCCAGATTTTGAAGGAGGTTCTGTCTTACGAAGGTGGTGTTTTGGCTTTAAAGTTGGGCATTTACATGATTCTGAAATAAAGCAAAGGAACTAAGTCCATAAATGCCTTTTTCAAGCCAAACTGACCTTTCATTAACTTTCTCTTCCTTGCTCTATTAGTTATTAGTTTATCAAAGTGGACTCTACAGAAGACTCCACACAGACACAAAAGCTACTATACTTTAAAGCTTCCATTAAGATTCCATTAGTCCATCACTAATGAATATTTTCCATTGTTTACTTTGACGCCAAATACTCTGCTGGTGATCTCGTGTCAGAGAATTAGTAAAGAGTTGAAAGGAAAACGTTAATGTTAATGGAAGACCTTGAATGGTGTGTGTTTGTATCCATGTGCGATTGCTCTTAAAAATTTTTGGCATCTTTCCTTAATTGTTAGTATGGTGAAATGTACAGTAAACAAAAATCACCCCCCTCCCGCATTGAGAGTGTGTAAGTGTGTGTCTCAGGCCTCGACGTGAATTCATGCACTCAGTGGGGTCACTAAGTGACATCACTGTGTTTATATGTGGGGAGGGGAGTGCGTGGGCACTGCAGCATTTGTGTTATCTCGGCCTCCTAACCTAGTCCTTTCTGTTCAGTTGCTCTTTTGGAAGAGGCAGAATTCAAGCCTGTTGTGAGACCTCTGCCCTGTCTGAGCTCTGTACGGACAAACCACATCCACCTCTCTCAATCAGAGGAAAGACTCTACCCCTGAGTCGTGAACTCAACTCGACTACTAAGCCTCTTTTTTTTGGTGGCAGTTACTGAAATTGATCCCAGTTTTGTCGGTTCCATTTATTTTTTTTGTTAGCTAGCTTTTTTTCCCATCTTATCTCGTACATAATGTAACCAGGCCGGCTGTGTGAGTTCTCCGAGTTTTGATCAACAAAGCACAAGGCAAGTTGCAGCAGATCAAACTCTCCCCTGCTGAGACAAAGGAGGTTCTGCTGGCATGTACGTCACGCACTCAATTTCCCATGGCCCACTGCCCTTGGGCCGTTTATACAACAGGTAGTAGTTATTTAACAGTTACAATGAGCATAATTTAACAAAAGTCCTCATGTGATTTATCTTTTGTCAAACTCTTTTCAGCGTCTTTATGAGTCTTGACACTCTGGAGGGGTAATTAACACATAAACAACGACCTTTTCCTGCATTTTAGTGGTTTAGTGTGCGCTTTTTTGCTGAATTGAGTTATGTGATGGAAGTCCAGAGGAACAGCCTGCTTCTCTAGACTGAGGGTGTCTAGACCAGACTGGGGCTTGGCTGACGGGTCGGCCTGGACTGTCTGTGGATTGGCAGCCGCTCATAAACACACTCTCTGCTCCAGATGCTATTTCCATCCAGCCCGTTCACCACACCCTGACCTGTCACATGGACGGTGGTGTGCCCTTGGCCCCCACACTGCCTTTCAACCAGCCAAAGACCTCAGTCGAGCACAACTAACCACCAATGCAGCCGTAGCCAGATGACCAGTCGTTGTCCGGCCAGGCCAGGACATCGAGGGAGATATCCGGTGCTCGGACAGTTATAGACCAAACTTTGAATACTGAGTATGTATATTTACTTCAACGGGACACTGCTGCGTAATCTTGCGTGGGAGCCTACACAGCTGAGTCACCCTAACTTCTGGCACTGAGAGCCTTAAGTGTAAGCGTAAGGCTGAAACGACTTCATCTAGTATGGGGAGGACGGGAAAGGGTTAACAAGCAATTGGCTTTGTGTCTGGCTCCTCTTCCTTCTCCTTGAGTGCCAGGAGAGCAGCGGCCTTAACGTCTCTCAGCGCGCTCCGAGATAGTAGCGGCTGACAGTGTCGTCCCACTTTAAGTCTCAAACTGAAGGCCAGCATAGTGTGTCATGAGGAAATCTCACCGTGCTGTCAGGTGAAGTGTGCTGGTGAGAATGTGATCAGCCTGAAAGCTGGTTTGCCGCTACGTTGTCATCAGCCAATAGGATCGTGTTGGAGTGCAGTCATGCCTAGAGGGCAGTTACATAATCCCTTGGCACTTCAAGTATGTGTACACTGGAACAGATAGTAGACTTGAGGATCGGCATCCACCCCTGCCATAAACTGGGCCAAAGTGGTATTTTATAAATAGCGGTAGAGCGTGGGCCGCGGGGCTGGGCTGAGCTAGGCTCCGTGATGTCACTCAAATGCTACAAGACCACTCCTTGCTTAACTTCCTGTAGTAAACAATCCCTGCTTGTCTGACTAAGAAGTCTCAGTTCGCATCACTTTCTCCCCCCCACCCCCCAACAGCACTCTGCTAAGGTGCACAGGCAGCTTTCATGTAGTATTTCACAACCGGTCCACCAGTTCTCAGTTGTTCCCTTTCAGCTGTAGAGAGCAGAACAAAGACTGACATTAAGAGGAACATAAATCATGAAGCCCACACATTTTGTGGCCAATAACACCATGAGAGGAGGTGAACGTTTTCAAACTGTTGTAGTAGTGCTTCTACGCAGTTGATGAAACGCTTTTAAATGAGTCATTCAAAAAAAGCTATATCTCACTCTTCATTACGATTGTTTTGATTACTGACTCACATGCAGCCGACACCTGTGTGAATAATCTTGTGGCCTGCTTTTAAAAACACTGTCACTGCTTTGCATTTACATGAAAGAAGAGCCAAACAATTTGTATTTTACATTTCATATCTTGAGGTTTTACTCAAAATGAATGTTAGGATTCTGATAAGAGCTGAAGTGCAAAATCATAACCCTTTAACATTTATACATTTTCGTTTCTGTCCAAAAAAATGTAGAAAAATTCAGCAAAATTACCTCAATTTTAAGACAAATCGTTGGGACTTGTAAATCATACTGTATCTTAACCATATGTAAATCCTATAGTTTGATACAGGACACTATATTTGATGAATGTACTGTAATTTTTATCTTTGTTTACAATAACTGGACTGAATATTCCCTGCATGCACTATTCCTACTTCCCATTAAAATCAGCCATAGAACCAGTGCAACAAGTCCCAGGATGAAGCTCAGACTCCTGTTGCTAAGTTACAGATGAGTGTTTTCCTATTTTTAGTGCTGAAGACTAGGATTCTCGTTGCGAGAATATATTTTCATTTGGAATATGATAATTGTCAGAAAATGAATTGTTTCGTGCTGTTTGGAACTACAGTAATTAGATAATAGATTAGAGGAAGCTTAATGCAAAGCTGTCCTCTGGGGTTTGAGAGTACCTCTACAATAAGATGTTGAGGGGAGGGATTTTATTAATTCATAATGACTTATTAAGTGAGGAAACAATGCAAAATGCATTTCATGGAGCAAAGAAGGCAGTTTTAATTATTGCAGTTATTCTAGTTTCCCCTTGAAAAATTCTGTGATTTTTTTATTTCACTCCCCCTCATTCGACTGCGAACGTCTATATATATTTTGAAGACACGATGAGGTGTGTGTGTGTGCATGCGTGTCAAAGAACTGATGCGATTGTCTGTTTGCTCTTTTGCAGGTACAGCGGCGTCTTCCCCAGCCTCAACATGGCAGTGAAGCGCCGCGAACAGGCTCTGCAGGACTACAAACGGTTGCAATCTAAAGTGGAGAAATACGAGGAGAAAGAAAAAACGGGGCCCGTAATGGTCAAACTCCATCAGGTACTGTGAGCTTAAAGCGTGCATCGGCGCACGTGTTGGTCCACTCCAGTGCTCTCTCTATCTGCACAGGAGCAGAGTTCACTTGCTCTTACATGTTGTGCGTATTGTGAATAGAGTGCAATAAGTGGAAAAAGACACAAATGCTGACTGGATATGAACAAAAATAGTTGAGCACATGCATACTGTACATGTGCGCTTCTTCACCCACGCAAGCTACCAGGCTCTCAAGTAGTGCCTTTTCAAAAAGGCACTGCTGCACATCTACAGGCACGTAATTGAGAATTGTAGACACACATATACACACCATGAGGCCACTACAGAAGCACACACATTCACAGATAGCGCTGCAGTGTTGCTTATGCTATTGCCTCTAACACATCCTCACATGGCGAGCCACCCACACACATTGAGAAAAGCACTGTCAGGGGAACAAAGCCTTGAAGAGGCCCCTGCATCCCTGCCCTTTGAATCCATGTGCACTTAAAGAAGTGATCCTGACAAAATGCTCGTATGCCAATTTAACTGGCATGTGTAAAGAAAACTAACTAATGACCGCATTGTGATGCTGCAGCTAAACAATATGGTGTCGTTTGAATATAGCAATTCCCCCCTTCCCCTTAATAAAAAATTCTCACCCTCTCACACACATCCATTGTGCATTCCATAACTCTATGCCTACAGTAGACTACCCACTAATACATTCACACACAGATCAGTGGTGCTGGAGTCCACTCACAGCCAAGTCTGCCCACATTACCCACTCCTCCTCACTGTGGTCGTGATTACAGCCTTTTTTTTGCACTGCTTCTCCGTGGGAATTAGGCAAATATCTCTCTGAACAATAAGAAAAAAGGACACTAAAGATGGCTCAGGAGCTGAAATGCTTCAAACTAAGTTGTTTTTCTTAACAGGTTTTTGTTTTCCCTTTTTAATGTGCAACACCAGTTTATCGAGGAAGAGCGGTGAAAGCATTAAAGGCATGATTTGAAGGTTAAATAAGGGGATTTGTGTAGGAATAAAGCTGCGACCTGTTCATTTTTTTTTTGCTCTCGTCTCCTCACCCCCCCAGGCCAGAGAAGAGCTGCGACCGGTCAGGGAAGACTTCGAAGGCAAGAACAAGCAGCTTCTCGACGAGATGCCCAAGTTCTACCACAGCCGCATCGATTACTTCCAACCCAGTTTTGAGGCTCTTATCAGGGCGCAGGTTAGTTATCGCACACCCCCCCTTGGGGAAGAATACACAATGGGGCGCTCATGCCTGTACGCACACCCACCCTACAATGAGCCGTTACGCCCTGTGATCGCTGGTTAAACAGTGAATAGAGCGTCTGATGGAAGGGAGTGTATAATCCTGGCAGTCTGTCTCCCTCCACGCAGTCCTAATGTGATTAACCCCCAGCGACGGCCCACACTACTGTGCTTAGTCCAGGAAGGCCTCATCTGTCTGGCTCCACTGCAGCCCTGCAAGTCATCCTCCGACCTGAAGCTTCTCTTAAAGCAGCTGGGTGTCTCGAACGAGCGCCACCATGTCCCCCCCCTGCCCCTCCCCCACACCTGCCTGCACATGTCATTTCCTCCTCGGGACGGTCACTGGCACACTTCTAATTGGTTAATGAGATTATCCCGCACCTAATGACAACGATAGAGCTCTATGAAGTACTTTGATGTTAAAATTAGCAATTAGCTACAAATTGAGCCTCGGTTCTCCTCTCGCTCAGGTTAAATCAGGGTTTTTTTTTTTTACCCAGCTTCATGAGCTCCTATTCGTCGAAATAATTTACTCTCCTTGTGTCCCCGTTCTCTTTATTCATGTACCTCACACACATGAATGAGCATCCACACATATTTACACACACACACAGCCACACGTGGGTGGCCAGTGGAGCAGAGGACCTCATCCCCAGCCTTGCCGCTGCAGCATGTGCTCAGTATCATCCTCCACTCCCTTCTCTCCCAGCCGCTGTTGCTGCTCAGCTCCCAGCGGCAGCAGGAAAAAGACACAAAGACTGCCTTTGTTGTGAGCTTTGAGCTCCATGAGTCCCGTCCAGTGACTGTCAGTGGGACACTTGGCCTAACCCGTCCACCTGTACAGATGTTGTTGAATCGAGACATTGTCTTGATTCTCCTCAGTATTTATTAATCCAGAAAAACACTCAAATTGTGTCTTTTTTTTGGTCTTTTCTCTGTTGATTTTCTTTGTTTTCCTAAACAGTGGTCTCCCATTGTTCAAAGACTTCCTGAATCGAACACAATTTCAATTATTCATTATTTTTGTAGGCTCAGAGGTCAGAATGTAACCTCTCTGCATAAATATTAAGCAGCTTGTTGTATGGTATGTTAAAATGCACAGACAGAAGTCATGTAAATTGACGCTCTGCTCTACTACCAAGAGGCTCTTTATGTACCGTAGGTGGTCACAGTTATGTGAGGCTGCGTTTACTCCTCGTGGTGACACGACTAATTGTAATGGTGGAGTGTTTTTTTCCTACAGAGGGCACCCAGACACTGATCTGGTGTACATTATCATCACTGGTCATATGGACATTTCCGATGGCCCTTTCAACAAGCCACTTTTGGAGAAAAAAATATCCGCTTTACCCCCACAAACAGCAGTAACCTGATACTTATGGCCCACTCATGTGGTTTGGGTGGCAAATATTGGTATAAACATCCAAAGGTCTCTCAGACTGAGCCCTTAAAAAGAGCCTGAACAATCTGGCGTAGAAACTTGACTTTTTTTTTTTTTTTTTGCCTGATAGAGACAAATCTTCTCATGACAAAGTGAGACAAGTGTTATTTCTGTATAAGATGCGTGATGCGTAGTTATTTCAAGTTTGACCTAGCTCTTTTTCAGTCGTGACCCTGTGGAAATCAGTAAGCATCTCTCCCACTTGTATCTTGGTTGGTCTTTCTGTTTCGGCCTACAATAGGACACACATGCAGTTTCAGAGAAGTCAGCGATGCCCCCTTAAGAGCATAGTGTATCGTATGCATCTCTGCATGAATAAATATTGAGATGTGTGTGTGGGTTCCAAGGGGTTGTGTTTCCCAGTACTTTCATTCTCTGCCTACTCTTCTGGAGTCTTGTAATGTGATTAAAGTCTATTAATCATCAAAGCAACTCTCAGGGGAGCCTGACTCATGAACTAAGGGGAAGAAGCAGGGGTGGGAAGTGTCAAGAAAGCTTTCAGCGAACACTCTCTATCTCTTGTTCAGATTGGGAGAGAAAAGCAGGGTCACTACCCACTGAAGTGCTGGGTTTTTTGGGGCTTTGTTGGAGTTGTTTGATATCTGTGGGCTTCCTGTTCTCCTCTCGAATCACTTCTCATTAGCAGGGTTGAAGAGGTAAGAGGTTTGAGACCCTCAGCTTCCAAATAGTGTAAGTAAAATAAGGTTAGACGGTGCAAGTGCAGCAGTTTGAAGAAGTTGTTTTTTTTTTCTCTGAGAGGCTTTGAAGAAATTTCTGTGGATTGACTGCCCCGTCAAGGGAAGACAGGATTTCTTTTCCTCTATCACACATGTATTCTTTCTCTTTTTCCCTCCTGCTCCCCTCCAGGTGGTCTATTTCACCGAAATGTACAACATCTTCAGCGACCTCACCGACCAGATTGACCAGGCGGGGTTGACTGATGAGCAGAGGGAGAGGGAGACCGAGGCCAAGCTCAGCGAGTTGCGTGCTCTGTCTATTGTCGCAGATGACTGAGGAGAGAAGCGAGCAGAAAACCCGGGAAGAGCTCCTTTCATGCCACTGAATGGATTGCACTCTTTTCAGGCTCCTTCGCGCAGCTCAAACGGACAGCAGAAGCCTTAATCTGATCAGAAGTTTGTTTCCTTATGGCCTCATCTCCCATCATTCCTCTTGCACTATTTTTTCCCATGTTTCATTCCCTCTTTAAAATCTCTCTGAGCAGCTGAAATGCCACATTAACTAAGCCATCAGCCAAGTGCAACATTATAAGCCAATATGTAGTTTTTTTTTTCCTTTTTTTTCCAGTGAGGACTCAAATGGTTCTCATCAGAACTAATTAACAAGGTTACACTTCTTGGTTTCAGAGATGTCTATAAACATTTGTTTCCAAAGTAGGAAATGAGTACGGAAGTATCTTTATTAGTCTCATCTGCTATGTTTCCAACAATCTGTGAAATACACTTTTTATTACCCAACTCTGAAATTACAAACACTACAGACTGAATGTTATTTAATGTACTGCAGGTTATCATCAACATGAAATTGTCTGTTTTTTTTTGGCCTTTGCTGGTTATCTCAAAGTTTAGCTCTGTGCCATGTTGGTTGAGGGCTTCTCACTGGGGGTTTAGAAGATGATAGTAAAAACATCACCCGTGCGTTTTGTGCCTGTTTTTTCTCGAATGTGGATCCAACACAAAAACTAAGTAGTGCAAAGTGAGACTGTGCCTGTGCGGTGGTGGTGGTGGTGTCCGAAAGGTTGAGCACTCAGGCTGCAGAGAACTCGCTATTTACAGACGATTGACTGTCCAAACCAAAGGCTGGTGCTCCCTCTGGTGGTGAATACAAATCATGACACAGATTTTCCTCAGTCACGCCAGCCATCGATTGTGCAGTTGTAATTCAGTTTGTTTGAAAGCAAAGAATAAAAAAATCTTTATAGGTTGCTTAAACATTATGTCAAAGAAATGATAGCTACTCCTTTGAAGGGAAAGTGCAGGTCAGTCTTTCTTCATGTTCTCAGACTGTTCACTGGAAATACATAAAATAAGTACCTTATAGTTTGACTTCTCATTATGAGGAAAATCTATAGAAAATCAAGTATTTGTATCATCCACACTAGGGACTAATCATGCTGTCCTTTCACTCTTATTTTTGAGTGACGGTTATTTGGACGATACAACTGCTCTCATATCATGTAAGTGGGTTTCCATTGAGGTATCAAACCCAGAGGTTGAGTATTCTTGTCTTTACAGATGTTTTCATTTCAATCAGCAGATCTTAGTCGATGGCCTGTTTCTGTGTTCTGTCTTCATGAAGGTGTTTTTCTAATAATGAAACGCTAACGGTGTAGTAATGGCAACTAAATGAAGTGGATAACATTAAAATTGATTCAAGTTAGGGTTTTTTGTAGATGTATTCTGTCAAATGACAACGTGGTCATCATGTCACAGTCATGAGATGTTTTAAAATGAATAAATGAATGAAATGTCGCCTCCGTTTATATTTGGATACCCAGGACAAACACAGTTTTCTGTTACTAAACTTTATTTCTGTTCACTTTTACTTTACTGGAATTAGTCAGCAGTGTCTTGTCAACAATCTTAATCCAAGGAATATATACAGTTCAGACCTTTTTTTTTTTGTCTATACAAACCATTGCATTAGTTTTCATGATTTAACTCCAGGTGAAGGAGAAACAAGCTCTCGGTGCTTCATGAAATGTTTCAGAATTGATAAGAAATGCACGACCATTGGTCCACAAGCTTGAAGACGCTCGTGAAAAGCGTATGTCTCTGCGATCCAATGACCCACAACCATGAAATACAAAGCTCCAGTTAGTGGTTCCTACTCTAACCACCAACAACCCGACAGTGTTCCTGTGAGAATCCACATGCAGGGAAATGACAGAGCGGCTTGAATTAGGAGTATTACTTCAGTGTCTTTTACCTCTTAAAACATGTATCAGTAATAATCCCCGGTGAATCAAAACTCTGAATTAGTGACAAAGACGACAGTGAGATTGAAATTAAAAAGGAAATGTGGTCGGGTTCTGTAAAAGTTACAACATAATTGTGCAAGAAGTGGATGTGAATTAAAACTTACATGAAGGAAAATATCAGTATCCCCAAATATACCCAAATTTGTTTTAAAAATAAGGCACTGCTCGATTTCTTTTCTCAGGTTCCTGTTCCCTTTTCAGACACCAGCGGCCCTCGGTTATTGTGCGTGACTGACTGAATGAAGTCCTTTAAATTGCCGTCTTGCTGTACATGCTCGATATTTGTTCCTGGAAGACTCTGCGGATGTCTGCACGTCTGCTTTTCAAGGTTGGAGTGAGAAGGCCGTTGGCGATACTGAATGTCTCCGGATGCAAGTGCAGGTCCTTCACCTGGAGGAAAGGACAGGTGAGACACCGAGACGAAACACAAGTCATCATTCGAAGGATACTTTAAGACTCCTTACTTGTTCGAAAGACTTCAGCCCTGCATCCTTCCCCACGGCTTTCATGTCTTCTAATACTGCCTTCTTCACATCCTGTTGGAACAATAACAAAGTCAGATCTTGAGCAGACAGTGACTTGTAGCCGGCTCTGTTGAAGTCTGAGAGTCCGTCAGACGTACCGGGTTCTGGCACAGCTCTTCGTAGGATCCGACAATCCCTCGCTCTTTCACCCAGTCGACAAACACCTCAGGATCAGGCACGACTATGCCTATTAGAAAAGACTGGAAACATGAAACACAAGAAAAATCAACAGTTTTGACCTGCTCCGCAATGAAATCTCGGTGACGATGGATCACATTGTGCAGTACCTGTAAACTATCTCCATGTACAAACACCTGCAGCACAGGAACACACCGCATGTAGACGTTTTCTATCTTTTCTGGAGCGATGTACTCTCCCTGGGACAACTTGAAGATGTGCTTCTTCCTGTCAATGATGCGTAGTGTCCCATTCTGACCAATAGAAAACGTGCGTTTACACTCTTACAGGAGACAAGACATTAAAACGGTTTAACTCAAGCAGAATCTTACTGGAAGCCACTGGCCGACGTCCCCGCTGTGCAGCCAGCCATCACTGTCCAAGGCCTCGGCTGTCCTATCGGGGTCCTTCAGGTAACCTCTGAACACACTGGGGCCATAAATACAGATCTGACAGGACAGAGACATGAAGAGTTTGAGCAGGTAAGAGACAAGTTGATAAAAGAGTCTGAAATGTTCAGGTAAGCACACCTCTCCTTCTCCGTTTGTAGCGTAGTAGTTCATGTCAGGGATGTCGACCACCTTCACCATGGCACAGGGAAGAGGAGCGCCGACATGACCTGATGAAGACAAATCCACACAGCTGCTGAGGACAGACTTAACCAGCACAGACAGAAAAACAAGTTAAGGATCAGAGCTTAAATGAATAATTCATCGGTAGATTAGTCGAACAGAAAAACATGAATCACTATTTTTTAAAGACCAATCGTCACAGTGACTTTTTATTAAGCTAAAATGTCAGACATCTGCTGGGTCCAGCTTCTTGAAATCCAAGATTTGTTGCTTGTTATTTAATACATGAAAAGTTTGAGAGCTTTTAACTGCTGACTCAACCAAGAGGAAAAGTCATTTTTGGGAAATTTGGATTTTTCACCACTTTCTGACCTTTTTTTGGGCCAAACATCTCATCAGATACTCTAACTATTGACAACAAATCATTTCTCTTAGTGATTTGTTTTGAGCGTTTTTGCTGAGGTAGAGAGGGGTCTTGGTCAAAAGTCAAACCAGCAGAATTTGTGCAGCCAGGTCAATCATTGCCCTTTAATAATGTATTTTGATTGATTTGCAGAGTTTCAGCGGTTTCCTACCTGCGCTCCAGTCTCCAGGCATGGAGAAAGTGCAGCCTGCGGTGCACTCAGTCTGTCCATAACCCTCAAAGATCAGACAGCCCATGGTGGCCCTGAGGAAGGACAGCACTGCGGGGGAGATGGGTGCTGAAGCGGTCAGGGCGAACCGCAGATTTCCTCCTAAGCTGGCCTGAAAGCGGAGTCGTGCGTGCGTGCAGTTTGTCAGATGGTGAACACAGAATCATACCGAGAATACAAGCAGAATACATTTCCACCCTGAACCATATTTCTGTCTGCATTGACTAAAGCGAGCCAAAAACCCTCTTGGTTCTTCCTCGCCTGTGCGCCTGCCTTCCCAGTCCTCTCCCACAGGGCTGATACGCTCTGGGTGATTTTGGCATTGATTGCTGGAACACTGCTCTCTTGGAAAGTTTGGATACCGACGCATGAGCTATATGGAGGGCTGCTGGTGCACATACACTTCGGTGTCAAGTACTGCAAAAATGTAAGCGGCGGCGCCATCAGAGTTGTTGACTGACAGGAAATAAGCCATGATGTGAAATTAACTCGGGGCCGATGGTTGTGTTTGTCTTCAGTGGTGACATTCAAAGCAGCAAATTAGGGAAATAATACTGAACCTGGATCCTGTTGAAAACCAATTTGTCCCACAGGCTGTTGTTTCGCACAACCCCGCTGCTGAGCTCAGCCTGCTTTCTCCTCACGGCGTAATGAAGTAAAGCCCGCCGTAATGGAGAGGTCACTGAACCAAGGATCTTTATAAAAAGAGAGTACAATGTAAACACAAAACCAAACCAGAGAATTATGCTAGAAACCGAGATGTAAATGTATGTGCTGACCTTGTCATAGATGCGATTGAGTAAACGAGGCACGACAGGGAAGAAGGTGGGTTTTAGAGTTTTAATATCGTCCATGAGAAGAGAGATGTCGCCTTGGTAGAATCCTACTCTGGCGCCGTGGCAGAACATGGACACCTGTGACGGAAAAGGTCTGAGTTCAGGCTTCATGTGCGAACACGCTCTATAGACAGATCTAAAAAAAAAGGGGGGTGAATTACCTGGATCATCCTCTCAAACATGTGGGCAAGCGGCAGGTAGGAGATCGACACATCCTCCTGCCTGATCACAAATGAACCCTGAGAGAGAAAAAAAAAAAACGAGAAACAGGAATGAGCAAAACACAGGGGAGACATAACGTCTCTCAGGCAATCAAACAAGCTGTATGTCTTTCCCAGCAGCAGTTAGATAGCTGCGTCTTTATACAGGGGCAATTAGTTAAAGTACCTTGCAGCGACAGGGGCAATCAAACAGCCAATTAATCATACCATTAGCCACAGCAGGGAGAGGGACAGTTTGGAGACACAGACACACATGCAGACGGGATGTGATGCTAGCTGTGAGCCTGTTCTCAATTAGACAAGGAGGTGGAAGTACAGACAGACCTCCAGGATCTTAATGACAGAGGAAGTGTTGGAGGCGATGTTGCCGTGGGTGATCATGGCTCCCTTGGGCTTCCCTGGATAAATAAACAAAGCATTATTGCAGTGCCCTGTGCGACAAAGGAAACTACAGCAGTGCCATGAGGAGAGGTTGTTAGTGGGCACTGAAGGACACTCGTCTAATGATGTGAGCGAGGGATAATTGAGCAGAAATCAGACGCTACCTGTGGTTCCACTGGTGAAGCAAACCACGGCCAGATCCTGAGGCTGGGGCGGCTACAGCAGGAGGCAATAAAATATGAGAATGTGACAACAGGCGTCCTCCTCTCTTAATTCAAACCATGTTTATAGGTGAGCCTTAATAACATCTCGCAAGGATAACACTATAATCCCCAAATTTAGAGGGGGATTAGCTATTTACTGGGACCAGTTTGATGCGGCGATGTAGCAGCTGAGAGACTCACCACAGGGTCTTTGAGGTTCTGCCTGCCCAGGTCCTAAGATGTGGACAAGGAGGAGTTATTCATACAATTTACTTATCACCATTCATGACTAAATTAGAGGGGATGGACTCAAATGAGTGCATTGCAAGGATTTAGTACTTCCACTCCACTCACCATGAGCTGCTCTAGTTTCAAAACCTCCACCTCGCATTTTTTCGCCCTCTCCACGAAAGCGTCGCTGAAATCGTTAAAGAGAACCAGACAGGAGAGCGTCGGGGTCTCGCCTTTCTCCTTGTTCTCGAGCAGAGCCGCGGCCTTCTCCTCCCGATCGCAGATCACCAGGGAGATCTCAGCTGACGAGACACCGAGACACAACGTGACTGATATTGTACGAGTGCACTCAAAGAAGAGTCGCAAAAGCACACTGTGATGAGAACTAATACATCTCTGACTCTGATTGAGGGATAATTGTTCTTTAGGTCCTAACATGAAACTGTGGTTGTCTCACATCCATTTTTTACAGTCATACACTGATGAGACATAACATGGTGAATATATATCAGTAATCTAATGCAATGTCCACAAATTCAACTTTCAGGAAGCTTCTGATTTTCCAGTTTTCGTTGACACTGTCAGACGTCTGATAATCGTTCTTTAAATGTATTTGTTGAAGTTGTAGTGGTAAGTGTTCCTAATATTTAGTCCCTCAGAGGTCTTTTAAATGAAGTGGACACAATTTTAAGAACTTGATGAAACACACCAGAGTGTCCTCACAAATATATATAAAGTCCAATAACTACCAGTCTGATCATGTTGACAAAAACTAAATACTGCGACGCTTTCTAAAGAGAGTAGAGTTTACGGTACAGAGGTTATATTGGATTACATTAAATCTCTTTATCTCATACACTGTTTTGTGCGAAAAATTCTTTCCTCTTACTGAAACACATTTTGCAATGATGCACTTATGATGCAGAGGTCTCAGAGTTCACACACTACATCTCAAAAACTGGAAACGCTTGCTGCTAATGATGAGATGAAACCAATATAATCAAGTTCAGGCTGTACAGGTGGGCTAGAGGGTGATATCAAAGAGAGATGGAGACGGTCTGAGTGTATGAGAGGTGGTAGAGAACAAGGGAGACCAGGACTACACAAACGCAGTGAGACTCCGTCTCTGAGTCGACCATCTATGCAGGATACAAGGTGTGTAATCACACAGTGAGAGAGATGCAGAGTCTGCTGCTCTGTTATTGTTAGGAAAAAGGCACAAGGCCAAGTTTTATGAAGATGAATCAAACTGACAAAAGGTCTGGCAGAAATAGAGAAAATGTTGGAGTCGGAAGGGAAATGACAATGTGCAGGAGTCTCTTCATGTTTCCATTGTTGACTTCTCTCTGAAGCAACTGTTCAGTTATGAAAACATGTTTTTTCCTTGAGTATTTCATTTGTAAAACACGTATTCGTACATAATGAACTTTTATGCTGCAGCAACATTAGACTGCTCTGTTTTTCAGTTTGCAAAGGTCATTTAAAAACTGGGCTTTGTATTCACAGTTTAGTGTAAAGCATGGAAGCTTTTTAAGAAATGTGTCTTAGCAGCTGAGGTAAAACTCTGATTATAGGTAGGGATGGGAATTGATAAGATTTTATCGATATCGATGCCATTATTGATTCTGCTTATCGATTCAATTCTTTAATGATTCCCCTATCAATGCCTTTCTTTGATTTTACAAAAAAAAAGGTAGACTAAAGGTTTTCATCGTTAACTCAAAATTTTTATTGAGTCTCTGATAACAGTGAAAATGTATATATTTAATGCCGTGCCCCGTTGTCAAATGTTTAAGCATGTTGCTGGTGTTTCCACCTTTGCATGTTCTCACTGCTCGACACACGTTGCACGTCACGCTGTTCTCGCCTCTCTAAGTAAAATGAAGCCACGCTCTAGATAGTTTCTGCCTACTTTTCATACTGTCTGCCATGCTTTTTTCTCTGTCTCTGTTCTCGTTCACGTAAATTGGCTCTCGCGAAACTGTTTTTTAAAGCACCCAGAAGAAAGGAATTGTTAAGTGAATCATAAAGAGATAATGTAAATGATGTCAATGGATTGAACCATTTGGAACGGATTCTCAACAAGAACCGGTTCTTGATTCCCATCCCTAATTATAGGGATGTCCAGATACGATACTGATATCAGATACTGGTCCGATATCAACAGAAAATGAATAACGGATTATATCAGCCTGCATCTAAAATCTCCTATATCAACACTCTGATATAAGAAGTCCATTCCAGACTCTGCTCCGGCACCTCTATCTAGCAGCGCCCTGATCCAGCAAGTTGAGCCCCCAAAATCACAACAACAGTGTGTACTGAGGTACTAACAAAGTAGCAAAGAGTAAGAGTGATGTCGGCCTTGTTTAAGTCCGAAAAAGACATTGCAGTTGAGTGAAAAACTTGTCATGCACAATGTTGTGCCAATATCAGATCAATATTGGTATCGGTCAATATTAAAGGCTACAACTTTGGCATCGTATCTGAAGTCAAAAAGTTGTATCAGGACACCCTTATCTGGTTATATCCTTCACCTTTTGAATGAGTTTTAACTGTTAGAAAGGACACTGTCTCTTGCTCATCATTGCAGTCTTGAAAGTTCATGTTTTGTGCTGAATTTTCCATCAATATTATTCACAATAATTCTACATGTAGGTTTCTCACCCAGGTTCAGGATGTGGACCATGGCCTCCAGTCCCAGTGTGTCATACAGCGGCACCACCGCCATGGAGTAGGTGTAGCAGGCCAGCTCTGAGATCATCCACTGTCACCAGCAGAGGGAGACAAAGCAGCACAGTCAGACTCACCGACAGCCGATGCCTCTGCTGACTGTGAGTTTGGTATCTAAACATTGAAGCGTTATGATCTACTTCACTGTGCATTTCATAAAAACTAGAAAAACAAACTGAAAAACATGTTTAAATCCAGACAAAAAACACAGCAGTCTGAATTTAGATGTGTCTGATGAGAAGGTAAGAGCTCTGATGGAGCAGAAAATTATCTTTTACTCTCAGTGTCACACAGGAATAACTAAAGCGGTTTTGCCTGATGGTGATATTAAAAAATTTGTTTGGGAGGCGGCACCATCGAACACAAACTACCCTGGAGATCACTGGCACTCAAAATGAAAAAGAGCAAAACTTCCAGGGTGCTAAAGGCAATCATGTTTTAATTTGAAATTGATCAGAAAAGTGGTCCTGAGCTCAAATAGAAGGAAAAGCATTCACAGACCTCCACGAAGAGCTGCTTATAAAGGAAGTTTGATCTTATGACTCTGGAGCTTTCAGAGGATTGGGGATCAATAATCTTGATTAAAGACAAGAATTATCTGTGTGTAAAAAGTTATTAGATCGATTCTTGAACCTCACAGGGATGATTCCTTACCTCTGGTCTGTTTTGTGCAAATATCCCAACAAACTGCTGAGAATTGGGCTGACAACCTTTAGCCAGGAGCCCTGAGCCCAGGAGCTGGGCCTTCTCAGCCACCTGAAGACAATGAAGATGCTCAGTCAAGAAACAACAAAATCCTAAAAGATGAAATGAGACAACACTGACACGTGTCTAACCTCGGTGTAGGAGATCCACTGGTAGGGCTGCTTTGGCTTTCTGAAGCCAAGACATGGTCCATTTCCTGCAGTAAAGCAAACAGAGATCTCACACCAGCATAAAGTAATGCAACATTTGGGGAGTGGGGTCCAAATAGAAGACAGGGGACCCTGAATATCCAAATAATCATAAATAAATGAAAATACAAAGTTTAATATTAATGCAATTTTATGTTAATTGTTAAGTTTATAACGAATGACTGTTGAAGGTAGAAACAGACTAGGGCCAGACCGATATGGATTTTTGGGGCCGATACTGATGATTGGGGGGGGGGGTCCGATTACGAAGTAATCGGCCAATTTATTAAAATTTTTATGAAGTTATAAAAATTATATATGCTTCAGATCAGCTGTGCTGTGAGGAAGTTAGTGGATGAAGATTGTCATTAGGTCGCTGCGCCATCTACAGGATAAGTCGGGGAACTTTTTAAATGGCAGAACATTTTCAAACCAACTCTTATTCTCCGCATTTTATTTCTGAAAATATCGGCGAAAATCTGCGAGTTTTGGCCGATTACCAAGTAGTCTCAAACGGGCTAAAATTGGCCAATTTAATCGGCTCGCTGACAAATCAGTCGGGCCCTAATACAGACCCATACATTTTTTTAATAAACGTTATTTTGAGGATGTGTTCACCAAACATGGGCGAATGAAATTGTATAAAAACACCAAACGAGAAATAATGGTGCTAACAGCAGACAAGAATATATAAAAAACAAGTTATTTGTAGATAAGTATCATGTTTTAAAGTATTTCTTAAGTTCTATGACTGCAGCTTGATAGTCTTTCATCAGACTGAAGGGACCTGATGGGACAATAGTTAGAAAAAACTGTCTCCCTGTGCAAGATTTACAGCAGACAAGTCATTTTCTGTTATCGCCATTGTCTGGCCTCGGCTTCAAAACAATGACAGGATAAATTGAGGACAAGATTCGGTAAATTAGGTTGTGGAGATGACACCACCTGCTATCCTCAGGCCTCTCTGGAACATGTCGTAGGCCGTCTTGGTGTCATCGTAGTAAAAATCCAGCAGTGAATCATCTTTAAGCAGAGCCGATCGCCTGCAGCTGGGATCTCCCTGCAAAACACACACACACACACACACACACACACACAATCCAAAAGTTAAATACACTGCCAGTCTCCTGCTAATAATGATGTGCTCCATTCACAAGAAATACACGACCTCTTTGATGCTTAAAGCCAGCATGATCACTCACATTGACAGCTACAGACTGGGCCTGGAGATCACAGGGGGGACGCATGGGTCGAGGGCGAGTCACCAGCCAGTACGCGGTGAGAGAGGCAAGAGCTCCTAAACCCAGCAGAGACGTGGGGGACAGAGACAGAGAGGACAGGGAGAAAGAGGAGAGGGGCAGAGACGGTAGAAGATTCCAGAAGTCCTCAGATTCAGATCCTTTTAGTCCAGCGCTGGAACGAAGTGACCGTAACCACTCCTGGAAATGCATAGCTGAAAGGAGATGAAAGAGAGAAGGAGAGGGAGAGAGACAGAGAGACCAAGTAAAGGTTATATATGACCTTAAAATCCCCAAAGCTTATTAGCACAGTAATTCAAGACATGCAGAATCCTGTAGTGGGTTAAGTCAGGTTGGATGATTTATGTTTATTTATTCATAAACCAAATGTGTGATTCAGCCACACCACCAGCCCTGTGACCTGAACTTCTCTGGAGGAGACATTTTATTTTGACTCTTTTGTCCGTCTCACATTGTCCAGCTATGCTTTTATTATGAAGTATACCACTTCCAGTAAATGGTAAGTTACAGAGGCGCAGTTAGATACTATAGGAAGACCGGTCTGGTTGATTGGTAAATCAAAGAAGCAGGAGCTCTAACATTGTTTTTGGATCAACAATAAATCTTGTACATCAGTTTTTTTAAACGTGTCGAATCATTTATTGGAAGGCTACCTGCTACGTCTTCTTCCATCCTTCTTTAAAGCCCGTTATTGTCATTCCCCCAATGTTGTGACAGCCTTGGTGGGAATAATTTGTGACGTTTTTGGCTCCCTCCCGTGGACACAATAATACATCTTGTCTCTTTGTTTAACTTCCTCCAAACGTACTTTCCCTGGTAGAATTTCTTGACCAAAAATATCATCATGGTTTCCTTTGAGCTGCTTGACAGAGGAGTTTTTTGTATGCTGTTCCTTGATTGAAGGAATTAGGGGATGATGCATCAGGCTGTAGATGATTTGGATGATGACTTTCTGCTGTAATATTAAGGAAATGTTGATACACGTTTTGTAATTACTTTAATGACTGTATGTCTGTAACTTTGTTGGACTGTAGTGCTGCAGTTTTTGGCCAAGACACTTTTGAAACAGAGATTTTGTATCTCAATGAGGCTTTCCTGGTTAAATGTAAGTAAAATTCTTACTATGAAAATACTAAAAAAAAAGAAGAAAAATGACGTAACATAAAACATAAAAACATGAAAATATAACATTAAAAAAGTATGTGTATCTTCTCTTCTTCCTCTTGGCAACAATATCAGACATTATCAGTTCATATCCTGAAGATGGTCAGTCTCATAACTGTAAGTTGAGCATTAAATCCTCTCATTCAAATACGTGGAAACAGACTGAAATATTTACTTCATATCAGCTCACTGGCTAATTACTCCAAAACGTTTATCTGCAAAAACCATGACAAGTGGGTTTCTCATTTACTAAGAAGCCATTCTTTGGTACATGTTAAAGCTCCTGTGAGGAACTTTATGATTGTGTGAACTTTGGCGCCCCCTGTGGACAAAGAAATACCTCATCAAAATTCGCCTCAGAACATTTCGTAATTTCGCGTCGTATATTTGCATCGTTCCCGGTGTTAAAAGGACCTCAAGTCGAGTTTTTCTGAAAAGCAAACAGTAAAAATCTCTCCCCAGGCTGTTTCTTGGCTAGCCGATTATCTGGTTTAACACATACTCCCTCATGTGTTACCAGCATTAAAAATTTAACCGTCACCACATAGGAACAGTTAGTCTGGTTGCTGGTGGTTTTATTTGCCTCGATTGGTCTTTTTAAGAGGCATCAGTGTTAATCTGTGTTTCATAATCATCTAAAACTCATCACAGAAGCTGCGAATAGAAGAAAATCAATTAAGGAAGGAATGAGAAAGTTATCTTGATTCCAAGTCATTAAATCATGGACATTTTGTTTGTAGCTTTCTTGACACTCTGATACTCACAGCAAAATACTGCCGACTGGAAAAATCCTTGACAGTAAACAAGTCGTGATTGATTCTGTTTAGCTTTTTCTGTATCACAGCCAAACAGAACCAGGACTGATCTGTTTCAGTCTGAGTATGTTCCCGGCTTGTCAAAACCTGGTGCATTTATTACCCACAATGCAACTTGACCGTTGACAGTTAAAGCAGCGGTTCTGATATGTTATGCAAGCAGCACCTTACGTCGCCCTGTGTAGCTCGCCTCGGGCAGAGATGGGGAGCTAGTGAGGTCTTATTACCTCACTCTTTCGAACTCCACACCCCGTTTCAAAACTATTTTGTTGCTGCCTAGGGTTACTTTACTTCAGGCAGTTTATCAGATTCCACGCAGCTCCCTCTTTCTATTCACACACATGCGGTCGCACGTCACGACAGCAGAGAAACCTATCTGTGATTTCTGTTCATATTCTGCAAACAAAGCCTAAAATATAACATCAAAAACTTGAATCCACTCATGAAACAGTTAATAGTCGGTGTAAGAGTCTGGTTAAAAGGCTGCACCACACTGGGCTGCATGCTTGGCACTGCTCAGATGGAGGAAAGGAGAAGAAAAGGCCTGAGCTTCACACAGGGGAGGAGGGGTGTTGTTGGTGGAGAGACATGAGGAAGTAATAATGATTGGCTTAACAGAAACAGGCATTGGGGTTACTCTCAGTCATGATGTCCCACCCTTTCATTCAACAGAAGGAGAGAGAGAGAGAAAGAGAGAGAGAGAGAGAGAGAGAGAGAGAGACCCCGGGGTGTATACAGTAGCGAGGGGCTGATGAGGAGAGATAGGGTGAGGGGGAGGAACAACGTAGCCCAGCCCCGTGATTCCCCTGCCTAAAACTTTATCAACAAAATTACAAGTGAATGAAAGAAAAAGAAACAAAAGACAAAAACCGACCAAAGAATAACTCAAAACCCTAAACAAACTCCCAACGCTGCCGGTTGCAGCCCCTCTCTCTATAACCATTCATCTTCCTCTCCGTGAGGAATTCACCTCACAGAATAAATCTGCGCTTTCCCACATCTACTCCCCTCCCCGCACACCCCTCAACCTCTCACCCACTTTCTCCCCCGGTACCCAATAGGAGAGGGGATAAAGAGTGATATCACACCCCTCCCCTCGTTTTAAACCATGCTGGGTCCCTTTTCTGCATGGGCAAAGTGATGCCATACTCAGAGTTTACTTTAAACAATAACGCATCAGAATTAAACCTGCACATTTATAATTTGAAACCTGCAGGGGCAGAAAAAAACAGCTGATGATCCCTTTAAATCATTTCAGTAGCTTCAGAAACACAAAATATAGAGATTTGTGAAATATGACACATCCAAAATATGACAAGAAAGCGTCCTGTAGCTCCCTTGATGCCTCTTTCCATCACTCCCTCCTCTTTCACTCCCATTCATAAAGGCTATTGTCAGAGCCCAGACAGGGGCCATTGTGTTCCAAGCTTTTACTGCTGGGAAGACACCATACAAAAGAAATGGCACACACATAAACTAATGGAAAATAAATGCAGCCTCACTGCGAAGGGGAGAGATTTGTATCAACAGAGCTCACTGCACTGCCAAGTTACACATGAAGGCATTAGTTTGGACCTCAAAAGGAGCGAAAGAAGAAGAGCGTATTTCACGGAAAACGGCGTTTCATTAAGCGAGTAAGATGAAGGATTGAAAACAAAGTGATTATCTGCTATAGCACACTCTAAATGCCACAGAAGAGCAGAATACAGGTTCACAGGAAGGCAGCAGGCATGTCACAGACAGCCTGAGGCCGTCTGCGTGTCTGTGCACATTTACTCCCGCTGACAGGCAGAGACAGAGCAGAGAGTGCACAAGATATTCGCAGCTACAGTGGGTATACTGTGTGACAAGAAAAAAAAAAACAAGAGAGAAATGCAGGATGTGGAATGTTCAAAAACAGAAACCGAAAACTGGTTTGAGGAATCTGGCAAGGAATCAAAAGTAACAATACTTAATATCCAAATTTATGTGTGGACTTATGGACGTGTTATCAGAAGATTTAATGGTGTTTGTATTGAGTCATCATCTGTGAGGTTAAGGCCTCTTTTATTTAATTAAAAAAAAGAGAGAGAAAGTAAATCCTGCCTGTCTCTGTTCAGGTTTTAAATTGTTATTTCAACTAAAATTCAGTGTGGCTTCAGGCACACAAAATGATGAGGCTACTTTAGGCATATTTATGTTTCTTTTTTTGTCATTTGCAGACGGGGGTGGACTGAATATCAGGACCAATCATTTATACAGGTCTTTTACTTTGCATCCTTGCTGTTAAGTGTCACAGGTGAACTGTTAACTCCTGTACATGATGTTAAATGTTCCAATTATAATGAAACATTCACTGAAGGCATTTGAGCCAAGTTTTCAACACAGTTATTCTTGAAGGCTTCTATTCTTATAACAGTTTCTAAATTTTAATTAAAAGTTTTGCAGTCAGTGTACATCAGTTACAACAATCAGTCTCATAATGTACGACTAGGGCTGGGCGATATGGGAAAAAGTTTATCACAATATATTTTTTTCATATCAGCTGATACTGATAACAGGATATAAAAAATGAAATTTAGCATTGGTAGCATGTCTTTTGCAATACAATAAGCTACCGCACCTGTGAGGTCTTTGTGTCTCTTCAATGTTTTGTCGTAAGGCGTTGCGCGAGAGAAAGCGGACTGAATGGTCAGCTGTTTCGGCTGCACAGGCGCCATGAGCTCCTTGCTCCACATGAGGTTTGTAACCTTTTGCAAAAGATTTGAGGTATTCCCCGACTATGCGAAGACATGTACTCAAAATAGTTTGTGGTGCACATTACTCTGCTTCATGTCCGACCTTAAAAAAAAACAAAATACCTCCAGACTACCAACATTTTCGTGCCAGTGTGGTCGACAATGTCATCATCTGTTGAGCCTTCATCTGTATTTTCTCCCCGACAGTGCTGTCGGCTTCACAAGTTAAAGTGCTATGGTTGTGTGTAGCTCCAGCCTGCTACTATGCAGTTGTTTGCTACTTGGTTCTAATTTAGCACATGAGCAACTCCCCTTTTCATTGGCTATTCATATAGTCTGCAAAAACACAGCAGAATGCCGACTATCGAAAAGGATATTGACCATGTTTTATATCGATATTGAGGGAAACTCATTTTCGATATATATCATTATTGTTTTGTCGCCCAGCCCTATCTACTACTATTAGTATCAGTAACTGCCCTTCAAAAACTAATACTGGTTGACACCTATGCAGACAAACAAGGAATGGCATGATTAAGTTTGGTGGTTTTAAGCAATATTCTGCACAACGGAGCTAAACTAATGTTAAGTCTATGTGCAGGTCCAAATTTTAGTCCATTATTCCCTAAAATGCTGTCTGCTGCTCAGGAGGTGTCCCTGGATTTAGTGACATGACAGAGTCAAAGGAATCTGTACAGTAGCCTGCAGAGTTTGAGTGGTGATGACAGCAAAGCTGGGGAATGCTTCACAAGACCCAAAGCACTACAGGAGGTGACACGAGGAGGGGTGGGTTTGTTATGGGGGAGGGCGGGGGGCAGCATTTAGTTGCCTCTGCACACCACCACCACCACCACCACCACCAGCATTAGGAGCAGGAATGAACTCTGAGCACTTCCCATGTGCCCGGAAAAGTGAATGGTCCTGAGGGGAGATGAGGGGAGAGTCAGAGTAGGAAGAGAGGTGGGGGGGGGGGGGACACGTGAGGCTGACCGGGCAAAGGGAGAGTTCTCCAAATGCACGACTGTTTTCTGGCTGTGGTTCCAAAAAGGAGCGTGAAGAACTCAAGCACACAGACATTGAGAGGCAGACATATACATGTAAAGTCCCATTGAAGCTCTTCTTGTTGCAGGGGAAGAGGGGTGAAAGGAAAAAAAGTGAAAAACCTGACCGGGCATCCCTCATTTTTAGGATTCTGAATTACAATAAAACTTTTGTCCTTTTCTTTCCAGACGTTCAAAGTTCATCCACACTAGGTTCACATAACACCATAAGGGGGTGCAATCTTACAGGTTTAGCCCCTCTGTCATAGGACATCCCTGAATCACTCAGTGTTTGTGTGCACCAGAGCAGCTCTTGCCACCATGCATGCATGTCTACCACACTGCAGCCTACTCTGGAGCTGTCAGACACTCCAGTGAGGATGCCAAAAGGCTGGCATTAGGCCATGGGGGCAAACATGTTGCATGACCCAGAATATCTCAGTTTGCAGGTGAGGAAGCAGAGAAACAAAGTAGAGGAAAGATAGAAAAATACACTGAGTGAGGTGTGAAGAAAGAATGTGAGAAAATGTACGGTCCGAGGCTGAAACAGTATCCAACTATAATTACCCTCAGTCTGGATCAGGAACCAAATACCACAGCGCTGTGCATGAGCTGACAGACACACAAAAGCACACCCCAGTCAGTGCCTTTTGTAGACTTACAGCAAAAAATATCGACATAAAGAATCAGCTGCATGAATTAACCGTGCATCAGGTGAAAAATCACAGCTTTGACTAAAAACACAACTCAAAGTAGAGAAAAAAAGTAGTTTGAAAACAGTTTTAGAAAAGTTACAGCTGAGCCTTGTATCACCTTTCTGCAGGAGTTTGTCGACAGGTTGATTCACCTTCACAGAGCTGGAAAAGGAAAATCTCTCAGCTTCAGAAGTTGAGTGAAATTGAGCGAGCTGAAAATAACCAAACTTTTATTTCTACAGCTGACTGTGAGCCTTCATGTTTGTTTACAGAGCTGAAATGAGTTAAAGTAAAACTAAAAAGATGTAAAAAGAGCAACAGACACATAAATCAAAGTGAACTCACCTTGTTAGACCACAAGCCTCGGAGGTCTCTTCAGATTGTGCTTCGAACTTTCCAGTTCAGCTGCGGATCCATCAGAATCTGCTGTTTAAGGCAAGTGCGACGTAATGCGTCATCGTTTCCGGCGTAAACCTTCAAAATAAAGTCTCGCCTCGCCCTTAATAAAATAACAGGAACAATTACCTTGAATCTCCTGTGAGGAACTTGTGATTTTTGTCAAATTTGGACATAGCAGTCTGCGTTTATCTTGTCCTGTGCATGCTTGGTTGGTGACTTTTGACAAAAAAATAAAAATAAGTAATAATCCTGCTGACTTTTCACAGTCAACTGTGTTATTTATTGTGCATTTTCATGTGGTTTATGAAACATAACTGCTTCTCAAGTTGCTTCTCTTTTTTTATTGCAAACATTTAACAAGAAAGGAGTGAAGTGCAATATGAATAATAATAGAAACAAGAATAAAAAATAAGAAATTTAAAAAAACAACACCAACGAAGACAATAACAAGAGACAAAAACGAATCAAAAACAACAACAACAAAAGAAAAGGAAAAAGTGATAATGGTACATCGGCAAAAAAGGCATGCAGAGCAAAAAAACAAAAAACAAAAATTAGACAGGAGTAGGGAGTATTAGTCACAACTGTTCAAAAGGTATGGTAGGTAATATTGTCACCTGATTGTGTGGATGAGTACAATGTATATGGTTTTGGGAAAAAACATTATGTAAAATAAAAATAATAAAGAAAAATGAATAAGCAATTGAACCCGAAAGAAAATTAGATATAATAATAATAATAATAATAATAATAATAATAATAATAATAATAATAATAATAATAATAATAGTAATGCTTTTGAGACATCACTTGTGAAGTTGGGGGGCCAGAGTCACAGGCAATAACTGTAAGGCTCTGAGAAGTAGAAGGGTCCAGGTTGCTTTAAAATAATGACTTTGGTCTTGGAGAGCGGCTCAGAGTTTTTCCATTGATGTGTATTCTGTAAGAATGTTTAACCAGTGTTACAAAACAAACATGGAAATACGCATAACTCATCTCCTTACAGAGAGCAATGGCAGCATGGCATACCGTTGTTTGACCTATTACCAGTCCAACTTAGTTTTCTGGATCTCTATGAAAACTATCCTGTTATCAGGAGAAACACAAATTTTATTTTCTGGAGGGGAGTCAGATAGAGGGAAAACTGTTTTTATTCCAGGATAATGATATCTCAATAAAGTTCAAATGAATGGTCATCACAGGAAAACTGAGTAACTAATTAATATATTTGGATGCTCAGGGTTTCCGTCATAAGGAGAGAAACAAAATACATGTTTGCAAAAGCATTCTTTAAGAGATCTGGTTAAGAACAGGTCACTCGTAGTAAAAAAAAAAAAAGTGAATAGCAACCAAAATTAATAATCAACTGTAGATGTCTTTTGTGGATTTTGATTTTCTATTCTAACTTTCCTTCTTTATGAATTTTGTCAATTCTTGAATCAACCCAACGTGCATGAAATTGAAGTTGCCATTATTATCATTATTGATTTTATCATTATTGTCTATTATCATTACTATTATTTTAGCCACACTGCAATTGTGGTCATTGCTTTAAGTACTTTTGTTTGTTTGTTTTTAAAGGGTTTTTTTTTGGTAAAAGTTTGCTTTATTGTGAAGCCCACATCACACCACTTCCTGTTTCTGTTTCCCGCCTTTCTGTCACTTGACGCTTTCTTGATCAGTCTGACGTCAGAGTTTAGCCACCGTTTACTAATGTCTTAAGCAGAAATCAGATGATCACTAAATTGAGAGAAAGTGGTCGTGAGACTTAAGACAGAAGAAGAGAAAGTGTCAGTTTATTGAAGTACATCCAACGGCAGAAACAACACTGAATACTTTTATTTTTACAAACCTATCACATACTATTCAGCTGAATCACTGAACTTCAGAGCTAAAAAACCTTTAAAGGGCGTACATCAAAAACAGTCTGAGCTCAACACAGTAAGCAGCAAGGATCATTTATTTATCAGTATATCTCCACTGACTGACCCTGCTGTAAATACTTCTAGGCAGAAAATTGATGGTTTGTTGATGTCAGCAAGACAGAGGGTGATGAATTGTTTATAAAGACTAAATTTTTAAGTGAAAAAGTATTAATAAACAAGTTTTTTTTCTCTAGTTCACAGCTCATTCTTCAGAAATCATCCCAGTCTGAGTTCAGATCTACTGAGCCCTCTGTGTAATGACCACATGTAGTGCTGTCCAAAGGATGCTGAATCTAGAGGACAGAATCACAGGATAAATCGATCACCCTGACATCTAAAGCAGATCTTTCTTTTGGAATTAGAGAGGAAAAAGTTACCATTTCTTACTTTGGGTATTATCGGAGGGATTAACGTTCTTTTGCAGAGGCCATCCCAGTTGAATCCCTCGAACCATCTGAACAAAAACACATCCTTTAACACTGTTTGCAAGCACAGGCCTGAGTGTGTTTTTTATCTCCAGTGTGATAAATCCTTTGTCTTACTTGTGCTTCTGAATGTCCTTGGCCCCGTTTCTTTGACTGCCCACTCTCTCTGAGGGATTGCTCCTTGGTGATGGAAAGCAAACAATTGCGGACCGACAAACAAACAAACGATGAATTAATAATCAGATCCTGTCAATCAAGAGGAGGTGCTACAGCACACATTTTGTCAAATACACCAGCACAAATATCGATATCTGTTTGTGTGCGTTAGAGCTGCAGGAAGGAGATTTATACAGGATAGTCTTGCAGGGAATGGGAAATGGTTTCATTGTCACGAAAAGTGTTTTAAAATAGCAAGAAAACATCAGTCCCACATTATTATTCATGGTGTTCGGTGGGTCATATTTACAACACCTGCACAGCTTCTTTATGAGACTGGAGGCACTCTTGCTGATGGTTTTGGGAAAGTCGATGTGATCTATGCCTCGAATGGTCGCAGAAAGGATCTTCATCATGTCGGAGCCGCTGAATGGGAGTCTGCAGAGGGAAACATAAGCAACATGAACCTGTCAGTGTTTCTTCAATTCATCACTGAAGATATGAGCTTGGAAAAAAAAAGGAAAAGCTGAGCAGCACAAAAGCATAAAACTTACCCACCGCTCAGAAGTTCAAACACAAAAACTCCCAGTGACCACAAATCTGCGGACACACTATGGCCTTTGTTTAGGATGATTTCAGGAGGCATATATCCTGGTGTACCACAGAACGTCCAGGTTTTCTTACCTGCCTCGACTTTCTTTAGACATCTGGAACCAGCCTAAAAGCAAGTATCAGAATATTTAACTACATAATTCTGGCAACGTAATGAGCTTCTTTTAACAAGCACTTGGATTTTTAACAAAGTTTTACCAGTTTGGCGTAACCATGCTGATCCAGAGCAACATTTTCAGGTTTGACGTCTCTGTAGACAACACCTCGACAGTGAAGAAAGGTCAAACCCTTAATTACACAAGCTGTGTAAAACCTGGCGCTGCTTTCATCCAGAGTTCCTCTGAAACAGTGTAGACAAGTTCATTCAGGTGTTACCGCCAAAAAGAAACAAATGGGATGTGACAGCCATAGATGTCATAATTACTAGATGCCTCATGAACCGGCTCTAAATGAGTCAAGATTGCTGCCATCTTAGAGCGGTGCTTGTGAATGGTTTTGCAGTCAGTTGAAGTTTTGGAATCCTGTGGTTTACCTGACAACATTATTTATATTCAACACCACGCTTGCCAGCGGTCGCCAGTACTGTCCCAAGATGGTGGCAGTCTTGATGTATGCACCATAGATATCAACTTGTATGGCAGTGGTTCTGAACTGGTCTCACTCTGGGAGCCACATTTTCCCATGGTCCTTAAGTCATGACCCACTCTTATAGAATTCAAACCAAGCAAATTTATTTTTATGAAAAAAATCATTGAGTAGCTTTGATAAAAAAAGGTGTAAATATGTATTTGACATATATACATTTCAGAGTACATGAACTGAGGTTGACAACTACACAAGTTGCATACACAGAAAATATCAAATTGCACAAAATAGAGACCAGCAAAATGAAAATTTTGACTTGTATGCATTTCAAAATAAACTCTTTTTTAAAATAAAAGACATGTCAAACATCAGCTGCGCATTAATTATTTACTTTTTTGACCAGTTGTTCACGACCCATCCAGGACATGTCCACGACCCACTTTTGGTTCAGGACCCACCAGTTGAAAATCACTGATCTACGGTATGCACTGCCGTTGTCTTATATGGGTCATGAGGCATCTAGTGGTGACAGCAGCCGCCATCTTAATTATCTACATTACACTTACTTATCTTTAAGAAGACTGCCGAGATCCCCACCGAGACAAGCTTCTGCCAAAACATACAGACATTCAGCATCTCTGAATGTTTTATATAACCTGTAATCCAAAGCAGATTTTAAAAACCAGTTAGAATGAAGGATCATGTGTTTTTGTTTTAATCAACCTGGACCCTATTTTTCATGTTAAGGTGTGCAGCAAGTTCCATTATCTGGAGTAGATCTCTCTCGCCTGCAGTCGTGATTTGACCGAGTACATATCAAATGAACGTTTGGAAATCCCATTAAAGTAGCTGTTTAAGATTGGACACCTGGCTATGAATGAACAACGAGCTTCCATCAGGATGCGCCCCTCTCTTAGGATGTACTCTCGTTGTCCACTGTTGAAGATCAGCTCCTTCTTCAGGACCCTCATGGTAAACAGACTCTGAGGGTTGCTCCTCGGTCGCACCTGAAAGAGATTACATTATAGAAACATGGAATCCAGAGTAGGAGGTAGTATCACAGAAGGTCTGTGTCATTGTGAGTGAGCTGTTAGAAGTGCGAGTCTTACCAGGTCTACGTGACCAAACTCTCCAACTGCTAAAGTGCAGATTATCTGGAAATCATTTAAAGTGGAAAATGAGAGGAGGTCGGGATCCTTATCTGACCTGCTCACACAAAAAAAACAGGGGGGATGTCACTCAGTGTGTTTTCTATCATCAAAATTGGCTCATGAAGGTTTTAGAAATGTTTTTTTTTTATTTTTTTTTATTTCTCTCACTTGAGTTGAGATTCCTGGCTTTGCTGCAACTCATGACAGCTATCAAATAGCATCCCATCAATGATTTCTTTGAAGGTCCTGAAGCGCAGAGATACATGGTTTCCAAATATCAGCAAAAGCGCAACAACTGACTAAGATAACTAAGGAAAAAAGGCAGCAATTTGCAAGTTTAAACTTTTTTTTAAACAAAGCAAAAATAATTGTTGTACTCTCTGTCAATGACCAGGCATGTCACTTCACCAGAGGCCATCACATTCACAGTCCGAATATCCTCTCTAAACACAAAGAAAACATTATTAATTCACAGCACAAGATAGGAAAACAGGACATCATGATGCAACAGATTAAACCTTTTTCCCCATCATGCACTGCTTTCATCAGACAGCTCCTGCCCTGAACAATTAGCTCATTATACCTCCTTACCCCCACAGAGCTTTTTCTCCGAACCACTGTCCATCACAGAGCTGAGAGAGGACGACCTGCTCATCATGGCCAGGCTTCTGTTCTGTCACTTTCACCTGAAAGATCAGAAAGTGACAAAGGGGGAATGAAAAAGGTGTTTCAGGAAAGAGAGATATAGAAGTCAATTATCACAGAGCTCTTCTTAAAGCTCTAGTGACATTTTGTGCACTACAATTTCAATCTTTTTTCTTCCTCTGGCATCTGCGTTTCATCTCTGCAGCAGGCAGCAAGCACTCATCTTTACCTGGCCTCTGCTTATAATATAAAAGGTGTCTCCTGTGGCCCCTTGCCGGATTATATAGTCACCATCAGAATAGTGTGTCTGCGGAAAAGAAATGACAGAGCAAAAAAATCATGTAAAGATTTAGGCTGGTAGCACAGGGAGATTCATTTTTATTCCATCCAAGCTTGAATTTGAGAACTGCTGCCAAACAAAGAAAGCCGAAGGGGATGCGTGTAAACAATCATGTTTACACCTATTCCATCTGTGTGCGCACATAATCTGCCGGCTGTATTCTGTTTGAAGAACAGAGAAACTGATGCTTACACAACACTGTGCTGCAGATTTGAAGTATTTAATCTGTACCTGCTCTATAAGATCAGACAGTTTCATGATGACATCCTCTGGCAACGACCGCAGGAAGGGAACACTGCAGACACAAAGACGCATCATGTATCAAACACAATGACGGGCTTAAAGAAGAATAGGTTTGATTTTTCCAGGTGAATGAAAATAATCACTATCATATGAAAAGGCATTGAAGTTTTCTGACTTTTTGAAAGCATTGAAGTGTCTGAAAACTGCATGACCCCTCGGAGACATTGTGTAATAAGGCGCTAGGATACAAAGCAGCTTCCTCCCTCAGCTGTGTGTCAAATCAAGTGTATTGGTTTTCATATACACCTGCTAAGCAGCTCCATGGAGTGAGAAAGGCTGTTAAGTCGACTCTGCATAAGGACCGTCTGGTAGCTCTCGCGGTCAATAACCCACAGCTTGCTGTCTGTGTGTGCTGCAGATTCAAAGACAGAAACAGAGGAAATGATGGAGGCTTTTTAAGTATCACCAAAGCTGACATAGAAACAGGATCAGAAAGCGTTTATTGACAGGGCTTTGAGGATGTGAGCAACTATCGCCTGAAGGGTAAACAGTAGGCACATTATTAGAAATGCTCACCACGCAGAATATCAACAGATTAAGGTGATTAATTTCTTACAGTGAATAACTTTTAATTTAAATCTAATCTGTCTTCCTCAAATTGTATTACCCTTTTTCTGTGAGATAGAGTTTGAAAGAGGGTGTAGTAAATCGAAAATGACCTGTATTGATCGGTTCAGTGAGGCTTCCTACAAGAGGATGTAGACATTCTTTAGACAGTCTAATTAGATTGACCATCTGATAACACAGTGCGAGCCCTGATTTCTCAGTTTCGCCATTCAGATCTACACCATTGGTTTCCACTCCTGCATAATATGAAAGGCAATTTAAGGAGTCATTTGCATCTGAATGCAGTGCAGGCTTTTTTTTTTTATAATAATAAGTAAAATATTTTCTTTTGGGCATTATTTGCCTCTCTGAGCTGCATGGTCTGATGACTAAGCCCTGTTCTGACTTTTATCACCCCTCAAAATGAAAAAGACCACAGCTTTATTTACAGTCTCAGGTGGCAAAAATGAGGGGGAAGGTAATTTCAGGTCGGTAGAGGACTAAATACATTGGACTTGGAGCATATCCAAAGGAAATACGGATAGAAATGGACACTGGAAAAAAACAGGACAACAGGTTTCTGCTTTCAGCATTGTTACCCGTTTAGATAGTAAGAAAACAGCGAGTGGGGAGGCTGCCTGGTCTCCAGATAAAGAAAACTGTTTATAAGTAGAATGAGATTCTTTTGGACCAAACAAGGTGGATAAACTGATTTCTTTTTTCAATTTAAACTTTCCTTGGCTGTTTTCACAGGCAATTTATTCGTGAAAACGGGTCAGATTCTTGTGGTGATGGCTGAGAAAGTTTTCCCAAAGGAGTCTGGTATCAGCTGCTGGGAGGACATGACAGCACACTTTCTGTTCTAGCACCATTTCTTACAACAGATATGTTTATATAATGGATAACAGTCAAACTCTGAGAAGAGTGAGCTGCTAACTCTTTCTGAAAATGTCTGACAAAAACTGTTAATGCTCTTTGTTTTGCAGGGAGGAGATGTGTCCGTCAGACAGGTTGGGTTATGCAGAAGCAGAACACGTTTTAAAATTCCTCTAATCTTTGAGAAAGCTGTTTGAAGCTGGGATGTTGTCTGAGATTTCAAAAGGTCTTTGATTTTAAATTCAACAGACATCTACTGTCCACCGCCAGAAATCTGCCTGCTCGTGATTTGTTCTTAAACGGGAATTATTTATATCCTCATCAAAACCAAGCCTAATTACAGTGAAACTGCACGAGTGTTTGGCTGTGAAAGATCTCAAGTGATGTCTGATATAACACCAAGAAAGCAAAACAATGCTTTGATACCTGAGACGGAGAAGGTGTGGGTGCAGCTGTAGAGAAGAGCCAGCTCTCCAAAAACATCTCCTGGCTCAATTGTGAAAAGCTTCAATCCGTCTTTTGTCACATCCAGCTTCCCTTCTGTGAAGGAAAACACAGTCAGAGAAGAAATACACACGAATGATACAAAGATCTATTATGTGCATGAGCTTGTGTGTTAGGAATCTGTGTCCTCTATCTAAGACACACTGCACTAACAACAGATATGCAATCATCCCTGAGCCACACTAGCCCGCAAAGGACGACAAGAGAAAATAGGTTACAGACACCCTACATTAACTGTCACATTACAAATGCAGCCAAGATTCCTGAGGACACTGAAGCACTAGTAAACTGCAGCCAGGCTGAATCAGAACCTCGTCTCTCCTGTGTTTTCAGTCAGGTTGACATTTGAACACAGAACATCACTTTCTCTCCTAAAGGACATCTTTTTTCTTGTTAAACATGCAGTTCTATTGACAGTGCTCAAGTACGAGGTAAATAAAGATATATAAAAGATCTAATCATTTCACCTACTAATTAAGAAAACTTAGCCCTCGCTCCTTGAACACGATTTACCTTCTAAAACATATGCCTGGGCTCCGTTGGTCCCCTCCTGAATGACGTAGCAGCCTTGACTAATAGTGGTTAAATCCATACAGGCTGTTATGGCTCTGATTTCTCCTTCATCAAGGTTCTTCAACAAGTCGTTTTTCAAAAATGCCGCTTGGATCAGCCTGTGGGACCTGAGGACATGAAGGAAGGACACTGATATAACACTGAAGCTCAAGTTACCAAACACATTCAATGTGATATTGTTTCGACTGTGTTTTAAAGGAGCAGATATATTTATTGATTCTGAGATTCTGGGGACACAGTGTGCTCTTACTCTGGGCTTTTGTCACAGCTTCTGTGAGAATCCACAGCCAGACTCTGTAGGTCCACGGTAAAGGGTACAGATATTATAGTTTTTCCTTTGGCTGCATGCTTGTCCTCTGTTACAGCTTGGCAAGCTAGGAAAAAAACACAGTCAAGTCGAAGGTTCCTGTTAGGCTACCTGTTGATGCTTTGAAATATCACATACAAAAGCCGTACAATATGTACTTGCTCCAGCTTCAGAAGGTCCTGGTAGGGTGACCGTGGCTCTGTAGCGATCGAGTTCTTCTTGCAGTCTCCGGATGAGCTCATCTTTTGTATCCAACTCCAGCTCTAACTCATCTATAAGCGTGTCCCGCTGGCGGAGCTCCTCAATCTTGAGTTGCAGGGCAAATTGGAGATCCCGAAGTGTACCCATTACCTGTAAACACAGACAGCAAATTTCTGAACAAAATCTCACACATATACTATTCAAACCTATTATTTAAAAATATTAAAAAGTGGGTCTAGCTCCTTTAATACTACATTGTACTTTAAATAAAAGCAGGGAATCAGTTAACTGGTGTCTGTTTGTTTTAGAGTGCATATAGTTTTGATATCTGCATAAATGAGGCTATTGTTGAGAGGAGGACCAGGTCTAAATTAAAATTAATCCTGGGCAACAAAGACTACATTGCACTAGGGTCTTGAGAGCTCTTTTAGTCAGCGACTTGTGATGCCTCAGTGCTCCACTGAATGACTAAGAAGGTCTTTTGTTCCAGCAGCAGTGAGATTTTTTAACAGTGTAAGTCAGGGTCTGACTTGGCACTGCTGCATAGTTTGTGGAGGTATTTATTTTAGTATTTATTCATTTTTATCAGGCTTTTGGTGTTTTTAATCATGTCCTTATCTTTTATTGTACCACTTTTAAATCATGTTTAATTGGCCTTTACTGTGTTTGTTGTGGATCTGGTGTTAGTCTATGTTTTTTTCTGATGTCTCCATGCTGTTTATTGTCTGTCTGAGTCTTCTTGTCCTGGTGGTGAAATAGTTTACCCCATGCGCGATCAATAAAGTCGGTAACCCTTTCATTTACGGTACACTTATTACCATGTAATTAACAGGTAATTACCTAGTAACAACATGAAATTATCTGGTAATTACATGATAACTCACTTGATAACACACATGATCTTCGCACGCCCATAGGCTGTATCAAGTGTCAATCATAGAAAATAAGAACCGCAAATAGCTTTTGAAAATGGAGGTGCACAGAAAAAAGAAACAAAGAGAAACTAGACAGTATTGACTTAGTAGTTATCATGTAATTACCAAATAATTTCATGTTGTTACTAGGTAATTATCTGTTAATTACCTTATCCTTTTTGCTTCATAAAATAAAAAAACAAAAGCAGGCTGATACGCTGATGAACACAGATTGATTCACAGATGTACACAGAGTATCAAGGTTAAGATGGAAGTAAATCCCTTGATAAATACTTGATGACTTTCCCTTTCAACAGGCTGCATAGGAACAAATGTCTAATAGAATTCAACTACACATTTCCCCATTGTATTCAATAAAAAGAGGAATATTTGTTTGCATGGGGATTGTAATACCTTTTTCTGCACTTGATGTGGTTATCAGGGGTAACTTGTATTCAAGATGCAGCATATTTAACTTGATGTATAGAAATATACAAGGTCACTTCACATAGCCTTAATACCAGCAATGCATAAATAAAAGCTTTGAGGATTGCCTATCAGAGATATAAAACGCTTCCTATTGAGACAAGGTCATTTCTGAGTCTTTATTAAGTCTCTCTCACTCTGTGTCCCTGCAGGAATGAAATATAGATGTTTTCATTTTAGGTCGCACGTGTGCCTGGAGCCATGCGCGCTCATAAAAGCATCTCTAAATGAGTTGGTAAAAACCTGTCAAAGGCGTTTATTTTTCACGAGGCTGTTTGTAAACACAAGTACATTTCCTGTCGTACGAAATGTATTAATACCGTACAGTTTTTTTCAGGTTACTTACCACGTGCAGCCTGTCTGGCGTTGTAGAAGTCTCCCCCACTTGCCCTCAATAGCTTCGTCCCTGTTTAGCAGCAGACGGTCCACTCGACAGGTGCACATCTCCTCCGTGCCCGCCCGAGTAAAGGATGCTACTCTGTTGTTCGAGGCTGGACAGAGCCGGGCACAGACGGCAGGCAATCACATGACCGAGACAGAGGAGACCTATGACAAGCCATCTTAACATGAAACCAAACACAATACCATCAGGAAGAACATTTTAGATACTTACTGCATCGTTTCATCTTGTTAAGACATATTCTCTGAATTATCATCCACAATGGTATTTAAACAACTTTATTTATTATATAGCACTTTAAAAACAAGTTTACAAAGTGCTTTAACATGCAGGAAAAACATGCATTAGAAATTGTAAGTTAAAAAATACTTTCCTAAAAGATAATTATTTTTAATCAAGATCTGTTGGAGCCAGCTTACTCCTAAAAAAAGTTTGTGTGGCTATTTTTTTTTTTTTACTTTTAACTCTAGATTGTCCAGCCTGACTTTCTTACACTGATATCTGTAGGACTATTCCTTTAAATTCAAATAAAAAAACTCTGAGATTTCACTTTTAGGTACACGGACAATGTTATTCTTGTGCTGAATGAAGTTTGGGATATTTGCGAAAGAATTCCTCTTGGAAAAAGCTCCTAGCTCAACATTTATTCAAGAAGAGGAAAACACTTTTTGCCTTAACCCTTTAATGACTTTTGTATCATATTGAAGACATACCTTTATATACTTCTATCAAATCAATATGATCAACAAATTTCTAAAAAAAAACACCTGAATACAGTCCGATAAATGATAAAAATGTCCTCTCGTAGTTCATTAGTTTCCAATAACATCTAATGCATCAAACTAGATAAATTCATTTGTTAGATTTTCTGGCCATAATTTGTGGTGTCAGACATTAAAGGGTTACTGCCTGTAACTCACTGAATGTTTGAGCTTAAGTTTTCACATTTTGATACCCACATTTGTTTACTACATAGGAAATTGATTTAATGCTCCTCAAGAACATCAAAATCTTATAAGCTGATATAAAAAAAACACAGTGTTCCTTTGTTGCAACAGCATGAAGAGAAAGAGCATCATTCCCTTACAGATTAAACAGAAATGTTAAGATTCGAGCCTTTTATCATCAGACATAAACAGTTATCATCATTTTGGATAATATAAAAATGTCTTTGTAGATATCTGTGGTTTGAAGTCCATTACTTAGCCTATAAATGTTAAAAATAGTATAATTAGTGTGATTTAAAGTAGGTCTCAGTGATCACAAACTGCGGATAAGAATGTCTTCGTAGATGTCTGAAAACTCGATTTTGGTCTAAGAAAAACTGGACTTTAAGTAATCCACAATTATTCAACCTATACAGTCCAGCCATTAAATGTTCAATTTTGGCCAGGCTAATGTGAAAAACTTCATTTTGATGTCCTGATGTTCAATTTCTACCACTGCAAAGATATCTTTTATGGCCACTCTGACTCTGGAAAGGATATACTTTGTAATCTTAAAGTTTTACAGTTTTCTTCCATATGTGGAGACAAAAGGTCAAGTATGGATTGGATTTTTACTCTCTCTCTCTCCAGTAGCGGAGAGTTGGGTAAGTTGAGCCAAAGGATAAATTGGGCCACCCGCTGTTGCCTGGAAATGGTAAAAGAAATTGATCACGTGACAAAATATTTAGGAAATGGGCATCAATTCATGGAGTCTGTGAAGGTTAGAAGCACATGGGTGTAGGGGTTAGACATTGATTTCCAAAAAAAAAGAAAAAAAAATCACTCTTAAAAGTGAATGTAGTCAGTCATAAGTTTAATTAGAATTGTGTTCAGACCAAAAAAGATCATTTTAAATTTGTTTTATACATCAATTGTGGTATCTATGAGCTACAACATGAGTCCACCATTTTAGCTTAGAGGACTAATAAAGTCTTAATAGTAGTTCTGGGGTAAGTTGAGCCAGTGGTTCAACTGAGACCACTTTTTTGGCATGCTATATTATCAAGACAGTTATGTTTACACTCATTCTGTTGGTTTGCAGGAATGCACAACATTCTAAAATATATGCAGATACACTAGTTAGACACTAGTGATCCGAAATGTGAAAAATTACTCATCTTACCCCACTCTCTCCAGTAAGTCCGTTTATCAATCCTCCTCTTTTTGGGGTCTATGCACTGACTGGGTCAATATCTTCACACAACACTACGGCCAGACAGTGGCAGTCGTGTGTTTAGAAAGTAGCAGCTCAGCAGCAGAGTCGTTCCGGAGAAGAAGATGGACTGTTGACAAGGGAAAAGCCTTGTGGCTAACTCGAGATATTAAACTAACGTTACTTGAGTAGATTTTGTCGCTAAATATTTGAAGTGTTTTAAGTGGTGGTGTTTTCTGAAGGGTGCTGTCGAAAATGATCCTTACTGTGAAACCTCTCCAAGGAAAAGAATGCAGTGTTCAGGTGAGTGAAGGTAGCTTCCTGCTAACTGTTAGCCAGCCTCGCTAACGCTAGCTTAGCATCACCCGGTCTGTGAGATATTAGCGAAGAGCGACACGGACCTCTTACATTAGGAGTTATTTACAAGTTAAAATGCTTGAAAATGGTGTTTGTGACTTCAGTTTTGATGAGTTAGTCTACACTATAGTTTTTCGCAACGATTATCATTTTGTAATGCAAAGTCACGTTTGGCTCATTCATAAATCAACCTCAAACATCCTGTTAGCTGTGACAGAGACACAAGCAGAGTCTCAGCCCTGTCCTGGTATTTGTCTTACAGCTTTACCACAGACTAGACTTTCTGTAAGATTCTTAAGTTTCAGGTTTTCTTTTTACATGATCAGAGATTGTGGTGGTTGTTGCACTTTACATGTATGATTGTGGACATAGTGGATGGTGACATTGAACTGGAGTGTATCATATTTAAAGGTGTGCCTTACATTTGGTCAACTTAATGCTGATTATGTCCTCTTCACCAACTTAGTGTTTTCAACAAAAAAAGTGGCATCTTGTTCACCTCATCTACCCTATGACAGCAGTCCCAGACCATAAAAAAAGTAGACAGTAACAATCATTTTTGTTCCTGATGCTCTCTTACATTTTTGCATGTCATTGGTGTAGGGCTGGGCGATAAAACAATGTATATCGAAAATTAATTTCCCTCAATATCAATATAAAAACATGGTCAGTATCCTTTCGATAGTCGGCATCCTGACATGTTTTGGTAGACTATATGAATAGCCAATGAAAAGGGGAGTTTCTCCGCTTCAAGCTGAAACAATCATGTGCTGAATTAGGACCGAGTTGCAAACAACTGCGTAGAAGCAGGCTGCAGCTACACACAATCAACCATAGCACTTAAACACGTGAAACTGACAGCACTGTTGGTGAGAAAAAAGGAAAATGAGTGCTAACCCCAGCAGAAATGTAGATGAAGGCTAAACAGATGACAACATAATCGACAACACTGACATGAAATCGTCAGTGGTGTGGAGGTAATTTTGTTTTATGAGGTCGGACATAAGGCAAAGTAATGTGCACTGCAAATTATTTCAAGTACTTGTTCTCGCAAAGTCGGGGAATACCTCAAATCTTTTTCATTACAAAACGTCGAAGAGACACTAAGACTTCACAGATGCAGTAGCTTTTTGTATTGCAAAAGACATGCTACCAATAAGCACTGTTAAATTTCATTTTTTATATCGTGATATATATCGATATAGACTGATATGGAAAAATATATTGAAATAAACTTTTTCCCCATATCACCCAGCCCTACATAGGTGTAGATATCATTCTGTTGCTTAGCTGGATAAAAATTCCACACAGGAGCTTAAATCTTCTGTTATCAAAAACATGTTGTGTTTTACTCAATTCTGCTTTGAATATAAGAAACAGTCTTTCAAGTAAAAGCATCCAAACATGTCTGATAACCTCAGTGTTGAGACAGCTCATGAAACAAATACCGGCTTCTTTTTTATTATTATTATTAAACTCCTATTCACCTCCCATTCATCCGCACAAATGTCTTTTTGTTTGTGAGTTTTTATTTATAGCTGATATCAAGGAAGAATTTCATCTCTTCTTTGTAACTCTGCTCTTAGATGCTCCTCAGCAATACAGATAGGGTACTTGAAATATTCTCTTTTTGTTAAAACAAAATGCTTCTATTGATCATTGTACGTGCAACGCTACTTTGATGATCTTTCAGGTGACTGAGGATGAAAAGGTATCTAGAGTAAAGGAGCTAGTGTCTGAACGTCTCAACATACCAGCAAACCAACAACGCCTGCTCTATAAAGGGAAAGCACTTGCAGGTAAGTTTGACAACACTCTGATTTTTCATCACCATTATGCAGAACTGTAATTGCTTCAACCACAGATCTATTTAGTATATTGATTAATCATTTAAATTTCTGATGATTGCATGCGTACTTTATTTCCTTCATCAGACGAACACAGATTGAGTGATTACTCCATTGGGCCAGAGGCTAAATTGAATCTGGTAATCCGTCCCATGGGGGAGAGGACTGGAGCGCAGGGGATGGCTGCTAGCAGCAGCAGCAGCAACCAAGGAAGAGTGTGGCAGACTGTGTCCATGATTCTCGCGAGACATTTTAGTCCAGCAGATGCGGCTAAAGTTCAGGAACAGCTTATCAAGGTATTTTGGACAGTCTGTTTTAAGAAGATTGTTTATATTTTCAAATCTTTTCTGTTTTTACCTGTAGAGCCTGGAGACTTGAAAACTCAAAACTTACGGCATTAGATATATTTACATTTAAAAACTTTGGTCCTGAATCTTTGTGTTGAATATATATAGATTGTTAGTCAAAAGGAAGTGTAATTTTAATATTTTCCGCTAGCGTCTGATGTTTTACTCCTCTTTCTGTCAGCATACTTGCTTAATAGACAGGAGTGTCCAAAGCTACATTCATATTAGCATTTTAAGTCCCCAGCATTTAAATATCACTTATCCAGTTTCAGTGTAATGATGATTTTTTTATCTGAAACTCATCAGTTAAGAACCACTCCACTACCATCTAGTGGTTACTTGAAAATAATCGTACAACCAACCCGTCAACTGAGAGGGTTTGGAAATTACCGAAAATTTTTACAAGGTTTATTTTATTTTATTTTTTTCATGTTGTAAACCTTTACAGTCTGTGTCACTTATGGAAGTCCGTTATAGTGCAGAGCTTAATAATAAGAAAACAGATGCTGTCCTCATTTTATCAGTTAAAAACTGTTTATATTAAGATTGTATAAAGTATACAGCACAAGGTAGCACAAAACTTGCAACTGGATACTCACAAGTATTTATCTATTCTGGACAGTTTTCTATTTGAAACACACATTTTATTATTATTATTATTATTATTATTATTGTTATTATTATTATTATTAATATTATTATTATTATTATTATCATTATTATTAAATGGCAACCTTTCACAGATAATTTTCTTGCTAAAATGGCTAGAACCTCTACACCTTTTCATTTTAGGGGGAGATAGCCTGTTGACAAATTAGGACATAGCTAACAATTCATCTGTCTATGGGACAGATGCTGTCTAAGCATTAATAGCTGCCAACACTGGCCATAGACTAAACAGTTTGATTGTATAGAAAAGTAGGATTATCCTATTTGTACCACGGTATGCCATTCAGAGTAAAACAATACCCCTCCATAAGAGGATTATAAAGATAATTTGAGTAATATATATTAACTCTTGTTCACTCATATTCTTTTCTTTTCTTCAAGGACTATGAGCGTTCACTACGGCAACTTAGTCTAGATGACATCGAGCGCTTGGCGGGAAGGCTGCTTCACCCTGACGGCGAGGGAATGGACACCTCATACATGGACTAAGAATTATTATTTATTATGATTGTCTTTTGAGCGGCTCTCAGTGCTTTGAAGTGTTTACACTTCTTAGAGCGTGAGAGATTTCTTGCAGAGGGCCCCAGCTGTGTGCTTGATCAGTTGCTTAGTGAACAAATAAAGCACTGACTGTTGATTATCTCAGCATCAGGGCATCCTTATCCATGATCAACAGGTTTGGGTAAGGAAATATTACCACTTTTTAACTGGTCTGCGTTATTGATGCAGCAGTCATTGACTTAAGGTCTGATGAACATAGGGATCCACTTGTATTATTGGGTTTTTGCAAGATATTTTGCCACGGCTCCTGGACACACTAGCTTGTACTGGCAAGTATTAGTATGATGACTGGGTCTTTTCAGCTGATTGTGAGAAGGTGATACATGTCTCATTCTTTAACTGATTCTCATTGTGTGATTTGTAAATATCATCTTTATATATACAAACATTAAAACACAGTTTAAAAACAGACTCATGGTTTCGGTGTGTTTTGTGCTGCTATTTCACGTTAATATGGAGCCTGAGAAAGAATAAAAAAAAAAAAAAAAGTCACAACAGAAGTTACTGATACAAAGAAAAGAAACTGAAGCTCACTGCAAATAAAAAAAGAAATGGTTAACAACGTAAAAAGAGTGGTGATGGAAAAAAAAGAGTAACTTACCGCGAAAATAAAAGGATGCAAATAAAAAAAGCCACTACGGAAGTGAGCTGTCTTTGGTTTCCTTTTTTTTCATCAGTTACTTCCATTGTGGCTTCTTCTTCTTTTTTTTTATTTAACTTTTTTTTTTTTTTTTCAGCAGTGGCGCCTCTCGGCCTCCGTATATTAACGATACTATATGTTTGGCTGAATGAATACTATACCAACTCATGATGTGTTATCAAAATGGGCTTCAAGGACTAGGGTGGGACCATACAGTGAATATATTAATGTTTAACCAATCAAGTTTCAGCAACAGGCATACGTCAAGTATTTTGGCCAATCAGATTGCGTGATAGTAACGCCGGTACCGCCTATGTGGTGAACTCACGGTTATTTCTTTCCTCCTAGTTGTTATACCATTTCGGAAAATAATGGAATCTGTTTGACGCTTGGTTCTTTATTTTCTACGAACAATGAAGTGTGGACACAGCGGATAAGGAGTGATATTATCTGTTGGACGTAGGTAAGGTAATGAAATGGCATCAATTGTCCCCGCTAGCTTTAGCAAGAGCTAGCCCATCTGTGTGACTTCCTGCCTTTAACAATTAGCTTTAGCTTTCTGAAATCCAGTTAGCTGCTGATATCGAGCGTTTCTTTCTCAGCTGCTGCATATTTTGCTGTCATGTAACCCGGACAGATATCACATAAGGTCATCGCCGGGATTGATAACTATGCGCCAGATTAACATTTGAAATCCAGTGTGTAATCTGGTAGGATTAGGTCCAGAGTGATGCCATGGTTACACCCTCTCATCAGGACCACTCTGATCAGACTGTAATTCACTCTCTCCCGATGGGATCACTGTAACTCTTCAATTATATAGCTGTTATTTGTGGTCATACTTTATCAAACATTGATGAGGGGGTCGAGTTTTATTCTCTTTGACTGAGGCAGCATCAATTTAGGGTTAATCCAGGGATCACAGGAGTTACATTATCTGTACCTTTTTCATTTCACTCCTTGTTTGCTCTGTTTTACAAACATAGACATTGTGCCGGGACAATTGGAAGGATGGAGACCCTGATCCCTATCATCAACAGGCTGCAGGAGGTCTTTCTCACAGTGGGTTCAGAGATCGTACAGCTGCCACAGATAGTAGTGGTTGGATCTCAGGTTAGTACGAAAATACTTCAATGAAAGCTTCAATCCCAAACTGAACCATTTTCTGTGACTGTTGCTCAAGCTTGAATGAATCTCCCAGTTCCTTTTCTTTTTCAATATAGAATAGAAAATACACCCACTGGCTGCAACATGATGAACACCTGGGAAATCTAATAATTGCACCCCAAAACAACAACCCTATTACACATTCACGACTAAAATGTTCAGCTTGTGTTGACATGATCAGACAGGTGATTATTGGGCTTAAAGGGCTAGTTCGGCGTAAGATTAATTTAGGGTCAAACACAACATAACACCCAGTTAGACACCCCCTCCAGAGATGAATGTTGCCGACCGCTTGCTTTTCTAGTTTTACCAACTTTAGTAACGACCGCAGGATAGCAATACACAGCTGTCGGAAGAGCCATAAACAAACCTCAACCAAAAAGCCACTTTATAGCCACAAATAATGCTCAGAACAGCACCTAACTTCATCAACAGTACGTATAGGGTCCCAGCCATAGTACTAGAGAAGCAAGTGGTCAGCAACATTCATCTCTTTAGGGGGTGTCTAACTTGGAGTTACTGTGTGTTTGACCCTAAATTAATTTTACGCTGGAATATCCCTTTAAATCCCATCTGAACCATTATCTGCAACTGTTGCTCAAGCTTGAAAGAATCTCACAGTTCCTTTTCTTTTTTGATATAGAACAGAAAACACACCCACTGGCTGCAACATGATGAATACCTGGGAAATCTAATAATTGCACCTCAAAACAACAACCCTATTACACATTTTGCTCTGAGAAAACATCTAAAAGTTCAGCTTTTGTTGACATGATCAGACAGGTGATTATTGGACTTAAAATTTATAATTGGTTGGTGATGGTGGTGTGCTGGAGTGCATTATGTATAAAAGTGTTCCTTGAATTTTGTCCAGTTAACAAACATGAGGGGAAGCAGAATATCTGGAACACCTTTCATATCAATTAAAAAGAAAAATTATCACCTGTCTGACAAAATCAACAAAAACATGAATTGTAGAGGTTTTGTTGAACTAGATTTTAAGGTAGAGCTAAGTTGGGTTGCATTAGATTGCTCAAGTGTACATAATGTTATGACTCAGTGTATATTGACCATGTTAATGCTGTTTAGAGTGCTGCTATAATTGCTGTTTGCATGATGTACCTCAACAGAGCAGTGGAAAGAGCTCTGTTTTGGAAAGCCTGGTTGGACGGGATTTCTTGCCTCGGGGATCAGGAATAGTCACCAGACGACCCCTCGTGTTGCAGCTCATAAATGTTTCCCCTCTGCAGGAGAGACTGAAGATTGAAAATGGTACTTTCACATTCATCCTTCTGTTTCTTTATATTTTTAATAAGATTGTGATTATTTTAAAACAAATTGAAAAATTACAGCTCATGTTTGACTAAAAAACTGACTGCCAGCATGTTAAATCAGGACAGCAGGCTTGTTGTTGATGTGTATTTCTCTGTTATTGAGTCTTGGGCAGTGCACTGTCACTTTATGTTTACACTGCAGGCTACTTTTTACAAAGCCCTTCTCTCTGGTTGCTAACATTAAGTCTTTCTTCCTCTTCTTCTTCATCACTTTCCCAGGCAATGGGGTAAAACAAAATGTCCAAAACAGCTACCCAGGTCTCTGTAAATTTGGTGTGCCCAGACTTGTCTTTGTATAACCTCGCCATTTGTTTTGTTCACCCCATTAAATATTTCTGTTCTCTCTGGTCATCTGTCAAGCATGATATAAATCCATTTCAGTTTTTCCTTACTTGTCCTAGTATGTTTAGCTGGAATCACAAAGTGTGAAACTACTCACACTCATTCTTGTTTGTTTGCTCAGGTGTCAAAGCTGAAGAATGGGGTACTTTCCTGCACTGCAAGAACCAGGTACATTTTTCTAAACAATTCGGAATAAAGTGAATGCTTTCTTTGTCCTTTATTATGAGTTGCCTTTTGTTAACACATCATTCTTTCACCTTTTTGACAGATCTTCTCAGATTTTCATGAAATTTGTAAAGAAATTGAGGCAGAGACTGCACGCAGTTCGGGTGAGAACAAGGTAAAAAGAAAGTATTGATGTAAACTCAGTGACATCTTAAATTAAGTATTTACTTCTACGCTTATGATTTTCTCTTCTTTTGTTTAACCCTCCAGGGAATCAGTCCTGAGCCGATCTATTTGAAGATATTTTCACCCAAAGTGCTCAATCTCACTCTGGTTGATTTACCAGGAATAACTAAGGTAACTGTTTTCATTTCATTTCATGTGTATGAACCAAAGTGACAGCAGCACCCCATCTGTGCCGTGCTGTGCTGTGCTCACAATAACACTGACTGCTTATTGTTGTTGCCTTAGGTTCCTGTCGGAGATCAGCCAGAGGACATTGAGGCTCAGGTACAAGACATGATCTTGTCCTTCATCTCCAATCCAAACTCGCTCATCCTCGCCGTGTCCCCGGCCAACTCTGACTTGGCCACCTCCGATGCTCTGAAATTGGCTCGTGAGGTTGATCCAGATGGTAGGACTCTTTATTTACCGGCTTCTCTTCACTCCTCAGATTTCATTAGATTCTCTGTCCTCTCCATCAGCGCTTGTTACATAATGTGCCTCAAGAAGAAAAGCAGTTTGAATTATTAATTGTGCATAGAAAATGCATTGTCCTCAGACCTTTCAGGCTATTGAACTTTCCAGACTCGATTGTTAACAGCACTTTGACAAAGAGTTGCTTAGACAGTAGGTGTAGCTTTCATTACCATGTTGCTCAGAGATGATGAGAGTCTGCCTGTAGCAATTTTGGGTACCTTTATGACTTTCAAAGGTCACTTTGATGGTGTACTAGGGCTGTCAAAATTGCTCCAAAATGATGTTCAAATATTCGTTCTAAAAATAACACATAGGTTCGTAAATATTTAAATATCTAGCTTACACAGCTTGCATATAACTTTATCTCGCTCAGCTTTTTTTCCGTCTATCGTGTCTGCCCAAGAATTTCCAAACAGAGCTTCTAAAGTACGTCGGAGTTGAGACCACTCTCTCTGAGTTTGGCTCTGAACATCCCGCCATCTCTCTCCGCATGGGCCACGGATGTTTTTTGTCGAGTCTCACTGCAGGTGCAGCTCCTGTGACCCGTCCCTGACCCGTGGTTACAGTTCGCTCACTCGCAAAGCAGCCGCCGTTTTTTTTTTTTCTTTTTCGCTTTTTGCTTTTTGCTTTTTGCTTTTTGCTTTTTGCTTTTTTCCAACTCAATTTTTTCCTACTGTCTATTTAATACTCGAACATTAATTTTCACTTTCGAATCTCGTTTTTGTAAAAATATACAAAAATATATTCAAATTTACTGTATTTGTTGGCATTCCCATGGTATATGTGTCAAAATATCAGTTTCTTTGCCTAAACGTTTCCATGCTTCTCTCAATCTTTACCTATCAGAAACTTGTTTCTTAGTTGGTTCTCCTGCTCACTTTATTCCTGTCTCTCCTTGAACAAAAAGCAAGGTGAGGCTCTGTTATTTTTTCTGGAGGATATCATCTAAGACCCTTTTGTTTGTCAGGTCGTCGAACACTGCTGGTGGTGAGTAAGCTGGACCTGATGGATGCAGGGACTGATGCTCTAGAGGTCCTCCTAGGTCGAGTCATTCCTGTCAGACTTGGGATCATTGGAGTAGTAAACAGGTTTGTTGTATTAAATTATTGGATTTTGTCTGTTAGTTTGGATTTGCAGTGTTCAGTCTCTTTATCATGTGACTGCACTCTATCTCTTCCTAATTGTTGTGTCCTATAGGAGCCAGCACGACATCAATACTCAGAAGAGCCTGGAGGACTCAATGAGAGACGAGCATGCCTTCCTGCAGCGCCACTACCCCTCTCTCGCCTCCCGCTCTGGCTCACGCTATCTCGCCAAAACTCTCAGCAGACTGCTCATGCACCACATCCGCGAGTGCCTGCCAGACCTCAAAACCCGAGTGACAGTGCTGAGTGCTCAGTACCAAGCGCGGCTTAACAGTTACGGCCAGCCAGTAGAAGACCACAGTGCCATGCTTCTGCAGATTGTCACCAAGTTTGCGAGTGATTACTGTAACACCATCGAGGGAACCGCCAGATACATTCAGACCTCGGAGCTGTGAGTCTGACCTCTTGACAGTCGCAGGATCTTTGTCGAATACTAAATTCCTTCAAATGTCTCTAATGATTACGATAATCTTTGCATTTAGCACTTTGGTAGCAAACTCAGCATTTCACTGACACCAGTTTACAGTATTTGCCATGAGGGTTGTGTCCTTGGGGAAATGTACTTGTAAATTGGAGATGTATCAGCATCTTCTTTTGGCACCTTCATACCAGCAGGTCTCGTACCATGAGGTTTTTCATTTATTTAAACATGTAGGGGGCAAATATTGAGCATTTTTGTTTGACCGTGTTTGATTTTGTGGTGACTTACACTGCTGATGCTCAGCACTGTGAAACTGCATCAGTGTCACAGCTGAATCCATCTGTCTACAGCTGTGGCGGTGCTCGGATCTGTTACATATTCCATGAGACTTTCGGCCGCACTCTGCAGTCCATCGACCCCCTGGGGGGATTGACTGAGCTTGATATCCTCACTGCCATTCGAAATGCTACGGTTAGCTCCTCACTTCTGCTCTTGATTTTCGTAGCCCCTGTGTCTTGTTTAGAGGAACAGCAGTAGAGTTGATACGTGGGTGTGTTTGTTATCCTGCAGGGTCCACGGCCGGCGCTTTTTGTGCCTGAGGTCTCCTTTGAGCTGCTGGTGAAGCGGCAAATTAAGCGACTGGAGGAGCCCAGTCTACGCTGCGTAGAACTTGTTCACGAAGAGCTGCAGAGGATCATCCAGCACTGCTCCTCTTTTAGTACACAGGTTTGCTTTCATCTGTTGATTGACTCTCTAATCCAGAGCTGCTCTGCATTAATGACAGCCCCATGTTGAGCGAGTGTGTTTCTGTGTTTACAAGGAGCTTTTGCGATTCCCTAAACTGCACGATTCCATTGTGGAAGTGGTGACTGGATTACTCAGGAAGCGCCTGCCAATTACAAATGAGATGGTAATCTCAGTTTAACTAAAATGATCCTTTATAGTAATTAAAGGGATATTCCGGCATAAAATTTATTTAGGGTCAAACACAACATAACATTGAGTTAGACAGCCCCTTGAGAGATGAATGTTGCCGACCACTCGCTTCTCTAGTCATACCAACTTTAGTAACGACCACAGGATATCAATACACAGCGGTCTAAGGAGCCACACACAAACTTCATCCAAAACACCACTCTATAGCCACAAATAATGCTCAGAACAGCACCTAACTTCATCAACAGTACATATAGGGTCCCAGCCACAGCACTAGCCACCAAACATCTATTTAACTTTGCCTGATTTCTTAAGCAAAGACACTAAACACAACTCACCTACTCTCTTCCAGCAGCCGCTTGTTTGTAGCAAGATCTCGGGCCACTCCATCACAGACTGCTGCGGGGTGACGCAGCTCAAGGAAGAACATTTATGATCATTCCTTCATGGAAATGCAGTCAGACGGAGACGCTAAGGCAGAAGAACTACCGTGTCTGCAGTGCAAAATGATTAATATGGTGATTATTACTTCAAGGAAATGATAAAGTTATGATCATGAATGTTCTTCCTTGAGCTGCATCCCTCTGCTTCAGTCAATTGACTCGCCTGAGGTCTCGCTACAAACAAGCGGCTGCTGGAAGAGAGTAGGTGAGTTCTATTTAGTGTCTTTGCTAAAGAAATCAGGCAAAGTTAAAAAGATGTTTGCTGGCTAGTGCTGTGGCTGGGACCCTATATGTACTGTTGATGAAGTTAGGTGCTGTTCTGAGCATTATTTGTGGCTATAGTGTCGTTTTGGTTGAGGTTTGTTTATGGCTCCTCAGACCGCAGTCATTACTAAGTTTGGTTTAACTAGAGAAGCAAGCAGTCGGCAACATTCATCTGTCGAGGGGGTGTCTAACTCGGTGGTACAGAGTGTTCCACCCTAAATTAATTTTACGCCGGAATATCCCTTTAAATAGCTAACACTGTCCCTTTAACAGACTGAGGTCATTTTCTCTGCTTTTTCCCCTCTAGGTTCACAATTTAGTATCAATAGAGCTGGCCTACATCAACACCAAACATCCGGACTTCACAGATGCAGGGCAGGTCTCAGCTTCTGTCAACAGTCAGCAGGTAGTTGTTTGTTCCTTCCAGCAATGACTTTGCATTCAACATTTATTCTGCTAAGATGAACAAAAGAGGGCATTTTTGTAGAAACTGTCACCCTTTTGTTTCACATATATACGGTACAGGACAGTTTATAGTGGAATCCAGACTCAGCCAAAATTACTTTGACCCTTTGACTCTCTCGATTTCTTACTGTCAGGTGGAGAGCCTTGATGGAGGGAAGCGCTGGAAAAACGAGAAGGTCGCAGAAGAGAAAGCCCTTTCTGCAGGTTTTGGCAGCCCCAGCAAAGGCCAGGCCATTAACCTCCTTGACACAGTGAGTGGTGTGATTAGGAGCTGGGCAAACTTAGTGGCAAATACGTTGCAGACTGTCAACTTATTCTCCCCACCTCTCTACCAGGCACTGCCAGTTTCCCGCAAGCTAAGTTCCAGGGAGCAGAGAGACTGTGAGGTCATCCAGCGCCTCATCAAGTGCTACTTCCTCATTGTCCGTAAAAGCATCCAAGACAGGTTCGACTGGAATAAGTCCAGAAAACCTGGGAGGGCCTCTCTCCCTTTTCCATCACCTCTTCTTTTTCAAAAAGTAGACTCCATTAGCTGTGATTGATGCTGATTTTCTAACTTTGTCTGGGGGGGCTGTGTGTGTGTGTCCACAGTGTGCCCAAGACTGTGATGCACTTCCTGGTGAACTTTGTGAAAGAGCATCTGCAGAGTGAGCTGGTGGGTCAGCTTTACAAACAGCAACTGCTGCAAGAGCTGCTCATTGAGTCGCAGGACACGGCACAGCAGCGCATCGAGGTTGCGCAAATGCTGGAGGTAAAATCGGCCGATGCTTTTGTTCTCTGAATAGTTTCTAAGTATCAAGGAAAAGCAAGTCCTTTCACTTTTTCTTTTATCTACGACTTCAAGGCAAGTAAATGAACTGCCCTCTTTTTTTGTATTCTTTTTCAGGCCCTCAAAAAAGCCAATAACATCATCTCTGAGATCCGGGAGACCCATCTGTGGTAGCCGGAGGAAAGAGCAATCCCCCTGTCATAGGACAGCTTTGAGAGTATGAGAGTGTATGTGAGTTTACAGCACTGAAAGCGATACGAGAATGAGTGAGTAAGTGTGTGAGTGTTTGTGCGTATATGTGCGATCGACTTTGTGTGGCAGCAGTACCACAGTTTTCTCATGGACCAATGAACATAGCACATTAAGATGTCTTTTATTCTCGCCAACTGTCGCCCTGACCAGTACACTGGGGCTGTTGATTTCCATGTGAACGTGCATTTGTTATGACAGAAATTAATTAAACACTCAGGCCGGATGTGTTATTGTGAAGTTTTATCTGGAACGACACAACCAAGAACAAAATCATTCCTTGACTTTATGTTTGTTTGGTGAAAGAAGCTGTTGCTTTAATTTAAAAAATGTAGATATATGGAGTATTTCCATCATTTTCAAGGCTGCTCTATTATTATTTTTTTTTTTTTTGAGCGAAATGTGTTCACTCTGTCAATCCCACACTCTCGAGGGAAAAAAAAACAAGGCTTGATCTGAGCCACTTCAGCAGGTGCTAAAATTATGTTAGATTAGATGTGCTCCAACTTAAACCCCGAGCTTCGTAGCACTCACCAGATTTAGAAAACGAAATGAATTCTCAAACTCAGTCAACACAGACGGCATTGCAACGCTGTAGATAAACTACAGTCATCTGAAGAAGACACTGGATGAATGCAGATTGTTTTTTTGCTAATTGATAAGGTTTGTTTTTAAAATACATTTACATATCAGCTCATTTATACTGTTGCGATGACCTTTTAGCATTGTGTTTGATAATGAACAGAGACCAAACCCTTCTTACAAACATTTTTATCAGTTGATATGAGGTGTAAAATCACTCATATAGATTTGAACACCTCTCCTGTGTAGTGTACATGTACTTCATTATATAGGTAAATAGAAAAGAGATTATTTCAAACAGAAAAATATGTATTTATTGTAGGGAGATTGTGTTGTGTGATAGATTCTTCGTTATTTGTTAAATTCAAGATTCATATAGCATAAATGTAGTGTTCTGTCGCTTTGTTTTCACTCGTTTCTGCTGAAGATATAAGATTCTTAATCACTCGTCCCTGTCCACTCATAAGGACGCTGTTGAAGTATAAGAGATTTAGTATGCGGATAAATCCTGCATGCATTTTTTCCCACAATTTTACATTCCGTCTCATCTTAGAATTTTTTCCTCTGTGCCAATGGCCGGTCTTTTGTGTAACAATGTTTGATGTGAACATTTTTCATCTTTTCCATCTGTTTCTAACTTAGACTGTTCTGCCAAATTCCTCCTAGCAGTTCAGCAGTGATTAATGTGAATCTCCTCTCCTAACCAAAACAAATAATCGTCCCCTAAAAATGAGGCTTTTTCAGGAAGACCTGCCTTAACTGGACCATTCAAAAGCTACTTTATGTGTGATTATGAAGCAAACTCAACATCCTGTCAGTATGTCTTTCTGAAAGTCTCTGTACATTTGCACGTAGGTGTCCAGAATGCATGTGTGGCTGAACGAATGACTGCGATATGTATATTTTGTATTATTTTAATGCATATTATTGTAATTATTATAATTGTGTCGACTGCCTCTGAGTTCTTGCCTGCCAATATTTGTGATACATGTTTACCGAATGGAGTCTGCTAAGATTGAAGCGACTCATTAAACCCTAACAAAGGATACCACTGAGTCTGTTTGGGTATTATTGACGACGTGCACTTATAACAATTGATCAGGTTTTCACAAGGTCTGTTAGTTTCTCTCACACAGTGCTGCAGCAATAGATATGATTAGACTCACGCAGCTTCTTTTTATTGATCTCGAGTGGCAATAAAAACTCTGCAGCTCTGTGATTGGCTACTTTAACAGGGTGAAGATGTCCTGGAGGGTTCAAACACTCACCTGCTTGTGCAAAGAGCATCATGACTCCTGACCTGTTTCACTCGTGGTCCTTCCACACTGTGATAGTTGATACAGAAACAGCCGCACTGGGTGAAACAAACCCTCCTGCATTGAGATGTTAGATTATTACCTTTTATAGGCAAAAGCAAATCCAAGTTAAACCGGAGCAGAGGTGCAGAAGTGGAGCTGAAAGAGGAGTTGGATGTTGCAGAAAGAGAGGAGAGAGGTAGTCATTAATGTTAGATGAGAGTGGGCGAGGGCACTTGAATCTCAACATTATTTACTCAGCAAGAAATAATAACATAAAGAGTGGAATCAGTGAGCCTATAAATCCTGTAAGTGTTCATTTTGCTCATGGCTGTTAGTTTGCATCAAATACAGTTTCTAGATTAAACAGCTTCTTTCTATCAACTGAGAGAGAGCACTGACTGTGGCAAATGAACCACAAGCGAATGAACTCTTACTTCAGGTGATTATTTTAAATTGCTTGCACTTTGTCCCCCACTGTAGCCAGTTATTCTGATCACCCTCATATAACACACCCCATCTCCCCACCAACTAAAGGCTAGACTCGACCATACCAAATCTGACAGCTTTGAAGGGGTCTCATCCGCAGCGTCGTGAGAGTGCCATCACTTAAGTCGCGGAAAACCAGCCGCCTTGAAGTGGAGTTAGACAAAAAGCAGATTTTTATCTGTGTGTTAAACGCTGCAGGCTCTTTTGTCTTTCAGAGAGGGCGGAGAGAGGTTTTAAAGCTGCGCCCCCCTCCTTGTCTCTCCTCCGCCGGTGAGCCAGTCAGCGGAGCAGGCTGAACAAAGCCATGGGAGAGAGAGAGAGGAGCTTCTGGGAAGAAATGTCTCACTGACTCTGTCGCCTGGACAACCGGGTAAGAGAGGAGGGGAGGGCGCACGAGATAGAAAAAGGACCAGGGAGCATAAAAGGAGAGGAAAACAACACATTATTAACTGCTTTTATTGGAGTATTTCTTTGGATTGTGTGTAAAGGGGGGCGTGTTTTTTGTGTTTGATAGTCCAGTGAGGATTCCCCTGATATTTCTGTTTTAATAATGAGTTTTTAACCAGAAACAATAAAAAGTAAATCATACATTTTTAACTACTACAGAGCATGAGGGGATGAAATTAAAGAGCACAAGTTCTGCACATCACAATTGGACCCAGTAGGCCTGTACGCTTCACCTGTAATTCTTGTCTCATCAGCATCAGGTAAGAGTCCCTTCAGCATTATTACAGATGTTTGTTCTGATAGAGACACTTGTTTTTTTCTGATTTATTGATTGAAAAAGAAACGTTACTTTGCAGCTACTCAGGGGGGGACAGAAAAAGTGAGGAAGTTGTTTGAAATGTCTAAAAAAGCTGGCTGGATTGCATCTATTGTTCAAAAGAGTAACTCTTAAGCGGTTAAGTTCTGGGGAATAGGCTTCATTATGTTCTTGAGTGTGTTGTTTTTTACGCTGCTGGAAAAATGAAAGTACCATAGCTGTTATATGGGGCTTATTTAATCAGTTTTATTCAGGAGAGTGAGAGAAATTGCCTGGTTCAGCCCCAGGAGGCTTCACACACCGAGCACAGAGCGTCAGAGCGAGCATAAATTCATCGACAATAAGAAAATGAACACCGTTGTTAGGTGCAAATGGATCTCAAGAGTTGGACTTGACTCCGTATTCTCGGTGCGTGAAGAATAGGAGACACGTCCTCCATAAACATACTGCTGAGCGCTCATGCATAAGGAGTATATTCATAGGGCACTGGTGCTGAAATCAATGCCCCTTTAAATGAGGTGGTATGCTGGATGACTTTACACCAGGCTGAATGTGTGTGTTGGGCAGGAGGCAGCATGTGATATCCATATTGGATGAGATGGAGAGGAGATAAACAGAAGAGGATGGGGTTATTTTTAGCTGCCGTCAGCATTGAAGGTTACAAATCTCTCACCTTGGTGGACAGGATAGAGGTGTGGAGAAAAAAAGGGGGATGACAGAAGGGAAGAGAAGGGCAAGAGAGGGAGGCATGGTTGCAAAAGGAGGGATGATGGAGATGGTTATAGGTGATGAGTTCAGGCTCACAGCAGGCTGGGGTTGCTCAGACCTTCTACCTCACCTACCTCAGACACTAAAAAGAGATAGAGAGAGAGGAGGGGAGAAATGCTGACACTTTGCTAGTCGGTGTTTTTGTTAGAGAAAAAATAATACATGAGGAAATCTGGTTTAGAGGAGCTTATGGTTCACCCCTTTTTTGCTTACAGCTCACTGAACACGACACAAGGCAGCCAAAAAACAGCTGTGTGCTGCAAAAACACAAACCATCAAATATAGCAGCTGTACCGCCTCTCTGTTAAAAGAAAGTCGATAAAAAATACAAACAGTAATTTCAAAAAAATGAGTTTTGTCCGTGAGTTAAAGCAGGGGTGTTCATTCACTATGAGAGGGCATGCATAATACAACAGAAGCTTCATTTTGAAGTGATAAATAAAAGATTTTATATCCCAGAAGCTGTTCTGGTCAGGTTTGATGCATTTCTCTGTCTGGATATAAAATAAACATCACTCTGAAGACAAAGAAACAGGCTCTCCATAAAGAAGAACACAGATTAAACACAGACTGAACCATGCTCAAAAAAGATTTCACTCAGAAAGTCGGGTGCTAAATCACACTCTGTTTTTAATCCACACCTGCAGACTGTTTAAATTGTTTGCGTACCGCTAATCTTGAATGAACAATACGGGGAGCTTGTAAACACATTTGTTATACCCGACTCTGCAGCACTCACAGTACTCTGCAGCTCTACACCCATCATGATTATTGTATATATGGTGCAATCTTTCTTGGCTGCGAAGACACGTCACACCTGTCAAAAAGCGAGAGAGAATGATGCTACCCAGAGGCCGTGCGCCACTGTAGATATCTTCCTCCACTGTACCTGCTGTCTGTTGTAAGATACACACAAGAGGACAAGGGGTTAGAACTCTGCAGGCACCAAGTCTGCATCCCAGTCTCTAATGAGTCCCTCAGACTGTCAGACTTTGACAACTGCACCACTGATCAGTCTGTTTTGATGTAGAAACGGACACAGAAATGGAGCTGTGGAGATGTGCTGATAGTCCTCTCATTTAGATTTTCTATGAATAATAAACAGCAGAAAAGCACCATTTCTCCCCACAGATCTTTGAGGTGCAGATCCTTTATTTGAAGAGGGATAGCTGTGGTGTGTGAGTGTCTTCTTCAGTCATTTCTTAGGATTTTCTCTCTCTCTCCCCTCTTTCCGTCAGCTCACCTCTCCCTCATCATGTTTCCGTGCTCGCCTGGAGCCTCCTCTCATCTCCTGATGATGAGAGCACCGTCATCAAAACAAGCTGTTGAGGCAGAGATGAAATGTAACAGGATTAAAATAATCTAATTACCAAAATTAGCTGTTTGACTCCTTTTGAATTTCTGTAATGGCACGACTTTATCTCACAAGCATTTTTATGGTTGATCACACAGTTGATCACACATTATACAAAATAAAGAGGAGAGCAGTTTGCTTTATCACATTAAAGAAAAAACTCTTTAATCCATGTTGTTTTATAAGCGCTGTAAACCTAAAGTTACTAAGATGGTTTTTAAGTTTTTGTTAAACCAGCCTTTTTTATTCTTGTTTCCCCATCTCAGAAAAAACAAACTTTCTTTAAACCATTAATAAAATCTTTCACCAAAAGAGCATTTGGTCCCAGCGTGGGCAGATGCTGATCTGCTGCTCCGTCATTAAAAGATGCACTGGTGTCCCTGTCGATGTGGAGCGATGACATGGTGATTAGTAAAAGGAAGTGTTGTACTGATGTAAAAAAAGGCTCAAAATAGGTCCCTCTTTTATTAGACACAGCAGAGTGGTTGATATCCAACTCAACAGGCTCTTTTAATCTTTTCCATGAGAAGAGAAATCCAGCATAAAACCACATTAGCAAAAAACTGATTTGAGAACTTTGAAAATGACTCTCTCTCTCTCGGATAACGGGAAAGTTTTGAGCGAAGGTTAAATAAGCGCACAAACATGAAGCATCTGTGAGCTCAAACCTTCATTAATCCAAAGACAGTGAACAGCGCCTAATAGTACCTCGAAACTCCTATAAATCAACAGGCGTCCAGTTCAGTTTAACCTCTCCAGATTCTTTCTCCTCTGCTTTCCAACACAGTCGTCTTTTACAAATATTGATTTAAATGTGTCATTTTGAAATTCCTCCATTTTATGATAGATTTTCTCTTAAGCTACAGAGCTGAGCACAGCTATCTGTTACACATAATCAAAATTCACTGTCTTACCTGGCTGACCTTAAAGCCCCGTTTTTAAAGAGATAGATTGCTGCAGTTAGCGGGCTGGCTGCCACTTGAATGCGAACCGTGTACGGCATCTTTTGTGTGGAGGAGGAGGAAAAAAGTGGCACCTATTGACACTATTACTCAAAAGGTGCCTATCACAGGAGATAAAGCCTTTCTTTTTCCACAACTCTGTCTAATATCGCACTCACTCTTCTTGTCAGTAATTAGACATGTGAGATGATTTAATTTGCTGCAGAGCAGACTCTGCCACCTTGACTGCTGATGCAGAGAGCCGCCAGCAGACTGTCTCTGGGTGATAATGGCAGGCACACACATGGACAGAGAGTGGAATTAAATCAAAGCGTTTAGCCTGTTTCACCCTCAAGCTCTTGTGATCAGCATCTCAAAGCAGGACTCATTCAAGCAGAGTAATTTCTTGAGGAAAAAAAGGTCTTTCCTCCTCCGTTGCGTCCCACTGGAGGCCTTTAGTTGACAGCTGCTCGAGGACAGACTTAACTCGTGTGTCCTTGCTCGCTGACTTTAACTTCCAAACCACTTTGTCCTTCATTTTTTTTCTAATGTTCATGACAGCTGCTTGTAGTTTAAAGCATCTACTCTGTGCTTGTGTTTTCTGCGCGTGTGTTACCTCCTCGAGGAGAGGCGGAATGGTGGATGTGAGCAATGTTAACAATTGGTGTTATTGGTCCCTGACAGGTGCCAGCATGGATGTGGAGGATGATCCGCTGCTGTTTCAGACCAGCTGGGGAGCGATGGAGGATGAAGAGGAGGAGCAGGAGGACGAGGATGAAGTTGCTCGTGCAGCAGGACGAGGTTGTTTCTCAGAGGAGGCTGCTTTGTGTGGGCTGTGGAAGGTAGTGGGGTGGGTGTACACACAGCCATGGGCCAGTGGGGTGGTTTTAGGGGTCGCAATCTTGCTCCCATGCACCCTGTTTACCTACATGCTCCTCTACTGCCCTCCTCTGGACATAGACCTCTCCTACAGTGCCTTTGAGGTTCACAGTCACTTCTCCGCTGAGCGCTTTGACGCCCTCACCATCGCTGTTAAGACTCAGCTGGGCTCCTGGGACAGACAGAGGCGAGACTTAGATTACAGCGAGGCGGAGGCCCTGAAGGAGCTTCTGCTGGAGAAGCTGGGTAGGCAGGGAGCATTAAACTGGACAGATAATGAGGGCATTACATTCTCCACTCCTCTAAACAACACTTTAGACTCAGGAGATGATCAGAGGAGAGATACTGCACTGGACAGACATAAAAGGACAGCACATGATTTGGCTCAGGGTAAAATTATGAAGCACAAGAAGTCAAATAAAGAAGCAGGAGTGGATGAGGAGAGATCACAGGAGAAAAATTCAAGTTTACAGCTCATCAGGAGGCGCAGGTTTGCCCCCAATTACTACATACAGAGCCAGGCTTTGTGGAGGATTGAGCTGGTGTTTGTGGCTCAAGGGAAAGGTGATCGTAACATCTTCACCCCGGAACGTCTGCAGACCATTCATCATGTGGAGCATCTGCTCATGCAGCACCCGCAGTTTCATCAATTCTGCTGGAAGCCTCTAGAGATGTTAAGAGATCTGCCACTGGGACCGTCCTACTGCTCCCCACCTAGCTCTCTGCTGTCCTATCTCTACCCCAGTGAGAGAGGAGGAAAGATTTACTACGACGGTATGGGCCCAGATCTGGCTGATATTCAAGGTGGGTCTCACAGCGAAGAAAGTGAGGAGGGAAAAAATCACAGCTTTTGGACTTAGAGGAGCACTTGTGAAAGCCTTTTTTAACAGGGCTGTGTTTGTATTTCCAGGTTCTCTGAGTCTAGCCATCACCCACCCACAGTTCTACTGGTACGTGGATGAGAGTCTCTCCCCAGAGCATCTCTCCTCCTCGTTATTACGCAGTGAGATCCACTTTGGAGCTCCTCTCCCTTCTTATTACTCCCTACAGGATCGAGCTGAAGAGCAAAGATCTCTCTTCAAAAACTTTGTGGTCCAGTATGCAGACATTCTGGCCAAACAGTCCACCAGGTGAGAAAGACATCACAGCTATATTGCATCATTGTTTTTAAGGCTTTATAATCTTATTATTGATATGCAGCTGAGTTTCAATGCTGCTTTTTGTGTGCATGATTTGTCCCAGCCAGGTGAAGGTGCTTTATGGGGGAACAGAGCTGTTTGATGACGAGGTGAGACACACCTTCCACAATGACATGATGTTGGCTGTCATCAGTGGAGCCTGCATTACTGTCCTCGTCTATGTCCTTACCTCCTTTTCTGGTACAGTATGTTGCTCCTTTTACTCGCACTGATGCACAGTTCTCTAGTCGTTCAAACAATTACACTAAACTAAGCAAGTTATTTGGGATTACAGAAATGTTTTCTTGTGTCTCTGCAGTGTTTCTGACTTTCTTTGGCCTCACTAGCATCGGATTGAGCTGCTTGATGGCTCTTTTCATATACCACGTTATCTTTGGTGTGAGGTACCTGGGCATTCTCAATGGAGTTGCAGCCTTTGTGATTATCGGTATAGGTAAGAAAAGGAGAGGTTTATACACTTTTCATCATAGGAGTACAGGTGCAGCTAAAAAAAACATAAGAACATCCTGAAAAAAGGTCATTTTCACAGTGATTTAATTCAAAAAGTGAAATGTCCATGTATTCTTGATTCATCACACGCTAAGATGAAATTTATCCAAGACTATTTTTTGACTGAATCTTCATGTTTATGGCTTACAACTCAGGAAAATCAAAAATCCTCTATCTCCAATCATCATAATATTCCAAAACACGGATCCACATGGATTTATAACCCTTTAATGCCTTTTGTATCATATTTGATACATACTTTTATGATACTTCTATCAAATCAATATGATCGACACCCAAAAAGACACCCAAATACAGTCCGATAAATGATAAAAATGTCCTCTTGTGGTTTATCAATTTCCAAAAACAGCTAATGTATCAAACGAGATAAATAAATATATATTTGTTGAATTTTAAGGACATTTTGATTTTTTTGGTTTTCAATAGTAGTTGAAATAAACATTTCAGCTCCAAAAAAATTTTAATTTTCTGGCCATAATTTGTGGTTTCAGCCTGTAAAGAGATAATACAGAAATGTCGGCATTCTGAGTAATTTTGACACTTATGCACTCAGGGCTTTTTTTTGCACGAATTACTGCATCAGTAATGTTCAGCATGTCCTGCTGGAAAAGAAAATCTGCATCTCCATTAAGCTTGTCGGCAGATGGAGGCATGAAGTGCTCTAAAATATCCTGGTAGACCTCAGAATCTGTTGACTCTGGACTTGATAAAACACAGCCGACCATCACCGGCAGATGACATGGCACCACGAATCATCACAGACTGAGGCAACTTCACGCCAGACTTCAAACACAGAGGATACTGTGCCTCTCTGATCTTCCTCCAGACTTTAGGAGCTTGATTTACAAATTAAATGCAAAATTTACTTTCATCTGAAAACAGGACTTTGAACCACCGAGCAGTGGTCTGGTTCTTTTTCTCCTTTGCCCAGGTGAGACACTTATGACATTGTCTCTGGTTCAGGAGAGTGTGGATAGTAGAAACACAACACTTGTAGCTCATTTCCTGGACATGTCTGTGTGCAGTCGTCCTTGATGCTCTGGCGTCAGCCTCAGTCCGGTCCTTGTGAAGCTCTACAAAGTTCTTGAATCTGCTTTGTTTAACAATCCTCTCAAGGCCGTGGTCACTTCTTCCTTTCACATTTTTCATTAATCTGCTTCCATACAGACTCTGTGAATAGTCAGCCTTGTCAGCGATGACCTTTTGTGTCTTCTCCTCTATGTGGAGGGTGTCAATAATCGTCTTCTGGACAAGTGTCAAGTCAGCAGTCTTTCCCCTTGATTGCGGTGATGTGTACTGAACCGGAGTGAGAGAATTAAGCCTCAGTAAACATTTGCAGGTCTTCAGAGTTAATTAGCTGATTAAAACTCTTTTCAGAACTGAAATAACTGAGAAGAAACTGGACTTTTCCACTATATTTGATAGGATTTCTATTTTTATGAGCTGTGAGCCGTAATCATCCAGATTCAAACAGATAAAGTCTTAAAATATTTCACTCAGTTTGTGCTAAATCTAGAAAATATGGATCTCCCCTTTTTAATTACATTATGGTGATAAAAAACAACCTTTTTAGGATATTTTAGTTGTTTTTTGCTTTGCCTGTAATTCAACGATTAGAAAATGTGCTTTATGCTCTTTAGTTTTCTTGTCTTCTACATTAAGTATGTTGTCAAAACCAACAGCTGCATAAAGTTATTAGGCATGTAGGCAAAAAAGAGGAAGAGCTTTCATGGCTTGAGTTGAGCTGGCTCAGCAAAATCACATAAAACTAGGGATGTCCCGATCAGATATTGATATCGGATATCTGTGCGATATCAGCAAAAAAAAAAAAATAGAGCAAATATCAGATTATGTCGGTCTGCATCTAAAAGTTCAGACATCAGCACTCTGATACAAGCAGTCCAATCCAGACTTCGGATCCAGAATGCAGAGTCCACCGGCTCACAACAACAATGTGTACTTATGCTGTGTTCGAGTTACCTCAGGAGTCAGGAGTCCGAGCTGAAAATGACGTCACACCCGAGTTACCAGCGTTTCAGTTACCAAGTCAAAAAAAAGCAAAATCGGAGGTGGAAACAAGATGGCTACATCTACGAAAGTTATTTTAGCGCTTGTGCTGTCCGAATATAAGGCAAGCGCTAAAATAACTTTTGTAGATGTAGCCATCTTGTTTTAGGTCTCCGATTTTGCTTTTTTCCGATTTGGTAACTGAAACGCTGGTAACTTGGGTGTCACGCCAGTTTCAGCTCCGACATCTGACGTCCAAGGTAACTGGAACGCAACATAAAATACTATCAAAGTAGCAAGGAGTAGGTGTGATGTCAGCATTGTGGCAGTATTTTTTTTGTCAAAGCCCAAAAAAGACGTTGCATCTGAGTGCAAAACTTGTCATGCACAAGTTTTTTTTTGCTAATATCGGATCAATATCGGCAAATACTGAAGGCTACAATATCGGTATTGTATCGGAAGTAAAAAAGTTGTATCGGGCTTTACCTACATAAAACACCTTAAGTTGTCATTAGAAATATAGATCACCAGATTATTAACCAAAGACTTACCCTTTTTTGATGTCATGACCCGGGTGTTTTCAGCACTGTTAAATGGACCAGGTGCATTTTGTCGTAGTAGTTCATGTTACCTGAAGAGTTAAGAGATAACTGAATGGGAGAAGAAACAAATATACGGCTGTAACATTATTAACTGAAACATCTGGGTTTGTTTTTCTTATTTTCAAAATGTAAATCAGCACTTTTTCCAGTACATTAACTGCGATCTGTAACAAGAAAACTCATTTGTTCTCTCACTGTTGCTCAGGAGTCGATGATGTATTTGTGTTCATCAGCACCTTCAGACAAGCTTCCCACCTGCATCAGCCGCAGCAGCGAATCATCTACACAATTAAAACTGCTGGCAGAGCTACTTTCCTCACCTCCTTTACTACAGCAGCTGCATATGCTGCAAACACCTTCTCTCAGGTAATCACAGGAGAGAAAGGCTGCTGTTAATAGGATCAGTGCAGGAAGACTGAGTGACTGCCCTGCTATGGATGAAAAGAAATGCCTCTCTCAGCAGACAGCCGTTTTCATGTGATAAGCACAAATTGAATGTTTCAAGGTCCTTTACACTGTGTTTCATTTCACTGACACTTAGATCCCAGCCGTGCATGACTTTGGCCTATTCATGGCCCTCATTGTCAGCTGCTGCTGGCTCTGGGTATCTGTCCTGATGCCAGCCGCGCTCTGCATCTGGACCGAGTGTGTGGAGTCTCAGGAACGAGCCTGGCTGCACTGGTGAGCGCTTATTTCCTTACTGTTTTGTGTAAGATGTTATTTCTGCACGCTGTGCGACACCACAGATGCGATGTAATCCCTTCAGCTGTCTCCCCCCCCCCTAAACTGTCTCCTCCCTCTGAAGCTGGAAGCTGTTTTCAGGGCTGTCAGCGAGCCACGGCCCTTTGTCAGATGAGGATGATGATGTGGCGCTCCTGTCAGTGGAGATGGAGCCAGGTGAGATTATTATCTTACTCACAGTGGATGGATGACGGGAGGCAGAATAGGGAAAGGGGAAGAGTCCAGGTTGTAAAACGTTGCTGTCCAGGCACCATTAAGCCTCTGCTTTTGTCTCTTCCAGGCTCCTGTGACACAGACGGCGATGCAGCTATTCTTTCCCTGTCAGTGGAAACACCTCTGTCCCCTCCAGGGCAGCAACATGTGGGTGTGGTGAGCACAAACCTCCAATGGGCCCTGAAGCATTTAGTGGCAGAGCCAGCTTTGGAGCAAAGACGAGCTGTTCTAGGTGAGATTTGATTAAAACTCTGGGATCACACTGGGAGTTTGACTTCGCTTAAAACGGATAACTTCAACAGGACAGGGAAAATAGAATTTGCATTTTTCACATTACTTTTCTAGCTATAATCAATGAAGACTAGCCAATTAGAGAGCTCTCTTTGAAAACCAAAAATGTACCAGGGCCAGATTACCTCCAGCATTGTAATAGAATGAATAATACATCTACATACACAATTAACTTTTTAAAATAGCTAAACATGGGATCAAAAAGAGTAATGAAAATGAAGGATTTAACCTTTGTATTCGTCTGAAATGATCCCCTGTGGCCATCCTGCGGGATTGTAGACCCTCGCTGTAAAGATCACTGATTTAGACATTAGCGTAACCTCCAGCTCACACAAGCACCGTTGAAGAAAAGCTGTAACCTCTGTGCAGCCTGGGGGGAAATGAATCTGTCAGAAGAAGGGCAAGCGGCCATCACGCAGTATTCAACCTTTATCTTTTCTGGAGTGACTGTAATTGATCCTTCCTCCTGATCCGTCCATCAGAGGCTCTATCTAATCCATCAGTTCCTCCTCTCTCTGCCATTGCTCATCATTGTCTTCCTCTCATCCCAGGTGTCTTCCTCCTAGTCTTGGTCTTATCTGCCGGGTGCTGCTGTCTCCTGAGGCCCGCCACTCACGCCCCGCTTCTTTTCCGTCAGGACACGAACCTCCAGTCTCTGTTGGCACTGAGGAGCAACCTCAGCGGTCAGGGTATCTCTTGCCCCATGTGCTCAGGTGAGACTTCGGAGGAGATGGAATTTCTCACATCAGTTTCCCTCTGAAGGCTTCAAGAAAAATATCTGAAATGTACTTTTTTGTCCTGCAGGTGTATTCATGGAGAAACCCCACCTTTTGTACACTCACGCCTCCTCTACAGGGTTTAAGTTTTCAACACATCAGCAAGCTACAAGCACAATGACCTCTACCGCTGCTCGGAGATCAGTGAGAACAAACCCAAGCACAAATCAAACAGGTAAAAGATGCGGCGCACGAAACTCTCTCTTCTCTCACCTTTGTCCTTGCGGAAACATGTTCTGCTGTTTGAAATGAAAGCGCGGACGCTGTTTTTCAGGCTCTTTACTCACGGTGTACATATCAAAGTTGGACCTTGGAGCTTCTACAACCCTTTATCGCTTCTCCCTTAACACCAGCACACCCACCCCGTGGAAACTCTGCAGCTCAGATCATGATGAGGTGTCATCTTTTCAGGTTAGGAGGCGGGAAAAAAAAAGTCAGCCTAATGATATTTTGATAATTCGTTATAACGTTATGTCTCCCATCTGTGACACGCCTCACCAAAGCGGCTTAAAAATAATCTTGTTTTATCTGAATAGGCTTATAATCAGCCCTGCAGCAATTACACCAGCAGAATGACAGTGTGTGTTTCCCATGTGTACCATCCGTACCCCAGCTGGATGATTACATCCACTTCATGTGAACCCCGGCATGGCTGGACGCCAGAGTTCTCTTTTTATGTGGCATCATCTCCACAGCAGAACAGCAGGTGAAAACACAAATAGAAAAAGGGTTAGAGTTAGATGGACTGTCATGTTGATTTAGCAGACAATCGCTCATTTCTGCCCTGCTTTCCCCCCTCTCAGGAGGCTGTACTATGCCCAGTGCCGCCTAAGACCTCATCCCACGAGAATATGTGTGGGACTGCCGGGCTGTGGTATCAGTTCTGGGCCTGATGGACCCACACAAGGATCCTTTTATACTCCTCTTCTCAGCGGTGAGGGAGCAAGTGTCACAGCATCCTTATTATTACGAGGTTTTCAAGCCCATCAGCAAAACAATTTTCCCACCAAATGAAACGTCTGTTTATGTCATTAAGTTTCAAAGAGTCTTATAAAAAGAGAAAACGCACTGATATGACTTCATTCAGATTTAGCATCTTAAAGTGCCCCACTCTGAACCCACTTGAGGATTTTCCACTTGTGTACTTCACTTGCACACACATTTTTTACTCTGTATAAATAAATGCTGCATAGAGATTTTTCCCATGTGCTATTTTTACAGATGCCTCGTCCACCGCCAACATGAAGACATCCAAAACCTCTGGCTTCAACCCATGCAGCAGCGGTGCATGTGGCCGCCCAGCAGTGCGTCCTCTGGTGGACACGGGGGCAATGGTCTTTGTCGTGTTTGGCATCTTGGGCGTCAACCGCACAGGACATAAGGACAACCACGTGATTGGAGATGTGGTGAGAGTCGCATCTGTGTCGGCATGCTCAGAATCAACAAGAACAAAGCAGAGCCAGATTGTTGAATTAATTTCTCATGTGGTTGATGAAGTGTTTAATTCTCTTCAAAGGGCAGCATCATCTTGGATCCAGACTTTGATATTTTCCAGGAAATGGGGCATCTTTGCAAAATCTGCAAAGTGATCAGTGCAAACAGAAAACTTGTGAAGCCGGGGGGAGCGCAGTGTTTGCCATCAGGTAAGGCTCAAACACAACTCAGAGGGGAATCTTTTATCATGAAATAAAAACAAAATTAAATAACAAAAAAAATACTTATTGTTTAAAGAGTCTAAATAACAGGTTTATTATCTTTTAAACAATTAATCAGTAGAAACTATATGTTTATTGATCACTATGGACTTAAATAAAGGCACCTACGGAGAACTCAGGTGTGTGTAGACAAAGACGAAGCTTTAATCACATTGCTTTACCTGTCCTGCTCATACAAGAGTAGTGTTTTTAACAAAAATGACGCCACCTTGTTCAAATTTCAAATTCAACTTAATTTATAATAATAATGCATCAGATTTCATATAGCGCTTTATCAGAGACCCTCAAAGCGCTAAACATTGGACACATCATTCGCTCACACAGTCACACTTTGGTGGTGGTAAACTACCTTAGTAGTCACAGTTGCCCTGGGGCAAACTGATGGAAACGTGGCTGCCATTTTGCACCTACGGCCTCTCCGACCGCCACCACACAACACTCACAATCATACACCAGTGGAGGACACACACTGGGAGCAAGGTTAAGTGTCTTGCCCAAGGACACGAGGGACAGACTTGGGACAGGGGGGAATCGAACCGCCAACCTTCCGGTTACTGGATGACCACTCTACCTCCTGAGCTATTGCCGCCCCAGGCCAGGGCCACGAGCCACCTTCGCCCCCGAGCCTTTCCAAGCCGACCCAGAGCCGGAATGGGGGGAAATCCATTCCATCCATTTTCCATCTATCCATTTTTTTCTGGATAATTCTTTGATGAAGGAAAATGTACAGATAAAAATGAACCAAAAAAGCTGTGGTTTCATTAAGCCTATGAAAGCACTTATCAGCTGCACATGAAATCAGATTTGTAAGAAAAAGAGGAAATGATGAAAATGTTCTTAAATGTTAAAAAGAAAATTTATATAGAAATACTTTTTCTTTCTTCCTCAGGTAATAAACTGTCGTCTGTGTTGCCTCTGCTCCACCCTGAGTGTCACTCTCTCCCTGAACCCAACCTGCTACCGGGTCAGCTCTCACACGGAGCGGTGGGAATGCACGGAGGAAAGGTCCGCTGGCTGTCCATGGCCTTTGAGTCTGTAAGTCTCATTATCCGTCTGCTTTTTATCTGTCTGTGTCGCAGACTTTCACATTCACTACCTCACTTTTTTTACTCTGTTCTCCCTCCGCCAAAGACCACATACAAGGGGAAATCCTCCTTTCAGACCTACTCTGACTTCCTCCAGTGGGAGAACTTCATTCAAGAGCAGCTCGCCTCCCTCCCACAGTCATCAGCTCTGCAACGAGGTTTCCAGACCTGTGAGCACTGGAAGCAGATCTTCATGGAGATCATAGGTAAGTGAAGATACGGTGTGACATTTCAAGAGATAGCGGGAATGGACGAAAGTGGCAGTATGTGAAAGTTGCTATTCTGCTGCTCTGTGGTCTGTTTGTAGGTGTGGAGAGTGCCCTCTGGAGTCTGCTGCTGTCTCTGGCCATCTGTGTGGCAGCTGTGTCCGTGTTTACTGCTCATCCTCTGCTGCTACTGCCAGTGCTCATCACCATACTAGGTAAGAGGTGAACTTTTTCATTCAGGCTCTTCAGAGTGTCTCCTTTGTACACTCAGAGATGGGTTTTTAAATGTGAATATTGAGGCCTGAGTTTGTATCCTTTTTAAGATTGTGGGGTTTTTTGTGCTTCTTCAGGCGTGATCTGTCTAGTTGTGGCTGTCATGTATTGGCTGGGCTGGGAGATGGGTGCAGTGGAGGCAATTTCTCTCTCCATACTCGTGGGCTCTTCAGTGGATTACTGCCTGCACCTCGTGGAGGGTTACCTGCTGGCTGGGGAGACCATGCCCTCTACACCGGGTCAGAACTTGGTATGGGAATGTCGATTTCTTGCATAACATAATTGAGTAATTGCAAAAAAATTGTCCTAATTTTTTTTGTGTTCATACTTGTCGAAACAAGATAATGACTAAGAATTTGGGTTTAATGAGGTGAGAAGCGCCCTCGAGGCTTCAGAGTAAAGAGGAGCGGCTGTCTTACCAATCCTTTTTTTTTTTTTTTGCAGGAGCCTGCAGTGGAGAGGCGGAGGCGGACCTTAGAGGCAGTGAACCATGTAGGTGTTGCCATAGTGTCCAGCGCCGTCACCACAGTGATCTCCACAGTCCCTCTCTTCTTCTGCGTCATTGTGCCTTTCGCCAAGTTCGGCCAGATAGTGGCCATAAACACTGCTGTCTCCATTTTGTTCACCCTGACCGTGACCGTGGCCATGTTGGCCTGTATGGCCCCCCCTCGTTTCAGCAGACCTCCCGGTGCTGTTCTCAAGGCCAGCCTGGCTGTGATGGTGGTATCGGCCCTGGGAGCGGCTGTGTGCTGGGTGGGAGGGCAGCTGGGGTCGTTGGCCTGGCACTCAATCAGCATGTAAACACAAACTAACCCAGACTCACGTCAATGTCAGGCTGATGAGTCTGCCCGTATGCAAATCTAAGAACTGAAAGCACCCAGTTTTCCTTCGTGTTCAGGAGGATCCTCAGATCAGTGAATGATTGAAACTTTACAGCACAAAGATGTCAGAATCTATTCCATGAATGTAAATTGTTTTTCATCACAGAATCCACCGTCTTTACTTTCATTAGTCGATGATTAAGTACTTAAATATTGTGTAAAAAAACTGTGACTCACAGCTGACCGACCTCTCTGTTCTTTTAAATGATGATTCAGTCTGTATTTCCTTTTCCTTTTTTCGCTTCTATATCGCCTTCAGCCAAGAGGTGGAGACAATTGAGTAATCGTTGGGAAACACTCACTGAGTCACCGTTTTTATCTGTGTAACTTGTTGAGTGGTGAAGAGCAGCTGACTGTGCCGTGACCTGCTATTGTGAATACCGCCGGGGCTGCGTGTTCTGACGTCCGTGAAGATAAGTGTTACCGCTCCACTTGACTCACAGGCAATCTTGTGAAACATGTTGTTTGTTTTCTTTGTTTATGTTTTCCTCGATGGATGTTGAGTTTCTGTTTTTTCTGCAGCCACTTTTGAAACAAAGGTGATGATGTCCAGATGTGGCTGGTTTACAAGTTGTGCTCAGATTTGTACCCTGCACAGTTTTATTAAATGTAATATGGGATGTCAATATTTCAGTGTCCTGCTCACACACACACACACACGCACACTCCACAATATATAATCTCCTTTCCTGACATTTAAATATGTTCATACCTTAGATCTCTATTTTTGTCATCAGCACCAATTGAAAGAAACCTCAGGTCCTTCACTGTACTCTTTAAACACCCTTCATCACACTTGTAGGCACTCGGATCAAGCAACGCTGCTCTCACACAGTTTAGAGCACCACTCATGCATCCATCGACACGGGCTCCGCTCTGCCCCGCAGTGAAGGTGAGGGCCATTTGTCAAGCCACATAACACAATAATGGTTATGGAGAGGAACTGACTCCATTGCAGCAAGTGCAGTAAATCCCTGTCGTGTGTGCGTGCATGTGTGTGTGTGTGTGTTCCTCGTGAAAGTCAAATAAAACAGGTGCAGGAAGCCTGGAGTCTTTTGTTCTGGTGGGGGCTCAGCACTGCTTTCTTCTGCATTGTTACATAATGATGAAGACCTGTCAGTGTTCCCGTACAGTCACATCGTTACTGAGAGCTACAGCGCACAGCTTCACATCTCCAGTTGGCTGTAGTTAATTATTCATATGAAATGGCTCGGATATTACATTGAATTGCAGTGCATCAATGTTTCATTAAACAAAAGTGAGGTGTTGGGTGTACAGCAGCCTTCCCCCGCTCGTCCTGGTGGAAACAAAAAGCAGAGAGATGTGAACTTCTTCTTTAAAAGCAGAAAAACCTTGTCAGACTTCAGTTTCAGAGACTCTTCTGGTTTATTCAGCTGAAGCAGCAACAAATTTGATTTATTGAAGTAGAAAAACAGTCGACCTTTACTGTCAGCAGACACACTTCTATGATGTTAAATAGCTGCGGTTCACTTTTATGACCTTAAATGACGGCTTGATTTTTAAAAGCATCAATCTTTGAGAGAGATAAGTTGGATTAAATTTGTCAAGCAAAGATGCTTCTTAATCAGAGGATGATAAAATTATGTCTATTATTTAATATCTTTAAACATATTCTATATACAGTCTATGATTGTGTGTATAAAGAAATATTAATCCGTACTAGCAGTTTGCCTTACATGGCTAAAAACGCTCCCTTCTTTCAAGTGTAGTATCGTTTCTTCCTTCATGATATCTTGGATATGAGCTCATTGTTTTTCTTGTTCATTCAAGCGTTTAAAATCAAGGACAGAATCCAGTTTGATACCTCAGAGAGTAAAGCAACAAGAGTTTAAACTTGTATAAAACTTGCAGGACAATCGCAGTAACTAATAATGTGATTGAAAAAGCCCGTTTGGGGGAATTTAGTTCGGAAATGAAAACAAATTTATGCAGAGAACACGTTCTGGGAATCTTAATCAACTGTTTACTGATGTGAACTGCATCTGATCCAGTCTGCGGTCTTCCTATATCTGAATTGATTTTGTTGTTCTGAGCGCTGGTTAGAGAAAAGTGAGGCCCAATTTCCTTTGTGCCAGCCTGCTGGTGCTTTCACAGACACGGCTCTGCCCCTCCGTGTTATTCGACAGAAATAAAAGGACAACAGAAATGTAATGGAAAGATTACGGGGGTTGTGTTAGGATACATGGAGAATAAATATTTTGCAGAGTGTGAAAAGAAATGTTTTCATAGTGTGTCCTGAAACGGCACGCTCAATCTATAAACAGAGAACCAAAGCTGACCAGAGTGAGGGGCATTTATAGTTGTTTGTTATGTTTATGGGGTTTAAAATTATCCTCGGTAATTTATTTCCAAACAAACCCATTTGCCATGTTTTTGTCCTCAGCTGTGTATTACTCCTCTTCTTGACATGTCCTCACATCACTCAGCGGCAGCTAAGTGGGTGGAGCGTGGGACAAGCCTTAACTGAAATGTCACATGAAAGGTTAATGGTTATAAGTTAATATTGTGACTTAAAGGTCAGACATCAAACAGATGTATCAGACTGCTGCCCTGTCACACAACATTTTCTCATCATACTGAGTGAGAAATGAATAGAGAAAAGGAATGAGTGAGCAACACAGTATATTCAACATAGACCAATAGCTACACATAAGAAGGCAGTTATAGGGTTAATTTCAACAGTACCTTTCCCCTGTACATAATAGATGGAGTTATTCTAACAATAAATACCCAGGCTCATTTGGTTCTTGAGAAATACTTCATTGTACCAAAAAAAGGCATTTTCTCTGGAGAGAAATTATTTTACATCAGAACTGTAAATCAACACTGAAACATAAGTCATATCTTTATTACCCCATGTTGGAGGGCACACACAATGTTCAAGTATGCCTGAGGAACTAAATGGAGCAATTAAAAAAAAAAAAAAAAAAAAAAGAAAAGAAAAAAAAAACAATGAAGAGTAGGAGAGATAAAATGCATTTAAAAATAAGTGAACTGGCATTGCATTTCACAAAAACTCATAAGCTCATGATTTTGGAACAATTCACTGTAAAGTGCTAACTGGTTTCAAGCTGAGAAAAGCACATGTTCCCTTTAAAAGATCATACACATTACTTTTTACATGGAGGTACAGTAAAAGCCAGTCGTCAGGCAAGCAATTACCAACCAGAAGACATGGACCACAATTCATTTATTAGTCCTTTAATAAGATAACTGCTTCCTTAATTTCCTTGTTAATGGTAACATCGAGAATCTTGCCACTGCTTGCCAGGACAATGCCAATTACAAATGCTGGTGTTGTCACTGTACAGTTTTCCTTCTTCTCTTGTAATTACATGCAATCGACTGACATACAGTATCAGAATCTCAAGTCAAGTCCTTCTTATCCTCTGACAGATAGGAACCAAAGGAATGAAAGTGGGAGGAGAGGAGAGCAATCATCGAGGAGTATCAGGAGACCTTCCCATACTCCTCCTCTTCTTCCTCTCCTCCCCCCCAGATGTGGTGGGCTGGCCCGACAAAAGCAGGGATCTGTCCAGCTGATGCCTGCCTTCCTACAGGTCCTGAGAATCCACTGTTTTCCTTAGTGCCTCTCATTAGGAGGCATGTTAAAAAATAAAGAAACAAAGAACAAAAAAAGATCTGGAGGGGACCGGGTCAATTAATTTTCCCCGCCTAAAGCGGACGTTCCTCCTCCCACCCCAACCCTAACCATAAAAAGGTAAAAACAAGGTGTACTGCAGAATGGCTTTACTCCTCACAGTCTGCGGGGGGAGCTAGAGCCCCTGGGAGCTGAGGTGCGGTTGGTGGTTTTGCGGCTGTTCTGTCGTGTCTGATTCATCTTGGTGGCCGAAGGTTTCCGAGCGTCAGGCTGGCGCCTCCCTTGGGGGCCCCTCTGCTTGCCCCTTTGCCCCGCACGGCCCCTTCCGGCCCCCGCTGGTCACTTGCGTGAATGCAGTGTGTCCTGGAACTTGGTGCTGGTGTAGCGGACGTGAAACCCTTTCTTGTTGATTGTGTCGTCAGAGCGGAACTTGATCACAATGGAGTCACCGGCCGAGTAGATCTCCTCTGGAGGCTGAGAGAGCAGACAAAAAGAAAAAACAGATTCATTTACGCAGCTGCTTTCTGCTTCTCTGACTGCACTTCACTTCAAACTAAAGTCTCGTCACATGCCGAATCTGAAGTCAAATCAGTGACCATGACCAATGGCTTCTGACTGCGGAGGATTGCTAGGTCTGTGGCAGACAGGGGCCATGTGAGGGACCAGGACGAGGACTGGTCTTTTCCAGCTTTTTTCTGATGGAGGCTTTAGTGTCTATTGAAGTGAGGATAAAATACAGTCTGGTGATTAGTTCCAGGTGCGCCTCAGCTCCGAGCTCATTTCTACTGCCACCAGAGTCGGCCAAAGTGTTTCCATTTAAACAAAAGGAGAATTAACTGCTTAGTGTGAGCGCAGAAAATATGAAACACAGGACCTGTCAGAATACTTTTATCACATGAATATTAATTCAGAACATTATACTAGGAAATAATTGGCTGGTGGAGGCTCTCAGCAGCTGCTCTCTGACTATCCGAAAGCAGTGCAGCATCAGAACACCCAAAGCTTGTGCAACCAAGTGTTAAACACCAGACTGTTGTCACTCACAGCATGAATTATGTATATACAATAGCTAATAAGTCCTGCTTTAATAGGAATGAGGGGATGGTAGACCCAACGATGTAAAGTCTTCTGTTTAATGGAGAGAAACCCCCGAGCTAAAGTGAGCCTCTATATGCTGTAATGAGTTTTTCTACTACTCTGCGCTGAATTGTGTCAGTTTATTTCGACCTGTTTTATAAAAGGAAACTTGATTGAGAAGTGTCTCCCCGGGGTTCCTACAGTGTTATGTCCCCTCCAGCAAATGATTCATGTGAACAGGCGTGAGTGAAAGGCCTAAGCTTATTATTGGAGTGTGTAAATGAGATCAAGCTGTTCTCTGACCTGAGGAAACTTGTGTTTCTATTCCCTGCTGGCCTCATTGTTCCAGACTCAGGCTGCAGCCTCAGCATTGGCTGATTAATTCACAGTTGCAGCCTGATGCCAGAGGCTCCGATAGGCTATCTGCAACCAGGGAGTGGAAGCGATGTGTGACCTACAAGCGCCTACACAGCTACACTCCCAAACCCAGAGGACAACAAAGTTTAACAAAGCGATTAAAGCAGAACTGGAATCAAAAGCCCAAGGGTAGTTCACAAACCACTACCAAAAGGTTACTCAACAGCAGGGCAATTCCCCAACAGTTGTCTGAAAACTCTTACTGTAACACTAAAAAAGTGCTGAGGCAGGCCGGCTACTTTGGCCAGAGAGAAATGTTCATACCCCTGAGCCACAGTAGCGTCCCAGTCGAGGGGATTTGGTGTCAGCTCCATCAAAAAGCTCCATGTAGTCGTAGCCGCAGTCGGCCTCCTCCTCGATCTCGAAGGTCTGGAAGATGAGCTCGACACCGTAGCCTTTCTCAGCAGAGATCACCCACTGACAGTCGGAGGCTCCGGGGTAGTTGTTGTCCCCAAACTGAGCGTGGGAGAACAGGTCCTTGGTTTTGACTTCAGCTCTCAGACGACCGCCGCACTCTGAAGGCAGAAAAGTTGAGCTGAGTCCGACATCTTGTATAAGGTTTAAGTACGGCGGCTGTGCTTGTTGGTCTCTCGGTCATTTGTGGTTTTACAGTCATACAGATACAAAGGAGTCTAAATCCCCCCTCTGTTGTTAAACATGAGTCATAATCATTCTCAGACAGGGTGGTGAAATGCAATCAAAACTAAATCCTGCATGTATTCACTACAGAAACCTCTGAGGAGTTGGATTTGTGAGGAATTAACCTGAAATTAACTTGATGCACTCAAAACACAAAGGTTTGGAGAAGTTACTGGAATCCCTCTCAGCTACTATTACGTTTTTTTTTATGTAGCGGGAGGAGAAACTGAGAACTGTTATTACAGCCGCAGCTATTCTTACCTGCAGTATGAGAAGCCTCGAAGCCTTTCTTCTGCACTGAGTTGTCAGAGAAGAAGCGAACGAACAGCTTGTTTCCACTTGACGTGATGGGCGGGGGCTTCTTGGTGCCACAGAAGCGACCTAGACTTGGAGATTTTCCATCTCGCCCGTCATAAATCTCAATGTGGTCATAAGCACACTCCAGGTGGGCCTCCATGTCGATTTCATTGAAGGCCTGCAGCAAAACAAGATAAAAAGTATTTCTTAAGACACGCGTTGTCAGACAAAATGTACGTGTTTTGAGTTCAAGCATTTGAACCCTTTTCTTGGGTCAATCACACTCCCTTTAAAGTGATACATGTAACTTCCAGTACACTTATTATCTCAAAGGCAAAAAGAGATACAGATACAGCACTGCAAATATATAAATAAAAAGGGGCTTGAAATAAGGTCAGAAAAGAACTTAGTTAAATGATTTCAAATCTTATATTTTACTTGGAAATTTTACTTTATACAGGATGTCAATGTTTCTTTAAAAATATATCAAATGTATGACTAAGTTTCTGTTTTTTAAATCCGCTTAAGTATATTCGGAGTTTTGCTATTCAAAAAAGATTCTCATTTTTTTGTGTGTTTTTTTTTTAATAGGAGTTATCATACCAAACACGATAATCATTTTCAGACTATTCCAGAAGATTACTCAGCTTTTGGGAGCAAGATTGAATTACTTTGAGACCTTTAATTAAAATAATGCTGTACTGGGAAAATCAGTGGATTACAGCTTTCCCTCATTCCTGAAATTTGGTCTTTTCCAACGTCAACACCAAAGTATTTGACTTAAGCTTCCAGTAAAGGGATTTTAGCACATTTTGATTTAATTGCAAGACTTTTTATGCACCGACTCACATTTGGAAAGGTTGAATCAGAGGCTGCTGAAAACGTACTGACAGATATATCTATTTGTGATCTATCAAGTAAAATAAGATGGGATGATAACCCAGCTTAGTGTCAACTTCCACTTAAGATCGTTTTCTTTTTTATTTTTAAAGTCTTAAAAAAGCTACAAGAAGACAGTTTAACCCTCATAGATCCTCTTTCGCATCCTAAATAGTTTTGTAAAATTGAAGCTTACACAGTGAGCACAGTAAATGTGAATCTCCAGCACTTCAGTAGCTCCCATTCTTTACATTTGGCCTTTCCAAAGAAGCAAATGAATCGATTTGATCTACTCTATGTCAGTGACACAGATAACAACAGAAGGGGGAGCCACACATCATCATTAGGGATGGCATAACAGCTTCTGACATCAGCAAAGTAAACACAGATGTCCTCTGTGGATTTCTGTTACACAATAATCCAAACACAAATAAATACATGACTGACCAGAGAAACTACACAGAGAGTGGGAGGAAGTGACACATACGATTTTGATGCGATGGCCTGGAGTGGTGGTGAGGGCCCAGGTGCAGGCCTTCTTGCTGGGGTATCTATCCGGCCAATTCGGGCTGGTGATGGTGCCACTCACGCTATTCACAGTGTGATCACAGCCGGCTGTAGAAAAAAGACAGCATTGAGTCAACACAGACCTCTGTATCGTGCTAAAATGGCACAGCTTGACTGCACTCAGACTGCTTATCTACTGCAGTGGTTGCTCAGATTGGAAAAAAAAGAGCCGAGAGTGAGGATAAGCAGGTATCAGCATCAAGGTGACAAGAATTTGAGGTCAGGTACCTTCTTTGCAGTCGTGTTTGTTCTCGTGCAGCACAAAGCCGCTCCTGCACTGACAGCTGTAGCTTCCAAAGGTGTTGACACACTCGTGTTGACAGCCTCCGTTCTCTTTGGAGCACTCATCTTTGTCTGCAGGAGCACAGAGGACACAAGCTTGGTGACTATTTCCATCCTGTGAAGACTAAAGAAGACGTGATGCTGTGCAGAGCTCTGTTAGGACACCCACCTGAGAAGAACTGTGCTTTAAAGCCTTTTTTGGACACCGTGTTGTCCGATTTAAACTCAATGCGCATATTGTTGTATTGGGAGGTGATAGCTTCTGGTTTCTCTGCTCCACAGAACTTCCCATGGAGCCTCGAATCAGCTGAAAGCCCGCTGCGCACCTCCACGTAGTCGTACTTACAAACCTGTGCAGTGAAACGGAGCATGTGAGGAGGCTGGGACGTTGCATTTGGTTTTAATTATGAAGGGCGGGGGATCAAAGCTTTGTTGTCTATGAATGTGGACAGAGAGAAAACATAGAACAAACCCACCCCGCGCCGATTCAAAATAACCCCAGTGCTCACGTCATTGCCCTCAGTCTCGAAGACGTCAAAGAGCAGAGTGATGCGGTACTGAGTTGGGGCGACCAGCTGCCAGATGCAGTTCTTGTTAGGGGGGTACTCTCTGGGCCAGCCGGGACTGGTGATTGACCCATTCAGCTTGGTGATGAAGCCTCCGCAAGCAGCTAGACAGAACAAACAACATAGGAAGATATAAGCGAAATAGTTTGTTTAATGGAGATTAAGATGTGCAGAAAAGAGAAATATATTATCACCATATGTCTCCGAGTGCATGTTTGTCAGGAACTATTCAGCTGAAACAAAGCGTGTGATATATCCCCCCTGTGTCCTGAATAAACCCAGATTACTGCCTGACCTGCGTGTGTGAACTGAGGGGAAGCTTTGCATCGGTTATGCAACGCACAACATGTTAAAACAACTGGTGTTTCCCATTCCCTCACGTGTCTATTTTTAGCTCAAATTAAGAGATGCGTGATTGTCACCACCTGGCTGGACATGATGTTGATGGACTGCAGAGTTGTACGATGGAAGTGAATATTGTTTCTAAAGTTTTTTTTCTTTTGTATTTAAATGAATTATTCATGATTCTTGAATTTTCCTAGTTCAGAATTTAAGATATGTAGCCTCTTGACATGCAATACGCTCATAACAAAAAACACATTTTCTCTTTTGTTCTGTTTTTATGCAGAGGTTGAATATAAATTATATAAAATATTAAATTCTAATATACTCCAGTCTAATCTTGTTATGTTCTTGAACCTTTGCTCTTCAATAAGGATAGTATTTTGGATCATCTCCATTTCTTGTCCATGTAGATTCTCATTCATCCAGGTCATGGTTATCTTGAAGACTTAAAAACAGGCAACTGGTCTGTGTAGAGTTGAGAAGACGTTTCGCCTCTTATCCAAGAAGCTTCTTCAGTTCCCTGACCCCTTCTCCAGTAAGATAAATATCTGCTCCTCACACTAGCAATTTTAGAACTGAAGAAGCTTCTTGGATAAGAGGCGAAACGTCTTCTCAACTCTACACAGTCCAGTTGCCTGTTTTTAAGTCTTCAAGATATCTCCATTTCTTGTGTTTACTTATTTTTATCTAAAATTGTTTTTTTAAATTAAAAGTCTTTAATGCTCTTTTGGTTCTTAAGGCTCAGTGTTTTTTACTCAAGCTACTTACAGTAACGTGCTACATACAGGTATTTGCAGACATAGTTAAGCTGCAGTGACAGCTGACTTCCTCAGGAGGGAGTGGCCAGTGGTTAAGTGGTAAACCAGATACTCTGCAGCATTTATACTAATAGTTAGGTCTTAAACAACAACATGTAATTTGAGCTAAAAATAGTGTTTGCATTGTTGTGACCCTAATCTTTAAAAGACAGTGCTCTGCCAGCATGGGCATCACTGCTGGCTTTACAGAATGACTGGGCTTATTGTATTTGGATGGCTTACTGTTTGAGGAGCTCTATCATGCGAGTTACATGATTCGTGAGCAGAGCTGGTGACTTTTTTCCCTGTACTTACCCTCGCAGCTGCGCTTGTCAGCAGCCAGTTCATAGCCTGGGTCACAGGCACACTTGTAGCTTCCCAGTGTGTTGACACAACGTTGCTCACAGCGACCGTTGTCCGGCTTGGAGCACTCATCCATCTCTGAAAACACAAAGATATGTTAGGACCCTGCTCGCCGGCCCCCCTGGCTCACTGGTTTATGAGAGAGACTCTACAAAACATCAGCAGGGCCAGTCAAGAAGGGTCACACAGGATCTGTCTGTGCGAGTGAAACAAAAACATGTGAAATCACTGCACACTACTAACAACAGACAGATGAGCACCGAAACACGTCACATGAGACTTTACGACCCTTGAACTCTGACCTTTAAAGAAGTTGGCAGCAAAACCGGCCTTGTTGACGGAGCCATCTGAAACAAACTTCATCCACAGCTGGTTGGAGCTGGTTTTGATATCATCTGGCTTGTCGTAGCCACAGAAGCGGCCCAATAGGGGGCTGTTTTCAGAATTTCCATCCCGGACCTCCAGGTAGTCATAAGCGCAACTGTCATGTCGCTCAATCTGGGAAAAGTTAGAGTGGGATATCAGCTTAAATGATCTTGAACAAAAACACACAGTATTACTTCATGTATCTTAAGTATCTATAGCAAAGGGATAAGTGTCCCACCTCGAAAGACTGGAAGGTGAGGCCTACATGGTAGCCCTGAGCTACTGTAACCTTCCACACACACACTTTGTTCGGTCTGTAGTCATCAGGATAGTTGGGGGACTGGATCTGCCCGTTGTCTTTCTTCACCTCCCCGCCGCAGATGGCTGCATGTGACAGAAAAAAACAATATAAGCAATATTTAACACCCTTGATCACAATGTCATCAGCACATGGCCCGGTGTGCTCACTGTTCTGATTAACGCGGCGTGGATTAGCTGAAATACCTCCACCAGTTCCCACACACGCAAACATACACACAAGCCCTTCGCACGGTCTGGAAACAATGGAGCTGAATGTGAGGGCTGGCCAAAGTCTGATTAATGCAGCGTAAAGAGCCTGACACATCAGCAGTAGGGGAGCCAAAAAGCTGTGGATATTACTGCAGCTTCTAGGCACATTGTTGGACGTGTGAGCAGCCATGCGTTCAGTCAGCTGAGCTTCGTACTGGAATGGGGTTCAGGGAGGTCGGGGTAACCGGTGCTTACCCTCATAAACGGCGGAGAAACCTTTTCCCACCCAGTTGCTGCTACTGCGGAACTCAATCCACAGCCGGCTGTCGGTAGAGATGATTGGTTCAGGCAGCTTATCACCACAGAAACGACCTGGGCCACAGGTGAGGACACACACACATATAGCAAGATTTTATCATTGTGACAACTGGGATAGCTCTGAAATTCCACTACACGGCTCTCTACTTCAGTGGAAATTCACTAGAGGAGAGAACTCAGATGCACACAAAGGCAGAAGTGTACAAGCAGCTTAAATTTTACTCTTCAGTGTTTGGCAGATTAATAATAGATTGATAATCATGGTTTGATTTCCTGAAAAGTTTTATTTTGTACTTGGTTACAAATCAATCAAGATCTTTAGCTTCTAGTTTCTTGTACATAATGAACATATTTCAACAACTCAAAACAAGCATGCTGTCTGACCTGAGGAATAAATACTGACTTTATTTTGCTTTTATGATCGAAAGCTGATTAACTTTGAATTTCCAACTTTTGTTGAGCAAAAGCAAAAAATTAAACCCACAGAAAAATAATAATTCTGTCACTATGACTGACCTTTGAGCGGCGCCTTCCTCCAGTATCCATCTCTGATCTCCACGTGGTCGTACCAACACAGGTGACTCCGGTACAAATCCATGGAGGTGAAATTCAAAATGATCTAAGAAACAAAAGATAAAGCGATTATTGGTTTTACAAAAATAAGGAGTAACAAAGGCATTACATTGACCTTTAAACGTGAAATAAGTCCTGGTGTTGTGTTTTCCACTCACTCATACCTTTTCTCCTGGTGTGACTGATATCCTCCATATGCAGTGCATGTACGCTGAGTATCCATTTGGAAATCCAGGAGAGGAGAAGTTCCCACTGCTGTCCTGCAGACTGTCCCCACATCCTGAAACAAACACACACAGACCAAACACGCACGTGAGGCTCCGGCCATGAACAAAACACACTGCCAATTAGACTCTGCCTGAAAACACTTAAGCCACTCAAATTCAATCAGATCAGATTCAATTCAGATGCTCAGAGCTGGAGTTGTTATACTAAAATATTAGACAGCTCTTTAATGTCCAGTGGCACATATGCTGATAATATTCACCCACAACCATGCACTCAACCTCACCCCTTCCCCCTACCTACTCCAGATGAGGATCACACAAAGGAATAGAAAGAGAGAGTGAGCATCCTCTTAAAATAAACCTGGTCTACTATAAATAACCCAGCTCTCTAGAGGATGTGATGCATTATGTACGTGTTGCTGGTGAGAAAACAGTCTTAGTTTGACTGGCAAAAAGTAAGTGTACAAGCGTGCAGGGACTGATGAATGCGAGGTAGAGGAGAGGAGCTGATAGAGGGAACGTAATATCGAGTGCTGTATATACATTTATTCAAAAACTCTGTGGGTTCACTGCTTTCCTACGAATTCAGTCGTGAGCAGTAAAACAAGCGTTTGCACGTGATAATAATAGGTAGAGGTTTGCCAATTACGAACCCTTTTAACAAGCACTTGGGCACATATGGGGGATGACAAACTCTGACAGGAATGCTGTGTGAATGGGAAATCTGTGGCTCTATTCGGAGTTTTTGAGACTCACTACCTCACTCAAAGTGAGTCACATCATCCATTCAGATTCGCACTCAAAAAACAGAGAATTTTGTAAAAGGAAGAGACTTTTGTAGGGTTAACATTTCATTCCTAAGCCGGAACCACACTGGCAGATCCAGAAATGGTTACCATGTTGATTCATTTAATGTTAAAATAAGGCTGACAGCTTTGCTTGTCCCAGCCTGACCCACAGTTTAACTGTCTGACATCAAATCTATCCGATAGGGACTGTTCTCAATGTACATCTGTTAAAGCAATAAATCCTGTTCACTCCAACAGCATTAAGTGGTCTGTCTCCTCTCTGGAAGCATAAACAAAGTGAACGGTTCACAAAAAAGACTTATGTAACGCTCCTTAGTGTATCGTCTCACAGTTTACATTGTACAAGCTGTGATGTTCAGACATAAGTGCTGTTCCCAACGATCCTTTTTTCGTCATGTTCTTCTCAATCACAGCTGTTCGCTCGGGTCTTTCTGGCAAAGCGTGATGACAAACTTCCTGTCCTTGGGTAGTGTTTACACTCCCCCCTAGCTTGGGATTCTCGGACGTTGCAGCCAAAAGAGCCGCACCACATCAAGAGTACATGCGTGGCTATTTCTGCACAGCGTGAGCTACGCCAGGCTTCTCTCTCTCAGGGCAGTGTTGCACAGGTTCAAAAATAGTCAGGAAAAAACCCACAGCAGACAGGATGTGTCATTTAAGTCTTACTAGAGCATTTGTAGAGTTTGCGTGCCTGTGCGATATCCCCTTTGCTCAGTCTGGTTCTCTGGCCGATGGGTGGTCGCACACCGTTGACATCGTAGCGTGGCAGGATGGTGTCCAGGAAGATGCCTCTGTAATTCAGCAAGAGGGACTGACATTAATACATGCACGCACACCTTATGTCATGTCTTCGCAAGGACATTATTCACTATCATCAGTTTATATCTTTGTCTCCCAACATAAACTAAACTACTGCCATTGACTGAGGATGAAGAGATGCAATAATAAGCATTGCCAGTATAAAACAGCCAGTATTGAGCCCTTCATCGCTGGTGACAACTGCAGATCTGTTCGCTACTAAAAACCTGGAAAGAAAAGAAAACAATCACACCGACCACTTTTCCATGTGGTTTCTTGCTGCACTCACCCTGCCCTCCTTCATCTCTCGCCACCATTCACAGAAGTATGTGTGTGTGTCTCCGAGTTCAGGTGAGGGTACTTATGTAACTTTTTCCATGTGGCAATAAAAGAAAACAAATTTATGTTTGCTTTACGATTGTTTTATCTACTAATCTCGGTTTAAATTACAACAGATGGACAACTGCCTTTACTTATCACACCCCCCTTTGTGGTCAGGGGTCACACAGCCTGTTTCTGAAGTTACTGCTGACATCATCTTTCTCACACGTGTCTGTGATACAGATGGACCCAAACGTAGAGCTTTAACTCTTTTTCCAGAGTTATTGTGCAATCTTAATAAACGGCATAAGCCGAGAAATGCAGGCGAGCGAACAACAGCCAGATGTTTTGTTTGAAGTCTGAAATGAAAACTGTATAAAACATCCAGGTGCGGCCTCTGTGGAACTTAAAAAGAGAGATCAGTGAATCCTCTTCTCACACAGTTGTGTCACATGACTCTTTTCTAGTTTATCATCTCCATTTTCCTGTAGTACTGGCGAGCAACGACCTGGCTCCGTGGCCGTTCCCATGGTGACATGCCTATCAACGCCAGGCATGTGCAAACATCGCAGCCTGAGCTAACAGTTTAGACCCTACTTGCCTGTGTGTCTGTCCGAGAGTCTCTAGGAGCCCCTATGCTGGCTGCTGGTGAAAAACGCCACTGCAGCCAGTGTCAGAGCAGACAAAGGGCACACTGGCAGGTCTCTATTTGAGTTGGCACCGCTCCATGCACCAGCACTGAAAAATGTCTCTGCAGTGAAGGAGGGGGGTGTGCAGAGTTGTGGGTCGGGTAACACGCCACAGACAAAAAAGGCATGGGGATCAGGCCTACTTGTCCCCAAGAAAAGAGACATAGAAAAACATCAAGACAAGCCATGAAATCTTCAGAACAACATCCTCAGCAAAGGCCCTGGCTTCCCACGGTGATTTACTGTAAAACACAGAGCGAACACCCCGGCTAATAATGGGCTAACAAAGAAAAAAACACTGGCGCAGGTACATCAGCCAATCAGTGCTCAGGAGAAAAAGTGCTAGGGATGACTTGTGAAAAGCTAACAGGAGCCCCTTGTCTGCTAATATAGCTCTGTGAAACATTCCCCAGCAGCCACGGCCATTCCCCTCTCGTGTCTCCACACTCTTGTTGATCAACACAGTTCCACGAAGTAGGGCAGAGACAGAGTCAAGAGTTTGAGCAAAAACAGAACCAGGGAAAGAAAAATTAGCTGACGAAAATATGACAAGCGGAGATGCATACCAGAAATGTCTATCTAAAACACGATAAGACCAAATCTACATCTAAGAGCTCAATCAATTACAAGGATAGACTGTCTTTCAGGTCTGAGCACTCATACATTCAATATGAGATAAGCCCATCTACAAGATTTTTTGTAGAAAAATAAAAATCATCAGATGCAGAAGACTCTCCTAAGCTAAGAAAGTGTTTTTTATTTCTAATTTGTATGCTAAGTAACCGTATTCTCACATTCACCTTTCATTAAAAACCCAGAATCAAATCCTGCAAAAAGAAAGAGTGCGATATATCAGCTCCATTCAGCATGAGGTGCATTTTTGACCTATGGGGTTAGATGCAATGCGCTTGACAAGCATTTCTGTACATTGGCCTACACCCAGCTGCAGCCTCTGCTTAAACAAAGATCCCCTCTCTGCTTCCCAGAATCTGTTTGCCACAGGAGTATGGCAGTTGATTTGGGAAGAGGCCGGCACACTAAGAGAGTCACACAGGGCATGAGAGAGCCGAAAGTGAAAAATATACAGATGACGAATCCGTACAACAGGATGGGCTAACAGCTGGTTCTCATATCAGAGTGAGGTAGACATGAGTCAAGACTCCCTGTTCTTTCTTTAAATCATGAGTGCCCGTGGATCCCATTTCACCGGCTCTGCCGTTCTGGATGTCAAATCTACTCCTTTACAACAGATAAAACACTGTTCAGTTAAAGTGACCGCTCCTGACGCTATCCCAAAGATTTCTCTAAGCTGTTTACCTTTACAATAAAGTTTACATACATGAAACTGAGCAGGAGGTAACAATAATATTTATACAACTTCAGGGTAAGTATGTTGGACACAGCTTAGGACATAATGTAAAAAGAATCAGCTCAGTCCGATCCATTTTCTCCTCAGTGGTTAGTTTTGGCTCTGCAGGAGCATAGCTGGTTAATAATGTAATAATACTTGTAATAAAGACCAGGACTTCTATTAACAACCTATAGAAAAACAGCCGAACAGGCCAAAAGTGATTCGCACATCCAATTAGAAACCGTCTGAGATAACTAGAATTACAGTCCAGACTGACCGCTGTTTGCCACAGGGATTGTTTTTTTCCAAGTCCATGACACCACAACATCTGGAGGGACTTCCTGTCACATCCGTCAGGGAGTACTGAATGAGGTCAGCTGGCAACAAAATTAAGTGCCATTATAAGTATGACACATTCACGGCTCTGCTTTTACTAACAGAAGTTCCTCTATGCAGCATGTTTCCACTGTCCCACATTTTAAGACCAAATTTGGATACATATGGGTCTCTAAGTTCAGCCGTTTTGGTCTATTTATTTGTCCACAGTCCGAAGTCCAAGAAACACAAGTTTACAGTTTAGTGAATCTTCTTACACAACTCAATTCTCTGCTATCTGTAGGACCTGATCAAGGGTTGATCCAAATTGTGCTGCAAGATTAGGGCTGGGCGATATAGAAAAAAGTTTATCACGATATATATATTTTTTTCATGATTTATCTCACGGTATAAAAAAAATCACTTGTCAATCTTAAATGTTCCCTGTTACCCTTAAATGAAATTTAACAGTGCTGTTTGGTAGCATGTCTTTAGCAATTCAATAAGCTACTGCATCTGTGAGGTCTTTGTGTCTCTAAGATGTTTTGTCGTAAGGCGTTGCGCTAGAGAAAGCGGAATGAATGGTCGGTTGTTTCGGCTGCACGAGCGCCATGGGCTGCTTCGTGCTTGTGTCGCTCTGGGTTTGTAAACTTTTGCATTGCCTGTGTTCTGCCGCGTGTCACTGCTTCAAGTGGTGAAAAAGATTTGAGGTATTTCCCGACTTAGCGGGAACATGTACTCGACATAATTTGTAGTGCACATTACTCTGCTTTATTTCTGACCTCAAAAAACAAAATACCTCCACACCACCGACGTTTTCAAGCCAGTGTTGTCGACGATGTCATCATCTGTTGAGCCTTCATCTGCATTTCTGCCGGGGGTAGCACTCATTTTCCTTTTTTCCTCACTGACAGTGCTGTCGGCTTCACCTGTTAAAGTGCTATGGTTGCGTGTAGCTGCAGCCTGTTACAACGCAGTTGTTTTTTACTTGGTTCTAATTCAGCACATGATTGGTGCGGACCCGGGGCAACTCACCTTTTCATTGGCTATTCGTATAATCTACCAAAACATGGCAGAATGCAGACTATGGAATCGATATTGACCATGTTTTACATTGATATCAAGGGAAATAAATTTTATATATATATATATTGTTATCATTTTATCGCCCAGCCCTATACAGGATATTCATTATTATAACAAGAGTTGTGAAGGTGCTGTAAAGGCTTTGCAGCAGACGTGAAACTATATCTGAGTTCCTGCAGCAGCCTTGGGTGAACGTAATGCTAATAATCATCAGAGCTGCTTCAAAGGGCCATCAGGGACATAATGAGGTGGTCTGTATAGTTTGAGGCACAACTTTTACAAGAAACTTCACATAGCCTTTAAAGTAGAAGCTATGTTAGGATGAAACACGGCTACTCTAACTGCTAGCTCAGCAGCAGGACCAGGACTAGTGCTGCTTTACAGGGACCGCTGCTGCTGCAGCTCCTGCTAAAGCAGCAGGAACAGAGGAGAGGAGCCTTAATTTGAACAGGCTGTAGGAAGAAGCTGGCACTTTTACTATGACTACTAAAACTTGGCTTTCACTTCCAAGAAAAAAAAGAATCCATTCAAGTTTAACACCAAGAGGTGTTAAATTTTCATAAATTTGACACAATGCATTGATTTCACATTTGCTGAACGGTTAAAAGATACTGTTCCAGATGCAAGGAACAGCAAAAACAGATGATGTCAGAAGTCATTTCATGTGATAGTTTTTGAACCTCGTTGTTCTCAAAACAGCAATAAGTGTTTAGTTCTAGTCCAAATATTACATAAATCACAGTAGTGCTTCCCAGTCTCTTAAGGACTTTCAGCCAAGAGTGACTGGGAAAAACTGGCAAGACGAGGAGACTGTCTCTTTCAAAATAAAGCTCTTGTAGCAGCGACTTTATAAACACCCATGAATGACCAACCTTTACAAATAAACCTGTTTCTTGAACTCTAATAGTGACGAAAATCATTGAGATTCAAGACAGGCATTCAAGGAACAGTAATCCTTTTCTGTCTCTTTGTCCTCAGGCTACATGTTAGTCTTGGAGTGATTTATTAATGAGGGGAATTAAGTGTTTCATTCTTTCTGCCACATTACTCAGCAGCAGTCCAAAGGCACAGACCCGGTGCATTACAGATCAATATAGTTGTAAAATGATGATAAAAAAATGACTATCAGCAGAAATGGAAAACAACAAGATGGGTTAAAAGGTTGCAGCGGAGCAGGAAAGTGCTCCGCTTGACTTGATCAGATACCAGTTTTAACGTCGAGAGTGCATGACGTGGAGCTTGGCTTGGCTCCTACCTGGAGAATGTATTCCTGGCATAGTGCATGATACTGTCAAAGTCATAGACTTCTCCCAAAGAGTCCACCTCCCCCGGCTCCATCTTCAGAAAGTTATACTCCTGCCCTGAGAGAGAGAGAGGAAACAGGGAGAACAGTTGGAACACAGGACTGAGTCATACATTGCAATCTCCTGTGTGTAAGTTAAAGGTGAATTCGGTTGTACTCTGTCTGAAAGACACAATAAAGCTACAGATACAAATGAGCCCCAGACACTCCAGGCTTTTCAGAATGATTAAGAATTGAGCGTTTGGCCTCCAGCCTGGATACTATGTCATGGTTACAGGCTTGTATTGGGTTGTCTGGCTCTAAAAACACCTGGTTTAGTACAATTCACAAGCTGAGTGAGCATGAGCGGGAACTTTGTCAACCATCCTGTGTGTGTACTTTTATTATTTTGTCTCACTGCTTCTTTCCTCCATTATTGCTGAGAGACCTCTGCGCCTACCTGGTTGGATGTTATCCCGGATAATGCTGACGTGTTCGTCCCGGTCAGGTCTTGTGTGTTCATGCCAGAATCCGATGACATGACCCAACTCGTGCACCACAATGCCAAACTTGTCACAGTTTTTTCCAATGGATATGGCCTGGGGACCCCCTCCTCGACGACCCACATAGGAGCAGCACCTGTGATTCAGCAGCCGGGCACAAAAACAAAGAGGCACTATTGACAAGAGCCAAAATAAAGCGGCTAGACTCGGTGTCACTAATAAGGGAGTGGAAACTAAAGCAGGGGGCCAAAAAGTCGTGTTTCCCAGGAGAGAGGAAGAATGTGTCCCTGGCTCTTTAATACCTCCTGGCCTGTTTCATCCTGCTCTGTACACATGTAAAGCAGTTTTGGGGTCTGTTTTACGGGAGAGCTGAACATGGCGACCCTGTCTTCCACACATACAGCGGTGACATTCATTCATCCGCTTGCCAATGCAAATGTCCGGAGTGACGGTAGGGGCTAGCTGGCTTGCAAGCGCTCCATCTCAGCGTGACATGAAAGGGTCAGTGTGGGAGTCTGGAGGACGGGCACACACATCACTGCCCTGTGGGCCAGACAGCCGCTCTCTAATTACTGCGAGCTGAGCCAGTCTCTCCTGAGACACGCCTTGAACTTTGCACAAGACAGATGGGGGCCTGCTGAATATGCAGCAGAGCCAAGCATTCCCACTGCTAACCGCTGCTGCCTGCGTGGATAATGTCATCCCTGTTGCGCTAGAGGCCAGGCTAAAAATGACTATCAACAGTTGGCTCGAAGGAAAGAAGTTTCATGACCTGCATCCGCTTTCTGTTAGACTGTTTGTTTTGAATGATGCATATCAGTAGGAGAGGTACATTGTGTGTAATGACATAATAGTTCCAGCTTGTGCTCTAAATCTGTGTGAGGTTAAAACATGGGAACATTTCAGGATCGTGCGTCCCCTGAGAAGCTCTAATACTGCGTTTAATAGCTTTGGCCTCTTTTCTGCTCAGAACCTAAAATTAAAAGGTTGTGCTGGTTTGTGTTCCAAAACAGCAGCAAGTGCTTTTATCTAAAAATATTTTATCATTACATGGAAAACAGCCCTGCATGTCCAAACAGACTGTCAATTGTCGCTTAGCAACAACAAGAGCCACAAGCAGAGCTTCCCTTGAGTGTGTGTTTGAGAGGAAATGCTGAGTGGACACTGAGACGAACTTCAGCCGAGTGTGGTAAAAACATAGGGTTATGGGGAGGTTGAGGAAATCTCGCCCTTGGGAGCAATTCTACGCATCATGCATGACACAAAGTGGTCAGTGACGGATGAAGGGTGATGATGAGGCGCAGGAGACATTCCAGGCCACTGAATAGCCTCCTCTCTTAGGACCTGCAGGGGGCTGAAATAACAACTCACTTAGAGACCGTGGACAGGGATGATGAACAATAGTCAGGGGATGCTAAGCAGGAAGTAGCGAAAAGTTCTGGAGCGCTAAATAATTAGAAGTAGACAGCAAAGGCTCAACAGAGGGTGACCATTGTTTCGTTTTTTTTCTTGTGGGAGCTCAGAACCCCACTGACTCACCCACATGGTCGGTAGGTGAAGACAATATAGCTCTCCTCTTGTGTCCTCTCAATAAAGGTCACACAGGTGTGCTTCTCCCAGTGTCGCATGGCCTGGCGGAATATCGCCCGCTGGCTGCCTGAATAAGATGAGAGAGGGTGAGGTCGATGATAGAAACACACACACACAGACACACACGCAAACACAGCATTTTATAGTAGAGGAGGGATGAATGAATGGAGGAGCCAACAGCTGGAAACACTTTTACGACTGCACTGTTAATGAGGTCTCATTTGGATTTGTATAACCGTGATGTGAACATATTTTGGGATTATAGTCCCATAACATTTGATGGTTGTATGAAAAATGAAATCTCATTTTGTCCATGCTCAGTTACCCGACCAATCTCCAATCATATAACATTTTTAAGGTATTTCTCTACTCTTTCTTTTCAAGGAATAAGGGATTAGTTTAGTTTACAGATTATGCATCAGCACTTCTCTTAAATGAGAATCATAGTGGTTGTCTGGTTACAAAAACAAGACACCATGTTGTGTTTTGAAGCAACCCTAGTTTCAAAATCAATGACCTTTGGAGAATAGATGTATCGTCCTCTTATTATCTATGATGTTTTAGTTCGTACATGTATCTTATTCTTTAATCCAAAAGCAGATGTAACATTTCCCAAAAAAGTTAGAGTAGAAGACGTGTGACTTACCACTAAAGTTCCCGCTGATGACATAGGGAATAACACCTTCAGGCCAAACGCGCTCAGGTCTGGAGGTGGCGGCTCTTTTCCTGCGGTGTGAGCCCTGCCTGTTTTGGATACTTTGATTGGTTGATCCTGAAGGTTTGAAAATTAAGAAAACAAAGGTGAACTATTGATGTCTCTGTTCAACACAGCAAATGTTCACGAATGAGAAAATAAGCTCCACCGCCCCACGGAAGACTAGAAAGACTTTTTTTTTATCCTAAAACTACAGTACATTCATCAGAAACTCTAATTAGTGAGTTTCATTATGGAAATTATATCCACTCCCTAATAGAGACGTTTGTTTGTCCTTTTATGAACAAAGGTTTTTATTAAAGCTTTTTCTTTCTTCTTTTAAATTAGTTTCATAATTTTAATGTCAGTCAAACGCACATTACTGCGCTGTAACCATGGAGACTAATCTCCCACCTAAACCTGGTGATTATAATAAGAAACATCCCTATATGAACCACACACAGCAAATTACCCATTAGGCTGCAGAACAGACAGAACTTAGAAAGAAGCAATTATAACTGCTATTTGAATCCAAGTAGATAGGAAGTTACAGGAAAACGTCAACAACTTTATTTTCCAAAAAACACTCATGAGAGAGGACAAATCAAACATTTAACTACGCAAGTTTTCATTCAGTTCTTAGCTTGTATGTTTATAACCACAGGTTCAAAATTAAAAGTTTAAGGTTGATCAAGATGTCAAACACACATTTGTCATCCTGAACTGCCCTTAAGTGTTGCACCATATCAACTTTGTAAAGTGATGAATAAGCACAATGTTTCCTAAAGCAACTTCCACTTTAACAGGAGAAAACATGTTGAAATACAGAGGAAGGCACTGTTAACACGCAGTGTGAACCGCAGCCAGGAATAATATTGAACGATTTGAGACTTTCTGACCTTTAACAGACATTAATGTTGACTTTTGACTAAACATCTTGCAATACATGTTTCCTTCTAAATCAAAATAAACTTCTTCCTCTTTAAGACTTAGGGGTAAATATTTGTCAGCGAGAAAACTTCAACAGCTTAAAACAAAAGCTTTCAGTTCAGTTTGTAGTGTAATCTATAATTATACAATGGAAAATATGTATATAACAGAGTCATTTTTTTCTTTTCTACCTTTTGATTTCTCATCTATTCATTTCCCCGTCTCACCAAACAATGTAAACTGATGATTTATGTGTTTAAACGGCTTTTTAATGATGATTTTTCTCAGTTTGAAGATGCTCAAGCAAATTAATTTGTTGGTTTTTCACAAACACTTCAATAGAGATCATCTGATTCATGCACAATCACTTATTTACCTCTGTTGGTTATCAGAGTTTAATGAATAATCTACCTTAATGATGTGTAGAAGAGTGAATTTGTCTCCTCGGGTGTAAACTCTTTAACAGAATAACATCATTGTGAAACTTCACCTGAATGACCCCGATGAAGGCCACGAGCTAAAACCTGCTGGTTTCACAATAAATAGCTCTTTATCCTATAAGCACTGCTGTAGCAACAAAACAAGTACATCTGGTTTCAGTACATTGTGCACAAAGGTTGCTGTTCCCTAATAACAGCACCAGCCTTTATCTTATTTTATACTAAATTTGATTAAGATGCAAGGGAGTTAGCACTATTTTTTTCCCTTCAGTTGAACAATGTGTTCTGTTGAATTTCAGCCCGCAGGAGTAAATCTTAGCAGCCTGCAGAGATCAATTAGCACATCCACACTTGTGCATGTGTTGAGAAAAAGTCAGATAACAGCCAAATCTCCTCGGCTAACTGATAAGAAAGAGCGCTAAGGAGACAAAACTTGAGGAAGATGTGTTAATCACAATAACACAATTAAATCTTAACCTTTTTTCTTTACGGGACAGGACACACTGTTAGTGTTATCATCGTTTTAGTGGCATTATTGGTTGAACTTGATGGCCTTTTTCATTAATGAAGGGGATGTGACAGCTCAGAGCAGAGATTTGACTATGTTAGAGAATCTCTTCCATTAGGCCTACGTGTCAATTAGCTGAGCATTCAATAACCTGCTCATGACAACAGCTGAGTGTTTAGAGAAGATCGTGCACACTGTCTGCAGCCTCGAGTCCCCCCTCAAATCCCTGTCCCAGAGATCAGTTTAGTCTGAAATTAATCTTGCTCGGTGGATATTTTAAGCACAGTTGAAATGCATTTTTAATCCTCTTAAATCTCTCTTTACCTCAACATGCTCATTAGCTTTGGTGAAACGGCAAACTGAAATGTTCCAGGCACAGACACCGACATGCACGCTCATGTCGGTTCATGCTCACCTTGGCTTTACAGGATTTCGAAGACTTTTGGTTTCTGTTGACTCACAGCTGTTGCTTCAGGACAGCTTTTCGTTTTAGGAAAGTTTTACCTGACAAAGCCTGGAAATTTTTTATCTTGAACGTGGTGATATTGGTGTTAAAATATCCAGCAGGAGCATTACAGTTGAAAAATCACCAAGTTGCTATTTGGCAGATGCTACTGTTGGCTCTTAGTTATGAGCAGTTTCACAGTTAAATATCCCTTCAATAGAAAATATCCTTCAACAGGAAATACTTCCATTTTAAATGATTGTTTTTCTTACCAACTAAAAAGCCAAAAGAGTCATACCTGTCTCTGTGTGATTAACAGTGTGGACGGTTCTCTGAGCCAAATCTATGATTCTGTCCACTTTGAACGATCGCAGGTCCTCCTCATCCAGGGCAATGTCTCCCAGAAAGGCAGCTGAAACAGACAAACAGAGATGGTAAGTCAGACGACTCTAAGAAACCTGCACAACAGTGTGAGATGTTCCAATCCCTCCAGGCGTTTCCTGCCACTCAGACAGACTTGGGCTTCATGAGCAGCAGTCAAAGCATTTGGTGATGACCTAGAGCGAGTAACAGATGTCCTGAATTTCACTTAGTTCCTTTCTTGAATTTCTTCTTTCCAAGAATGTTCACAGTGAAATAGATACAGAGTTCATGAAAAAGTGTGTCTGTTTGGAAAACAAAAGGCCGGCTATTTCTTTCTTTTTCTTTTTTGGACCAGAGATAAAGAAGGGAAATGTAAGCAACATATTGGACACGGCTGGTGAATGTCCATGCAACTCAGTATGAGTATGAACTCAAAAACCTGCGCGCTGATGTGCTTAGGTGGACCATATTTAATCCAGATGTTACCAAACAAAGAAAAAATCACACTGTGTACTCTGGCGCCTCTGCACGGTTAATGAGAACGATCATATATGATACAGTGAGACACTGACACTGCCTCCATGGATTAATATGGGGCACCTTGAACAAGTAATAGCTTCTTAATGAGGCCAAGGAGAGGGAAAGTAACCAAACAGTCCCACTTTATGAGGAATGTGCTTTATTGCTTTCTTTACTTTATGCCCCATTTCTATGGAGGACAGGCCAGGAGTCTTCTCGCTTTAACTGGCTCGTAACACCAGCACGCTTCAGAATTTACAGCCGGGACTGTATGCAGAAGTTAGGGGAGAGAAGTTATGATGGGGGGTAATTGGGAGTTTTGTGGGAGGCAGTGGGGAGGAAGGAAGGGCGAAGGGATGGTACTGTAATCTCTGTCTGAACAGGAGATGACAGCAAGAGGTGGGTCTCTGCAGGTTTCAACAAGTCAAATTTAAGACTTTTAAGACTTTTCAAGACCGTAAAGAAAACAATTTAAGACCCATTTTACATCCATGCCTGCAAAAAAGTACAAAAGACATGAAGAGAAATTGGAACATTTTACATAACTTCAAATCTACCTTTATTTATATGGTATGTTACTTATTTGTAAGTAAAGTTAATACATTTTTAAGACCTTTCAAAATCATATTTAAGAGATTTGATGAGATTTTAAGCGAATCTTAGACATTTCTAGGCCTTAAATTCAAATGATTCGATTTTTAAAGACTTATTACGACCCTGCAGATACCCTGAGAAGAAAGGAGGAAGGCATATCCTCTCTGCCCAAACTCTGGCTCTGAGAAGGGCTGGCAGATGTGGAGCAGATAGAAAATAAGAGCTTTCTGGATGTGTGTTTGGAGGTTAGCGTGGTGGAGGGGAGACAAACCCAGAGGGTAGGAAGCAAAGGGAACCACTGAAGAGTAGAATAAATGGAGTGGATTTACAGTGGCTGTCTTTGTCAAACGTTTAAATCTGTAAATCTTTACTGTCTCCTTGAATCAAGTTATGTGCAAATCAATTTTTTTTTTCAGTTTTGAGTCAGCTCAGTTTTTTTTTCTGAAGCATGCAAGAAAAAGATTCACAGGAGAGCTTTTTTTTTCATGTCAAGCATTGCCATAAAAGTTTGAGAGATCTGAGGAAATAGAAAAAAAGGGATAAAATGCACAATAGAAACAAAGAAAGAAAAAACTCTTGGCATGAATGCTTTTCTATTCACCAGAGGAGAATTATTGAAACAATCTGGAGTCAGCTCTGCTGTACACAGACCAGTATTCCACCCTGCAGGTCAGAGAGGTTTCACAGCAAAGCAACTGTGTTTGGGATTACAGGATAATGACAGCAATAAGAAAAAAGTGTAGATCACTGATGGCAAGACTGGGCACGCACAGAGGACAGGTTTAAATTCCAGAGGTCACAAGGATCCTCTAATTTGAGCTCGCAAAACACACTAATTCCCTGGAACTAAATCCTTGAGACACAAAGCAGAATACTCACAATCAGCACCCATACTGACAGCCACTGCCAATAACACCGCTGATAAGGGACGCTTCCAGATGTCGTGCAGTATAGGACGGATGGGCGGACTACAGAGGGACATTTTTCTCTTTTATCTTCACATTTTTTTGAGAGTGATTCGCAGAACTGCCAAGAGCTGAGAGGAACAGGCAGAGCTTGAAACAATTAAATCCAAGTTGCTGTCATAAAAGAGAGTAAGCGCTGAGAAAAAGTGTTCAAAACAATTCTACGAAAACTCTTCTTTACCTAATACTGACAAAAAATTAAGGAACAATTGGCTGATGTTTCTCAAATTTACACATATTAGCGGTTTTATGCACAGACTGTGACCAAACAACAGGATCCAGGCTTTCTCCCACCCCCATGAGGTTCAGAGAGGGCTGCGCTCTCTGCCCAAATCTCCACCGCTGTGCTGAAGGCAGGCTGTTTAATCCGCAGTGTCATTGTTCTCAGACAACAGTGGAGATTGAAGTGAGCAAATGCACGGCCCGGCGGCATTAAGACTCATTTCCCCCGGGCACAGCAGTCGTCCTGGAGACGCTGTTGCAGGTTTATGGAGGGACTCGCAGGGATTGTGAATTAATCCCCTTGTCTCCTGGCTTTAATTATCCACAGACACACGGTTTTAGGGAATCTTTTGTACACAACTCCAGGCTGGGATTGAGGGCAGGCTATGGAGAAAGGTGATAAACTCATCTCGATCCAGAGCGCTGTGCTGATATGACAAGGGGAGACAACTGTGTTGTACTGTAGATTAAAAACCCAGTGAATGCGGCAGATGGTAAGTGATCATCACACTCCATAGATGAATCTTGTTCCAAACATTTTTCATTACCTAAATTACAACAGCTGCAGCAGGAATATCCATGCACAACAGCTATTTCATAACAGAGCTTACAGTGACTTATCTGGTTTATATTTCACTTTGAAACGGAGAAAACAAAGAAGCGGAAGTCTTTGTGTGTATGAAACACAAATTAATGAGATTAGATACAAAGAGGACGGATATTTTTATGAACCGTTGGATTATATGTCCAACCCCCTCGCCTTCATCGAATTTTTGGAGTTAATCTAAACCATCGTAATCCTCCTCATCTCAGACTGCCCCAAACAATCAGCCTATCCAGTGAGATTACACATGAGATCTCGATCAAATTAATCCCATTGATTCGTGTAATGCCCTATCCCCGACCTCTGTGGTGTCAAATACTCCAGGACTATTCCCATAAATCTCCTCCTGTGGATACCAGACCACGACATCTGCCATTGAAACCTGCACAAACATCAATACTAAGCCTACGCAGACACTAACAGCAGACTATATTTAGAAGGCCAGCTCTGCTGTGAGGCCTGGGTCTCCTCTTCTTCGCTGTGCTTATAGAGATGTTTTTAAACAAGCTTTTCCCATACAAGACCCGATGATGAGGGATGAGAAAGCCTGGCCAATATGTAAGCCTGGAATGCATCACAATACCCTGGCACCGCCTTTCACAGCCTGTGTTTGGAAACAAACGCTGCATTTGAATTCCAATGGAGGCCAATAGTGTATTGCATTAAGGTGATTACCATTTGATGACAGTGTAAGTATCACTTTTTAAGTTTCTTTCAGTAGCGGCTCTGCATGCTGTCCCTCCAAACCCTGTGAGTTTAAATTAGGGTGGAAAAAAAGAGCACTAAATGTGTTCTGTGTTTCTGTGAGAGGAAAATGATCCACATTATCCTCATTGGAGAATGATGAACTGTATTATGCAGGACTCTCACTGTGTAAATATGCTACTTCTGTCCTTTGTAAAAACAACAGCAGCTGTTATTTCTTCAGCAAATGCTTACCTTGACATTTTCTAACACTGCAATTTGAGTCCGAGGCAGGAGAGAAAAAAAACACTGTTCTCTTCTCATCTCAAACAGTTGACAGAGGTATAATTAGAAGAGAGAATCTGCACAAGTCTCATGCTTCAGGCTGAGATTTGAGTGATTTTTTTTCCAATAAAAGCCCAAAGTCTCATCAAGACATCGAGTTACTGTCAACACACCGCAGCTTAGATCTTATTGACGAAATGAGAGCCAGATACAAAGGGCACACAGCAAGATGCTGCCTCCTCTTTAACATTTCACACTCCATCAAGCCCATTAGCAGATTGGATTTCCCAGCTCATCGGTGCCACTGATTACTGATATATCATACTGCCAGTCAAACCCCTTTAATGACTCATCACCCGCCAGCCATTTGTCTCTTTTAATGTCAACTATACACAGCATTTGAGCTCATTACAAAGACATATAATTCATCACCTTACCACCGGGAGTTTTTTTCTTCCACTGACAAGACTAGTTTTGACCCCCCCAGATGTCTTATTTCTGGTTTGGGCAGCAGAATAACATATTTATTTAGCATCTGCATGTTTTTTTGCAGGTTGTCTCTGAGTAGATGTCCAAAACAAAATTTAAACAGGATATTTGATGAGCTAAATCTGGAAGATCTTATCAAACATCCACACTTTCCATAAATAATAGTTATATGTGGCAACAGAAAAAAATCTCAGGTATGCACTACAGGTGGAAAAACAGAAAAACAATCCTTTCACATCAACAGCAAAGCAGCACAGATGATATTTAGCCCAAACAAAGCATGAGTAATGAAGACGTGGCTGTTAAACTGCTCATTATTTTAGGCTAATTGGGTGCTTTCTTAGCCATTTAAATGAGCTCTCCCACAGCATTTACTGTTACTTAGACTCTGCACCCAGACTTTGTATTAATGCGATGCTAGATTAGTTATCACTTAGCTCTGATGACAAATATATTCCTCAAACTGGTGGAGCGAAATCAGGTCATAGATCGGCTCCCTAATCACCTGAACCCTGCGGAGAGAGAAGTAGCAGGGGTCCTGTAATGTAAAAAAAACACCCAGTGTGGGCTCGCCTCTACAGCCCTCATTCCATGATAAAAGAAGAGTAGCTGCTTAAGTGTTTGCTTAAAAGGGCAATCATGAAGTTCAGCAGAGAGCCTCATCACATCAGGCGAAAAAACAGAGGCACTGAAGGATGGAGGGTGGTGTTGTCAGCTGCTGTTTTTCAGAGGATCAAACACACAAAGATACACATAAAACCAAACTTAGTGTTTTTTAAGAGGAGGTAGTAAAAAATAGAGTTAATAAAACCTGCTGGTGTGGTTTGACAGTTGTTGAAAAATACATGCAGATGCTTTTAAGCGGAGGATTGTTTTACATTTAAACATCATATTATAAATCTCTCATGCTTTAAAAGTGCCCGTCTGTTAAATTATACTAATGTAGTCTGCCACAGAGGTTTTTTTAGAGGCTCTTAGCAGCAAGCGAGTGACACTTCAGAGAATAAACATCACACTTTAGAGAACATCGAAAGTCTGAAACACACTTTTCTAAAAAGGAATATATCTGTTGTCAAACACAGACAAGGCCCGGCAAAGCATAGTACCTTGATTTTGTCTTGCTTTTGTTGCCTGGTTCCCATGCGAGTATGTTTTTTTTGAGATTATGAGATTATTATAAAGATGATAGGAGCAACATGAGTCTCAGTGACAGCGTAAGTTTTCTGAGCAGCTAGCAGATGATTTTAGATAACCTCTGACGCGCCCCCTGTGAATAGCCTGCTTTCACATCACCTCGGCTGGTGTGGCACACTAAAACTGGCGTGCCCCGGCCGCGATTTCCCCTGGCATGAGGTGAATGACCTACAGTCTGTGAGGTGTTCGAGCCAGCGAAGAGGAGAGGAGAGGAGAGCCGAGGGCCACAGAGGCGAGAAAACCACTTGCGTAAGAAAAGAGAAGAAAGAGGTGTTCAGGTTGACCTGTCTGCTTCCGAGGCCACGACAGCACTGAAGCTCCGGGAGTCGCCAAAATAATCACATATACAACACTCAGACTGCCACAGAGACACAAAACCAGCACTGGACTCCTCAAAACGGAAGCCTTTTTTTCACCTCAGACCAGTCACTGCTCACATAATAATTATTTAAGCAGAACAGACAATGAACTCGGCCGCTTCTCATCCATTTTTCATTTTAAAATGAGTGGATCTAATCTCAGCGTGCTGTTAGAGTCCTAAATGACTTCCTGGGATGCTGCCAACTTTGGAGTTCTGCAAACTCAGGAATTTTCCACTGGTTAACTTCCTAATTAGGTGGCATTACTTCAGTGTTATTGCACTGCTCACTTCAATCAATGCACATTTCTATCATTTCTGCAGAACTGATGAGTTGTCTCATTCTTGTAGGTGGGGAATTTATCTTATGGATTATTCGTGCTTAAGCAGAGCATACTCTGTGTTAAGAAATGATAAGTTACTGACTGTTTTTGAGCCAATATGAGGGCGTTAAATTTAACATTTTCCACTTTTCAACCACCAAACTGACCAGTACTCACTACTAAGCTCCTTTAATGTCAACATGCATGTATCACTTGATAAAGCGGTCGAATTTGGACTAAAAACGAAGCACCGTGGAGCAAAGGCAGAAGGTTTTCTTGCCTCATAAACTACACATGGCTGCGAGCGTTTTCCCTGGAGGGAGCAGCGTGACATAAAATTGCTGAACTGCGGGCCAAAGAAAGCGATCAAATACACTCAAGAGCGCCGATGGGCTTGAAAAAAAAATGTGAGAAAATCCATCATACAAGAATCATCAAGCCCATACTAGCTAAAGATGCATGATGACAACAGTGAAAGAGTCAGTCACTGATGTGTTGCAACAGAGTGAAGAGGAGGAAGAGGAGGAGAAGGAGGAGGAGGAGGGAGTAAAAGGGAGAGCTGAGAGATCTTGGACACTTTGCTGCATAGTAGGAAGGAGAAAAGCAGGTGGGTGTTGGACGAGCTGCCGACTAGGAGGGTTTAGTAAAGTGGGAGTTTGTACTTGTGACCGTCTCCCGGCCACCTGTCTGCAGAAGTGCCTAGAGGAAAACCATAAACAAAAGCGCACGCCATTCAATGACAGTTTTCAAACTTTACTACAAATGACGAAAGCGCCCGCACACTAACAAACAAAAATATGAATGGGGATGACCAAGAGTGGATGTTCCTCGGCACTAGAGTCCTGTTCAATATCAAGGAGTTCTTGGAAGTTAAGCAACAAAAACCACTTAAGGAGATAAACCGACAGCATCATCAATCCTCTGTTAGTTTACCTCTCAGTCCAAACTTCACGTCCGTGTCCACTAAATCCACACAGCTGTTGCCAAACTACCTTCTATGACTCAAATTGAGCCGAATAGAAACTGCATCTTGTCCAGCTCTTACGTGGGACCCTTTATGAGGTTTATGTAGACCCACAACAAACCTCGCACATCAGTGACACTTTTACTCCTCTTCTCAGGGGGGAAAGATGAGGAAACCAGATAGTAGCAGAGATTTTTTTTTCTCCTCTTTCTCCCCGGCTGCCACATCAGAAATTGTCAAATGCCAAAGCGGTAAGCACTTCCAGGACTTTAGAGGTCATTTTGGCTGAAGCCAACTCTCTCTATCTGTAACCTGAATACTTTCACCAGATGGAAAACACAATCTGTTCAAACTCCCCCAAAGGGATTTGGCAAGACAGTGAGTTCACAGCACACGCACACACAACCACAAAAAAAAAGATAATTATGACAAGAAGTTTAATCTGCTTTTGCCAATAATTTAAGTATACGGACAGTTTTACACCCTGAGCTACAAGACAGCAGCCAATTCAATAATGTGAGCATAATTTCTTAGCTTGACTGTACTCTGCTCTCTCTCCCCTCCTCCACTTTGTTTTAGTGGCCGTGTGAACAGCCGGTGGAAAATAAAGACTATTTGTGCAGTGACAAACACCAACCAGAAAAGGGAGCAGAAGTCTTAAAGAAAAATCAAAGTGCAGATTTCCTTTGTTTGACCAGCAGCTCAGGCTTTAATGCTAACTCACAGCAGGCAGAAAACGTGATCCCATTTTTCAGAATTAGAGTGCAAGCAGGAACTTTTCAACAAGAACTTGAGCCCAAACTTTTCAAGTCTCGACAAAAAGCATTCAGTGTCATCCTTCTTTATTTTCAGTCTTACACTCTCCCCGAACTGGGTTTTCTTAAGCGACCTCTGTGTGAGCCTGAAATGTTCCAAACTATGTCTCTCAGTCCAAAACAAACACACAGATTGTTTCCTAAAGCCTTTTAAAAACTACATTAAGGGTTGTCATCCTCTCCAAACGCGTCTCTCCGCCCGATCTCTGCAAAGCTCCACAAACAGATTCGTGGCATGTCTCTACCTCCACATAAAAAAGGTGAATCACACACACACAGCGAGAAAAGAAAAAAAAGAGGAAAAAATCTTACCAGCTTTACAGGGATCCTTGTAGTCGATCGTCTCTGATGTGGCAGTGGGGTCCACATAGTAGCCCGGATCAATCGCCTCCAAATCGATCGCCAATATCACGCCGAGACAGGATAGAAGAAGCAAACATCTCGCCGTGAGATCCATTATTGTGGTGGGGGAGACGGCGAAAGACGAGGGATAAAAGGTAAAGGAAGAGAGAGGGACAGAGGGAAAGAGAGAGAAGAGTGAGTGAGTGAGTGAGTGAGAGAGAGAGAGAGAGAGAGAGAGAGAGAGAGAGAGAGAGAGAGAGAAAATGGGAGGTTTTTGGGGGAAACGAGATCCCTCCAGAGGGCGGGTTTTAATTCCAGCCTCTCCGGTGTCTCGTGTGCACTGGGGGCAGTGATTTCTCTCCTCCAGCCGCCGGAGCCCCGGGCTCGTGTAGAGGACCCACGGACAAACTTTGATGATATGGCAGACCTGCAGGGGCGGTGAAGGGGCTTTTTTGGTCCCTGTGCGTTTTATTGTTTCTTTGAGAAACTATTGTGTGGCTCACTTGGTGTTATTTCTTATCAAATAATCATGTCATAGTGGTTAGATTTTCTTATATGTTTAAGTCAGGCCATAGAGTTTTTATTTTAAATCTACCAAACCAAAGAAAAGACACCAGATTCAACTCCAGGGGACCAGAAACTTCATTGTGAAAAAGTGTCTCAGCTGTGTCTTTAAAAATGTGTGGTTTCTGTAAAGTAAAACTCTTTTTTTTCAACCATGGGTCTAATTTTCACACTAGCGCACGAGGAAGCCTAGCATAATCCCCAGCTATTTTACGCACGATTTTTCACACGTGCGCACCCAATTCCAACCATCCAGTTGTGATGTCACACGCACGCAAGCGCGTGTGTTCGAATAATTACAGATCAACCGATTGAGCTTGACTTTAGGCGCTGCTCGAGTAATAGCTCAACAAGTAAGCGTCAGTTTATAATGGTTAGTGCGCCACCTGTTGGTTATAAAGGAATAAATAAGTGGAGATGTGAAAACTGTGAGGAGAGGGGCTTCTCATGGTTTCCAAAGAAATGGTTAAAATGTTTATTAATACACAAAGGTGGCCTATCAATCAATCAATCAGTCAGTGTTCATTTATATTGCACTTTTCATGCACAACCATGTAACACAAAGTGCTTTACACAGAAAAAGGAATAAAAGAAACAAAGAATAGTTCATTCATATATACAGTTTTGTTTCAAAGTCCTTTTAGAATAATACCTACTGCTTATTAGCTGTGTGCTCCTGGGCCATTGATTTTACATTTCCAAAGATCTAAATAACACTGTGCTCCTCATACAATCGGATTTGGAGAATGGAACAATTAAATGACCAGTGCTAACCTGCCGAGTGATATGTTGATGACAGTAGCCACTGTACACCAACTTGTCCTCAAAGTAAGTTGGATACATTTTATGCATATGGCAAAGAATGTTTATATTTAGCTTGTTCTGTACCTTTAACCACCGTAAGGCGGTGTGCATCTCATTCACATTCATTCACAGTCCTAGACTAGAGGACTGAGCAGTACTCCAGGTGTGACAAAACCAGGGACTGGATCACTGTTTTCATGACCAAGGGTGGACGGTATGGTGAACACCTTCGAGCCAAAGCGACACCTCTGCCCATCTTGGACAAGTTCCTGTTCAATGCCTCCACATGCTGGATAGTGTGTATCATGGTGCTCCCAGGTTTACTACAAACTGTGGAGCTCTAACTCATCATTATGTCTTATACAGTAAAGAAAATTGGCCATCTCTACATGTGCGCTGGCTCGGCTATTAGTATGTTTTGATTTATAAGGCTATTCTTCAGATGACTCCATCTTATTTATCATCCCTTTTAATCTTGAATAATAGGGCCTACAGTCTCCACTCTCAAGACTTAAATCATTTTACTGTTCCTGAGGTCAGAACAGAAATGGAGAGGAAAGCTTTTAGATTTTCTGCTCTGGGTACATGGAACATCTTGCAATCAGATCTGAAACTCCACAGTCTGATATCTCTGAATGTACTCAAATCCATGATAAACTCCATTACATCCAGGCTTCAGGAGTGCAAATGTTGGACCAATCTTGTAAATTCTTTGTACTAATTTTGAAAATTCAACTATGCTTTGTATTCTATATGATTAATGTGATTATGTATTGAAACCACATGTGCTGCCATTCTTGGCCAGGTCTCTCTTGCAAAAGAGATCTTGGATATCAGTGGGACAAACCTGGTTAAATAAAAGTTTATAATAATTATTGTTTTTCATCCCTAAAAAAAATCCTTCAGTCTGCCTGAACCTTTAGACCAACCTAAACCATAAACCCCTCCAGTCAACATTTGACACAAGAATATACTCCCAAATTGTATATTTTATGCACAAAAAGAAAATTGGAAATGAGTCTACAGCAATGTAGTGAGGAAAAACAGAAATGTTAATCCAGATAAATGAATCAATATGTCGAGTGAAAAAAAAAATAGCAAATTGATCTAACTACCACAAAAATTGAAGCTCTTGCTTACACTTTGTGATTAGTGCTGAAATAGTGATTTAAATCATTATAGTAGATACCTGACAGTGTGATTAGTTCTCGTATGAGGACAATTAACTTGTAAGGACAGTAAGAAAATCTAAAATAATGGATAAAACAAACAAAAAAATTAGTGAAACTGTAAAAGTAATGAGAGTTTCTGCCGGATTCTCTTCAAACGAATCATAATAAAACCGGCAATGAATAATTACCAAGGAAAATTACCTGAATCACATTTTCTTGCAACCTAAACTTTCATTACTATAAGTATTACAAAGTTTGTACCCAGTACAGATTGGTGTTACAGCTTGAAGTCCTATTTTGGTTCAATTTCATCAAATAAATCTAATTCAAGCAGAGAGAATTACCCAGCAAATGTTTAATGAGGCTGTTTCTTTTCATTGTTTCACCATTGCCAGACTCTCACACTGTATTTGGTGGATTTGATAGTATGAACTCAGGTGTTCTCAGGTGTGCCGATGATGATGATGCTTGGAGGTTCTGTCGGCAGCTCTGCTGTTGTTTGTCTGACAGGCATCAGTTATCCCACCCCTGCCTATCACATACAAAGCCTGGTTTATACAAGAAGGAGGAGACACACTCATCTCTTTATCTCATCTGACCACTGCCTATTTGTGGAATTTAAAACAGGATGTCTGCTGAGATGAGTGGGCTGTATTTATGCTGCTGCTGCTGTAAACACAGCAGTGTAACAATGAGGCATGCATTAGAGTACGAATCCTCATCATTTTTTGAATAGGAGGAGTTTTATTGCTTGCTTAAGCAATTACTAAACAAACAGGAACAAATATTTACTTTAGTAAACAGTTAAGAGTCAGGAGACAAATATTTTTTTCTCTGTAGCCATAACAAATTAAAAGTCTGTTGACAGCGAGGGAATGATCAAGTGCAGATGTGAAATTCATGGGATGTCAAATACTGTTCAACATAAATAAAGATAAGCTTGACCTTTTCATGTTCAGCAGCTTATTCAGTTCATAGAGTTCACTGTTCAGGACCAGCAGTGCACCCTCGCTTAGCTCTGAAACATACAGCAGCTTCTAAAATCAAAAGGTAATGACAAAAGCTGGCACTTAATTAGCATGAAAATGAAGCTTTTACCGTTACATGTAATATGGTTCTGTCATCTTTTCTTGTTAAAGAAGATTGCCTCACCAAAGGTAATTATTACAGTGAAATTCTTTCATGGTGTGAATTTAATACAGTGATAAACATTCAAATTAAGTCATCTCACAACATGGAGATATCCATTTATGACATCCAAATGCTCAACAAACAATCCGACATTCCAGTTAATTACACTTGTGTAGACCTTTGATTAATGAGATGCTAAACCTCTTGTTAGTTGAAGCTTTCGGGGGGGTGTACAGTGTAATCATCCCAGTCTGGGGTTGTAGTTTATCTTCACACAATATAATTTCTCCTCAGAAGATAACATGTTTCTCAAAAAAATTATAGTTGTAAATAAAGAATGCAGACTTTAGCATGACTACAAACACCGCAGAATTATAAGAGTCTGCGCCATTCGTTTGCGCACGGAGGTTAAGTATCTCAGCAGCTCAGTCACAGCCCGGGGAGACCGCCTGGCCTTTTCCAATCCTCTCTGGAGAGCAGGAGGCAGGTGTTCTGCATGTTGTGGGGTGGTGTGTTCATCATGGTAGGGAGGGAGCAGTCTCATCAGCAGGCTGCAGCTCCCAGATGCCTCTGGCATGGCACCACTTAATATCAGATGTTCCACCACATTGAAAATCCATGAGATTTTCACTGCTGCAAAAGGGCACACAGAAAGCGATGAATCCACAGTCTTAAGAAGGAGTGACATTTACTCTTTATACACAAGAATGACTTGAAGTGCACACAGCATCTCCAGAAATAATGAGGATATTTTCAGCTGTAGCACATGTACAACACAGCTTACGTGCAGCTCTTTTTTTCACACAGTCTTCTATTCAGATTGCAAAATTAATACTTGGCTGAGAAAGATACTTGAACTTTACAGTCCCAGCAGGTCTTAGCCAAATATGTAACAAGATTGTGCATAAAATGTAAATAACTAGTTCTTAACATTTGTCCATTTTTATGAAAATGGTGCAAAATTCATTCCAAATTGTTAATGGAAATGAATCAGTTGGTTTTCAAAGCACTGGAAATCCTTATCAAACCAAAAAAGAACAAAAAAAAAAATACATAAAACACAAAAATTTGGTTACTTAAAAAATAATATGGCGTCTTTGAATTTGATACCAGCAACATGTTCAGAAAAACTGGATCAACTGTTACACCGCCTGTTCTTTTGATAACACTCAGTCAGTGTTTAAAAACTGAGGAGACCAATTACTGCCATTTAAAAAGTTGTATGATGTTTGATTTTAATGCTTCAGGGTATCCTTGGGCGTATTTTTGTTATGTAACCAACCAAACTGTTTTATTGTTGATGAGTTTGTGCAGCAAGCAGGCCAGTTTGGCACATGGATCTACAACAAAGCCATGCTGTCACAACACCTACAGAAAATGGTTTGGCTTTGTCTATCTGAGGTAGCAAGACCTCCTTACAAGAGTGTATTCACTACTTTACGACGTGTGTTGCTCCAAAATCTGTATATAATGTTGTTGAGCACTAATAGGGCCTTTACAGACGTATGTTACCCATACCTGCTCTACCATCACAGGTGCTTTTACACTCTGCTCCTTTACCTTAAGGACACACTATCCATAATAACCAAACATAATTATGAATTCAGACTTATCAGACTCCACAGCACACTTAGCTGCCCAGCCTCGGTCCATTTTAAATGAGTTTGGACCCAGTTTCTTAATCTGGCTATTCATACAGTTGCCTCTTTGCATGGTTGAATTCAAACTCGCACATGAAGACGCAGCATTGAAATGTGTTTACAGGCTATGGGTGTTGGCAGTGTTTCTCAGCGGGGTTTATTACAGAATTGTGCCTGTGCTCCAAAACCTATTTATTTGATAACTTGTTGTCAGTCAGCCTTATAAAAAGGAAGTGTTTTGATAAAATGTTTTCTTTTAGCAATGAAAAAAGTTTCTTTCACTTTCACTATTCAGACTTTTTTTTGACTTGTTGCTGGAGTCAAACTCAGTATGCATATACTTGCTTTTTTAAAGACAGGGGAAATTTCTCAGTCTAAACACTTGAAAAGTTGTTTTTAGGCTTTTTAAATGAAATTCAGGGTTCTGTATTTTGCAAATTATCATTTAATGTATTTAGTCAGATTTTACACAATGCCCCATTAGACAATATCTACAATCAAAGTTCCTGCTAAGAAAGAGACCTCATCATTGAGGATGTTTGTATTCATTTATATGCTTGACAAGTATGTTCGCTAAACCAAAAATTAACCTCATTAGAGAACAATCATCGCAGGTTTGGTATTTATTTAGTCTTTATCCACATAAAAAAATAAGTTTTGATATTCCTTCATATTTCGTGGCATGTTGGTTGCCACTGCACCTTAGACTTTTATGAGCTATCTAAAAAGATATATTTTCTAAGGCTGTGTGACCAGAGTAACGAATCAATAAATTAATCAAATAAGGAGCTGTAGTAACAGTGTGCAAACACATGAAGCTGATGTACGATTAAATGAGACACACCTTTGGCTCACTCGTTTGAGCCTGCGCCACATCACCGGCTTGGGCGAGCGATCCCACTCTACTGGGCTGAGCTCCTCTGAGAGTAACTGTTATCGATGTCGGGGCTTTCTGCCCTACTGACACACAAACAAAACCACTCAGGACTAATAATTACACCAGAACTCCAGAAAATACACTACAGTGGCATTCTCGGTATTTGGCTCATGCACAAAAGTTGTCAAATTGGGCCGTCAGAGTTACTTTTTGCTTTGTGTGTGTGGGAGGTGAGCATATTAAAACCACAGTGCAGTGTCGGACAATGAACAAGATGAAGAATTAAATCAAGATTGGAGCTAAAGTCAAGACAGAGGAGTGAAAAATACAACTGATTTGCATAAAATAACAACAAAACAACAGCAATGAAAACATGAGTTTAATTCCAGTTTTATTGTTACAACAGGAACAAAACTTGAGTAATGCTACGTGCCAATTCTCATTGTTTCTCCAAAAGATGTCAGCATAAATTAGTGGACTTTAAAGAGCAGGTGATTGAATGGACAAATTTGTAAAATGAAGGGAGAAAGGTAAGTATATAAAATGACCAAAGACAAACAAATCTGACATACAAGCATTATCTTCGATTACACTTCTGGGTTTCTTGTAGAATTTGGTCAAATGCAACAATATCGGGTTTTCCTTCAATCTTCCTCTGCATGAAATGGTCTCATACACATTTATATTCAACATTTGCATTCAGTCCATGTAGACAGCGGTGAGCATGAACTTGAAACTCAAGCCGATTTCTCTTTGGCTCTCCATGAACATGAAATCACAACGTATCATGTGAAGCCCTTGAATGCCGTATAGCTGCACATCTGACTCAGTCACTTCTCTCTGACAAGCTATCTACATGAGTCGACTGAGCTGCCCTCAACAGTCCTCTGCTGCTCTAACCCTCCAGGGCCTACAAACATCCCAAACTACTGCTTTCAAAACAAAAGATGAATGAACCCTGGGCTTTCAACGTGGCCGTCGTGTTTTGGCAGTTTGAGACATACCGGCGGTCTGATTGGTGATGTGTGCCAAGCCAGGCAAGCTGCTGGCAAGTTTGGCCAGTCCGCCATTGGTGAGCAGCTGGTGGATGGCGGTGGTTTTAGCCACTCCTCCTGTGGTGACCACAGGCACCGCCCGAAGCAGAGTGCTGCTGCTGGAACCGACCGAGCCCAGAACTTGACCCTGAGGTTTTCCACAGACAGCCTGAGGGAGGAGAAGATTTAACACAGCATAAAGACTCGGTAAGTGTGCGTTCAGGTCTGAAAAACAAGTTTGTTTCATCAAGAAGTTTTTGAGACAACCTGTAGATTTACTAGCAAATGTGTAGATGTTTAATTAGGTAGACCACAGTGAAGCCTGAATGCTCTGTTAAAGGGATATTCTGGCATAAAATTAATTTAGGGTCAAACACACGCAACATCGAATTAGACACCCCCTCGAGAGATGAACATTGCCAACTGCTTGCTTCTCTCGTTATACTAACTTCAGTAATGGACTACAGCGGGGTGACACAGCTCAAGGAAGAACATTTATGATCATTTCTTCATGGAAATACAATCACACTGAGACGCTTAGGCAGAAGAACTACCGTGTCTGCAGTGCAAAAATGATTAATATGGTGATTATCACTTCAAGGAAATGATAAAGAAATGATCATAAATGTTCTTCCTTGAGCTGTGTCACCCCGCTGCAGTCCGTAATGGACTGGCCCGAGGTCTCACTACCAACAAGCATCTGCTGGAAGAGAGTAGGTGAGTTGCGTTTATTCTCTTTGCTAAAGAAATTAGGCAACGCTAAAAAGATGTTTGGTGGCTAGGACCCTATATGTACTGTTGATGAAGTTAGGTGCTGTTCTGAGCATTATTTGTGGCTATAGAGTGGCTTTTTGGTTGAGGTTTGTTTATGGCTCCTCAGACTGCTGTGTATTGCTATCATGTGGTCGTTACTAAAGTTGGTATAACTAGAGAAGGTAGCGGTCGGCAACATTCATCTCTCGAGGGGGTGTCTAACTCGGTGTTACAGTGTGTTTGACCCTAAATTAATTGTACGACGAAATATCCCTTCAATATTCATATGAATGAGTCAAGGGGTAAAAGTAATTATAAGCACTGACTCCTCGCTGTAAATCAACACAATCAAAACAAAAACACTCTGACCTCAATTACATATCTTTAGACTTGGCTACGTAACACATGCACTGTAAATTCTAAGTTGTTAAAATGTGGAGATAAATGATAAGATAGGTCAGGAGGCTACACTACAAAATCTAGAAACTACCACCTTCACTCAATCGTTGTGGATCCCTGAACCTAACCTTGGTTGACCTTGTAAAACTGAAACTGAACATGCTTTTGATCAAAGAGGGAAAACTGAATTCTGCGGCTGTCAAAAGTGACTTATTTAGTCTAGACGCTGTGTTTATTCATTGTTCCTATGATGTGTCAGTTTACTTTAACAATCTTCAGGCCAAAATGGGTGTTTTCTTAAATGTTTTATCTCCACTGAGAGCCAAGCAATTCTGCGAGCTCAATCTTATTTACTCTGGCAGATGTGTCTGTTCACTTCCAGTAAGGTTTCTATCCAGTCTAACAGAGGTACAGCCAGTCAATACGGGTTTTTATGAAGGACAGTTCAAGCACAGTCAAGACTCACACGGAAGTTTTGATTTAAACCTGATATTGATTCAGTTTATAAAATTGTTCAGACTCTGTAGCACCACTTCCAGAGGCACTTTTGTCTGCACATACATCACAAATACATGTTATTCTTCAATTGTTTTTGAATGTTTTATGCTTTGTAACCCTGTGTGTGAGAGGTACCTGGGTGCTGCCTGTGTTTGCTGCAGTGGACGACAGGCTAGCTTTGGTAACGATCTCCTGTAGACTGAAACTTAGACCTTGAAGCAGACTGCTGGCGGAAGCTGCAGCACACAAAAAATGAAAAATGTCAGTGAATCAAGGAGGTGAAAAATCAGGGAAAATCAATGCCAAATAAACTTCTACTCCTAACCAGTCCCCAGAGCCTAGTCTAGATGAACACACACACAAACACACACCATATGAAAGTCGTGTCCAAAGGGCAAGGTTTAGGACAGGACAGACAGCAATGGCGCAAGAGGTGATCAATGATGATGTTTGCTTGGATATGTTGTCCTCACACACTGTTCTCATCCAGCGGTACAAACTTTAAACTGTCTCTATAAAGCGGTTGGAGCTGCACTGTGTGCTGAAGCGACTGCGCTGAGATAAGCTGCACAGTTGAGACTGCATACAGCGTGCCAGGCAGGACAGGACAGAGATACCTTGGGCGGTAGCTGGAGCTTGCACCTGGGCTGGTGTGGAGGACCCTGACACCATGCAAGGCTGCACGCTGCTGCTGAATGAGCTGGAGCCTGGAGACAGGGCACCAGACACCTCTGAGACACTACCAGACCTGCAGTGACACACATAACCACCAATCTACTCAGGAGCTACCCCAGCAAGTGCTGTTTGGCCATCATTCAGCTCCTCTGAGCCCACCACTCATCAATCCCTCTGCACCAGACACACTCAGTACAACGGGGTGGGGAGTGGGCATGGGTATAGGCAGGATTAGGGATTCAAATGCTCTATACTGATTGTGCCTATGTGTAGAGATACAGGCTAGCTTACCGCTGGCCTGTTAGAAGTCCAGAGAGCTCCTTGGCCCCGGCAACAGTCACTGTTAAGGGCTTCCCAGAGACACCCACTGCATGAAAAAGAGAGTCAAATTATCGAATTATCTAATTATCATTCATTGAACCTGGATAATGAAGAAAATCTGAGCATGATATTTACAAAAATGCTGTAACCATCACCAAGCAAACAGACACTCATGCATTACAGGCGTGCAATAACATAATAATGTGTTTGATTCAAAATTAATTTTTACTTTCCATATAGAAAAACTTTACTGTAACAGGACTCGACAGTGCGACTGTTTCACTTGCATTCACGACTAAAAATACATGTGTGCGAATTCTAAAATTAATTTAGGGGCACATGTGCGCATAAAAAAAAATCAGTCGAGGCAACAAATGTTTTTTAATGTAAATACCACGGTGAAGTTAGTTTTAGGTTGGATATCCGACGGACATGCACTGCGGATCTACCGGTGTTTTTTCACACCCCATAACGGGGAAAAGCAACAGCAGCGCGGTTAAATCTGCTCCGCATCCTCGCTGTCAACGTTGGGTGTTGAATAAGGGACCATCAATAAATTACAAGTTGAAGTTCCCAAAAAAAAGGTGTTTTGCTTTAAAAGCTTCTATGTCATGTGACCAATTGACATAAAATTGATTTTAAATAATAGTAATTAGGTCAGACAATAAGACACACATTTTTATTTCCCTAATTTGTCCTCTAAAAAATTTTGTGTTAAATTTAAAGGCACATTTTGAAAATTTTCTTTAATAGCTTCAATGTCATGTGACCACAATACCTAAAATTGATTTCAAATAATAGTCAACCAATAAGATACACATTATTTGATCAATTTTTATTGTGCCCCTAAACTTCTTTGTGTGCTCCTAACTTTTTCAACTTTGGAGCACGTGTTCCTTGTGAAAAAAGTTAGTGTCAAGCCCTGTGTCAGCATAAACACGTTTCTGTAAATTCTTAATCAGTCCCAGATTTTTTCATAAATCCACCAAAGTGCTCAACAATTCAGTTTCTTTTTTTCTAGAGTCGCACCTTCTTGTGCAGCAGGGCTTATGGCGCCCCCTGCTGGCTCGCTTTGGGAAACAATGGTGACCTTGATCTTAGCTCGCTTTGAGGCTTTACTGGGTACAGGACTTGGGGTCTGCCTCCTCTTGCCATGGGACCTCAGTTCATCTCTGTCCAGGTTGTCCATTTGGTCACTTGTTACTGGCACTGCACAACACAAACAAAACAAAGTCAATCATTAATCTGCTGAAGTGACTCAAACTGGCCTGTTTAATGCTTTTGTATCACCAACAGAGAAGTCTTAATCCCTCATGTTTGTGCGAGTTTTACCCACTGTGCTCAAAAGCTTGTTTTGAAAAGGGCTCTGGATATGAAAACTTCTATTCTAAGGTAAAGAGACATAACATTGACAGAGCAGTGCAATATATCAGAGTGTCGATATCTATACAAGATTAGGGAAAGTGGAAAAAAGAAAAGAGGGGAAAAAAAGAGAAACAGTGGAAAGAGATAGAAGAGGGATAGACACTTACCAAAAATACAAGGAGGGGTGCCAGGAGGAAGATTTTTCCTCACCAGCATGTTTTGTTTCATAAAAGCAGCAAACTGAGCTGGAATGAATTTGAAAAACAGAGTCGGAAAGGAAAGTTGTAGAAGATAAAAGACAGAATATGAGAGGAAGAGTATTTCAGTCACGTTCCATCTCGCCCCATCACTGTAACATCTCATGTACCATCATGCCTGCTCAGCTGGCACAGAGGCTGAGGTGAACGCTCTTTAGAAAAGGTTTATATAAACAAGTGGGGCGAATGTGAGTGCTGAGTGCCCACAAGGATCACTGCACATGTTGGTGAGTGTGAATAAGTGGGTTCAGTATTTTTAATCGACCAGTTTAGTGCGAGTGGGAACTTACCCTGAGCCTGCTTGTGAGAGAGGACTGTGCCCGAGCGCTGCATGTGTGTCTTGAGGAGTTGTGTGGCTGTGATGAGACTGGACTTCTGTGCTGGAGACAGACCAGATGTCTTGGGTTTGGGACTTGAAGTGGGACTGCTGCAGACACTAGACAAATCCTGAGGACAGAGGAAAGAGGGCACAACACCAGATAATGAATCATAGGAGTTTGTTACTAAATACAAAGACAATGTCAACACATTGTTTAAATGCTTGATTTGAATATGGATGGCATTGGCTCCAAATTGGTCTTTTTAAAATATTACAGATACAAAGATTCACTGACCACATTTAAACAGGCCTGATTTCAAAGTTGTGATCTGGTTTAGTGAGGTTTTTCTGCGTTGGCTGGCTTTCGGAGAAAAAATTATATTTGAGATTGGAGAAATGATGTAAAGTCTCCCCCTTAAGAAAAGTGATATTAAGTCTACCTGTCTGCACACTTTCAAGGCTGTGAGACAGATTTCTCCTGACAGGACGACTGTATGAAAACTGTGCTGTGATGCTAGCAAGCAGGAGCACAAGTAGCAGCAAAGTCTACAGTTACCAGGACACCAGTGAACTGTACTTTTATTTTTTTTTATGAAGGTTGAAATGGCTTTGTGACATAATTCATACATCCAATCTGATTCAGAAGGCGCCAAAAAGACAGCATGAAAGTAATTGCTCTGATTTTAAGAATCATCTCCGTCACAAAAGGGAACAAGTTCTTTCAAATGAAGAGAAAATGGTGATAATAACAAATGCTGTCATGTTGTGTTCAAACCCTGTATGGGAATCACAGAGAAACACGACAAACATGACTAAATGAGCTGTAATATAAAGTGTCTGTTTCCAACTATTATTACAGTTTCATTGACTTTAAATGTTAACCTTGGGGTAATGTATACTTTGTTTAAAATGCTATGAAGCTTCACAAAGTCAATCGTGTACATGAAGAGAAAAGCCAAGACTTCTGTGTGGCTACACTATTGTCGGTAAATTTGTCACATTTTTTTTTTATTTCTGGTCATGCTGAGACAACAGGGCACAAAGAGATGGGATTCTTCCAAAACAATGGTCTATTATTTCATGTACACTAAAATTTTTTTATAAAATTAGAAATATCATCTCGATTGTTCTCATAATTAAGTTAGAAATGAGAAGAAGTACTGGTGGATCATATCAGTGTGCGAAAGTGAAAGCTACTTACAACCCTTAAATAACTGGACTTCACTGTTAGCTAAGGTAAGAGAGTAAGTCAGGTTTATCTGCTCACCATCTTTGAAAAACAAGCATAACAAAGGACATGATGGTAATAACAAACAAATGTATAAAAGCATGCTTAGATAAGACATAGATCAAACAAAGACAAGTCTGACCTCTGAACCTGATGGTGAGATAGGAACCCTAAGTGCAGGAGAAGAGGGTCGTCCTCGCTCCATGTCAAAGGGAAGCTCCCTTCGAGGCCTTTTCTTCTTCTCTGTGTCCATGTCCCTCATCTCCCCTGAGCCGTGGCTGTGGCCCTCCGCCCGTGTGAGCACGCCTGACAGGAAATCCGCGATCTCATCCTGCAGATTAATGATCAGAGAAGAAACAAACGTGAGTATTGCTGTTCATGATCTCAGTGTTTACCAAAAGTAAACATTCTTGATACAAAAGACCGACCTGAACGCAGCGGTCTACCATGGTCTGTGTCAGCCCCTCAGACTTCATTTTTGCTGAGTTAATTCTGTGACAGGAAATCAATAAATGTGAGCACAACTGAAGGACATCAAATCTTCACTCCAGACACTAACAGGGATACTTGCATCCTACAGCTGAAGTTTAGAGCCTGGGACTGACCTTAGGTTATCGTCTGCTCCTCCTACCACCACCATGCTGTTGTCTGCCCTCAGCCTCTCCCTGAACTCTTCCATGCCTTCAGTGCTGCACTGAAGAGCGTTCTGGCCAACCACAAACAGGACTGGGGTCTTCATGTCCAGCAGAGGGTCATCCACATCCTGCAAACCAAAGACACATTAATCTACCTTTGCAAAGACTGAAGGAAGCCAGTTAGTGCTCTCAGAAAGAAAAAATAATAGTAAACATGGATAAGAAAACACATTATTGGTAGATGATGCTTTCATTCTTACCCCTCTTGGCCCATTGACTGTCAAAAGAGGAAAGCCCAGACACACCACCGCTGTAAGATACTCCATAAGGGATACCTGAGATAAAAAAACTGAATTTAATAAACTGCTGCAGCTGTAGAAACACAATAAAAACACATGCATTTGCCTTTCTGTCAGTGATATATGACTTACATGACAAGCAATGAGCGCGCCTGTGTTCCAGCCAACCAGGATGATGGGTTTGTGGGGGAAGTGACTGTGGACCTAGTGGTTTGGATTTATGACACTATTAAATCACACAAAACAACTTCATTTGGGTTCAGTTTTCCTGTGGCCTCTTTATTTTTGTCCTTAAGATCACTTATGGCTGTGGTCAAATTTGACTGCACTAAAATGTGTTTGTTAGTATGAACAACAAATATTTTATGACACGGCTGGGCTCAGAAATTTAGAGAAGACACTACCACCACCACTACTACTACTACTTTTTGACCTCAGTAGGGCCACATTGTCAGGTCATCTTAAATATTGAATTCTTACTTTAACATATCATAGGATACTGTATATACAAAGCACAATTTCACACAGACACCAAAAAACATCACTATCACACTGCAAAAGCAGCCAAATAAGTGTTCAGGAAAACAACCATACCTCCATGACCTTTGCTCGGACAGTTCCCAACATGTGCTCTAAACACTGTGTGATGCCAATATTTGCTCCGCTGTTCACATGACTGTGCACTGGGATGACCTGATACAGAAACAGCTGTTATAGGCACTTTTCTGACATTTATAAAAACCCACATCTTAGAAAGAACAAACTGAGTGATACCTTTCCCAAGCAAGCGAGCTGAGACTGCCAGAATCTCATTCGCCGGGAAGTGGAGAGGGCTGGATTGGTGGGGCTTGAGGGTGCGATCAGGATGAGGGGAGATCCAGGAAGCTTGCTCTGAAACATTTTTTAAAATTAATTTAATCCCAACAGGACGAATTTAAAAACAAACAAGACAAAAACAACAAACAAACCTTCATAAAAAGATGTGGTCCAAACTGAGGCAAATCCAAGAACACTAACTTACATCTTGTACATGGGATGTCAATTTTTAATACTAATGGATCGTTGTGGCTGATTGTTGACGTACGCTTCCACTGTTAGTTATTATGTCTATTGTTGTATCGTGTGCCTCATTTCCCACAAGCCTTGCAGTAGACAGGACTGCAAATCAGCGATAGCTAGCACCATTATATACACTGCGCTGGTTGCTCTTTAAGAATAAGAATAAAAAGAACTTTATTAATCCCAGAAGGGACATTCAATTGTCTGTTGTCTCACTTGAGTTTACACAAGAGTTATAAAGCCTGATGGCTGTTGGTACAAAAGATCTGCCTAGATAAGATATAGATAAGATAATAAGATATAGCAATGCCTACAGGTGTTGTCTCTGTCAAATTAACTGATACATTTTTAAAAAGTTTGCAATTATATATGATTTTTCACAGAGCCTCTTGCATGCCCTAAGGATAACAGACACACACATAGATGTCCTCTTATATGTCCTCCTTTAACTGCATTGACAGCAGAGTATTCTTCTTCTGCTGTTTATTATTTGTTAAAACTACCAATGTCATTTGGTCCAACATCTATAAGGATCACTTTTACAAGGAAAGGACAATCCTCTACTACTGAGCTCACCTGTTGTGAAAACTAAGTCACGAGGACAAAATTAAACTTTCAAAGAGAGGATCATTTTTACCGGTTTGTTCTGAGATAGGACTCCAACGGCGGGGTCCCAGGGCCGTTTCAGTAGCAGTGACAGGGCCTCTGCACTTGGAGTGCCAGTCTTAGCTGTTGTCAGCAACATTCTGTCAATCAGCAAAGGCAACTTCGGAGACACAAGGAAAAACAGAGATGAGTCAAGGATCCTGGATGATGTAGATAGTGGAGCAGATGTCTAACCCAGGGAACACAGAGTACATATCCAACCTTGCTTTTGAGAGTCTGCAACACATCCAGGTAAGCAGCTAGCATGGCGAGGCTCAAGGATTCGATCATAGTGGTGTGTAACCACTGTGTCAGTTTGGTGTCCCAGTTCACACTAGCCAATGCATGCCGCACCTTCCTCGCACACTTGTCCACTGCTATTCTCCGCAAGATTGGCTCATTGGAGGCCTAAGAGAAGCAAAATCAAATCAGTGACGTCCTGGTAGAGTTATTCATATCATTCACTAACAACCTAATCGAGAATTACTGATGAGTGTGAAGGAATAAGCAACACCTACATTTTCATTGGCCAAGCGGGCGAGTCTTTCAGCCTGCAGAGCTTTGAGCACCTTATTGAACAGTTTGTTCTGAGCCACTGACCATCCAGCCCTGAAACAAAATCATTTTAAAGTCAAAACAACACACTCTTGATGAAATATTTTTGCAAAGTAAGAAAATAAAGTAACACAGCATCGGAACAAAAGTGGACTGTAAAGAAGATGCTTTTGGGCATTTACTTGTTTATATGTTCCTCCCAGTCATCTGGTGGAGGAGGGCTCTCAGCAATTGTGCGAGCAAACAGGACATGCCGCTCACACTCCTTCATCACACTCAGAGCTTTATGGTTGTCGTACAGAGGAATGGGTGTCGGAGTAACTGTTTCCACATCTATAGCGGACTCAGAGTCTCTACAGATGAAGAAAGAAGATCAAGTTACACCAAGATAAATACATTTTATGGTTCAAACTTTACACAATGAAATAAGTATAAAATCAACATTCACTCACGAAGAGGGTTCAGGCTGACGACGAGGGGTAACAAACAGTGTCCTTGTGGTTCGGGCGCTGCTGGCATCTGGGTGGGCGTTCCAAGGTTTGGCATAACTGTGATCCAAAAATACCAAATCCAGCTCTCTTTCATGAGCGGACAGCTGGAAAAGCAAGGATGTGCCCATCTTTCGTGCAGATATCTGGAGGTCCTTGTCCCCACCTCGATGCATACTCTTCCTGGGCCCCAAAGGGCCCTGAAATAGGCTCAGACACTCTTATAGACGTTGACCAAACTGATGAAGAGGAACATAAAGAAACACTCACATTTTACATAACAGACCAGCTGAGTAGTTGGGACATATTTTTATGATAAAAAAAACAGTTGTTCTTGACAAGTAATTGAGTTATTCCAGCTTTTTTTTTTTTTTGTTTATACAAATTCGCTTTCAGAAATACGCACACAACAACAAAGCAACAACAATATATTCCACGATTCCCCAAATGTCAGTGTAATATTGGTTAAAAGCATAATTACTGCTGTGTTAAAATGCTTGAAAACGCTTTTCTGGTCCGAGTTTGATCAGTGGGTCTTCCTGTCTACGTGAAGAGCAGTAGCCTACAGTATATTTATAGTACAAAGTATACTGTACTGCGCAGTATACATATATATTTTAAAACGTCATAATTAAAAAAAAAAAAATCGGCCAATTAATCGGTAATCGGACCCCCCCCCCCCCGATAACCGGTATCGGCATCGGTCCCAAAAAATCCATATCGGTCGGGCCCTAATACACACACATACACTCACACACACTTATTGCAAAAGCACTTTTTAACATAACAACTGACAGAGGTATTAATATGTAAATTGATTTATTTCAGGCGTACTGTTGCAGCCTCATCATAATCTGACGTTTTGACACATTTGTGCATTGTACTGTCAGCTCGGACAATTACTGCCGTGTAAATAAAATGTAAAATACTCATCCCTGTACTAAGGAACACTGTTCGCTACTATGCAATATTTCAATAGCCCGGTCATTGTTTAATATTACTTAAAGTCAGTAATTAAAATCTCTTTCCCATACTCGCAAATCTACACATGAATTTGTTCAATGTTCATAAATTAAGTGTATGGGTGCTGTCGGTGTTCTGTACAGTTCTGCTGCTTTAACGAAACATGTCACCGTAGCATGAAATGAAGGAAACCCTTTCAAGTCACGTTATTTGTGGTTGGGTTTCGGCTTAAAACAGAGGTACGTGCACTGTAAGGACCTGGCGAGCATGTTTTGGTTTTTCTGTTGACTAAATTGCTTAAAGATTAACGTAAACGCGTTACAGCTACAGCACCAGAGTGCGCCTCTGCACTTGCGCAGACTGCTTAGTAGCCTTATGTCAATAGGAAGCACTATTCGCCATAACACCGCCCGTGGGCTGGCCTTGCATGCTAACATTAGCACAGACGGCCTAAACCTTACTAAATGGCCTCAGTTGTTTGCTATCCCTTACCTTTTAGCTCCGTCACTCCATGTTTGACGCCACGGTGTGAATTCTACTTGTGAAGTAAATAAGACCACCCAAGGGCGATTTCTTTGATATTTTAGATGTTTATGGCAAGCACCGATATATGTGCGTACGAGCCTTGTTTCCCTTTGTTCCGTGAGTCAGCGCCATGTCTGGCTCCTCGTCCCTCCTTCACAGAGCGGTAAAAACAAGGCTGGCTGTTAGGGCGTCATTGTTACGAAACTGGCAACCCAGTTTGACGCGCGTCAGGGAGCTGATGCAAAACATGGACAGGATTAGACTGGAGCCCGGATTGTTTACTAATCATTTAGTTCCCCCTTCTTTATATCATTAGAAAAGAACGAGAGCATATCATAGGGTACAAAAACAGTATGCATAGGTCGACAAGATTAAAGATACCCAGGGGCTTGTTAGATTACACAACACTACTTTAATTCGTACATATGTTGACTTTTTGATGATTTTATTTAATATGTTGTGTCACTTTTAAAAAAACTCACGTGGCTTAATGTGTGTTTTTAAAAGGAAAAGGGTTGTTTTTTGTCGTTGTTTTGTGTTGTTCTGTTCTAAAAAAAAAAAAAAAAAGATTTATGAAAATTATTTTCATCAAAAAGTATAATATTTTTTGTGTTAAAAGATTTTCACAGCCTTGGTCTCTCATGGTAAACTGATCACCACTTCCATTATTTGGCTCCAAAGGTCTATGCAAACAAACCAGTTAGCCTATAAAAGGAAGCATGTGGTAAAGAAAACAAAGTACTTTATCCTGTTCCACGGCTTGGAAGGGAAGCTTTTCTAGATGTCTGCGACCATGGTGAGTTTTTAGTTGTTAAAATGTAAAACTGTTGTTTGCAGCTGTCATTGTCTATTGATGAAATAAAGTAAACCATGGAGGTGAACTTTTAAAATGTGGAAATTTATAAAAAAAAATGTAATGTGACTATTTTTCACCCTTCATATGACAGGGATATCAAGACTGTCATGATTTAATCCATGTTTCAGAGATGTGACACTGAAATTAAAAATATAAAAACTGCAATGTCTGTTTCTGTTTTCTTGTGAAGAAATATCTGGCGTTGGCTTTGGTGCTGTGTGGACTGTCATCCGTGACAAATGCTCAATGCTACCAGAAGCCTCCAAATCCAGGTAAAACAAATGAGTATACAAGGACATTCATACAGGATTTTAATTCTAAATATTAAACATTATGTTTTTACACACATTACCCTTCAAATGTGTTCTTCTCACACCCACAGACCACATGACCCACTGCCGGGATGATGTGGACCTGACATGGCATCCAGTAGGATCTTCATGGAGAAACAGCAAGTGTATGGACTGTACATGCGGTGGATGTTGTGCAGGGTAAAGTGAAACACATATAGACACCATACTTCCAGTTAAAAGGAAGAATTTACTAATTTGATATTTTCAGATTGCACAACTGATTGTGAAAATTGTGTGATTGCAGGTATTCAACCCCACGCTCATACCCAGAGGACTGTGTCTCTGTATTTAATCCAGTGGCGTGTGAATATGTCGTGCACAAAAGGAACAATCCTTCCGAGCTATGCCCGATTTATGGTGCTGTAGGAAAGTGAGGCAGTTGTCATCTCAAGTCATCTAAACAGAAGTTCTGCTTGATATAAAATGTCATTAAACGTAGAAAAAGTATTCACAAATCAATTCTTTTTCATATTTCAATGACAATAACGTCTCAATTTATGTCGTAAAATAACCCTGTGGTAAGTTTAGAAGAAATAAGGCAGGGCAGGGTCAAGATGGTACGTCATTGTATAATGGAATATCGAGCATCCACCGAAGGTTTTAAGTCAAGTTTGCTGGCCTGTCATTTAATTTGCCTGATGTGAGTTGTCATATTTTTGCATGTGAAATAAAGAAGTTGGACTTGGTCAAAGATTTTTTTTTTTGACTTATCTACAATCACAGCTTAAAGGGAGAAGTCTGAAACAAATCAAAAAGGCCAACCCACCAAACATCAGACGTCGAAAAGACGTGCAGATCAGGTCAGTATTGGGTTGGTCCGTCGAAGACCACATCTAGATGTCAGTGCGATGTGCAAAACAGGTGAGAAATTTCGACGTCCAAACTGGACCTTTTTTAGACGTCGCTCGACGTTCAGAATTTGGACGTCATCTGATGACCAAATCTTGACATTTGGTTAAAGTGCAAAATAGATCCAATATTTAGACGTCAGTATTGGACCTCTTTTCAACATTAAATTGACGTCCGCATTTGTGCCTCATTTAGACGTGTTTGTATGGTCTGCAAAGGACCAAAATCTCGACGTCGGGTTAATGTGCAAAACTTTCACTCTGCACCTGATTTCAACGGCATCAAGACGTCGATCAGTCGCTAGACCAGACCAGATTAAAAAAACCTCATTCTGCACCCCTAGAGGACCTGATTTCAACGGCCAATTTCGACCGAAATTGCACGTCATGTCAATGTCCGTTTTGGACGTCCACAAGACGTCAGAATTGGACGTCGAAATGACGTCCGAAAAAGATGTCAAAATCGTCCATTCTGCACCTTTAGGAGACGTGATTTCGACGGCCAATTTCGACCGAAATAGCACGTCATGTCAACGTCCGATTTGGACGTCCACAAGATGTCAGGATTGGACGTCATGCTTGAGTCTGAAGGGTTTATTTTCATGTCCAAGTTTTTAGCTCGTTTAGTTTTGCTCCATAGAATAAGTTAATTATCCTATATCCTCGACTATAACTACTATTCCTAAAGTAATATTTCCGTCAGTTTATCTCTTCATCTTTATCTTTACATCTAGTGATCAGGAATTCTTGGGGCGTTCCGTCAGGTTGTTGGTTGTTAGAGGTTCAGTGTTTTGTGTTGAAGTGCTCAGTGCTGTCATGATGTTTTAGTCAATTCAGAGGGACAGCTGTGTGGTCTGCATAAAAGCCATATTCTCTGTGAGTGAAAACTGTTTAGCATTCTGTTGGATTTTGTAGATCTGCTCTGAAACCTTTTGCCTGAAGGCAGGAGGGAAAACTGTTTGTAGGATGGTTGGAAGAGGTTCAAGATAATGGACACCCCGAGAGTACAGGGCTGGCAGAGGAGGGGAAAGGGACACCAGTGATTCGGCTGGTCATCTACTCAGCTGTTTTTCTCCCACTGCAGTTGTCAAACCAAGTAGTCAGTGCACTTGTCAGAACGCTTTCAGAGGAGCCCAAGTAGACAGCGGTGTTGACCAAAATGGAGAGACTTGATCTTTTTAGTTTTAAAACTAAAATGAAACTAGATCAGTGATGTTTGTAGAGCTTTGAAATGAAATAAATAAAAGTTGTGCATTTCAAATATGTCAAAAAGAGACAAAAATACAGTAAGGAAAAAGGAAAAAAATGTCACAGTGGTACATAATATTTAAGTGGTTTTATTTCCATTAAAGATGAAGTCTTACAGAATTAAAAAAGGCGTAATTGAGAACTGTTAATGAACAATATAAAAACATTAGTAATACTGTAAAGCAACATGGTCCACATTCATACCCCCTTCACCTCAGCATGCTAGGCTATCAAAGACAGTTTGGCACAACTTTAGAGAAACACTTTCTGAACTGTGACCCTTTTGGTTTTTGTTAATCCTGGATGAAGACGCTCTCAAAGAGCAGAGCTTCTGATGACAGAGGTAAGCTTTACTGATTCAATTCTCGTGCTTTCTCATGCAGCGACTTCAGATTGACATAAAAAAAATTGACTACTTTTTAACAGCTGGTAGGCACTTCGAAACTGAAAGTAAGGTAAGAATTGAATTTCATTGAGTCATGACTCCTGAAGGCAGAGTTAAAGATTAAGTTTTGCATTCTATAACTTTAGCCCTTGTTTTCTTTTTGACACATCTCAGGTTCTGAATGGCTGACAACAAAAAACAGAGACAGCTATGTTATCACTCTTCAAATCCCCCCAAATCCTTTAATATAAACAAACTGTAGATTACTGTTTCTGTCACTGAAGACAGGGGTTGTTGGTCCACCACTGATTCAATGATGATACTTTTATTGTGTTAGTATTCGTGACAAAAATCTCAAGTTGGACCTGCACATGCAGAAACTCATCATAAAGGCTTCAAAACACTGAGTTAAACTTTGTTTTCATTCTCAGAATGCAGCTGAAATCAGAATAAAGCCTGTGGTGCACACGCTTAATATGTTGCCCCTCTCAAGCATAGGGCCTACCCAACACTGGCTTAGCTGTGGCAGAAAGATCAAGAAGCAATGTTTTGGATCCATTTAAGAAACAAATCAGGAGTGCCAAGAATGACCAAAGAACTATTCAAGACGACAAATTGCCCAGGCTAAAATATGTGACTTAAAGTGTCAAACACATGAAACCTGATGCAGAATCTGCACCCAGCACTAAACATCAAGGTTAAGGTCATACATAATGACCGAGTGAGCTTTTTTAATTTACTGAATGACACTTCATGAAACACTGAGCTGGTAGGGAATAAAATATCAGTGTGTTGGTTACAATCAGTGGCATAGCAGGAAAGTTGGGCTTGTTGCAAAGTAAACAGATGCAACACAACAGCGAAGCAGCATGGAGGCTGTGGAGAGAAAACAGCCTTCTGAAGGGCGGTGACCATTAAACACTGCTCCCAAGTCTGTGTGGAGCAAATGCTCTGCACCATAAGTTCAATGACCTGCTGTAAAACACTGAACCGCATCAGTAACTTGAACATTTTTAACCACACACAGCATGGGAGTTCATTCAGTCACAATTCAGCTGCAAATAACACTGTGTAAAAATGATTGTTAATCTCTTTGTAGCATTTTACCGAACCACAAGCTAATCACGATAATAGCATCATTAACTTTTCAAGTTATTGACAGCGTAACAAGTTTATAATCACGAAACCAATCTGTCTGTGACTATCCCATCACAATTTCAAATTGTTGCACAACTGGTTGAACCTGTACTCAGTAAGAACACACAAAATAACACAAAATAACTGTTGAAGGTTAAAGACAACACTGTATTTAGTTAGGTTTAACTCCTGTTTATATCAGTGTGGTTGGGTTTATTTGTAGAGAGTGATGAAACAGCTGCTTGTGCTTTAAGATATCCTCTTTCACAAAAAGCTCTATCCTTCTTAGGATTTCTTTGTGTAATGTTGTCAGACATTCAGAAAAACAATCTGAGTCCATCACGCACAAAATCAAGAATTCTATCATCACGGTTTACATCTTGCCAAAGAGACTCTCTGTCCCTGTTGGTCAAGTATATCTACCAGCTTTATATCTACCAGGAAACCCATTTAAATCATTTAACGTCTTAAATTAAAGGCTTGACTGTTCTGTTTGAGTAACTAGTGAGGTCACTGAATACTGATTATGCATAGAGAACATGTGGATATGACCTGTAGTTTGATAATAAATACTGACACAGAGCATTTAAGACAGTTTGAAGTAACAGACTCGTCAGAACACATAAAAGGGAGTGAGATTTTTACATGGAGAGGCAATGTAAGGAAAGATGGAGGGCAATAATTTAATAGACCTGTTTATGAAATCTATATCTACTTTACTGGGTTAATGTGTTTGTACTGACACTTTTGATAAACCCCCAGCCACTGTTTCAGAGTTTTAAAAAGGCCCTAAACCCACTCTGTAAGAGTGACTCTTGAAACGATGATAGAAACTGTGGGTGACACATTAAACGGTGTATTTAGTATGAGTTCAAAAAGTGTGGCCTAAAACTAAATATATATACTTTTAGCAAAGGATTTAAAACTGATGAGGCAAAAAGTTCCATATGACAAAAAAGCAGCATCTGAGAATACTGAAAAAAACACTGAGCTTTCTGCCAGCAATATGACACTCTTAAAATGTCAACATAGAGTGTGCGTTTACACAGAGAATGCTGCTTTGGAGTTTGTTTCAATGATCTGATGTGGTCAAGCTGACTCAGAGATATAAAGTCTAGCTTTTGTTCTGGTTCTCTGGACGGTTTCTCAGTGAAGAGGCTGAGAAGGCCAAGGACTCCAGAGGGTAATACACTTACTCCTGACAACTACCTCCCACTATCACACTGCAAACACACACAGACTACCCCTTGGAGAACCTCTCTTTGTCCAGATAATGACGATGTCAGTTATTGGATGTGTACATACTCCTGTCAACTGAAACAAAGTACAGGAAGTGCGATTTTTGCTACATGTAGAGCTGAAAACAGCTGAATGTGGAAATCATTATCAAACTCCTGCACCTGTTGACAGTAGCAGAGTTATAAAATGCTGCATTTGTCTGTGTAACAGCGGCTAACACTAAAAACTTGGTCAGCAGAACCTCTTCATAGTTCGTCATATTACCAAGATAAGTGATGACAGAGGTAACTTCAGCATTAACTCTTTGGACGAGGCTGACTTCTTACCAGGGTGCATCTCCATGGTAACATCATGGTAAGTGAATCACTCTCACTGTCCTGAAAAAACAAAAATGAACAGTAAAAATGCTGCCTTGTGTCACAGCTGATAGTTGGAGGTCACTTGGTAGCAATGTGACCAATCAGGGAAGGACATTTTAGATGATAAACGCCAATCAGAGAGTGGATGTTTTTAAAAGTCTGCGCCTGCAATAAAACACGACCCATGATTTAAAGTATGAAACAAGTCGAGCAGTGTTTCAGTTTAGGAGCTCTGTGTGTTTGTGTGCTGGCTGGGGGTGGGGTGGGGGGTGTCAGTAAAGACTAAAACCAGATTAGACTGTTTTTAAGTAATGCTGATCTGCTGTGTGTGTTAGCATCTGATGAGCTATAGCTGTCTGCAGGGTGTAAAACTGCACTTGTGGACATTAACATGTAAGAAATGAGTCAGTAGCTTGGCACAGTGGTGTTTGTGCTGCAGACCTCTCCTTTCACTGTTGTGATGCACCATGGGAAGTGGAGCCCTGCGTAGCCTCTGCTGTTCCTGTTTTGGAGTCTGCAGCGAGGAGCTGAAGCGGTGGACGCAGGAACACCAGCATCACTGTGATGTTGTCGCTTGAGCCTGCTGCCTTAGCGTGACCTACCAACCTCTGAGCCACTCTCAGTCCAACAGCGTCATCAGACTGATCCAGCGGAGCATCTCCCTGGCCCTCCTCGGGGTTGTCGGGCTGTTGCAGAGCATCCAGGACCAGTTGTGGGACCTCTGAAGGGGAAACGGCATCAAAGAAGCCGTCACAGGCCAGCAACAGGTAGTCTTCATTCCCCTGCAGCGTGTTTGTGGAGCAGTCGGCATCCCCGGAGACATAAGGCTTCTGGTCAAAGTCCCCTTGAAAGAGAATAGAGAGAGAAGGTGAGGTTACACCAATTCCTCACTAACTGTTTTAACAAGTGCAAAATCAGCGTCAGGAGACAAAATGCAAACACTGCCAGCCTCGGAATCAATGTCTTTAAATTCAACCCCTGGTGTGAAGGTGAGCTTTAATTGCTAAATAAGGTAAAAAATGTCTGCAACAGCACTGGGAGCACAGCAACAATTCAATCCTAATCGCTGTGTCTTCATGATCGTATGCTTTACTCACCTATAGCTCTGGAGACGGCGTACGTGCCGTTAACACGCCAGCAGCCCATAAAGGTGACACAGCCGCCGAGATCCTCGATCCGCTGCTTCTCATCCTAGACAGACGACAAAGGAGAAGAAACATTTACATCTGATTGTTATGTTTTTACCTACATGTTTTTTTCTTTGCACATGTACAATTATCTGCTGAATTTGATGAATTGGGTGATTTTAAATCCATATGTGAATTAAAATACAGCAGTGGTGCTCAATTAAGTTCTTTCCTTTTCACTCAGCCAGTCCTGTTACTCTGCCACACCCTGTAGTTCATGGTTGCTTTGAGTCTATTTTCTTTAGTTTGGTAGACGTCTTTTTCATGTAGCTCCTTGGGTGATTTGAAATCCCTCTGAACCATTTTCCTTCATCTCTCTTCTTCTACTCTCTGCTGATGACTGGTCAGACTTTACCCACTAATCTAAAGTTTGTGGCTTTCCAGATAAATAAAGGGTGCTAACAAAAAAAAAAAAAAAAAACATGCTTCTCAATGGTTCTAGCAGAAAATACAGTTTTCAGGTTGTTCCTGGCTTGTCTCTGCTATTCAGAGGTTAAAGCTGTTGTTGTATGATTTTGACCAATCAGGGTCAATCCCCTCTGTCAGATTTTCACACAAGGGCTGAAACATAATCTGCAGGATGATCGGTTTATAATCAGATCAGTCATGATTCAAATGTGTGTGAGCTATGAGACAGCCCTCTCTGCTCAAATGCTCCAACACAATTCCATGATTGGTAAATAATGTGTCGCCTACCTTCTACAAGACCACTAGAGGGCGCTAAAGCCTGCAAAACTCAGGTTGCCGCCTAAGCTATTTTTAATTGTCTGTCTGTCTTTCTCTCTCTCTCGGTCTCTTTTCTTTCTTTCTCCGTGAGTGTGTGAGAGTCAGTACTGGAAAAATTCTCACCTCTCGGTCTGGTTTATGCGGGTCCATCAGAGTCACTGTTTGTCCTTCTCTGACCAGGATCACCTGAGAATCTCCCAGCCAAGCTGCCGTCAGCTTCTGATCCTGGATCAGCACCGCCACGCCTGTAGTGCCGCTCCTCAGACGCTGACCACACACACAGACACACAGACACACAAACACACACATATGAAAAAAACCCTGATCAACATAAAGCTTTGTGACTTCAGCACAGCTCACAGAATGACCAGAAAACACTCAGACATAGCTAACTTTCTGAGCTTGTATAACCATGATATCAGTTGTAAACATATAAACTTACCTACTGAATATGTGCATTTAAGACTGCCTGTCAAATGCTCAAGATAATACATATGTATTTGTTTACCTTAATGAATAAAAAAATGAGGCTCTTCTACCCAAGAGTGCAAAATGTCCGGGACAGAAAATACAAGTGAGTTAATAAAGTATGTTTTGAATTTACCAACAGTCTAATGCATCATCAGGTATTTGACAGATCTCTGTAATTCTACTCTGAGTTGATATTTAATGTTCTGTTACTACCATGAATGTGAATCAGAGTGTTTTGGGGATTAAAACAGATCATCTCGCGGTGAAGTGTGTCAGTACCTCTCTCTTGGCTTTGCTCCTGAACAGTTCGTCTGTTTGTGTGAAGGCGCTCCTAAAGGCTGCTGCTGCGTCACTCTTCAGACTCTCTTGTTTGCTCAGAAAAACATGGAGATGTGTGGCAGCGAAGATGGCAGCATCCACCCCTCCATGGCCGTCAAAGACAGCATAGTATGCGTGCCTCACTCCCTCCTGGACCAGAGAACAGAAATAGGAGGCGTGTTACTCGCTGTGAAGATCGACATCTTTGTTTTTTGATGTTGCAGTCAAAGTGTCATACCTGGATGCCTAAGAGTTGGTTAAACTCAGGGAGGGCCAGGTGTCTGTCCTCCATCTTTCTCCTTGTGTTCTTGATGGCATGAACAGAGGAGTGGAGGTAGCAGGAGTGGGAGGGGAGAAGCTTTGGGAGGTTTTGATGCCATGCCAGTGCCACATTTATCAGCTTGTTAAAGAAGAGACGTGCAGCTGCCTCCGACTGAAGCACTGAGGTTAAAATAAAGATGGAGGAAGGAAAATAAATAAAGGAGAGAAAGTTTTTCTTCAGAGTCAGGTTTTGGAGGCATTTAGATTTTTGTCTGGAACACAAGTTTGTTATCTGAAGAGTCTAAATCCAAAATGAATGATCTCAGGTTCTTTTTTATTGTCTATACCATGTCCTGAAAAAGACTCAGTGGGGTGTTAAAATCTTTATTAACCCTTTCCTGTCATGGTGTGTATTATTCTAATTTTCTGTCACTTCAAGATAGTTTTTGACTTTTTTTTCAGCCATATCATCGAGGGTGAATTACACATGACACCACTACTTACAGACTGTTTCCTGTTCCTCTTCCTGGTTGGCCTCAGCATCCTGTGGGCAGTGGAGAGGTGAAAGGTCATCCAGGAGCAGCTGGGACAGAGCCGTCTGACAGAGGAGGGCGCTGAGTCCCGCAGGAGAACCCCTGTAAACAAAAACAAGCTCTGTTAAAGATGTGACCAGGTTTGTTTGCAGAATTAAAAAAGAAAATCATTCCGCGGGTTTGAACCCAGCTTTGCCAACTGTCAGAGTTACGTCTGTGCTGCAGAGGAGACCAGACTGTGGAAACAGGAAACTATGGAACAATAGAGGCTCTGCAGGCAGGAAATAAATTCTTCCTGACAGAGGGTACATGGTGAGCAGTGAATGAGAGAAAGGGAGGGAGAGAGAGAGAAAAGAGAGCAAGGAAGGAAGAGAGATAGACTGACATGACTAATGCATGTTAGTCAGGTTTTGTTCAGGAACTAAGACCTGATAAATTTAACAAATCCTCTTATTCTACATTCAGCAAAGATTCAGAGTTCACTCAGAGCTGATCCCTGACAAAGACTCAGACCTTCACCCATGACAAACTTCAAACTCAGTTGGAGGAAATCCAGAAGTCTGACAACCCCAGTGTTCTAGTGTTTTCTTTTTCCTTCATAGAGACCTGTGACACTGATCTGTATTTTTAATACACACATATTATGTTGCAATATTGAATGCTCAAACTACACCTCTGCAAAGTGTCTAAACAGAAGATTCATGGATGTTAGCGTAATACCCTGGAAATGTTTAACAGCTGCTGTGAACTTAAACTAACTTGCCCAGAATCTGACCCCTGAACCATCCCTTCTCAGACAACACTGCTTAGAGGATGACTTGCGCGTGTTGTAAACAGTTAAAAGAAGCATTTAATAAGGGTTTTTTGTTTCTATGCAGTTTTATGGTTTGGTTCTGTCCAGTTTTAAGGCTTAAACGATGTGTCAGCAGCTCTTTCTGCTGCATGAACTAGAACTGCAGATTAAACTAGGTAGTGCAAATGCGCCGGGCAGGAGTGGAGCTGTCAGGCATGTGAGGAATGTAGAGACACCCACACACAAACACACACACATGCTGGAGCTAAGTGTGTGATACACTGTGCTTTGTTTCTGATAATGAGAAATAATATGGAGGAAATTTAACACAAAGAAATCTACTCATAGTGCAGTTACTTTAAATGTCCCTATGTATAAACCGCAGGTCTATCATACAGGTAGAACAGAGGACTTTTAAGTTTTGTTTCTGGTCCTACCTGGCACTGAGTAGCCTGAGGCCCAGCTCTAGACTCTCCCCGTGCAGCTCCTCCTGAGAGACTCTGCGGCTCAGTGGGGTCACAGGCAGCGGATCGCTGTCCCCAAGAGCAGCAGGGAACTCCTCCACGAACCTCCTGAGAAAGCAGCGAGCCGCCTCCTCCTCCATCACACCGACTGTGTCTGGAGACAGGTGACTTCCAGGTGGGCAAGTGATCACCTCTCACTGCTTCAGACTTCAAAGAAACAGAAAAACAGGAACAATTTCACTTCAGCAGGTTTATGATGCCGAACCCAATATATCTAAACATAAAACTTGCAAATGCATTTGTGTAAACAAAAACATAGGTTGATTTTAATTTGTTACCAGCGACAGGTTTTAAAAAAGTTGAGACACGGCCAACAAGACACAGAAAAGCAGTAAGTGTGGTAAATAAACACACACTGAGGAGTGAAAATAAGCTTTAATAACTCACAGTTTCTATTGACTATTTGTTGTTCTTTGCATTTTAGACATTTATCATGTTTGTAATATGTTTCTCTTGAACCAAAGCTGCATCCAAAGGCAGTTTGTGTATCTCTATTTATCACCAGAGTATAACTGACAGTTAATTCAATCTTTATTTGACATTGGTGTAAGAGCAAGGCCAGGGCATAGTACATCTAACAGGCCAGGTGAACATACTAAGTGAGACAACACTGATTGAATTTATAACATAGTTGACTAATCTATTGATCCAAGCTTTCATAACATCCAGACCAGATTACTGCAACAGCATCCTATACGGCTCATCATCCAAAGTCCTCAATAAACTCAAATACATTCAAAACTCTGCTCACCCACACCACCTCCTGAGAACACATCACCCCTGTCCTCCAAAATCTGTATTGGCCCACCATCCCATACAATCCAAAATCCTCCTGCTCACCCACAAATCATTTAACAACTTGGCCCCCACCTACCTCACAGACCTGCTCCACCACTACACCCCCTCCCGTGCCCTCCCGTGCCCTCCCATCCTCAGAGGGAAATATTCTTGCCCTATCCCCTTGGACCAAGCGCCAAACTTGGGGGGACAGAGCTTTCTCCATTGACGCCCCAACCTTCTGGAATTCACTCCCCAAACCCCTTCGAGACTGTACAGACCCCCATACTTTTAATCACTCTGAAAAACACACCTTTTTAAATTGACTTGTGAATCTGTTCTTTTATTGTGTCTCTTTTAACTTTTACATCATTGATTTTATTTCTCATAATTTTCTGTATTTTAAAATTTTTTTTTTCATTTTCTTCTTTTTCTTTGAGGCATCTTTGAGCATCTGTACAAGTGCGTTATAAATAACATAAAAATAATAATAATTATTATTATTAGTAGTAGTAGTATTACTGTGATGAATTATTACTTTAAATGCTCATATTGTGACTCTGTTGTGATATTGTGCAGCCCTACTTCACACATCCAGTGTAGGAGTAGGATATTGTAGGACTCATCCCAGCTGTATAACAGGGACGGTTTCCTCATTGTAGTCAGAGGTTACATACTGTGTTACAGTTACATCTCCAAAGATGGCAGATTAAACAGATAATGCTGAAACTGTATTTAATAAAGCATGCATTAGTTAAATAAACTCTTAATAGTCCATGAAGCAGCATTTGGAAACAAGAGCTGCAGATACTGTCAGGAAATATGAACAGAGAAGTTTTAATCGTGTATCATAGTTTAAACCTGTAATTCACGTGTTGATTTTGCTCGGAGATTAACAATAGAAACATTCAGCAACACAAAGAATGGATCCTAGATTACAATGGTAACATATGATAGTTGTAAAGTCTCCTGACACATTAAAATCATAAACATCCTGACGAGTAGAAACCTGCTTCCTACCTGAGTTAGCTAAATCACAACACTCTTCTGGTTTAGCAGCTAGCAACGGTGTGGAGAAACACACACACTTAGGGGGTCAAAAGAATAAAACACGCCCTGTTTGAGGCGGTATTGGCGTGTACAACATAAAACACACGGCTCCAGAGAGACAAAGAGTTAATAAAATCACAGATAAAGACACTAACCTGCGCTCAGCGGCCTGATGGTGTACACTGTGATGCTAACGCCAAACTAACAGCACACACTGTACGGTACAGTTTACAGATCTGCGGTCAGCTCGGCACCCGATTGGACGAAATTCCCCTACGTCATCATACTTCCGTTTGTCAACGTCTTTTACGTCTTCAAAACTTTTGAGCTCTATCTTTTCTGTAAAAATTATAATGTGATTAATATTGATGATAAATTTAACAGGGAAATGTTTAAACGGTGTTGTACAATTTACATCTTTATTTATCTTATTCATGAAAATTCCAAAAATCTAAACTCATCTCCATCTTCAAATGATTGAGATTTTCTTTCTTTTTAATTTACGAAAACCAACTTGTATTTCTGATTGAAGTGGAATTCTATATTTCAATTTTAGGCTGATAATAAGTAGCTTCAACATGCGTTACCGCCACCTACTGGAGTGGAGCCTTAAATGACACACTAGTAGACTGCAAGGGGTTGATTAATCAAGTCATCATAATACGTTATGAGCAGACTCTGTAGTTCAGTTTTTAACGAAGACCCAACATCAAGCTAAGAGATGATTAAGTTCATATACTCCTGTAGGAAACAACCAACTTGTATTCAGTTCTTATATTTGTAATAACCATGACTAATCACTTCGGCAAATTTTGGTGGCAAGAAAAAACTTCCTAATGATAATAATAATAATATTACTATTATTATTATTATTATTATTAATTTAAGCTGAGTAAAAGGACTTTCAAACCGAATTTTTCTGGTTCCTAATTATAAATGCTCAAAAGTCCTTGTAAATCTCCTTGGATGGTCACAAGTCGTCAAAGTAAATCTCAGCTTCCTTTATTGCTGCTGCCAGCTACTTTCCTCCTTAAAAGGCCCTACATTTACACAGTTGATGGTAAACAGACGTGGGATTAGTGTTTAATTTTCTATTTCTGTTTAAATGGTAAATTTATTTTCAACTTTACTCAATAGGCTTTCTGTGTTCATTGTCGGTGATTTAAGGGTATATTTTGTCTCTTTTTACAAACTGGATGATTCCACTTTAAATATTAAAAACATTAAAAATCTGTTAAAACTGATTCAATAGATTTCTTTTTACTGACACCCAGGGGATAAAACTGTGCTTAAATTATATTAAAGAAAAGGAATTGCAATGTGATGTTGTATGGAGGTTATTAGCATTCCTGCCATTGGAAATAATCCTATAACGAATAACAAATCAAAAGTGAGTAGGTACATTTAAAACAAGCAGTGAAATGAAATGTAAATATACAGATGAGAAATATAAATTAGGGAGAAGGCAGAAATCTGCATGATAAAGGGTAATTTGTTTTTCTTTGTAAAGGGATGAGAATGTCGTCATCCATTTCCAAGAGACCAGTTTATTTGTTGTATTATTTATAGTAACTTTACGTGGTTTTGCAATGTTTATTTAGACATAATATCCATGATGCCTCCAGGTCAATCAGATGTAGTTAAGATGAATGTTAACAGCCACTCACACAGCAGAAATTTTAGTTTAACGTGTCTTTACTTCACCGTTAGTCAACACAATTGTAAAACCAAAAGTCTCTTGATTTACAGATATATATTCATGCTTTATATGCAACAAAGTAACAGGACACGTTTTAAAAAGTCATACAAAGTAAGCAGCCAGGGCAGCCATTTTGTCTTTGGGTTTTTTAGGGTTGCCACGGCGTCCTCTGCCTCGCCCACGTCCTCTCCTCGCACCTCCACCCCTGTGCATGGCATGCCTCATGGTGGCATGTTTGAGCTCCACCAGATCCTGGAAGATGGGGTCACAGAAGACACAGCCGGTGTGTTGGGTCTCCCCTGCAGGGAGGGGAGAGCGAGTCTTGTTGAAGTCCACCGCCACCAGAGAGGCGTCACAAGCGTCACAGCTGTCCTGAGCAACCTGTGAGAGTAGAAGACAACCTTGGTGTGAGGTTCTTTTAGCAAATCCAAGGGTAAGAAAACTTTGATAAAAAGTCAAAACTGAAATCAGTTTATTTGTCACAGTTAATTGCAGTATCACAGTCTGCAGGTAATCTATTCCTAATGCTGAATGTGGCTAACACTAGTAGATCTAGCACCACTGACATTCAGTCCTTTGATAGTTAATTATTTCTCTGATCACAACCTTTCTTCAGCAGCAGAACTGACTCATCCAACAGAGAAGTATTCATCTGGTTTGACCAACATCATGCAGATCACAATACCAGAAGATGATAATGGGCTTGTTTCCTACCTGCACTCTGTGTGCGTGCTCAAAGAAGTTCACCACCACGTTACATTTATTACAGGCCATCCTCCATTTGGGTCCAGAGGTGGGGTCCAGCACCAGAACCCCACCGTCACACTCCACACACTGACCGATACCGAGGGAGTTCAGAGAGTGCTGACAGGATGGGTGAGTGCATTCATTGCAGCCCATACCTGAGACAGATAGACACAGTAAAACTTTTGTTGGACATGCAAATATGTTCAGGAGTTTTTAATGAGCCCACTGCCTCTGTGTACAGGTTTAAAGTTAATGTTTATGTGTTTCAAGGTTTGAAAGTGAACAGAAATGATGTCATAATGCTAGATTTTACTAAAATATCTTTTAATTTAAACTCCATATGAAGTTGGAGTTGGCCATCCAGGTATACTTTCAAATACCAAGCATATAAACCTATCAGTTTTACTTTTTATTTACAGTCTCAGTTTGCACATTGTGTAAAATGTAACTAAAATCAGATTTTAATCAATTACTTATTATTAATGGTTGCTAATATTTTAGTTATTGTTTAAAAAATTTTCATTAAAGACACAAAGACTTCTTTTGTACCTTTTTTCATGTCCCTGAAAGGTGGGTTACTGAAGCAGTATGGACACAGCGGGTAGCTCTTCCCCCGAGACCCTGAGGTCCACAGAACCAGCTCAAAGTCATCGAGTGGACAGCGCAGCTCCTTGTACAGCTTGATGGCTCCGTTCTGGGGAAGACTATAAGTCTCATCACAGTGGGAGCAGTGGAGCCGGCTGGGTTTGGCCTTTGGAGATATAGGAAGATTAGACATTAGAATCAATGACTGGGACTGAGAACAGATGCAATCACTTTTAATTGACAACAATTACTCTTATTAGTTATGAAATATCTACCAAATGACAAGAGGGCGACTATTATCACAGAACTGTCCTCCTCTTATTCCTTTCTCTGGTTGACTACTGTTGCCATACCCTCCACAGCAGCACACAGTTTTGATATTTACTGATTTAGACACAAATTGTGCCACAGTGTTCCTCTCCTCTTGATGACAATACAGCGGATCAATAAAGCCCCTTCAGCATTGTCCCTGTCAGCCAAGAGCTCAAATCTGTAATGTGATATTTTATTTTTTGGTGTTTCCCTCCTAAATATTAAGCCTGCAACCTCAAACTGCTGTCTAAACATTTACCTGAACGCTGGGGATTACTTGTTACATCCTCTAAATGTCCCCTCTTTCATAATGTCAGCCTTTTCTATACCCTCAATAACTTATTACCAGTCCACTCTACAATAGACTGGCAGAACTGGTGCTGAAAAGAGGTTAGATTCTCCAATGAAATAACTCAATGAATGTTTAGACTTAGGAGGACTAACTCACTGAAATACATTAGTGTAGCAATCAAGACAACCCTGGATGTGAAACCCACACATTCCTTACAGGAAAGTTTCCTTATCTGGTCCCAGGAAACAGGATATAAATCTTTCCAGACGTGTTTGCACTTTCAGGTTAAATAAGTGACCCAACCGGAGGTTGACTAAACCTCTGACTCTTCAGGATTGGTCAGTTCGGCGAACAGAGACAGAGTTTTTATTACCTTTCAAACTGACTCCATTTGCTGACCATCTAAATAAACATTAACCTTAACCCAGATCTCCCATTTGAGATTAAGCGTCTTAAAGTGTGTGAACATACGGACCCCAGGATAAGGGGGGACACTGACCTCCAGACCTCGGTCGTAAAACCCTGCTCGACCATACACTGATAAAGACTGCATTCCTTTGGTGAAAGAATACAAATGACTGATCATGACATCTTATGCATTCAGCAATGTACTAATCTGTCTAATCATGAAATTTGTGTTAAAATGAGATGTTTCCCGTTTTTCTATGTGCTTCAGAAGCCAAGTTATCTTATCTGACAGAATAAATCCTTATTCTTTTGTTCTTTAGACCAACAGCTTTTCAGACTGTTTCATGAACTTTTAAGAGTTAAATTTATTGACTATGAATCCTAAGTTTACTCTAAGTAACAGAAATAGTTTAGAAATGTTTGGTTTATATTTTAGTTATTTATTTAGTATCTTAACCATTAGGTGGTTATAATGTCACTGAATAATCTGAATGTGAGTATTTAGAATCCATTATTAATCATGATGACGTTCATTCACATGTGTTTACTCTTTTGTTGTTCACAGTTTCTATGTGTTACTATCTGTTTCATTTCAGAGTAATTTAGCATGTTCAATGTGATACTTAAAACATAATGAGAATGTTTGATGTGATCCTACACTTCATTCATATGTGTTTAGTATCAAATTATTTATCATGAAACCAAGCATTCAATGATATTAATCATAGTGAGTGAGTATCAGATCTGACTCTTTTACCAGCCAAAAGAATAAGTTAGATCAAATAATCAGAGACCCGATGACCCCTCCTCTTTCTCCTCAGACACTCCCAGTGTGAGAAGATAAAACCAGTGGAGTGGGGTTGCTCACTCTCTTATCTCTTATTCTCTCTTATCTCTCTTATGCTCCTCTTATTCCTCTTATGCTTCTGCTCTTCTGCTGACTCTCTTGTCCCCGGCTCTTATGCCCCTTCTCTTCTGTCCACACCCTTCTGTGGTGCGTTTCTTTGTTTTCTCTTAGAACTTTTTCTTAGTCTTCTAAGTTTTACGCCACGTGTTGATTCACGTTGATTTTTCTTTAACATCGTCTTAGTTCAAGTTTTGAAACTTCAACTTTTTGTGCACATAGCAATTCAAGATTAAGCCTTTGATTGATTTTTCTTTAATTTCGCGAAGCCATTTTTGAAAGTTTTCTCTGCTCTTCGAGCCTCGTTTTTCTGAGTTTTCTGCGTGATTTCAAAGTCACCTCCGAACGCAATCCAACAGGCCCAGGTCATCCTCTGTGCCAGAGTTTTTGAGTGAGACCAAAGAAGTACCCAAACGAGCATCCACAGGATCCACAGGCGCTGGCTTTGCTTCGGGCCCGAGTGCTGCAACTCCTGGCTCATCCTTCGGCTGACTTCAGTCGTCTTCTGAGCTGAACCGCTCGAACCGCCAGTAGCCCCGGACCTTCGGAACCTGCTCCATCTTCTTCAAGGACCAGTCTCACTTAAGTATGCAAACCTCCAGAGCTCCAGACAGGGCTGATGCTGTCTCACGCGTTCATAACTCAGATATCCACCTATTTCTGGTGATCTTAGATTCCTCCAAATCTACACCCGAGTTTATCTCGACACCAAAGTTAGTGTAGGTTAATATGTTAGCGCATATTCACTCACTATCATTAACTTTAGTGCTCCTAGCCTGACTCAGAATCTTTATTTATTCACCTATTATTATTTTATCCTCATTATCTTATCATCATTTATTGCATGTGTGTTGTACCATCATTTATCCTGTAATAAACAGATCATTATTTTTCTAAGTTCCTGTCTGTTAGTGTTCTTCCAGAAGTGGAGTCCCTGAAATTAGAATTTCGACTTAAGATATGAGACTGATTAATTAAGACTGATTAATTAAGACTGATTAATTAAAACTGACTTGATGTTTGATTTCTGAATTAAACTTTTGTTTTCTTTATTTTCCCACCATTAAGGGTGGGTGGTGCCCCTTTCAACGAGTGCATAAATGTCATAATTTGAGATTATTAATCTTCAGACATTTATTATAAATTCCAATCGCCAAGTATTATTTTGGTGCGGCCTTGTGAGGCTCATTTCAAATCGCTACATATATTTTGGTGCGACCGTATGAGGCTCATTTCAAATCACTACATATATTTTGGTGCCCCTGCGTGAGGCGTTTCAAACAAAACTTCTGGATACTAACAGACAACCTAAAACTTAGCCTTCCAAATTGATGAGAGAAACTTATTTCCAGGCTATCCTAGACTTAATCACAATAAATGCTATGCTTGCTGAAGTTGCTTGACTAAGTTCTGATGTTTTCCTGATCTATGCATAAAACCTTTATGCTCTGTGTTTCACACACTTTTGTACTACATGCCTGTAGTCTGTGTTTGAGCTGGACAGCGTGAAATGTTGTTCTGAGTAGCAGTGAGACTGCTTCTTCTGCTCTGTCTAGACTGTCCAATATTTAAGTGCACGATTGTTGCGTCGCCGTACGCTTGTATTTAAGGCCTTTGGCTGAACCCAGTGTTCGCGATGCTCCGAGCTGTGGTTTCAAGCCCCTGAAGTCTCTGTAGTCTGCTACGAGTTTCTAGTAACTATATGGGATTCAGATTTCCTCCTTTCCCCTGACAGATTAGCTACCTGTCACAGGAAACCACTGTAACAGTGGGAGGTTGTTGTTTGATTGAATTCAGACAAAATTTGTGTTCACAAATCGCCGCATTTGTGATTTTAAAGTCTGCAGTTGAATCTGCTGTTGAGGGATTTGTCACTTTGATTCTTGTCACTATAGTCTGCTATGAAGTTCTAGTAACTATATGGGATTTAGATTTCCTCCTTTCCCCTGACAGATAAGCTAACTGTCACAGGAAACCACTGTAACAGTGGGAGGTTGTTGTTTGAATGAATTCAGATAAAATTTGTGATCACAAATCGCCGCATTTGTGATTTTTAAGTCTGCAGTTGAATCTGCTGTTGAGGGATTTGCCACTTTGATTCTTGTTCCTGTAAATGATTTTATTGAACCAATCTGCCTGAGCAGATGGTGGAAAGTTCTATGTTTGAGGGTGCAGATGCAGCCTGCTGTGAAATGTTAACCCTTTGTTGTCAGTGGAGAGACTGACCATTTGACCTTAAGCAGATAAGGCCCTTCAAGGAGGCAGAGCCTAAAGGCCCCTTCCTGCATACTTCCCAACTTCACACAGCCACAAGAGGCTAGTTGGATGACTGTTTCCTCTTTTCTTCTTCTTCTCCACTTGTGTTGAGCTTGTGCAGTTACCCCAACTCCATACTGCCCCACATGGTTGCTTTTGGTATTGAGCTAACACTGCTATTATCTGTCTGCAGTATCAGCTAGCTGTACTGCCTCTCTGTAGTCAGTGTGTAACACTCTACAGACATAACTCAAGTGATTGACTTGGTTGATGAAGTTTGATGTGCTTATTCTAAATCATTGATCATTGATTTTTGATTTTAATCTTTGTTATAAGAGCCTCCGTAAGGTATTGATGAAGTAACTCCTTGAATCAATCACCTGATCTTGTTGTTACTTATCACACCATTGAGCAGTTTTACTGTTCCCTATAATACATGAATGTATTAACCCTCCTCATAAGATTAATTAATTAATGAACAAATTAATTAATACTTGAAATTTCTTTTAACATTTCAGATGAATTGGGTAGTTGAATCTTTGGCTTTATTGCGATTTGTGAATTAATTTCAGAGTTAATTCCTTAATTGACAATTTCATTGATTTTTCAAATTCATCCAACTGCAGCAGGCAGTTTATTTAAGCTTTGCTGATCTCTGCAACACAGAGACAAATTGAACCCTTTATTCAATGGTTCTGTATCTGATGTTAAATTTAATTTAACATCATTTCACTTTTTTTAATTTTCATTGAAATGAATTTAACTTTATGGTTTTTTCTCTCCATTAGAGATCTACTCAGATAGGCTCTTTCTCTTTATCAAGCACTGATAAATTAAGTCGATTAACCCACTTAATTTGATATTTTGCTTCTTCCTTTCATTTTAAGTCAACTCAAACTCATCAACCAACCAGCTGCACCTCTTTACCAAAACCAAACATGCCTAACACAAAAGAGTCCAGCCAGGGAGACCCCCTGAGGGACATACACACAGTGTTGGCAAACTTGACTAGTCAGTTGATACCTCAATACATGACTAAGATTCAAAAGGCCAAACCCTCCAATCCGGAGGATGCAATGGCTGACTTACTGGAAACAGCCTTAACCACGACACTTCGTGACAAAGAGCTCACTAGATGCATGTCTGTCATGATGTCTTCTCAGCTTGAGTATAAAGACTACTTGCTGGAATGCGCTTTAGCAAAGATAAAGGCGCAAAAAGACGAAAACAGCGCTCTGAAAAAGACGTTAGAGGAGACTAAGAAGTCTCTAAGTGTTTTAGAAAAACACAGTGCCAGATGTGAAGCGTCAAAGCTTCCCTCACTAAGTCATGAAGAAAATCTTGATCTTAAAGACAAGATTGAAAGACTTAATGAAACCCTTTACAAAAAGGAGAAAGAACTTGATGACACGAATAAGCAGCTTGCTAAGACCACAGAGGATCTGATACAGTCAGAATCCCTACTAGAGCAAGCAACAGAAGATGTAAAAACTTTGAAAGCATTGGTCAAAGTGCGTGCTGAAGCTCTTGAAGCTAAGGAGAAGCAAACTTCTACCTTACAGCACCAGCTCCAGATAGCTCAGAGACAGTTAATTCTTTGTCAAGAACGGCAAGAAAAGACAGACAAAGAACTTGAAGATGCCCAAAGAGAGTTACAATGCTCCCTCCAGTCAGGTCGAGCCCAAAGAGAACGCATGGAGCAAACGTTTCTTGAAGAAATGATAGGTGATCAGCCTCCTGAGAGAGCGCCATCACTTCCTTCCAAACCAACTCTTAAGTATCTCTCTCAGCATCATGACAGGACCCTGCTTGACCCTGAGAGGTCATCCTTAAACCAAGAGTCCTACTCTCCTCCTCATGATGGCTTCTTACCATCTCCCTCAGATAGGGATCTTGACAAAATTGCTCGCAACATAGCACGCTTTGAACCTGAGCACCAAGGTGCTACTGACACCTGCACCTACTTGAAAGACATTGACTTTTACCTGAGGAAATTTCCAGGTGCAACCATTGATGACAAGATCTACCTTATTAAGGCAACGTCAAGTCGAGAGGTTAGCAGTTTCCTTGAACGACAGCCTTATCATGTCAGAAATAATTATGACTTGCTCTGCCAAGCATTAATTGAAGAGTTTTCTGATCATTTGACCCAGACAGGCCTTTCTGCTGCTCTGTCTATTAAACAAGGGAGATCAGAACCTCCCCAACAATATTACAACCGCTTACGCGAAGCTTACTTTGGTTTCCGAAATGAACCAGAAATGGAGGAGGACTTGAACTTCAAAACGCTGTTCGTCCAGAACCTCCACCCTACCACCAGTCATCACCTTGGCGTCTTAGCTTGTCCAAACACTTTGACTAGCCGACAGCTTCGTGAACTTGCTGTAAAAGGTTTTGCCAAACAACGACAAACTTTGGCTAAGAAAGCAGAGCCTGTTACTCTGTTGGCTATGGAGACAAAATCACTGCCCATGGAGCTGAACGAAGCTTCAGATTGTGTATTTTCAGGCTCCGATAAGCCTCCAAATGAGTGGTTAACCAGGCCTCCAAAACCTTTTCGACCTCAACACACTCACAAAGGTCAAAGTTACACACCAAGGCCCAGGTCTGACACAGACCAATGCCCGGTAAACTTTGAGACCAACTGTTGTTATTCAGACTTCCGTCACGGTGGGTTTTATCCCAGACAAAGGAAAAACCATCAACACCGCCAAAGTGGGGTGAATGACTGGCAGAATCAGAGTAAATCACACTCTCAGAAACGACGATCTTATTATCCACCTCAATCGGTTTCATCCACTTTGAAGGTGAATAAACATGACTACTCAGCTAACCACTGAGATTAACACTGTGGAGTCATGAAGGTGTGAGTCCTGCGAAAGCAGAAGTCACCTAGCCAAAGCTAAATGACTCCAATAAGATATCCAAATGCTGTGGTGATACATTGATGACTGCAATATCAGTTGCTGCTTTCTTTGTTAGCATTTGTCTCTCCTCTGTCAATATAGTCAGCTTGTCAGCTGTCAAATATCCCATGAACAGATTAAAAGCTGAAATTTCTGTCACTAAGACTCAGATTGACAAATTTCAGACTCAACAGCAGATAATTAGTCAAACCGATAAGAGCATCATCCCCAAGTTTAACAGACAAAGTTTAAGAGAAACTCTGTGCAGTAAACTTTTGATGTTTGTGATTCAGGTTGACTATGCTCATACACAGATGGTTAATATGTCTATAGCAGACATTTCTTTTCCACCTAAGTCTTAACCATTTTTGAAACTGAAATTGAACTTTCAGACTTCTCCAGCAAGCATGAAAAACAGCTATAGCTTTAGATCCAGTTAGCATTCAGACTAAAGAGTGCTTTTCTAAATCTCATTAATACTGAAAATTAGGAGATTTTCTTTCACATTAGTCTACCAATAGTTAACTGAGAAAAGTCTAACACCTAGACGATTTTATTTGATAGCTTAATGCATGCTTGATGTTATCTTAAAGCAGATACTAGTGATTCACATAGTGATAATGAGACGCATCAGTCCTATTTGCATACACCTGCTGCTGCTGCTGCTGCTTCATGGTTGTCTACTCGTCGTCCCGATGCTCCATGGACAGGACCACCGTGACGAAGGGGGGACTGTAGCAATCAAGACAACCCTGGATGTGAAACCCACACATTCCTTACAGGAAAGTTTCCTTATCTGGTCCCAGGAAACAGGATATAAATCTTTCCAGACGTGTTTGCACTTTCAGGTTAAATAAGTGACCCAACCGGAGGTTGACTAAACCTCTGACTCTTCAGGATTGGTCAGTTCGGCGAACAGAGACAGAGTTTTTATTACCTTTCAAACTGACTCCATTTGCTGACCATCTAAATAAACATTAACCTTAACCCAGATCTCCCATTTGAGATTAAGCGTCTTAAAGTGTGTGAACATACGGACCCCAGGATAAGGGGGGACACTGACCTCCAGACCTCGGTCGTAAAACCCTGCTCGACCATACACTGATAAAGACTGCATTCCTTTGGTGAAAGAATACAAATGACTGATCATGACATCTTATGCATTCAGCAATGTACTAATCTGTCTAATCATGAAATTTGTGTTAAAATGAGATGTTTCCCGTTTTTCTATGTGCTTCAGAAGCCAAGTTATCTTATCTGACAGAATAAATCCTTATTCTTTTGTTCTTTAGACCAACAGCTTTTCAGACTGTTTCATGAACTTTTAAGAGTTAAATTTATTGACTATGAATCCTAAGTTTACTCTAAGTAACAGAAATAGTTTAGAAATGTTTGGTTTATATTTTAGTTATTTATTTAGTATCTTAACCATTAGGTGGTTATAATGTCACTGAATAATCTGAATGTGAGTATTTAGAATCCATTATTAATCATGATGACGTTCATTCACATGTGTTTACTCTTTTGTTGTTCACAGTTTCTATGTGTTACTATCTGTTTCATTTCAGAGTAATTTAGCATGTTCAATGTGATACTTAAAACATAATGAGAATGTTTGATGTGATCCTACACTTCATTCATATGTGTTTAGTATCAAATTATTTATCATGAAACCAAGCATTCAATGATATTAATCATAGTGAGTGAGTATCAGATCTGACTCTTTTACCAGCCAAAAGAATAAGTTAGATCAAATAATCAGAGACCCGATGACCCCTCCTCTTTCTCCTCAGACACTCCCAGTGTGAGAAGATAAAACCAGTGGAGTGGGGTTGCTCACTCTCTTATCTCTTATTCTCTCTTATCTCTCTTATGCTCCTCTTATTCCTCTTATGCTTCTGCTCTTCTGCTGACTCTCTTGTCCCCGGCTCTTATGCCCCTTCTCTTCTGTCCACACCCTTCTGTGGTGCGTTTCTTTGTTTTCTCTTAGAACTTTTTCTTAGTCTTCTAAGTTTTACGCCACGTGTTGATTCACGTTGATTTTTCTTTAACATCGTCTTAGTTCAAGTTTTGAAACTTCAACTTTTTGTGCACATAGCAATTCAAGATTAAGCCTTTGATTGATTTTTCTTTAATTTCGCGAAGCCATTTTTGAAAGTTTTCTCTGCTCTTCGAGCCTCGTTTTTCTGAGTTTTCTGCGTGATTTCAAAGTCACCTCCGAACGCAATCCAACAGGCCCAGGTCATCCTCTGTGCCAGAGTTTTTGAGTGAGACCAAAGAAGTACCCAAACGAGCATCCACAGGATCCACAGGCGCTGGCTTTGCTTCGGGCCCGAGTGCTGCAACTCCTGGCTCATCCTTCGGCTGACTTCAGTCGTCTTCTGAGCTGAACCGCTCGAACCGCCAGTAGCCCCGGACCTTCGGAACCTGCTCCATCTTCTTCAAGGACCAGTCTCACTTAAGTATGCAAACCTCCAGAGCTCCAGACAGGGCTGATGCTGTCTCACGCGTTCATAACTCAGATATCCACCTATTTCTGGTGATCTTAGATTCCTCCAAATCTACACCCGAGTTTATCTCGACACCAAAGTTAGTGTAGGTTAATATGTTAGCGCATATTCACTCACTATCATTAACTTTAGTGCTCCTAGCCTGACTCAGAATCTTTATTTATTCACCTATTATTATTTTATCCTCATTATCTTATCATCATTTATTGCATGTGTGTTGTACCATCATTTATCCTGTAATAAACAGATCATTATTTTTCTAAGTTCCTGTCTGTTAGTGTTCTTCCAGAAGTGGAGTCCCTGAAATTAGAATTTCGACTTAAGATATGAGACTGATTAATTAAGACTGATTAATTAAGACTGATTAATTAAAACTGACTTGATGTTTGATTTCTGAATTAAACTTTTGTTTTCTTTATTTTCCCACCATTAAGGGTGGGTGGTGCCCCTTTCAACGAGTGCATAAATGTCATAATTTGAGATTATTAATCTTCAGACATTTATTATAAATTCCAATCGCCAAGTATTATTTTGGTGCGGCCTTGTGAGGCTCATTTCAAATCGCTACATATATTTTGGTGCGACCGTATGAGGCTCATTTCAAATCACTACATTAGGATAGTAATTATCTGTGTATATGATAGAATAGTGGAAGTAAAATCCACCGTTTGACTCACCTTTCAAATTAGATGTGAGTTAAATTAGATATTATTGGAATAGTATTGGTTTCAGCAGATAATAGCGTCATTATCAGTATTGATATTCATCATCAATCAATCAATCAAATGTTGGTCTTGTTTTATGTCTGTATGTAAAAGAATAGACCATCACAATAAAAGTGACAAGTCAATTCGGTTACAGCAGAAAACGTCGTCTTTGCAATGAAAAAAAGGTGTGCGCAAATATCAGTATCAATATCTGTATCGGTCAAGATGAGTTATAAATTTTGGTATATTGACATATCAGATACAAGCAAAATCCAATGTTGTACATCCCTAGTTGAATTTGGTTCTCATGGGCTCTGGCCTTTCTTACATATTATGGATGGCTGCCATTGAGGACGTTTTTGTCCTGTAACAGAGAATTGATGCACCTCGAGCTTAGCGTCTCAATCATCCAAATCCAAATATGGTTTTATTTTTGAATCTGAAACTCAAATGCATAGAGGACAAAGTTTCTTTAAACTGTGATGAGGTAGAACAAATTTTGAATGGATGTACGCTGCAGACCGAACATGTGAGTTCTCAGTCACACAACGCGCCCATACAAGAGTTACCTTGTGGGTTAGACGAGAGAACGCCACTTAACAGTCTGACGCAAACCATCGCGCACACACACTTAAACTAGATTCATTGAAAAAGAGCAAAAGGTCTGCAGACTCATGATTCATTCATGAGTTTAAAAGTGGTCCTATTCTCAGGTGGAAATGGAAATGTAGGGAGCACGGTGTCTTTCGCATTTAAAAGCTTTTCTGTTTGAAGTTGGGTTTTGAAGGCCAGAGCTCAGGAACCAGACATTGCATGGACCAGAGAGAGAGGGCCATGTGCCCTGTAGAGAGAGCATGATGAGATTGAGGACGGACTAAAACTGCATGATTATAATGTCGTCAGAACATAATATATTCTTACTTATCACAGCTGTAAGGCTGCTTAAGAATCCCAGAAGACGCAAGAACAAATGAGTTTCACATGGAAGCCTGCAAGATGATTTAAAGGAGCTGTGCACCCAAATCATGCAGCTTATGCACAGGTTATGTTTCTGAGCATTTTCACAGCACTCAATTTTTCTGCTCAAGAGTCAAACTTAGCAGCCTGACTGAGCACGTGGATGTCTTCCCAAAGCCCAGCTTATGTTTGCTGAATGTCCTAGCACTGTAAATGCAGTTAATATTGTTATTCTGTTTTGCCTTGCCTTAGTGCTCTGCAGGCTAGACTATGTCTACGCAGTTTGTAGGCGGTCAATGTCAAACTGGTATCCCTGAATGTAACAGGTTACAGCGATACACTTCTTCACTCTTGGGTTTCAACTAACTGACGAGGAAGCCTGCAATGATATGTTTACTTTTATTAAATTCTTGATTTGGCTTCATCTGTTCTTCTTACCTGGATGTACTTCATGAATCGGTGACACTTCCCACAGCGGGACAGGGGCTTCCCGGTGGCAGCAATGGGTGAGAAGGAGACCTCCATCAGCTCATCCATACCTCGATAACACAATGAGCAGATACTTTAAGCTGAGTTATCCTGTAATATGACTGTGAACAATTCTACACAACATTAACTATACAATGAATTGGCAAAGATGCGCCAAAAGGTCTCTGTGGATCTGAACTTACTGGTGATGGAGTCCACAAAGTAGTGAAACTTCCTCTTGAAGATATCGAGGGTGTGCTGCAGGACCTGTTGAAAGTTGGCCTTCCCCAGAGCGATCAGATTCAGCTGCTTCTCTACGGCAGAGCGGATGGTGGGAAGCACCAGCTCTGCGTCTACACACATACACATAAACAGCGCTACTGTTGAAAAACATATTGCTATTACATTTAAAGCTGTTTGACTTCTCAATAATAATATTGGTCATGTTTTTTGTAGAAGAACTGGGCTGCCTGTCTGCTCACAACAGGTTGATTTTAACGTTTCAAATAGGACACAGTAAAATATATAGTGTAATAAAACACAGTACCTGTCTTATAATATCCATGAACTAGAACAATGCCTAAATTAGTGGGCTTTAGTTTGCGCCCGCTCTCTACTGTCACATAGTTCCTCTGACAGATGTTGTTGATGTGGACGGGGATGCTGGCATCAGTTCCTGAAAGATGGAGGATATAAACCAACAGGTGTCAAACTTTTATCAAGCTCAGTGATGTGATTAAGAAAGGACAGAAAACAGGGAAATGTACAGAGCGGGGCAAGCACTGGTTAGCATTTTTACAGCACAAATACATGACCCACAATTTATGTATGATATTGTGAAAAAGTTCAAATTTTACCATCTGTTTAAAGAAGGGACAATTTAACGTATTCTAGACTCATCACATACAAACTGAGAAATTTCAAAGATTTTTCTATTTTAGTTTTTACTAACTGTGGCCTAAAACTAGAAAAACTTAAAAAACATATCTCAGTATGTCAAATTATTTCATAAAGAGTTTGAGTAAATTTCTATTTAAATTCACATCCATATCTTCTATTTGTTTTTGCTCAGATATTTCAAAAACTGATTAAATAAAAAATGGCTTGAAAATCTTGATTCAAGGATGTGCAGGGGTGTACCAATGCCGTGTTTCTCCATGAGGGTGATGAGCTCGGCCTCCGTCAGGTAGTCAGGAGGGTTGGTCTGCTTCTCCACCAGCTTTATCTCGTCCACTGTGAAAGTGTCTCCTCGCTCACATGCTGGCATGGCCTCTTCCAGAGGGATCCCCTGCCATGGCATCACCTCAGTGAAACCTGAAAGAATCTGTCCACTTAAAATCTGACTGCAGCAGCTTTTCTTTTAACCATCACACAGTTTCTAATCCTTAAACAAGGTCTGAAACACTCCATGAAAATCTGTGGATATAGAGACTTTCCTCACCTCTTCCATATAGATAGAGAAATATGATTGATCAGAAATTTTGGATTAAATACATTTTATATGAAAGCTCCTGTGAGGAACTCTCTGTATCCTGTTGTCAGATCTTGTTCTTCATAACTAGTGTGCAATCCTAAATGAATCAGACTTGAAACTCCTTTGAAAAAGCTGTTTTGACAGCATGCTACGATTGTAAAATCTAGAAAATAAGTCGCATTGGTATATAAGACATAGTACGATTTTGGGGCGGCATGGCTGCCCCAGAAGGAAAAAGGCTCTGCCACTTGTTTGTAGGACTCTACTCACTCATTATATGACTAATACAGAATGAAAAGTGCGTCTTATACACCACTGAGTTTACCTGCTGAGATCAGCGTTTTGCCGCTGCATGAGAAGGCCTCTGTGCCGATGGAGAAATCAATGGTGGTCTGAAGGTATTTGCAGTCCTGACTGAGCGTGGCGATGAAATGACGTGTGATGTACTCATACAGACGCCAGCCATCACTTCCTGTGGAGGAGCAGATAAGGAGGAACCTGTTTATTCTTATTCTTTTTACTTTTATTATCTGCTGTGTAATTGGCTGAACGGCTCACCCAGCTCTGCCTCGGATGCTGATCTCATGGGGGTTATAGGTGGGTGGTCTCCAGCATCTGCTCCTTTTCGTGGTTTGTTTATCCCAGCTGAGAGCAGGGCCTTCACCTGATGGAGAAGGAAACGTACTTTTATCTAATGTTCTCTCTGCTTTTGGTTAAAAATAGAAACACTGAGGTATAGCTTTTTGGCCCCATTGCAGCCCTCACCTCCTCTGCCCATATGGGATTGTTGCTCTGCTGCTTCAGCGCCCCCTTCAGGTCAAAGTTCTCTGGGTAGTGGGTCGTCTCAGTTCGAGGGTAGCTGATGTAGCCCTGTGTGTACAGACGCTCTGCAATTTGCATAGTGTGCTGGGGACCCATACCTGAAAGGAAAATTAGAAATCGGTCCAAACATTTCAAACTACAAGTCTCATAATTTTATCATTTAGGGTGAAAGACTGTCCAGATATTTCCTACTAAAACTGACCAATGCATCCCCTACTGGGATCTAAACTGATTCATGAATGATAACTATGAATGATAAAGTCACTGTACCTAAAGCAGAGCTGGCCACTCTCAACATCTCCACCGTGTTCAGAGCTTGAGGTCTCTGCTTCGCCTTCTCCTTCTTACTCACAGACTCCACCTGCAATGACAGAGGTGTTCACAAGCATATGTCAGAGGTTAGCTAGAATAGACGCCTGCTTATCTACCCATCCATATTCCAGTATCGGGTGGTGGTAGCCAGGTTGGATTTAAAACCCTTCCTGTGCGTTCTGGCTTTACCAAGGAGTCCCCTCCCAGTTTGACATGCACAAAAAAGGCTAGATTTTTATATCACTTCTTTTCAAATCTCTTCGATCCTCGACATGTAGCTTACAGAAGTCTACATAAAATCTCAAACATCAACATCATTTCTAGCCTGGAGGATTTGTCAAACTCTTTTGTTATCAATTAAATTTGGGATCAGATTAATGACAATACCTTTGCTTCTTTGGATGTCTTGGCCAGGTTGACAAACATCTGACCCACCTCCCTGTCAAAAACCCTGACCCTGCTCCAGTCCAGTGTCAGAGGGGTCTCCTTCCCTTTGAACACCTGAAAAAAACCACAGTGTCTGCTACTGAGTATGAGGCTGTTCATACTGTGTCAGAAGGAGTCAATATAGAGGACGTACCTTAACTTGGAGGACCCAGTAAGTCTCTGGTTTGAAGGACTGGATCTTGTCATGACGTTCCACGCAGAAACCCAGTGTTGGGGTCTGACAGGGTCCAAATGAGATCAAGGAGGAGTCGAGGTTACCGTATTTCCCCTGGAAATACTTGGTCTGGAACCTTTAGGTGTTTGACCAACAGGAAAAAGACTCACTGTTAGCCTGAGTCACTTTTTAAAAGCTCCTGTGAGGTTTTTTTAGCTCGATAACAATAAATAAATAAATGATCTGGCTTTGTCCACAGGGGGCGCCAAGTTAACTGTTGTCCATACAGCACAAAATACAGCACAGGTTACCTGGTGAAGGCACAGCCAATACGCAGATCCAGCTCCTGACGGGCGTCCACTGACAGAGCTTCGTTGCGGTTGGGCTCTCCTAGTCGGTTCATGGCGTTCCAAATGTCTGTGTCAGTGATGGAGCTGAATTTGGCGCGGTAAACGCTCTGCTCCTTCACGCTGCTTTTGTTCATCACCGGCTGGATGGCATCCAACACCTGAGAGGCAGGAGAGGAGGTGACTGTGCTGAAGTGATATTAAAATTTAAAGAACAGCAGGAAAACGACCTGCAATGATTGATCCTGATCTGGAGTATCCCAATAGAGGGATGGATTCAAAAAGAATTTCAGGAATTACATGAAATCATTTAAATCATTCGAACTCCAGTTACCTCAAAGCAGATGTTCTCGCCCTCTTTATCACAGTCCAACCAGAGAACCACGTAGTCACAGCCTCGGGCTTCAACCTGACATCACAGCAGAGATTCGGGATGAGCAGCAGAGACAGAGAGCATGGCACACTGCTGTTTATACGGGAGCACATCACTAAAAACACACCTGGAGGAACTTGACCATGTTGAGTTTGGGGTTGGCCTCCTTCTTCTCTGTGGGAGCTTTGCTGAAGAGCTCTGCAGGGTCCACCTTGTCCCAGTTGTTGTATTTTCCTGGAAAAAGAAGAAACACAAGATGTTTTAATTGAAAGAGGCTACACCTTAATCCATGTGTAGACATTGTTATTTTACTGGAATAAAAATCACAACAAAAGGAAGTGTCAAAATAAGAAACTAAGGGTCAGACTGTCAAGAAAGCCAAGGCGTGAGAGGGATTATACCCACCGATGAAATCCAGACTCATCACATGTCCACAAACTGAAGTCATCTTAAAGCGCACACTTTGGCCCTGGAAGCTGCCGGTGTACTCGTGCACCGAGCATGCTCCATTGAGACCTTTTCGACTGGAACAGCTTCCTAAAGGCCAAGAAGAGGAGATGAGATAAGAAAGCATTTGATCAGTTGTTTCAAAGAGCAGAAACTGGAATACTCTTCCATTTAAAAATGCTTATATTTAATTAAAAAAAAATAGTGCAAAGACAACATAATAAATGTTAAAACTGTGAATTGAAAATGTGTTCATGTAAATACTGTGACCACAAACAACAAACAAACAAAAAAGTAGCATGCGTGCAGGAGATGAATCAGGATGGGTCAAGGTCTTCAGTCTCCTGGGGGTGGGGCCTCCAAAGATATTTAATAATGATGCTTTAAAACTTAAAATGGTACAGTTTTACTTGATGGTCATGATTTAGTAATTTAATTGATCTCATGTGGAACAAACCACAATATATGCAGTATGTACAAAATATTGTACACCCTTACATGACTCTGTTGTGGAAATCATTGCATGGACTTCAAATCTCTGGAGAAACCTTTGAGTCTGAGATGAACTGAAGAGGAAAACTGTTCTGTGATCTGATGAATCAAAATCTGACATTCTCCTTGGAAATCATGGATGCCGTGAGGAGAGGGACCAGCCGTCTTAGTATGAGTGCACTGTTCAAAAACTAGCATCCAGGCGCCCGTGGCATGGATCCTTAAAGACTATGTCAAATCACATCTCGCACTTACAACAGCATCATGGCTTTGTAGTAGAAGTGCCAAACCAGCCTGCCTACAGTCCTGATTCTTCAACAGTTTAGAAAATTTAGAGCATCATGACATTAAAAATATGATAAAGGAGAACCTGAACTTTTTAGCAGCTGAAATCCAGGCAGGAATGAGGCAGCACTTCACTTTCCAGACTCTTGGAACTGGTCTCCTGGATTTCTGTCATTTACAGCGTGTTTTTAAAGAAGAGGCGATGCAACTCATGATAGCAAATATATCCCTGTCCTGATTTTTTTAAAATATGTAGCCAGCATCAATTCAATAGAAGCAGATATTTTTTATTATCAAATAACACTTTTCAGTTCCAACATTAGATATGTAGTCTTTGCACCATTTTCATTTAAATTAAGGCTTCAAACAGTTTGCAAATGATCAGATTCTGTTTTCATCCACATTTCACATAGTGTACCAATTTTTATGAATTGGAGGTTGTATTTGCATGGAGACGAGTCAACTTTCTATCTAAATGTACTTTGAAAGTTTTGAAACCAGGAAGTACTCTTGTCGGTGAGTCAGACATGGGGTCCGTGCTGATATATGACGTCCAGTTTTAATTTCAATGATTTGCTCAAGGTTGAATGCTAATGGACACACACACACACACACACACACACACACACACACGGGTACACGCATGTTGATGGTTGAGGTTCACGGTGGAGTATAAAGCTTCAGGATGTAGTTCAAGCAAACAGACGAACAACCAAAGACAGAAACTCTTCAGTTATCAACATCAGCCATGGAACAGCTCCAGGTAAGAAATCTGCCTCTATGTTGATGATGACTGTCCGCAGATTTTAGACAGCTACTAGCCCGCTTGTTATCATTTTAAAGGATAAGTTCATAGTTTTTAATGTAAAGCATGGAGCCTGTGTTATGTTTGTTATTCCTTTATATGAGGCTTCTGTATTTTAAGAGATGAGAGGCAAAGTTTGAAGTCCTTTTATATACAAAATTGTCTGTTTTTCTCCAAGGGTTTGAAAGTTACAGACAAAAAACAACAGAAATGAGTGCCGTAGTTGTTGAGAAGTACATGAGGAAAAGCTAAAATAAGTGTAGACTCATTTTCAAAAGCATATACAGTTGTGTGTTCAACATGACAGCTGATGTTGGTGTTATGTTTACGTTTCATACTGATGCCTCCTGATGCCTGCCTGTGACTTATTCAGAGGGAATATCACTCATTACAGCTCTCTCACATTCTGAATTTTCATTCTTAGATGGCTGAGGTGAATCAGTAGAGACTAAAGGTTGAGCAGCTCAGAGATAGGACAGACAAAGGAATCGCAGATGTCCGCACACAGATCTGTGCACTCTAACCTTGTCCTGTTTTGTTCTGTTCGACCTCCAGCTGCTGCGTGTCTTTCTGCTGGTTCTGCTGACCCTACAACAGTGTCTGTCCATGCCGCTGGGCAGTCAGTGCGTGGACGAGTCCTTCTGCACATACAGTCTGCAGGACTACTACAGCCAGCTGGTCAATCTGCCCAGCCACATCAACGAGCGCAGCATCGCAACATGGACATACGTGTGAGTATACCATATCTATCACCTCATCAAAACCAAAGCTCTGTAAGGACGAAGGTGTACCCCTCATCTTTCTCCTGAATTTGTACATGACAGAAGTGTTTCCTTTATTTTCCCCATCTGCACAGGAAAATGTAAAAATAAAATACAACCATATCCATCCGTAATTTTAGACTTGTAATGATACAGAAACAATCAACCTCATGCTGATGGTCTCATATGCTTTCAAAGCTCATACAAGGAATCACTTTGAATTTTAGTTTGTTGAGTAACAAGCTGAAACCTCCTCACTGGAACCTTAAACTAGAAAAGCTTAAATTTAATAACTGCTGGGATAGATGGTTTAAGTTGACTAATACAGCTAACATCTATACTTCTGGCTGTAATTTGTAGCTGTTTTCGCTTATTCTCTATGCCAGAATAAAAGTATCTCAAGCTATCATTGTACTGTATGTAGTGTTTTCCCCAAAATGTTCATACAAACTGGGTTATTTACACTTGATAAGTGTGTAAATATCTAAAGTCTGACTCTGGCCTCCCTAGAGAGAACATCGACTTGAACCGTGTCCCTCAGGTCATACATGAGGCCAGCTGCCACACCAGCCACTCCTGCAGGGGACTGGACAACGCATTCGGCCTGGAGTCCATCCCCGTGTCTCTGAGGATGCCCGTCCTCAGGAAAAACCCAAACTGCTTCCCCACAGCAAGCTACTCTCTGGAGTTTGAGCTCATCACCATAGCTTGTATATGTGCTATCTCCAGGCACAGCTAACCAGGACTGACCCCCCCCCAGCTCTGATGGCCACAGACCACAAAGGTGAACAAGGAGAACATAATGTGTTAAGACAGAGCAGAGGTTAAAAAGATCTACTCTACTCATTGTAATTGTTTAGTGCAGTAACTAATATTAGAGGCGTCACCATTCACTGCATGCCTATGAACTGATTCTAACAGCAAATAAAGAGATTTTCATGCACCGGTATCAAACTTGTGTCACTGGTTTATTTTTATAGTCTGCTTCAATGAACTGGGCCCAGCACTATCAGGTCCAAGTTATGATATTAGAGTGTTTTTTACTTGATCAAAAGACAGATTCAACAATAATTTAAAGTCCTACTTCTCTGTAATGTCACAGAGTTTAAGCAGCAAGAGCTCTGTGGAGTCTCAGTCCCTGTGTATTTAAAAACAATGCTCTTACATGTGCTCAGTATTTTATAGTTTAATCTTCAATTGTTTTGATTTTAATTGGTTTTGGTAGATCAAAGAGTTCAGGAGTTTGGTGATAATGTTTTGTGTCTCCTCTCATACACAACAGGTGTGTGATGTATTTCTAATAATTCAAAGTACCGGCAAAAATAACATGCTCCATTAAAGGGATATTCCAGCGTAAAATTAAGTTAGGGTCAAACACACTGTAACACTGAGTTAGACTCCCTGTCGAGAGATGAATGTTGCCGCATGATAGTGATACAGAGAGCCACATGCGCAACCAAAACGCCACTCTGTACCCACAAATAATGATCAGAACAGCACCTAACTTCATCAACAGTACATATAGGGTCCCAGCCACAGCACTAGCCACCAAACATCTTTTTAACTTTGCCTGATTTCTTTAGCAAAGAGACAAAATACAACTCACCCACTCTCTTCCAGCAGCCGCTTGTTTGTAGCGAGACCTCGATCCTGTCCATTAAGGACTGCTGCGGGGTGACGCAGCTCAAGGAAGAACATTTTTGATCATTACTTTATCATTTCCTTGACGTAATAATCATCATATTAATCATTTTGCACAGCAGATACAGTAGATCTTCTGCCTTGGCGTCTCGGTCTGATTGCATTTTTGTGAAGAAATGATCATAAATGTTGTTCCTTCAGCTGCGTCACCCCACAGCAGTCCTTAATGGACTGGCCTGGATCTCACTACAAACAAGTTGCTGCTGGAAGAGAATAGGTGAGTTGTGTTTAGTCTCTCTGCTAAAGAAATTTGGCAAAGTTAAAAAAGATGTTTGGTGGCTAGTACTATGGCTAGGACCCTATATGTACTGTTGATGAAGTTAGGTGCTGTTCTGAGCATTATTTGTGGCTACAGAGTAGCTTTTTGGTTGAGAACGTGGCTCTCTGTATTGCTATCATGTGGTCGCTACTAAAGTTGGTATAACTAGAGAAGCAAGCAGTCGGCAACATTCATCTCTCGAGGGGTGTCTAACTTGGTGTTACCATGTGTTTGACTCTAAATTAATTTTACGCAGGAATATCTCTTCAAATGCAGTAAAAGTAAAGCTACCAGCAGCCTCTTCAATACAACAAGACAAACAGCCAATGAACGTTCAGACATTCAGAGTAGCACCTTAAGGTGGCAAATCAAGGGGGTCCAGGCAGCTCCTGGACGCCCCTGTGGAGCTACTCTCTGGAGGTACGGTCCTGCAACTGGGCACCAAATTGACATCGCTCTATAATTTCTAGGTAAGAACCTCCAAAACAGACAGCTTTCCACCAAAAAATCTTTGACTTATGAATCAGCCATCATTCAACATTTTGGATTCATTTTAACTGTTTATAGACACGACCAAAATACTGCAATAATCGATTAACTTACCAAATTTTAGCGATCAAACAAACTAATAAAATGATTTTCCTCAGTCTAAATTATAACTTTATGTGATTTAATTATAACTGTGAACCCACCTTTGGAGAGGATTTTGGCGATAGACTGAGCCAAAGACGGTTTCTCTGCCACCATCAAAACAGTCCTCATGTTGAATGAATAAAACACAAACTCCGCTCAGTCTGACTCTAATTTCACCACTCTGAATGAAGTATGAGTTATTCCTTCAGCCGGAGTAAAAATACAGGAAAATAAAAAATCTATCATGAAGAAAAATAATCTTTTATGTTGTAACTACCGGCTTGTCTCAGGTTTTGGCCAAACAATTCTTCTTCTTTGGATTTTAATGGCGGTGGACTGCAAATATGTGTAATACTGCCACCTTCTGGATTCAAGCTAAAACTACAGCCCAAATTTTAAAAATCATATTGAAACTCATAAAAAGCCTTTATTTAAATACAAACAGTAAAATGACATGACGGTAAAATGATTGTATGCCAGCAACGTGTTTTAACAAAGTTGGGACACTGACAAAACACTGAAAAGTTGTATTATGCTAAAACATACCTGGAGGAACATCTCCCAACAAATAAAGTTTATTTGCAGCAGGTTTGTGACAAGACAGGTTATAAAAAAGGGCTTTCCAGAGAGGCTGAGTCGAGAGACTGGGTCAGCAAATTGTTGTTTTACAATCGTGTTCCTCAACATGAATTTCTAAAGAATTTTAGCTTTTTATATTTCATGTTCACTATTGACATTTTAACTGTATTCCTTCACTTCAACCAGATTCTCTTTATAGTTCTTGTAATTTCAACTTTTTTTTCCAAATATTTCAACTTCTTTGCCAGCACTCAAACTTATTTTAATCACTTCACCTTTACTCTTGACATTTCGACTTTATACTAAACATTTTAAGTTTATGGTCCACATTTGGACTTTTGACTTTACTTTGACATTACTCTTGATTTGACTGTTTGACTTTATTTTCAGCATTTTGTCTCATTTCCTAAAGTGCATGATGTAAAAAAAATCTTCCTCCCAATTTCCTTTTTTTCTCCTCTGACCCTTATACGGTCTCTTTGATAGAAATGTCATGTATGAAAATATTTAATTGTACGTTATTACATTAGATCTCCTTCATTGTCTCCTCAAGTTTTGATTTTTATCTTTATTTTTAAGTGTTTCATTTGAGAAAATAAAACAAAACAAAAACTGAAATAAAGTCAGACATTAGAAAAATGAATTACATAACAACTAAAAAACCCACAAATAAAAGGACAAAAAATACACTGAAATTAAAAAACTAAAAATAGAAATGTATGTATTATTTTTATTCATAAAAATGAATTTGGTAAGTTGGGTTTCTCTGTTGTTCAGAGATATTGGCCACTAGATGGCATAGGAAAACATGAAATAAAGCAGCAACAGTCCATTCATTCATTCATTCCTTTATTCATCAACAACAGCTGACAAATGAACTCGTTTTGAAATGACTGAGGTGTTTGCTCTTTTTTTAAAACTGCGGTACAGATTCTGATGGTTTTAGTTTGTGATTGACTGTTCATGATCTCAGGTGAATCACAGGTAAAGAGACATCGCTCTCCAACTCCTGACTCCTCTCTGGATGGAAGAGAGCTGAAGGAGGAGAGCAGGAGGATGGACAGAGCTGGATGTGAAGCTGAAGGGACCCATCTTTTGGGATGGTGACCTCGAGGGCACGTGGTGTGTGTGTGTGTGTGTGTGTGTGTGTGTGTGTGTGTGTGTGTGTGTGTGTGTGTGTGTGTGTGTGTGTGTGTGTGCGTGTGTGCACGCACACACGCGTGTGTCCAACCGTTTTCTCCCCCATGCTTCAAAGTGTTCAATCCATATACCATGATGCTGTGGTCCATTGAGTCAGCAGATCCCTCGACAGATGCAGGCTGTGCTCAAGACTCCATGGGGATGTTTTGCATAACTTAAGGGGATAGATTAGCCTCCGGGTTCCTGTACTCACATGCAGTTCAACATGTATGTTTACTCTGCAGTATTCATACATGTTTAAGAAAATCTTTAATTCCCCGTTATTCATAATGTGGCAGTGAGGGGACCTTAGACCAAATAATAGCTGCTGTTGGACCTCGGGCTGCCTCTGACAGAAAATATGTCATTAAAAAAGATGATTAGATCCTGAAGATCCTGAAAAAAAAATCCTCAAAAAAACATACCTGCACCTCACAATGGAGTCCTTCCTAATGTGGATGCTTGGCGTGGTGCAAGTCGAATCTAATGGGGCCTGTAAGAGAGACCATAACAATGCCCCCTTTTGTGCTAGTGACAACATCAGAAGTTTCTAAAAAAACTTCCTGATCAAGAGTTGTGAGGTGTCTGATGAAGTTTTCAGAGATGGTGGAGCATGGTATCCAACTTCACATTCATACATGCTTTTGGTGTTCCTGACAGTGTCTGTGTTTGGGAGCTAAAAACTGAAACTGTGTTTTTTTTTAAAATTTATATTAACATTAGCCAAATGCAGTGCCAAAAGGGGCAAGTTATTCTATTAATTCTGACTGTTAACTTCGATATCTTGTCTTTTGTTTGTGGTGATTCAGCACAGGTGAATAATTTTAACTTTTGCATTTTCACAAAGAAAGGAAACACTTGGTGTCCCAATCCAGAGGCCACATGCTTCTACGGACTTACCTGTTGTGGCTTGTGTAGACCAGTCAGGCCGAACTGAATGGAGACAGTATACCCTTTGGGGATTGCATGCTTGCGTTACTACCCCAATGATAGCATCACATAGCGCCATTCTTGTGGCAACAGGCAGAAACAGCTGGCCACCCGGCTAACCAACTAGCATAGCTTACATCAGGGAAGTTTAACAACATAACCAACATTTCAAAGATTATTTCAGATTTCAACATGTCTGACTACTGAGTTAAAACCAAATACCATAAAGAATCACATAATAGGTGGGGCGTGAGGGATGCTCCTGATGCAGCCTTCATGGTCCTGGATAATAATTGAAGAACACATTTGTTGGATACATTTGGAAACCCTAACTCTAAGACTGGTGAATCAGAGGCACGACTGACTTGACTGGTAGCTTGAGAGGAGGCCAAAAGCACCGTCTCTGGTTGGCTGACTGACAGTAAGGTTGAGAGCCATCATTACCAATATGGTGACCGCTGCTGATAGGCTTCAAAACCCTGCTTTAGAAACAAATGGGTGACACACAAACACTACATCCAGTTATTATATAGTCTATGTCTTTTAGCATCCATGTTGCCATTGCCTAGCAACAGTCTTCCCATATGATTACCACTTGAACGCCAAGCCTTTCATTTACATTACTTCACCGCAAGATTTAATAACTTCAGCAGTCATGAAATTGTGTACAGGGAAGGCTTGGCATTGAAGTGGTAACTAAGTGGAGACACGGTTGTTTGGCAACATGGATGCCATGGTCAGCCATTCTGCTCTTGGCCTTTCATGAAGAAATGCTTGAATTAAATTATCTCTTTATACCGTAACATCACCTAGAGGAGTAACAGACAAGTGTGCTACTAAATGGCTATGGACTGTGTACAGCCAGAATCCTGGACACATCTCTGATATCCACTACAGCAGCATTTTAATGGAGCTACAGAAGACAAAATATGGGCTGTGTTTTATAAATGTCCAGTTGAAATGATTTAACTTGAAAGTTCCCTGTTTTCACGTGTGATTCACCCTGACTTTACCCTGAAATCATACCGGAAAGCTGTTAGAAAACACTCAGGCCAAAAAAAAAAAAGAATGCTGATATTCACACATGCAGCTCACCTGGGTTATTACAGGACATGTTCAGGGCTTCTGAATAAAGATTAATAATGATAATAAATAATCCAAACTATCGTGTCGATCAGTCAGACTCTTCGCTGACAGTGTTTGTCTCCACTCACATAAACTCAACTACAGGTAGCTGAAAGGAAAAAGCCTGAGTAAAGTTGGGTTAATGTCTTTAATGTTTGTAGCTCACGCTGAAAAACTTCAGGAAATTTTCAGGAGCTGATTGAATGTCGGAAAAGAGCGACTGATGTAGATTTTAAAACAAACCGTCCAGAGGAGGTCTTCGCTTACTAAGACTTGCTTAATTGTATCTCTAGTCTTATAAAAATATCACACCTTGCATGTGTTTTTTTTCCTGCTCATTATTAAATTTCCAAGCACAACCAAAACTGTAGCCATCCAGCAGTGACGATGGTTTTGTAGTTATTTCCCATATGTTAAAAAAGAAAAAGAAAGAATAAAAAAAAGAAGGAGAACGTCACTTGATGATAAAGGAGCTACAGATTATAACACTTCAATGTATATTTCAATTTATACTTCAATTTACAAGCTTCAAGTGAAACTACATATTAAAAAAACACCAATTTCCATGAAGCAATTGATCCTGAAAAGCAGCTAGAAGTAGGTCAGCACACACACACACACACACACACACACACACACACACACACACACACACACACACACACACACACACACACACACACACACACACACACACACACACACACACACACACACACACACACACAGACTCTGCCATTGGTAAAGTGTGCATACACCTGGATCTGAGGATATTCAGCTGAGATTGTGGTTGTCATGTTTTCTCATTTAGAAACCACTCGCAGCACAATGCACTGAATGCGAAAAATGTAGATTAAAAAAAACCTGCACACAATATGGATGAATTGTGTAAAGGCCTTAACTCCAATATTTTACCTACAAATCTTTATACGCATGCGAACATGGATGCAGAAAACATGTTGCAGACATAAGTGAGGTGGGTGTAACACTGATTTCTTCAGATTTTAATATGTCTGTGTCTGTCTGCCTCCATGTGTGTCAGTCATTTGCTGCTGTTTTTTCAAATGTGAGTCACCATCTATACCACCTACCCACCTTCAATGTGTGTGTGTGTGTCTGCATGTTAGTGTGTGCGCTGCCTGCTGATGAGACCCTGAGGAAACCAAGTAATCACAAAAGACCAATGCATGTTAATAACCAGCTGCTTCTAGAGGTGGACACAGTGGGTGCGTGTGTGTACATGGAGGAGGGGAGGAGGATAAAGGTTAAGGAAAGGAAGGAAGGAAGGAAGCAAGCATACTATCCCCATAGGAAGAGATGAGGATAGTATGCTTCCCTTGGAAATTTACCCCTCAGATCTGAGTGTTGTGATTCTGTTAGATAGCTTATAGTATAGCTTCATTTTAAACTCATTATAGCCTTATTAATATCAATGCTCAGGGTAACAGGTCTAACAATGAGAGTTGAATTTGATTACCATTCAGCATAAAAGTAAAAAATCTATAGCTGTGTGC